TCTCTCTCTCTTAATCTCTCTCTCTCTTAATCTCTCTCTCTCTTAATCTCTCTCTCTCTTAATCTCTCTCTCTCTTACTCTCTCTCTCTCTCTTTTTTAGTGTTGATAAACCATCTGGACTTACTTTAGTTTCGCTGGCAAGTAAATTAGCCACTTGAGCACTGGAGATCTTATGAGTACTCCTCTTGGTGATCCCGGTGCTTTTACCCTCGTCTCGCAGTTCGACAAAACAAACCTCACCGTCTGAGCTGATAGATTTCGGAGCCATGCAAACAATTTCACGGCATCGCAGATCTGCTTTCCACCAACAGAACAGATGGTCACATTCGGTGTCTTCTGCGCCTCCTTCACTTTTCCTTTGGCTCTATGGTGACCATGCACTAGATTGCTTTGAATCCACATATTCCACAAGGGTGATTTAGCGGCGTCCTTAACGCGAGAGATGGTCTACCTGGGTAACTGGGTATTTGACTAGCGCTGGGGGCGGAAGATTTTGGCTTTCGATCACGCTGGCGCTTCAAAACTCCGGTAGCAGTCTTGTTTGTGCCCCTTGTATCTACCATGCTACTCTGTGCCTTAAAAGAGAGTTCCCCGTAGACTTGAGGCACAGAGTCCGTGAAGCCTATACCGACGATTGATGTTCATGATGGGATTTTGCGAGGGGAAAATCATATGCATGGCGCGGTGACGGCTCCCCGACTGTTGCAAACCAATTGTTTATAGCACGACACCGATCTGAGCTCGTGTATAAGCCGTCGCGCACTTGTTCGGTTATTGAATCACGAACATCCGTATGAAATGACATAAATCTGCCTTGACTCCTCATCGCCAGCAGGTTGAAAAAGGGAGCTTTACTTCTGCTCTCAAACGACAAGATATCTCCTGTACACAACTAAATCAGGGCCTATCTCAGTTCTTAACACAGTTCTCAGTCTACGCTTCCATCATTTGCGAAAACGAGGTCCAGTAATCCACCATGCGTTTCCTCGCTCTCGCAGCTTCCATACTTGTTCTTATTAGCCCCGTTGTTACCAGCCCTATCGATGCAGCAACTACCGATGCTGTTACGGTATCCACTATCAACCAGACTGTGGCAGATCCGAAACCATGGTGTACTAGGAACAGGAAGATCATCCCGATTTGGCGCTTTTATTATAAGGTAGAAATTCCCAAGGTTCCCGAGCCCCACAAAGTCGAAGAAGTTTGCCATAAACTTTGGACCGAGCTTAAGAAGTGGCCTCTTTGTCGGGTCTCCAGACCAAATGAATGCACGCCGAAAGGCAGAACACTCAAGTGGTACTTCCATACTCACACTTGGTGCAACAAAGGGATGGTCGAGTCTGCATTCTGGGAGGCGACCAACAAAGCAGAGTGGGGACATATCAGCAAGTGTAAAAGCGTTTAGGCAATGTACGAAGTTGGCAGATCTGGGGCAGTGACGGAGGGCCACGATATCAATTTGAGTCAACCATTTGGTCATTAACGCCTTCATTCTCGACGACGACTATCGGACACATTTCACGTCTACTACTCGCACTTCGACATCCGATCATACGGACCTACAATTTGCATTCGCCTAGACCTTCCCCAGCACCTAACGGATCTTAATGTTGGCTATTGTTACAGGGCGCAGGGTAAGCTGTGGGCTTATATATTCAAGGGGTAGTCCTGGACAAGGACTTTAAAATAAGCGTTGCTTTAAAACCACATTCTTTACCATACATATCAACCAACCCACATTCTTTTAATCTCGTGTCTATTGCGTGTAATCGTGATACTTATGCTCTGATCAGAGCCCAAATACCCTTCTCTTCGATTGACGACTTGGGCCCCGGCGCACGAGGTTTAGGAAACGAAGTCATCGCCAGTTTTGATCAGCTGCATTTGGCGACAGCGCATACATGCTGTCGATAAATTTGTTGAGCGCGGAGAACCTCCCTCAAGCACAAGACAGAATAGATGGTCGGCCAGAAATGCCTGCCCAGCGATCGGCGCCAGGCAGAAATACAACCAACAGTCGATGCTGACTCGCCAGTTCAGCCGTCAGGTCCACCTGAACCCACGTGGTTTTTTTCCTGGCTCTCTGGCTGTCAAATACAGCTACGGATTGGATATGTTTGAGATAATATTATCAAGAGGTGTAAGCGAGTTCTAGGTGCGTTTTCCGATAGGTAAACCCATTTAACAACGCGCCAGATATGGCACCTTGTTCTATCAACCCCTAACAAACCCAACGTATCTCTGAGCGAAGCGATCGCATCGGTGCGTCACCACCACCCAATGCGACGTATCTCTGCCAGCGCAGCGTCATTGCTCTCCACTATAACTATTTCTGATGTCAGGTTAGATTTTCAAAAAAAAAAAAAAAAAATTATACCAAGAACCAGCCACATTAACAGGTTAGAAATACCCTGACACCACTTACCGGGAACCGGCCGCGACAACGGGCCTCAAGTAGTGACCGTGGCGATGTTGGGCCTTCCGAAATGGGAAGCCCAGGCCTACCCATTTTGGAACCCCAAAACACCCCTGTCAAGTACATTGTTGGCAGGGCGTATGTATTTCTCGAAGTCCATTGTATGTGCATACGTAGTGCGCTCAGCGTGCGTGCTCTGAGCTTGCTGGCTCCATACCGTGGGAACCAACTACAAGTGGCATTAGGCTCGAGCTACTTTTGCCGTTATATGAGGAGCTTGTTAGATTTCGTTTATAATCACAGACAGTGAGGGCACCGCACGCCAGTATTACCGACCTTTCTTAGCCCTTGACCGAGACTTAGAAGAAGCCTCGTTGCTGGTGATATAGTGGCACAGAACGTGATACGTCAAAAACGTAGTGAGTTAAGGTAGTTCAGTTAAAGGGCTGTCCAACTTATACAATACCTGTTATGATTTTCTGATTTGCTCAAGCTTTTCAGCTGCCGTTTTCAGATGCTCCTCTAAATCCAGGTCCCATATCCACCTCGCTACCTTGTTAAGTTCCTCAGCTAGTTTATCGAAATCACACCCAGCAGTGCTGCCTTGGAGATCCAAGCGTTTCCCGTTCTCGAAACTCTCCGAGGTAACTCTAATAGCACGCGGTACCCGGACGGAGTCATAAGCGGCGAGTGCGGCGAATATGTCCTCTCGAGACGAACAGTGGCCCAGAAGATTAGAAAGAATGTACGAGTCTTCGATGGCCATTCCGGCCCCTTGTCCTAAATGAGGAGACATTGCGTGGGCTGCATCACCAAGGAGACATATCCGGCCACTATGGAATGTTGACACCGGCGCGTGTTCGAATATTGCCCAAACGTCTGGTTGTAGGAGCTGAAAGACATGAGAACGTGTCTGTAGACGTAAGCACTTGAAAGGTGGTACTCACTTCCACGATCTTCACCACGCATGACCCCCACTGGGACTCACTGAAGTCCCTTTGAGCATTCCCCATCTGTAGCTTCTGAATAGATTCGCCCTCCCACGTAGTTTTGCCACTATCATGGAAAGCGACGACGTTCATTACCGCTCCATTAGACACTGGAAACGTCAAGACATGGCCACCGCGGCCAAGGAACATGGTCCTGTTGTTCGCATGTTCATCCCCCAAGACTTCTTCAGCAAGCTTCATAGGTAAGAGGCCACGATACGCAACCTTGCCCGTAAATCTCGGGGAGGCCAACTTCGGGTTGTCGAATACCAGCGGTCGACAAGCGGACCAAATGCCGTCGCACGCAACCACCAAGTCTGCTTCGCGATGGCTGCCGTCCGCAAACTGGCAAACCACATTCTCCCGGCTTTGATCCACCGAAACCAGCCTTTTATTGAATTCCGTCACGTTGGCCGGCAGCAACTTTATCAGAGCGTTCAGCAGACTCGCGCGATGCGCCCCACTCATCCCCTTTGGATCGTTCATTTGCACTTCGATAATCCGCCTGCCCTCGTTCTCGCCCCTTTCGCCATTCAGGAAGTCGAACCACACGTCCTGCTTGTCTTCCCAACCATTGAAGGATGCTATTTCCAAATAGCTCTCCCAGATGCGCGGATCGATCAGACGCATTGCAGAGTGGCCGTTCTTGAAGAAACCCACGCCGGCCCCGATTTCGCCGAATGCGCCCCGCGACTCAAAAATGGTGTATGTAATGTGCTGGAATTTGGAAAGTGCAATACCTAAAACCACTCCTCCGATCCCACCACCCACAATGGCGACGTGGATTCGTTGCTGCTCCGACATCCTTAGCTTTTAAGGAATGGGTCAACAACCTCTTAGGTGTCTCGGACTCTGACTCAACATCAGAATACTCCAACTTTTGTCAGTAGAGGTTGAAAGATATTTCACCCACCCTGGGTGCTGAAGATTGATTAGAGGAGGCCTTGGGAGAGTATAATTATCGTGCAGCAAGTTTTCGAGAGGCTGTAGAGTCGCCTAAGGGAATCCAAGAGCTTGGTTCCTTGTATATAATGCGGCGTGTTGAACTTCCGTTTGCCGGGACGAAATGCAAATCTGCTGGCAATGATTCCACATTTCTGTACCACACAAGCACCCTGCCCTGCTAGTGAGAATTCTCACGCAAAGGGAGGGGTATGTTGCAATATTGGTCAGACAATGCACAGTATAACCAATGGCCCGACGGTGGGATGATTAGATAGCGGCCTGTTGCAGATGTCTGCATTTCGAAGGCGGTTTTATCAAGTATCTACTTTCCGTAGTGCTGACTGACGGCGAGACCTACCCTGGGTGGGCTAGTTTCATCTCTCCCGTTACACAGGAGCATGCTCCTTTCTGGCCATATAAGAGCTAGAGCTCCGATCGCAAGCTACAGGCGAATATGCATTGTGATCACTCCTTTTGGACATCAGATCGTCTCGTGCTTGCGACATGGTTTCCATCAAGTCACAAGCTGTCGCAGCTCCAAGTATGGAAAAGGCAAACGTAGTCACCGGACATGAGCCAAGTACCGTGGCCACACAGGATGACAGCCACACTCGTGTCGCCCTGCCATCTCTGGAGTACCGCAAGTTGATGTGGAAACTTGACGTTCACCTCCTGCCACCCTTATTCGTACTGTGGTTCGTCTCCCTGATTGACCGCCTCAATATGGGGTCAGCCAAGATCTTTGGCATCGAGAAGGACCTGCATATGGACCCCCGAGGTACCGACTTCAATGTTGCCCTTATCACCACCATGGTCGGTCTTATTTTGTTCGATGTACCCAGCAACTATCTCTTGAAGAAGATGAGGCCTTCCTTGGTACTGACCGCGGAGAACCTGCTGCTTGGTGCGTCTTGCCCCATGCCAGCATCTGCTCGACTTTAGGTGTAGATCGCCAATTACTAAATTAATTGTAGGAATATTGACCGTTGGACAAGGCCTGGTAACCAACTTTACCGGATTGGCAAGCCTCCGATTTTTTGTCGGCGCGTTGGAAGCAGGCCTAATCCCCGGGAGCGTGTATCTGCTTGCGCAGTACTATCCTCGCTATGAATTACAGTGGAGAGTGAGTATGCTCATGGTCAGCAACGCCTTGAGCACGGCATTCGGTGGTTTACTTGGGTTCTCGATTGCGGCTATCACGTCCGACAATGGCTACAGTCCGTGGAGATGGCTTTTCATCATCGAGGGCTGTATAACGGCGGGTGTGACAATTCTTGCCTTCCCTTTCCTACCTAATTGGCCGTCCGCGACAAAATGGCTCACGCCCCAGGAAAAACAAGCAATTGCAGATGAAAGTAAGCCTCGTATCTGCGTAAATGGTTGGATTCGCTGCTAATCTTGACATGCAATAGTTCGTCACCAGGGTGTTATTGGGCGAATGGACAAGCTGGACTGGAAAACGGCGAGACGAGTTCTGTTCGACTGGAAGGTCTGGATCTGGTAAGAAAATTGTACCCCGCGCCATTGCTCCTTGGTTTCATGGGAGGAGCTACTTACCAGATGAGAAGGAGGCTGACAATTCCACATCTTTAGCGGGGCTATGTATTGTTGCACAACGGTTACAGTCTACAGCGTCGCCATCTTCGCGCCCACGATCATTAACCAATTTCAAGAAGGCCAAAGCCCTCGAGAAGTGCAAGCCCTGGTGATTCCCATCTTTTCATCAGCCTTGGTAGCATGCCTAGCGGCAGCCTATGCCTCAGACAAGCTCAAACATCGTTCAGGGTTCGCTCTCTTCGGATACTGTCTCGCCATAACCGGCTCGGTCATTCTGATGGACCAGGCTTGGTACAATGTACATGTCAAATATGCCGCTCTGTTTTTCATGGCAACCGGAGTTTACGTTTCACTTCCTATGGTCTGGACTATGCTTGTCAATAATGTCAGTGGCGCATACAAGATCGGGTTCGCGGTTGGACTTGAGGTTAGCCTTGGGAATTTTGGCGGGATTGCATCGGCACTAGTCTTTCAGGGATCCCAGGCGCCAGCTTACGCTGACGGATACAAGACCCTGACCGTGATGAGCTGTGTCGCAGCCTCCCTGGTTATCTTCTATAGTAGTCTTCTGTATTTGGAGAATAGGGCGAGAGACGCCGGGAAGAGAGACCACCGGCTTTCAGACGACGACGTGGACAACTTAGGAGATGAGCATCCTTCGTTTCGTTATAGGTACTAGCAACGCAGTATAGTATTGCCTAATATTTGAGACAAGATTGGATATAAATCAGATAAGCCGTATCGCAAACCCCTTATGGTACAGCTGTATGGTATATATTAGAAAGTTGATTCAAGCTTATATGTCAAAATAATGTGGCTTGGAAAGAAGTAGGGCTGGTCAGTTCGGTATATACATCTCAATGGATCAGTACTTGATTTGATAATGTAGTCATTAGCGATAATTCAGCCCAGCCCAAGTCTGAATGTAGGGAATTCATATTGATAGTACTCGAGATTGTTCGATACACGAGTTTGCTACTTGGTCCTTTTTGTACCGAGACGCGACGCTAATGTGCTTGGTGTTCTTTGTGATGTATGGTATCAGGACGACTGCAAGGCCACTGCGTCTTTGTCGTTTCCAGTAACGGTCGATAACGCGTTATGAATGATTACACTTGCACGGCTGATTTGGAAAATCCTCGCCAAGGAGCTTTTATAAGCGGTGAGACTGAGGTTCATCACGAACAATGGCCGCTCACGACTTTTAGAATTCCCGATCCTGTACCAGATATGGAGAAGCTTGCCGAGATAACCCCATCACTACGTCTACAAGTTGCCCAAACCTGCATCGTCGCCGACTACCGCACGCTGTACAACGTGCTAGCCATCCTGCCGGATTGAGTCTTAAAGCAAGAATCGTAACATAGCGATAACACTTAATAATGAGAATCTTGAACGCAGGTCAGCGGAGCTGGATTTCGACCTAGTAGCATGAAGAGCAAACAGGAGGCGCATTCCCAGGACCTCAATCAATGTTGCGCTAATCGCGACCAAAGTCCGCGGACAGGTTCCTGTGGCTCGAGCTCGCGGCAGTTGACATGGCTTGAACAGGTGGAGGTGTTTTCGACGAAGGTCTCCAGGCCAATGCGAGCGACTTTCGCCTCTTTATCTGCTCATTGGAGTCAAAGAGAGCTGACATTTCAATGATCGGTGATGGCTGGGAGCTTTAGGAGGAATGAAAACAGAAACACTGGGCATGACGTTTGGCGGGTCAATCTCTGTTCTTGTCTACGTGAAAACCTGTACAGAGCCAACTCGATGAAAAGAGCGAACATTGAAGATAATAGCTCCTTCTCCTGCGCTAAATTTGTCCCCGGCTTGGAAGTCAAGTCAACCTCTTCTGCATAATGAGCAAATGACTAGACATAATGATTCAATTCACTTTCAATTCGAGCTCACATGTGAATAACGTCTGCCTGGTAATGCAGTGGACATTATCCCCCCCACCCCCGGGTTCGTACTTGTGGACACACCCGTAGATACACTTGTGGGCAGACTGCGCCTAGATGTGTAGCTCTTTATGTGTAGCGCATGCAATCAGTATTGCTTCCAAGTAGCACCCTTACTACCACAAGGCCTGGGTGGCTTCTAGATCGCATGATGAGACGCGAAGGTTGGTAAGCACATGGTTAGCTTCGGAGCCGAGCTCTGCCAACTATACCCGAAAGGATGCACTAATAGGCCCCGGCCTCGGTGGCGGATGAGAATCCGCATCTGCTTTTACTAATGCGCTTCTCAAGTTGCTCCGAGATGCTATATAGTGGATGCCTCTCGAGACGGCATGGGAGAGCTTAGCATACCATGATGCGCGCGGCACGTGGAATTCTCCCGAGGTGTCCCAAGGTTGGATTGCTTGTCCGAGTGTCACACTGCCACGATGCTGACGGCTGTGAGACGCGAAACAAATCGCTGGTATAAGATATACTTCTCCCCTCAGCTATGAGATGTAGGGGAAGCTCTAAATTCAGCATTACATTTACAAAAGAAGTCCAGCAAGAGAAGACAGCAGCTTGTTCGCCCTATCGCCCAGAACAACTAACGCGACCAACATTTTACTCCATATCGAACATGACTATCGAACAAACTCGCAGAATCACACTTGTCGGTGCTACAGGCAACGTTGGCAAGCCCATCTTGGACAGCCTCATCGCAGTTGGTCACAAAGTCAACGTGATTACACGTACCGGCTCGAACGTCACCGTGCCCGACGGAGTCACCCTTCACCGTGGCGACTACAATGACGAGACTTTTCTGGTGAATGCACTGAAGGACCAGGATGTCCTTATCACCGCTTTGTCATTTGGAGCGTATGACGCTCAGATTCCTCTGTTCCGAGCTGCGGCGAAGGCCAATGTGCCGTGGATTGTGCCTTGCGAGTTCGGCGCTGACCCGAAAGCCTCGCTCAACGAGCACATTGGTATCATGAAAGTGAAAAAGCCCTACCGAGACCTTATCGAGGAGCTGGGAGTAAGCTCCTGGATCGGTGTGGTCAACGGTCTCTGGTTTGACTATGTGATGCGTTACGCCGCGTTCGGCGTCGGTGTCGACGCGAAGACCAAGACAGCGCATTTCTACGACGACGGGAACACGAAGACGAACTTCACCACTCTGAAGCGTGTGGGCGAGAGCTTAGCTGCTGTTCTGGGCTGGCCGGAAGACGAACTTGCGAAGCTCAAGAACGATTGGGTGTTCTTCAGCTCTTTCCACATTACGCAGCGAGAGATTTGGGAGGCGGCCATGCGTGTCACGGGCACGAAGGAGAGCGACTGGACTGTATCGTCCGAGCCTAGCGAGGACCTCATCAAGGAACTGAAACAGCAAATTGCGAGTGGTGCTGGAATGGCTCCAGCGCAGCGACTGTTGATGGTTTTGACAATCGGGAAAGGCATAGGCGGTGACTACCAAGAGAAAGTTGTGGACTATAAGAGGCTTGGCCTTCAGCCGGAGAGTCTGGACGATGTGATGCAGGCGGTTGTGTAAGAAACGCTTGTGGAGCAGTAGGAAGTCATTTGCAAGGGGCAGTGATGCACCGCTGCCACAGCAGCAAAATCGATTTAGGGATTTGAAACATGGAAATTGCATCTGACTGTATACTTCATAAAAGCCTAGTCACAATGTTTAGCCCTTTGTTCATATTCTACAATATCAAAATTTTTCATCGACCGCTAAAGAAAGACTGTATTTATCTGGCTGTCGCCCCAACAATAAACCAGGTGTTGAATCTAATGTATTAGTAAAAGAGATAAAAAAAAAGGTTTATTATCAGAAGGACGTGGTACTATCACCCCTGGAGCCGGCTTCGTATGCCGGTCTGATGTCTGTGACTCGAATTCAACGCACGCAGACAGTCCTTGAAAGTAATTAATTCTGTGCTTCGCTATGCACTATCAGTCATCGGATATAGAAATTTGAAACTAGAGGTCTTGAATTGCCTAGCCAGCTTCATCTGTCTTTGACAGTGCGACTGGTCCTATGAACATTGGCTTTGACTTCGGGAAAGAGAGGGGCGGCTTGTCAAAGCCCCTGCCAGGGAGCTAGGCAAGGTCGCAAAAGGTAGGTGAAGGCGAATTGATTAAATACTGCACGGCTGTTGCACGCATGCGTAGCATAGACTGAATCTTGCAGAAGATAACATCTTCAAGGCAGCTTTAATGGCCCAGACGACCTATCTTATAGATGGCTAGCCCCTCGGCCACCTCGGCTCCCTCGGCCAGCGGGCAGTTGCCTGCACGTTTAATGAAGTGGGTACCAGCTGCGTGTCGCCAAAGTGCCCAAGACAGGCATTTGGTGTTCAAGACTCCATTACTCAACGTGGTTGACATTTTGCATGCATGGCTCCATTATGACTGATCATGTTCCGGTCGATGTCTTGGCTCTTTCTGCTGTACCTTTTATTACAAATCTGTCTTGGCATGGCGTGGCTTCAAAAGCCGGGAGGGGGGAGCTTTTGAGAAGGCGCAGTTCAGTTAATCTCATTAAAATTGTAGGAAGTGATCCTGCAGAGAGGGACACCCTCCATCCAGAGATATTTCGACAGCGCTCTTCAAAAGGGAAATCAAGCCAGCTTGCGAGTGCCTCTTTAATATCTGCCGTTCTGATCCACTAAGTTGCCAAAGCTCATTCAGTCTGCAAGTCAAGCAAGTTGCATCCATCATGAGTGCCGAAATCGAGACGCTTCAGCACCCTTACTATCCCCTTGGGGTTATGATTCCTGGATACGTTGCCCCGACCCTCTCGAGGCTAGAAATCCTGGTCATCTTCACCATAACATGTTTGAGCATTCTCACTCCCACATGGTTCTTCCTCAGCCGCCAGAAACGCCAACTTCACCGCCAAGACAAAGCTACGGCGCTGTGGTTTGTACTCTGCGGATTCATTCACCTGGGCCTTGAAGGTAAGCACAAATTTCTCGTGACTTGGGCATTGTCATCCTAATGGCTTTTAACCTCGCTCCCTTTCTGTCACAATTGCTCAAATTTGGGATCCAGGCTACTTTGCGCTTCATTACGATGACCTCGCGACCCGGTCTGCTATCCTGGCTCAAGCTTGGAAAGAGTATTCCTTGTCCGACTCGCGATACCTGACCATCGACTCGTTCATGGTCTGCATGGAGACTGTCACTGCAGTCTTCTGGGGCCCACTCTCATTTATTTGTGCCTGGTGCATCGTCACCGACCATCCGCTTCGCCATCCATTGCAGTCTATCATCAGCCTGGGCCAGTTGTATGGTGATGTGCTCTACTTCGGTATATGCACCTTTGACTTTGCGCTCAAGGGTGTTGAGTACTCGCGGCCTGAGGCTGATTACTTCTGGGGGTACTATGTGTTTTTCAACGCATTTTGGATCATTATTCCAATTTATTTGCTCGTTCAGAGCACACAAGAGACAATGATGGCGTTCACGGCAGTTAAGAAGCATGGAAAGACTTTCCGATAAGCGGAGCTTTTTGATTGACTGGTCTCCGCGTGAGGGAAGAAAGTGTAAAGGAGATATAAGACGCTGAATTTGCTGAGGCTCCTGGGCGAGAGCGACAGTCCAAAATATCGCGGGATTTCTCCAGGACGAAGGTAGCAGAATCAGTTGAACAGCACTTACATATATATATATATATAGAGAGAGAGAGAGAGAGAGAGAGAAGCAAAGGGTATACTGAGTGCTTGGGCTCGCAAACCCTGCCACGCAGGTAGAGACGGGCAGCCGCGCGAAGGCGTTGGCCGGTAGACAGGGAAGATGTTCACCACCAAAATGATGCTCTGGCCTTTAGACTCGGTCGTCAAGATACTACAGAATTTCAAATGTCTGCCGTTTTGCAATAGATAGGGAGGAATCTGGGAGAAAGGCGCAAAGTGAATAGATCGCGATGAAGTCTGCCCTAGTAGTCGCCGCTACATGCGAAGAAAAACTTGAATGGAGATTAAAGACAGTGTCTGTATACAAGCAATCCCAAAGGCTTTGAGCATTTCGGCCTGGGCACCCATAGGACAGTACGAGTTCGCTGAGAAGTCCGTCTGGAAATGCTTTATTCTTTGGGGTATGAAAAAATATAATCCGAAGATCTAAATTCATCATTACACTATTCCATGAAATACTAATGTGGGTTGATGGGCTTTGGTATTCGTGACGATGTGGTCTACTTGTGTATGCATCCGTCTTGGCTCTGAATCCCATGCCGCAGATAACATCATTGCTCAAATATGGTACCCTATTTTCAAGCGGTTATGGAAAAGTCCGAATTTAGCTCCCCGTTACTCCAGTCCTGCGTGGTTAGCGCCTTGAGAATGTACGAATGGCGTTGCTTCAATTTGAGTTTTCGGACTGTTGGTAGGGAAATGCTCCATCTTTTGGACTGTTGTACTGTTGGCTCGTGGGCCGTGTGGGCCTGAACGGCCGAGCAGGGGTATGTTGAAGGAAAACAACTTGGTCAGCGGCCTGATCGCGTTTGAAATTCATTCTCGTCTCCCAACTCTTTGCTTTCACACTCATGGGCTCGCACAACCCCTCAATGCTTGAATATGGCCTTGATTGAGCTTGTTACTGCTCTGCCGGAGAGCGTCCAACGTTCTGTGCCGACCATTGTGACAATTTCGGCGCTGTATTTAAGCTGGAGGCTATGGAGGTTCTCTATTTCGCCTGCTTTACATCCGAATCAACCGAGGCCGCTCCCATATCTCGTGCCATGTGAGTAATTCTGAGACACACCCTGTGAACGGATCCTGATGATTAACAATGCATGTGTCCAAGTCTTCGGGCACATCGTGTCCATGGCTCAGAATGCAGGCGCCATATTCACTCGCGGCAGGTAGGACCGAGGTTTTATCCTCCACTTTCCTTGTCTTGATATAACCCATTTGGTGTAGTTGCGGACCAAGGATTTACACATGTCATCTGTTCAAGCAGACTAATAACTGTTCAGAGAATACTTTGGGAACACTCGAGAGATCTTCACTGTTACCGTTATGGGAGAGGATATGTACATCGCCACCTCGCCCGGCGACGTTGTCGCGGTCTACCGTGATACCCAAAAGCTTGATTTTGATGCCTTCATCAAGGACATCATGCATGACTTCGGATGCACCAATGAAACACTTGAGAAGATGTTTGATTCTACTGGGAAGCCAAAGCACTGGATGGACAAAATTCACGACGACTTCAAGCTCCAAATGCATCCTGGAGATCGTCTGAAAAGTGTCGAAACCCAATTTTTGGGCAACATTGACCGTCTAATGAATTTTGACTCGATTCCCGGTACCTGCATCCTGGAGTCAACTAGAGACTCCAAACTCGTCTCCTTGTGGAGTTGGACTTGGATTGTTTTGGCAGAAGCTGCCACGCAGGCATTCTTCGGGGACGGCATTTTTCAGGTGGCTCCCAGTGTTCTTGATGATTTCTGGACCTTCAATTTGGAAGCCTGGAAGATACACTCCAAGTACCCCCGATTTGCGGCCCCTAAAGCATTCAATGCCCTGGAGCGAAGTGTGGCGGCATTTGTCGATTACCTGCGTTTACCGAAAGGCCAGAGACCTGGGGCCTGTTGGCTTGTCGAACAGCTTGAACGAGGTATGGAACAGATGGGTATTTCTGAGCCTACCCAATGTGCTGCCATGTTATCCAGTCTGCAAAATCTGCAAGTATTCTTGATTCAGACACGGCCGTACCTGTATTTTCCGTGCTAACACCCGACGTCAGCATTAACACGAACGCATATCGGCAGTGCTTTTGGTGTTTGTCTTATCTTCTACATGACAAGACACTACTCGATGAGATCAAGAAGGAAATGCAACCAGCTTGGAAGCACCACACTGTCGACCTGCACTATCTGCTCAACATGTGTCCACTCCTTGCGTCTTTTTACGAAGAAATGCTGAGAGTGAATAATGAGTACGCACTACAATCCCTGACATACGATCCACTTTGTGTGCAAGACTGACTCTTCTATCTCTGTAGACCTGTTGGCATTCGTTTAGTTGCGTCGTCTGTGATAATTGGTGGGAAGGAGTTGCAGCCTGGCCGCAAACTTTTGATGCCATATAAGCAATTGCACATGGATCCATCTGTTTTTGGTACCAATGTCGACAGTTTTGATGCACGGCGTTTCATGAATGAAAAGAGTTTGGAGCGCAGCACTAGCTGGAGACCCTTTGGGGGCGCTAAGACACATTGCCCTGGCCGGTTTTTGGCAAGGAGAGAGGTGTACATGTTTCTGGCTCTTGCTATCTTCCGGTTTGATGTCAAGCTTGTTCCTGGGCCTGGCGAAAATGTGCCTAGGTTTCCTCGCGCAGACACGTCTATTCCTGCTGGTGGCTTGCTGCCTCCAAAAATTGGAGACGATGTCTTCATGGAGGTCAGACGCAGCAAACTGTAGCATAATGCGGACATTTCGAGTCAAAGCATTATAATATGATCATTTAGGAGACAGATCAGAGTACTAAATCTCCAATATGTGCGGTCCACGAGCCTCTTAACGAGCCTCTTTGGTAGTCGGAGTTTTGCTCGGCAAAGTCAGTTGGCAAGACATTCAATGATTTCGTACGAAGTTTCAACGTGAACATCCGTAAACATCTAAAGTCTTCCACGATACAGTGAGAGAATTATTCCTACACATACTCTCGGAAGCAGCACGGAGTTACTTGACAGTCACGTAAACGTGCTATGAAGAAATTGACCTGCACGCTGAGCACAGAGGGGAATTCTGACTTTACCTGGACCGAGAACAAGGCATGTAGCCTGGCATCCGCAGTATCCACGTAGCCGTGGTATCTGTCGTTGGTAAGCGCCACCATCCATCATCTGGGCCCCTCTGTGTACCCACTCCTGATGGTAATGGAGAAGTCATACTATGGAGTCTCCATCGATTCCAACACAAAATTCAAGGCGGCTATTTAGTCTCCAGGGTATTTTTAGTCTCAAGTATTAGGTCAACCAAGTCCGTGATAACCATAGACCATGTACACGGCCCCGGTTTTGTTCACTGCACTGTGTCCAGCAAGTCTGACTGCGCCCCGTGGTTGCGTCGGATTTGAGAGGGAGCACCAACACCAAGAGGTCCTCGTGGTCAACCAACAGCATCAACGGGAGGATTTCATTCGACGGACCGCAATTTTAGGTGTCTTTGTCGAGAATCATTGGCCGAGGATACAAAGCTTACTCGGTTCACGAATCATTGCATTTACCTAGAAGGAAAGCGCGAACAGGACACTGTCCCGCCCGCACCACTCATTCGACTGCATCTGTGCGGTTATCAAAGGCTAACGAGATGCGCATTTTACAAATTTTGATGTTGGTCCCGATGGGTGTTGAATGCTCATGCATGCATGTTTGCGGCTGAGTTGCAGATTTCCACAACGCTTCCAGTTCTCCAATCATGTAGAACATGTAAATTTCTTTGCAGCATGCGGTTCCAAATAGTAAATGCATAAAGCAACTGCACACAGCAGAATTTCGGCCTTTCTGCTCATAGGTGCCTGACAGCACACCCGCTCCTTCCCGCGATTCCAATTGAACAATTTGCAGCGCTTGCGTTGGGGACGCTACCCTTGTCAGTTATGAATATGTCCTCAGCATCTTTGGACCCAAGCCAGGTTCCGGTCTTAACGCCTCCAGCTGGCGTGATTCCCAATTTCATCGATGCAGACACACGCGCCCCTCTAGTGAGGTCGATCGCTTGTGTGGCTCTCGCTGTCATGCTAGTCTTCATGACCTTGCGTATATATACACGGTTGAAAGTTATAGGCTCTTTCGACTCCGATGATTGTAAGTCAACCTTTCAGAGACAGTCTCCGTATAAGAAACCCCCGCTATCAACCAGAGTAAGAAGCGCTGGGTTGAATTATGTGCTGAAACGTCTTTCAGATCTCTGTGTGGCAGCTGCGGCTGCTGTCATTGCCTACACTGGTATCATACTTTCGAGTAAGTTGGCTTTCTTTCTTCAAGCCCCAATACATGCAATCATGACTCCTACTCACCTTCGCCCCCAGCCATCACGGACACACTTGGACGCCACCTATGGAATGTGCCTATGACTGCTATTACTCTGGAGTACGTCACTGTAAGTGATATGAAAGTCTGTCCATCCAAAACTTTAATCCAGTATTGGCTAAATTATCCTCTCAGGGGTCGCTCCTTTCATTCATCATGTACTCGATAGCCGCGGTCTTCGTCAAGACTACACTTCTGGTTTTCTATCTACGAGTCTTTCGTCCGAGTTCTAGAGCCAATATTCTAGCCTGGAGCGGCATTGTGGCCATCGCCCTCTTCCACTTGATTAGCATCGTCATCTTATTGGTCAATTGCATTCCGATGGATCAGCAGCTGCCTGGCTCAGACCCAGCCAAATGGGCGGACAAAAAGAACAATCGCTGCGGTCAACCAAACCTCGATATATCAGCAGCTCAGGCGGCTTTCAGTGCTGTCACTGATCTCTACGTCCTTGCTATTCCAATTAGCTCCGTGCTCGCTCTCCAACTACAAACAAAGAAGAAGCTTGGAGTTTTGGCCATATTCCTTACAGGTCTCTTGTGAGTACTAGCCCTCCAAACCGACCTACCCACGGAACTTCCAACAGTCTTCTAAGTCCGGATCATAGTTCTTGCGCATGCTCTATAGCTAGTGCATATATCCGTTTCGCATGGCAAAAGAGTGGCAAGGGAGACTACACGTGGGATAACACTCTGCCTTATGTTTTCGGGTAAGTGGACTCAGGGAATTGAGTCAATTCATCAAAGACTGACTTGATTCCAGCACCATAGAATTGAACGTCGGTATTATATGCAGTTGTTTACCTGTCACGTTCGTAGTATTCAAGGGGTTTAGCATGCGAGCTACTGTGACCTCGTTTGTTCGTTACATTCGGTCAAAAGGTAAAGGCAAGCGGGATGCTCCGTTCAACCCTGCGGAAGCCAGAGATTCATCATCATCCCTCGCCAAAGACCTCGATGATTATGTACTTCCCAAAATTCCAAGAGCAACAATGACGGGGTTGCGAACTTTTATAGGCAGGCCGAACTCACACGTATCGCCATACCAGTGTTAAAGCACCACATTCAGACCGGAGCTGACCACCTTTGATAAGTTGACCTCATTGGGCAAGGACTCTCATTCCCAGCCTCAACAGTACTACCAGATAACCTCTCGTGCTGATCACTCAGACCCTTCCTCCATGTACTAGAATATGAGCAGGGCCGCGAGCATGGTTGAACAGTGTGAATCTAAGAATTCACACGTAGCTCATTTTTTCGTCGTAAAAGGAAGCGCTGAAGAAGGTTGAAGAATGGTGATATGGATTTGATGACTAGAAATACCTAAGACGAGGTAGAGGTATACAGGTCTATTCGACAGAAGAAGGAGATGAGTTCAGACAAAGAGGGTGCCGGATAGCAGAAACAAGGCCAAGTGAATTTGGTAACATGCTCACATTTTCAGGCGCAATTGAAGTCGTCATTTGATTTGATCACTATCTTCATGTTGCCCACTCCGCTCATTGCGGTCAGCTGTAGTTGTGCGGACTCCTGAAAGAACGTAAAGCTAGGGCAAGTCTTTCTGCGTCACATGGTCTGGGGTAGAAGGCGGATTGAGGTTACCTTCGCGTCGACGGAGGAGATCGCTGTGGTCGGACGCGTTTAGTAGATCGGTTTCTTCAGCAGGAGGACTGGAAGCCTGTCGTTTAAGACTTTGGCCTTGTGCGTCAAAGTTGTTGACTCGGGAACTGATCTCTACGCGAGATGTATCGTGACGTCTTAGGCTACTTATCCTCCCCCGCGAGTCATCCTCGATTCGGGGACGGCGGGGACGGACTTCTTCCTTCTCAAGGACATCTACAGGCGGCGAGCCAGTGCTCATACTTCTCGCCCTTGTCTTGGCGATGTCATTTTTCCCAATGACTGCTGGTGAACGACCTCTTGGACGAGGCTTATGATTGTGAATCCTAAGGCCCGCCACTGCAGGTTGTGCTGGCTGTGCTCCTCCTTGCGGCAACGGTTGACCAAAAGCGCCAGGCAAAGGCGTCCCAGCGGCCAAAAAAGGCGTCCCGGGAATAACACCACCAGGCACAGCTGAAACGGGCACAAAATCAGTGGCCGAGGACGAGGAAGCCGGCTGGAAGATGCACTCGTTGCCCGTCTTTCTGCAGTTCGTACATTTCCCATTGGGAGTCTGGCTATAGCCACTGCAACGAATCTACAAGCGTTTAAGTTAGCAAAATAAATTGTTCACATACAAAGTTCTCTGGCTGATGTGAGAGAGATTGTCTGTTACTAACTTTCCGTTCACGGCAGGAACGACATGCTATCGAAGTCCTCTGTCGCGGTGCTGCCTGTTGTTGGGGACTGGAGACGGTCGCGTCGTCATCGCTGACGCTCGAGTTCCTATCGTTGCTGTGCGTACGGATGGCGATCTCGGCACCGTCCTTGATGTCCATCTGGGCATTGCCTATCGTTAGGGATCCCATGCCCTTGACAAAGATTGTCATATCGTCGTTGTCTATGCGGTTCCTCGTGGCTGCAGAATGCCCGTGGTCAGTCTCAACCATGACGCTAGGGCTTCTGATGCGCCTTCTTGGAAATCCAGAGACCCTTCGGAGATTTTCAGCTGTCAGAATGTTTGTCTGTCCGTCCACGTCCTCGTGGTTTTGTAGCGCCGACTCTGCGATTTGCTCTGGTCCGGACCTCTCGCTGTTGGTTTGACGAGGCGTGCTGCTGTCATGAAGCGAGGACTCTGTTGGCTTGTCAATCTTATCATCTCTGACTACTCTGCCTGTTTCCATGCCTGTATCTTTTCTAGAAACCTTGAGAAGTTCAATTTCCTTCTTGATTTCTTCCTGCGCTCTTAGTTGCTCCATCCTGATCTCGAAGGTCTGCTCGGTAATCTCTCTGATCTTCTTCTCTACCTTTGTCTTTTTGGCTGCATCTTCTTGTTCCTTGAGTTCGTCCTTCAGAAATTCTAATTGAGTCTCCATCAGCTCCAGCTGAGGGTTTGATTTCTTCTCTGCCGGCGATGGAGTCTTGGGCAGCTCCAGCGCCTCGGTATGCGGAGGTGGAGGTACAGATCGTCGTGGTGGGACATCCAATCTCTGGTTGGTCATTCTTTCTTTGATGGCTTTGATTTGATTCACCTCGTCCTTGGTCATACGAACGAGCGACAATCGTCCTTTGTTGTCCTTGATGATCCTCGTGACATACCTGACCTTCTCCTCGCCATCCGTCTCGAAATCAGTGTCATCACTGGATTCTATGTCGTACTCGTAGTCATCGTCGTCGTCGTCCTCCTCTCCCTCCTCCTCTCCCTCCTGATTCGGCAAGACGAATAAAGCCAGCTGTTCAAGGTGATGTCCAAGATGTGACTGGTATTGATGACTTGATTTTATTTCGAAGCCACAAAGCGGACATGATCCTTCCGCACGGCTAACATCAGCCATACTGCTGAGGTTCAAAATGGCGTCTACGTCCTGTCCTACAACCTCTATGGTGTGGCTTTTATAGAGGTGATCTCGGAGATCTGAGGATGATGAGTATACGCCGGCGCATCTGAAAGGGCAAGTCCAAGTCCTCCAATGGTCTTGTAACATATGACGTGTCCAGTCCTTCCTGCGCTGAAAGTCATGATCAACTGCACATGTCTCTACAAGACAAGCATAAGGTCTGAGGTCGCGGAAGACATGTTTCCTGACCCATTGTTAGCATCTTGGCTCACCAATTAAAACTTTACACGGGCTGCATTTTTGGGATAAACGCCTACTTCCAGTCATGCCTGCTGTCCACAGAAATGAAGACATAGCAGAATGGGCATAGAAACGGTCCGTCGACGTACTGTTTGGGAATAGGCGGCACTCTTAACTCGCTCTGACCCAAAGTAGACGTTGCGTATGAAGTAGCTGAGATCTCGGAACGGTCGTCATTCATCACGGCGAGATGTGTCTGGGTACTGTCTTTCAACTCTTGCGGCAGCGATGACGCTACTGTCGTCGCCAATCCTTTGCTGGCTCCATCATCCAAGGCTTCTTCCAACCCTTGCTTTAGTCGAGTGTGGTGATCCTCCCTGTACTTGAAATATCGCCGCCGATAGGTGAGCATGCGACCAAGCCGCTCCGAAAGTTTTGGATGCATGTGAGGATACTTGGAGCGCACGTGCAGTGTATCGTAATGCTCAAAGTGATGGGTGAGTTCGACACCTGCTCGAGATTTGAAGTGATCGTGGGGAGCCGGGTTGCTAATTGTTACTGAGAAACGAAGCAGACAGTCGACCACGTTGCCAATCCCAGAGAGCAAGTCAGTGAGCTCGTTGTTGCGACTCCCGGTGGAAAATTCAAACCCGTCCTCTGAGCTTGCATCGAACATAGCGGCCAGTTCATCATCAATAGCGTCACCCTCTATTTGTTCCACTTCCGTGCCATGGCCAGCTTCCAATAATGGCAGTGCTGAACAGCATCAGTCAGTTAGATCACTGCCCCAACTATCTTTCCAGGGTGAGGCACTTGCCTTCATCGACCACCATGTCCTTCAACTCCTGCAGCAATGATATAAGGTGCTTCCGAATGGACGATGCATCACGAAGCCGATACTCCAGGGACCGCGCCCCTGAGGCTCTGTGAGCCCCCAGACTGCCCGCCCACAGCTTGAATCTTGCGAGATAGGATTGCGCCAAAGATTGAGATGGTTGATCCTGCGATTCAAGGAGAGAGCACAGGCGCCCTAGCCCTTCCAGATTACCAGCCACTAAGACAGGAATCTGCTCTTTTGGATTAGACATCGCAGAGGCAACAGGCCGAAAAAGTGATAGTGATGCATCAGTGATTTGGAATCGACTTCATGATATGCCTTCTCCTCATGTTATGTGGCAAGTATGAATAGAGAGACTTTTCTCGGACACCATAAGGGCATGTCTGACAGATATCGTTGAGCCGCATGTGCATCTGTTCGGCCTCGTTGATTGGTGCCCTCCCGACTCTCCCATGCGGCTGAACGAGCCCTAGCTTGTGTGACAAGAGTAAGCGCCTTCGCGTCACAATCAGCTGGTGGTCGTCTTCCAAATGACAACTTTGGGGCTTGCTACTCGATTCCATTCGTTCCGGCAGTTGCTTTGAGCACCATGTTGCTTTAAGATTTGAAGTTTGAGCCCAAGCCACTCTGGAGCCAGAATCGGGTTCGAGCCAGACGTCAGCTTGATAGCGGACTCGAGTTAGCCCCCGTTCCCCGAATATCTCACCCTATATCCAGGAATGGAAGCAGCAGGTCTCGTCCTCGGGGTGATCCCGGTAGCCATCCAAGGGTTGAATACTTATCGCGACATCGTTTCGTCCATCAAGAACGCTAGGCGTGACCTGGACTGTCTTCTTCGTGATCTCAAGACGGAGCACCAAATCTTGCAGAATACATGTGAAATCCTGCTCAAAGGCATCGCACCAGACAGTGTCCTGGATGTTATGATCGAGGAGCCTTTTGGAGCGGACTGGGATGCCTATAACAACGAGGTTCATCTTCGGCTATGGCGATCTTCAACTGTGTTTAAAGAGCGCGTCGAGGAGATGCGTGAAGCTGCGTTGGATCTGCAGCGGAAGTTGGCCATCGATGGAGATGGAAAGGTCAGTTGATAGGTTCCAGCACTTTTGCAGCCAGACTATTGACGTTCTGTACAGACAAGATTTTCAGATCGTGGCACGATACTGAAAGAATGGAAACACAATGCTCATTTCAGTCTCAACAAAAAAGACTACAGAGACATTCTGGCTCGTCTCAAGGACGGCAATGCCGTACTAAACACACTCGCCACTCAGAACAGCGAGCTTGAGCCGACGCGGCGATCAAGGTCTCAAGCCAAGCTAGCGCATATTATCCGGAAACTTTCGCAGGAAGTATACGCGGCGTTTCGGAATGTCTTGACATGTAGCTGTCCTCATAATCTCGGGCTGGGAATGGCTGCCGTTTCTAGAAAAGATGTCATACTCCCTGGGACCGATGGTCAATGTGCGGCAAGGACTATTCCACTTGATATCATGCTTGAGAGCGGCGGAAAAACGCAGAGATGGAACAGACTACGTGTTCAGCTGGCCGACGAGAAAGCAAGGCCACCGATGCCGCCTACAGCTAAATCCACGGCTAGCTTATCCCGGTCAAGATCACCGAAAAAGGTCCATTGGTCTTCGTCTTTAACCAACAGAACATCATCAAGTACGACTTGTGTCACTCAAACGACAACTCAGACACAGTACTCATCCTACCTATCAGCCTCAATACAACTCAGCTCCGAGACCCTACCATCCGCCATAACTGACCTCTGCCACACACTTCAAAAGGGAAAATACAAGACCTCTGCCACTTCAGACTGCTTCGGGAATATCTCCTGCAACTCGCGCAGATTCAATCTCTACCACCAGGACTGTCAACCAGACCATCTCAGCGCAATAAGCCTCAGTACGATCTTGGAAATCCAAGGAAATGGAGGAGACCTAAAATTCAACTACACAGAGCGGCTGAAACTGGCACTGGCACTGTCATACAGTGTGCTGCACCTCTACAAGACTCCTTGGCTTGCAAAGACAGTCACACCACAGGACATTGTCTTCCTAAAGGAGCAGCAACAGGCTTCCCCAAACGCAGCCTCCTACCTCGGCCGACCATTCTTGGCGAAGACACCACCCAGTTCAACGAGCGCGAGCCAGTTCCAATCCACACAGGCAGAGGGCAGGCCCATAGACCTGACCATCCTTTCCCTCGGCCTACTTCTCATTCAGATCATGATAGGGCGCCAAATCAGTGACCTAGCCCTCACCCCAGATATGCATATTAAGTCGACCCTGTCCAAGAAAGAGATAGCCTCGAAGTACATCGCCTCCGTGATGGAGAGCGGCGGTATGAACTACGCGGGCGTGGTACAGTGGTGCCTCGGGAGCATACTGTCTGTGGCCTGTCTAGATGACGAGAAGTTCGCACAGGATTTCTACAACGCTGTGATTATGAGATTAGAGGGTGACTTAGGGCTGCAGTCGTTAATGACGGTTTCTGGAAGCGAGACGTAGTTACCCCTCGCAGATGTGTCCATATCCATGCCGAGACAGCGATATGCCGTTCATGTGGCGCTCCACCATATAGACCGGTTACGGTTGCAAGTCACCTTGGATCTAGTGGAGGCCAATGATATTGATCAAGGCGATGGATAGGAGATGTAGAAGAGAAAACCCAGATCAAGAAGTTATCGAAAGTCAGTATTGCACAAATTTGGACATTAAGCTGCAACAGAGGACCGGTATTAGTCTGCCAGGAGCGCATTAGCGGCGTGTCTAACGCATTTGTACTGTCGACAATTGTGTGCGACTAGAACTCACAGAGGTGCAACTGGCACGTGTTGTCTGCGACATCTAGGGGCCATCATCTTATGAGCCTTTTCGAGACCATAGTGTCGCAGCAACCAACTCATGGAAGCCCGCAAGTGCGTGTGCACCGGTTATCACAAGATTCTGACATCACATTGTGAATCAAAATGCCCGAGAGAGGTCAATGCCTTCACATTTCAGCATTACTGGGCGGCTTTGACTTGGGTTCATGATGAATTTCATTGTCTCGTTTTCGGGACAGTGTGTACTCCTTGCGAGAAGAATCGATAGCCATCTCAAAAGCAAAATTAGCCTGATAGTGTTCAGAAATGCCGCTGTCGCTTCAACAAGCCAACATATATCCCTCGAGTGCCATGCTCCCTCACATGTTTGTTTCATCTGCTTCCTGTTTCATTCATGGCAGAATGAGTCCAGTAATGAGTCGTTGTGCTGCGGGAGCGGACGGCACGCCCAGTCTCCGTAACACCTATACCCACAACAGGCAATCGAACACAGACTGTTGACTAATACAAGTATGGCTGCACATGCAGCGCATCATGTGATGTCTACCCAGCTACACTGTGGTCTGCTTTCCCCACATTCACTCAACTTCCACCCAACCTTCACAGCGCCCGGAACAAAATGGCTGCAACGCAGCATGAAGGCACGCTGGCCCGAATCAAACACGGAGACAAAAACGTCATAAACGATATCATTTCCGTGTTCAAGCAGGAACCCACATTCAAACCGAACGGCAATTCTGTGACGGGCTTCCGTTACCCTAAGCGGAACTCTGTCGCTTACGTCAAGTTCGGGCCACTGAAACAAATTGCAACAGAGGTACAGAACCACGAATATGCATTCGGAGCCTTCAAGAAAATGCCACCAAATCAGACACGAGGCATCCGCATACCCGAGATCTACCACACATTCAACATCGGCGAGGAGCTCAACCAAAAGATTTTATCATCATAGAGTATATAGACGGAAGAACGCTTGCAGAATTGGTGGAGGAGCACGGTTATGAAACCACGAAGAAGACTCATGAAGGAAGTATTGCGAGGGCCATCAGGCTGCTCATGTCTATAAAAGCGCCTAAGGATCAAGGACCAGGCCCCGTTGGTGGGGGTCGCATCCGGCATCCACTATTTAAAAATGAAACTTCCTATCTCGCGTACTCCTCCGTTGATGCACTGGAGAAGTACCTGAACCAGGTATGTAATAAGCACCTAGACATGACTTTATAGAACCCCTATCTACTAGTGCAACTCGTTTTAGCGTTTCCTAACACGAATATTCCCCAGGTGTCTACCTGCAGGAATAAGGCTGCCCCGACCGTGCACCTGAAGGAGGAGAAGCTATGCTTTTATTACAGTGATTTCTTTGAGGGCAACTTTATTTTCACTGATTCCGGTGAGATTTGTCTCATTGACTTCGATAAGGCCGGGTTCCTACCTCAAAGCTTCATGATATATGCGTTAGCCGAAAGCCATTGGGATCCTGGGAGGTGGATCAAAAATAATATCATGTTGAGCCTCCGTGAGGACGAACTCAAAGCCGTGGAAAAAAACCTCGAGGCTATGCGAAATATTTTCTCCTGGCTTGCAATAGGCTGTAGGGTTGGTGAGTCGGGAAAACCCTGCCCGTTATATCATCTAGTGCTCAGGGTGGCTAACATTGAATCCGTTGTGCAAGGTGTTCCGCAGCCAAAGAGACTGTGGCTGGAATAGAATACAGCCATGGTGACGTTATATGCACCGCGAGATATAGGAAGAAAGATCGCACCGTACAGATGAATAGCGCACGCCATAGCACCTCTGAGAAGGGCATGGCCTCCACTGCATGTCTTGATTTTCAGACCAATCAATTGAGCAAGTCAGAAGCTACCTCAGTGGTCTTGCTTAATACACCGTTGACAATCAAAAGCATACAGGATTTACAAGTAACAATAGAAGCGTATTTACAGACTTGCATGCATCTCAAAAAGGCGTACGAGAAGACGAAAGTGAGACAACCATGACGTTCTCTCTACGGAGCCAGTTCCTGTTCCGCCTCGCCAGCCTTTGCCACGATCACATCGCGCTCTTTCGCCGTGTATACCCCAGCCGCAACGAAGCTGTCCGCTGTGGAGGTAACCGCCTTCACAAATGCGTCATGAGTAGCAAACGGTGCCTGGTCCCACACCAAATCAAGGAACGTTGGCCCATCGGTACCTGGCGACGCAATGCCCGAGACAGGCACATCATAGTTGGGCAGCCCGTCGTTGCGCTTGCGGTTTGCCACGCCAGTGGCAATGGACCCAAAGACGACGGCCGGCTCGACACGACGGAAGTACGACGACACGGGCTGCGCGTCGCTGATGTAGTATGGCCGCACGGTCAGGTTGCCGCCCTGAGTGGTGAAGAGCGGGTCGCCGGCCGCGTTCTTTCCGGACTGTATAATGGCCGCGCGCGAGTAGTCGCCATCGAGCTTGAGGTGCTGGTACAGCGACAAATGCCAGAAGGTGTCGTTGCTGCCACTCGGCGTGCCGAGGGTCTGAAGCAGCACTGGCCCCCACATGATGGCCTGGGTATCTGGGCGGTCCAGCGCGCGCTCGGTGCGGATTGTGAAGGGCATCTTGACCTCGATCACGTCGCCTGCGGTCCAGCTCCGGCTCAGGGTCAGGTATGTGCCGGGCTGTGCCTCCTCGCCTGTCTGGGCCTCTCCGTTGATGGTGATTTGGTATCCCTTGCGGACCCAGGCCGGCACCCTTAAGTTGATATCCAGCGGGCCTTGTCCGTTCACGGTGAACTTTGCACTGCCCTCACGCGGGAAAGCTGTCTCCTGCTCGACTGTGAAGCCCTTATCCTCCCACGTCAGTGTGGACGGGACGTACAAGTTGACCCAGAGCGTGGATCCATCGGCGGAGCGCAAGTAGACTGTCTCTTGATACTTGGTATGACTCTCCATTCCCGTACCACCGCAGCAGGTGCCGGTGTTGCCAAAGTCGCGCGGTGTACCAGGACTGAGTGGCTGGAAGTAGGTGAGCAGAGGGTCGCTGCCGCTGTCTGTGTCGTCACGCGATCCTGCGATCATATTGAACAAGCCACGCTCGTAATTGTCCATGTAGGTTGCATTGTGCTCGTGCATGAAGAGGTTACGCCCCAGCTTTAGCAGGTTGTACGTCGTGCATGTCTCGGCGCCGTTGGAAGCGATGGCATTGGCGATATTGTCCCGGTTCTGAAACAGCTCAGCATTGGTGTCAGATCCAGGAAAAGTTCCGCCTGTCCCTCCTGTCGCGAAGCCACGGTGAGGCTCTACCCAGCCGTAGAAATTCTTGGCCGCGGTGAAGTAGTCCTCACCTCCACCTTGCTCGAAAATCCTCAAGTAACCGGTGAATTGTGGGACATGCGTGTTGGCATGGAGGCGCTGCTTGCGGCGACGGCCTGGTATGTGGTCTGGCGTCACAACTAGGATGTCCTGGTCGTCTACGGCTGCTCCAAACAGCGACTCCCGGTTGTCAAAAGCTTTGGCAGTTTGCAAATGGCGCTCGTCGCCGGTCAATTGGTAGATCTCTGGAAAGACCTCGTTGGCTCCACCAAATTCACCGCCGATATACAGGTCCCACATGTAGTTTAGGTCGTCCCTGGTCAGATTGCCCGTATAGTCAGGATGGTTCTTGTCACCTATGGTCAGCGCAAGGTACGCCCAATCGGCCATCTTTTCCACGACCTGAAGAGCTTGTGTATTGTTCGTGTTGTAGTATGCATCCAGCAGTCCTCGCATGATTTTGTGCTGTGTGTACCAGGGCGCCCAAGTGTTGGTGCTGAGGTTGCTGCCATAGACAGCCCAACGAGGCGGACCAAGCCTCAGCACCGTGTCCTCTGGGAGCGCACCCAAGTATCCTGGATATGTGGGAATCCATTGAGCGTCATCACCTGCACCGGTGCTGCCGTTGATTCGCGCAGTGATGGCACGCTGACAAGCAGCCAGCTCATTGACCAGCCAGTCGAGCTTGGTTTTGAAAGCTTCTTCGCCCTTCTCAGCGTATGCTTGAGAAAGAGCCGTCATGTAGTGACCTGTCCAATGCCCGCTGAGTAGTCCACCATCCTCCCATCCGCCAGGGGGGGATACACCGTCTGGGTTGGGGCGCCCGGCTTGATTGTTGAAAAGAACCATAAATTGCCGCTCGTCGTAGACATCCAAGAACCCCTTGATTCTATCACGCTTCTCTTGCAGCAAGCCGTTGCCGAGTTTGACCTGATCCAGTCGGAATGGTCGGACTGGTGCCGTGCCTCCGGGACCTTGGTCGGCCGGCGCATCTGCTAAGACTCCCACCGTCATGGTACCGCTACCGACAAGCGCGGAAGTTCCCAAGGCGAATGCCCGGAGAAGCCGGCGCGGGCTGGACCAAAATTCGGGAAGCCGGGCCATGGAAGGAGTCTTATCTACACAACAGATCAGTAAATGATTAGTGTAGATAATATTCAAAAGCGGGCGGACAAGACATACCTGAGTTTTGAGCTCGATACTTCAATGAGGAACTGGGTATAGTGGAGCGATGGGCGCCTTACCATCTGAGACTCATTACCCACTCGGATCTCCTGATACAGTTCAGAGCTCGTGAGAGTCGCCAGAGCGACTGTATACACGCAACAATGGACATGATTGCCCATGACTTATGTTATAGCTGATATCTCGTATTAATTCCTGCTTGAAGCCCGATAAGGAAGGTGTCTTTTGCCGGCTCAGCGATATGAATGATCGCCTGCCCCTCTTACCACCCCACCGCTGCTAATTACCCCGACATCTGAACGGATCAACAAAGTGATCCCGAGTTCGTCGCCGAATTACTGTAACATTATTAAGCCCACCAACCACGAGCAATACCGCGATCACCGCATCTATACTGACCTAGTGATGCCTTCCTGCCTGCCTCCGGATGTCGTTCCCGAAGTGGGTGCACATTAAAGATACCCGGCATGACTGATCCGATTGCTACGCTAATTAGTCCAATCTCACGAGATGCTGGGATGTTTACACAAAAGGTTTCGATAGCGGATTGACGGCTGAACCAGCTTTGCGGCTCTCGGTATTTTCCGACGGCCAAGACATCTGAGCTGTGAGTCGTCCGCATAGATCCGGAGCAACTGTATTCGCTTCCATCTGCATGAGCATAATACGCTCTCCTCCAATGGTCTAGATATCCGGCATCAGACCGTCGCAAATGAGCGAAAGATTGGGTGTGCAGAAATCGAGTGTATCTTCCCTAAAACATCAAGACATCAAATCACCAAGGTGCTTTCTGCCACACCTCGAGATGGCCATGCTCTAGTGCAAATAAGGGGCGATTGCAGAATGATCAATCACTGAGCAGCATACCACTCGGCTAAAGCCTGCCACGGGCAAAGGCCGAGGAAACGCTGGAGTGCAATGCTGGAGTCTACCGAGATAGTCGAACAAAACGGAAACGAAGCGCCAGAATCTATTTCTTTCTATACTTAATGTACATATAAGAACATCTATTTCCCTGTGCACTATTTGCTGCATGCCAAGCTTTCCGGGCAACGTGCTATCCGTGATCTGCAAGGCTTAATCCCCTCCCGTCGGTGTCAAACTCGACTTGCAGCCCAAGTGCATTATGACAGCAGACAGAGCTATCGCCGAGGCACCCACTCACTTCTTACTCTGCTTCTTGTCAAGTGCATCCTGGATCTCTTGCACACTTTCGTCGGAGAGACCCGTGAAGAGAATCGAGTCAACACCTTGGGGCACCGGGTTACCCTCGTTGTACTCGCCGGTGAGGACGCCCGAGAGCGTCATGCACGCGGGAGGCAGCCCCTTGGCGAGGACCTCTGCCGGAAAACAACATCAGCCTTCCTCGCTTGTCTTTTCCCTTTCGTTCAGAGGGAACGACTTACCACCTTCGGCGGGCCCAGAAAACTCGACTGTCGCATTGGTCAACTGGTCGTGGCATAACTGCCAAGCCCGCTGATTGGGGTCCTGGCGCGCCGCGATATGGTGAACGCGATTAAAGGTTCGTATGACATGCAGATCTTGAAAACCGCGCTTTTCGTTCTCCCCTTCATCTTCATCTTCGTCATCGTCATCAGTCAACTTGTCGATTTTACGGGCCGCCTTTACGCCGCCCCTCGCAACACGAATAACTCCCACGATAACCCTGACGCCGGTCATGCCGGCTGTAATCGCTGCGGGAATGGCTGGGGCACTAGTAGTATTCGGTGAGCAAATCCATTCTCATTTATCTGGGAATATCATAGAGGCTCGAAAGTGCGGTGCTGGAGTAAAGAGGGTACTGACAATGGAGCTGGGCAATATTGGATAAGTGCCGCCAGGGCAGTCGCAGAGATAATTGTCGCACGCACGGAAACCATGTTGACTTCTCTATGTGTTGACTTAGTGAGACAGATGAGTTGCTTGATTGGTATATTCGAAAAATGAAAGCCAACAAATGAAATTTAGCATGAAATGAACGAAGATGAGGCCTGCCTCTTTCGGATCGTTGAGCTGAATCGCAATGAAACGCTGCAAGTATGATGATGTGGATTCTTGGACTTCACATTAATTCTCGAGCCGGATTTTATACACCTTTGGAAATAAGAAGTTGGCGGTGATTCTGTGAATTCGACACCATTGAGGATCAAACTTTGCCTCCCCTGGGCCAAGGAAGGTTCTTGACCGGTCAGAAACCGCCCTCCACGGTGCGGGCCACAAAATGTTTCCGAATTGAAAACATGCAAGCGTATGAGATCTTCACTTGAACTGTTCTTCGAATAGAAACGACCGTATCTAATTGTCCGTCAAGAAAGAGGACACCGGTAAGGTCAGCCAGTATCTGCTCCCACATTGATAGAATGGGTCGGTAAGCACCAACTCTACGGCCACTGATATGACGAGGTCTGACGTTTGACAGTCTTGTCATGAAAACACGGGCCATCGAGCACAGGTGGTTCGACCAGAGTGTCCTTTTTACGTTGCTCGACCCCTGGTCGGCCCTTGATCGAACCTAGGTAGCCACATGGGCATTTGGGCCAGACCGGACCCAGACCCTGGTGGGTACTATCGAACGATGTACGGGGAATGGGCCCAGGCCCTGTCTCATACGAAAGAAGGCGTGTAGTAAGTGAGCCACCTGCATCAGTTTGCCCCATTGAGCAGGAATCTCACAATGTTCAACATGCCACCTGAAATCGTTATTGCCACTCAGAGTCAGCACCAAATCTACAGGGACACCAGAAGTGGTCAACATCCACAGACGGGTGTTCTCTCTATTTCGCCCAAGCTCTCATGCAAGCCTACATAGGTATTATACTCGCTGTCTGAAATTGCACTTCAGTAGTCAAGGCTATAGGTATTATAATGATCATGAAAATTACCAAACTGCACACTCGATAGTTTCTGGCAAGGAATATCTCAAATCCATCCGGGGCTGAAGAGAATTAAAAAAAAAAACATATTATATACCTGTTAAATGCCGAGGTATAAAATATATTCAGAGGTCAATGAGTGTCAACCTCATAAACAGAGTACTAGTATGCCAATGATAGCAGCAATCAAGTACCTAATCCAGTAAATCTCCTGAAAGCTTATAACAAGCCAGCCCAGCCGTGGAACATAACCTCTACAAACCCAATAACTTCCCTTCTAGATACCAAAGTACGCCCTTTCGGGTACAAAGCAACATCATCGGCTTGATTATTATCCCCTTTTGTTAAAAAGCGTTGTCTTAAGATACAGCGGTCAGTAAACAGAGGTATATAGAGTCAGTCAGGGCAGTGTTGTTTTCGTACTCGCTATCAGAGAATGAATGCACATTGATAACTCTGTGAACCATGGGCAGATGACGGTCCTCAAACCAAACGACAGGGATATCTCCCACCTCGATCGTGGACGTTCTGTTCCACAAGAGCAAGATGTCGCCTCGATGGAACGTCGGTGTCATTGACTCCGAAATAACACAGACTATGGGAACCCGAGAATCAGTGACAAGACAAAGTGTCTTCCACATCATGAATGTAGATGCCAAAGGTAACAGTATTGTAAGTGCTGTAGAGGCAAGAGAGACAAGTCTCTTAGCTGTGCCCCATGGACTCCAGCGTACTTCTCTGTTGTCTCGAACATGGATTGACATCGCCGTTTGGTAAAATATCTTTTGAGGGCCAAAGGGCGGTACGGGTGCGAAAAAAAGGTTTCGGGAAACCTTGGTTGATGTGAGCACGCAACGACCCAGAGCTTCATAGGGCTGGGATGAACGGGGGCTCTGCACGACATCCGAAGGAGTTGAAAGAAATATGACAGCTCACACTCAAAGGGGGGGGGGGAGCTCAAAAAATTGCTCGTCAGAATATTCAGGATCAGGAACAAGTCAAGGTGTGAGCAGGGGTCGAGAGCCTCAGGGCCCACTCGGATCTACCCACAGGTAAGACGGGGGCGGTATTGTGGTGAGTGGCCAACAAGTAAGCAGGAGCCTCCCAAGGTCGTTAGTAACAGGTTTCTGAGGAGTATGTTTTCCAAGATACCGCACTGTGCCGCTTCCAATTGCTATTGGCCAAATCACATTGTTCCATGAAAGGGGTAGTGAGCGGCAGCTGGTGAAACCAGCTCTGAATGCAACTTCTCAAACCGAGCCCGGCCCTAAGGGCCATTTATTCGAAGCCTACAAGGAAATCAGTATCATGCTATATGTTGGCTACTTTGAGGCTCTTCCTCTCAAGCGTCAATCGAACCACGTTGAAGGCCTGCGTGGCCGAGGCCATTGATATGGACTGAAAGGGGCAACCCCTGTCATTCTCTGAAGAGAACCACATGGATGGTTGCAAAGGCCGACATGGTCGGTCTACCCCGTGGCTGTAGCCGATGTAATCAGATGGGCTTATATGCCACGCCATGGTTTGGCCCATAGGATGGGTGTATTGCCACATTGTTACAGGCCCAAGTGAACGGAATACGGGAGACCATTTGCCCTTTTCACAGACCGGAAATTTCGCATGGCACAAAAACATTTCTTCAGATAGGACTTATTTCATCCGATTCCATGATCCATGAAGATCACAGTCAAGCCATTCTACAATTTCCCCAGGATGGAGCTCATTGCGCTTTTGATGCCGTGTTTGATACCCATCGGTCTCTTAGTCTTCTCAATTCTTGGTTTCCACTTCACACTACATGCCTCAAGCCAAAAGAAACGATCGATCCTCTTCCCTTTCACTGTGTACTTCGAAGTGCTTTCCTTCGCTACGGCTCACAACTTCTCTGGCATCCACCCTGACTTAGTTGGCCTGTGGGGTCTGTGTCTCACATTCAACCTGCTGCACATTAGCTCGCTTCTCTTCATTGAAAGAGTGCCTGCGCCAAATAGTGGAGTATTAAAAGGGTCGGGATCGCGCTGGTTCTCGTCAATTTGCACGTCCTACCACTTCTGGAGCAACCCTCGGCTGCTGCCCCGTTCAGAAATCCAAGAAAACTCCAAATCGCGCCGCCAACCGCTTTCAGTCTTCATTTTTCTTCGCTTTGCCAAATTAATTTTTTACTTCCTTCTCCACTCGAAAATAGTCCCACTGGTCTCCAAACAGCTCATCGGTGTTATCTACATGTCCGATGTCACGTCCCGTAAATCTTCCCTACTGAGGCTGGTCCGCCCATCCAGGCTTACCAGCCGCGAGGTTGTCTTGCGCGCGTACATGGCCGTCTCCTGGATATGGGAGAGCTTTTTAGTCCTCGACGGTGCCAATGCAGCACTCGGTTTGATTGCAGTCACCACCGGCGCGGACAGTCCAGATGACTGGCCCCCACTCTTCGGCAAGCTGTCCCACATTTCAAGAGGTCTGCGCTCCTTCTGGGGCCGCTTCTGGCACCCATTGGCGGTACGACCGTACCGAAACTACGGCCGCCTCATCGCTGATGGCATATTATCTCCACTCTTTAGGCGTGGGGACCGGACCAGAGATTCCATTCTGACTGCCAGGATGCACGGGATGATCACCGCGCTTATCGTGTTCTTCTTGTCTGGACTCTCGCACATGGCAGTGAGTTGGAACCTGGGAATGCACGACTGGCTCGATGTCTGGTGGTTCCAGTTGAACTTCGCTGCCTGCGCCACTGAGACTGCTGTCCTTGCAATCCTCCGGGGACTGGCATGGAGGGCTGGGCTGGTGCGTGAGCTGCAGGAGATTGAGAATAGCTGGCTTGGCAGCTTGGTTGGATTGTCATGGGTGAGCATGTTTTTCTTTTGGAGCGTTCCGTTGTGGAGGTATGAGAGGATTTACAACTCAATAGAAGCAGCTGAGCAGGAGATGTGGTAGGAATTCATACCCATATGAGGGAGTTCATTTCATACAACGTTAGCATTCAATTTCATGATCACAGCAAAATTCTGTAGATACACTAGCTGTGCGTCTAGTAAAGCCAACATTCTGCAAAAGGTCCTCAATCGTGCAGCATTGCGAGTTGCCAGGCTTGAACTCAAATCAGCCCTGGAGAGTCCCTTGGAATTCACTTCCAAAACTGGGTGGGCTGACTGCAATAGCGGGTGGGCCGACTCTGGCTTATTCCTGTGATGTCGTTTTTCTGATATCATAGGTAATTGCGGTGGTACGTCGATTTTAGCTTGGCAGATCCGTTCTGACCTGCGGCCCAATCTTACGCCTAATGCCAAGTCCTGGCCAAAGTCCTGCCCGTATGGGGGCCAGAGGTGGCGTTAAGGAGGATGGCAGGACCACAAGGATTTACAATAAGCCAATCGGAATTATTCACATGTATAATCACCTAAACCAATCTTACTGATATCGTCCCACGTCGTATTGTCCCCATAATTTGACAGATGGCTGACTTTTGAGGATTATGCTTACAGAGGTCCAGCCTCGCAGCCCCGCACCTCGCAGCCTCGCAGCCTCGTCAGAACCCACACTTCCAGGTGTCAATCTGCGGTCTTGATAACCACCTCACAGCGTGCCATTATATCACCATTTGGCTCCCTCCCACTCATAACATTCTGACCTGCGCACCATTTCCAGCCTTTTAATGTACCAACAGCCCTCTGAAGTACCAATCCAGCTCCGCGTTTAGCACACCTTCCAATGGCAGCCAGTCTAAAGTCGACACTTCCTGCCCTTGCAAGGCTTAGGCTTAGGTGTCTTTTCGGCTGCCTTACTCGAAGTTGAAGAGGTCTTTGTGGTGCTGCTACTTGTGGATGAGGAAGTTGAAGATGTTTTGGTAGTACCACTGGTGGTTGAAGAGACCGTAGAGGACCTAGTGCTACTAGAAGATCTAGTGCTACTAATTGAGCCCGAGGGAGTTATTGAAGACCCAGTATTACTGCTTGAGACAGAAGATGTTGTTTTTGTGATCAGCGTAGTAGCAGAGTCCGTTGTACTTGCTGGGCTTTCTCGGATGGGATCTTCGTCCTCGGGGTCCACTGGGTCTGGAAACTGGGGGAAAGGGTCATCTGAGTCAGGATCCTCTGAGTCGGGGTCTTCCGGGTCGGATTCCTCTGGGTCAAGTTCTTCGGCATCAGGGTCCCCTGGACTACTGACATCTTCGGCTCGGCTTCGAATGCCGCCCAAATGAGAGAAGGATCCTCCTAGATCTTTCTTGTGAAATTGAGATACACGGGTCAGATCACGGGGCGTACCGGCATCGGCCAGAGTAGCCACCTGTAAGAAGAGAAATGTGTATGCAAGAAGTCGCACGAAGGAGGTGAGGCCCCTTGTGCGTCCTACGGGACTGGAAGAAGGCATGATGAAGAAAGATCTTCAGTTGAGACGGAATGGTACAATCCGAGGAGTGTCTATAATAAAAATGGGTAAATGCGAAATACTAACTTGATCCGGCAAGAGTATTTCGATCAGAGTGAACAAATATCAAATAATTCCTGTGAGCAAAGAAAAAAAGGGCGATATCACCTTGGACCAGCAAGGATATCTGGATGAAGGGGAAAAGGATGAAAGATCGTCTGGTTTTGGCGGAAGGATAACAAATGGATAGGGATGGGAGGGCAATGATTATTTTGTATCAATCCAGATGTCGAGAAACCACCATTGTTCACAATAGCGCAATGTTGGAAAAGCGCGTCATCATCAGGGACGAGACCACAGATGACGCCGGTGTCAAAATGTTTTGGTGCCTGAGCCCACCCTGGCATGATGAACCCGAGCCAGGGGAAGGAGACTTCAGAACAACGCGGCTAGATCTCCTATCTTTGTCTCGACTGCACCAGAAGCACTAAGTTGACCAATGTTGTTGTCCCTTGCATCGCAGGAGACTGGAGAGACAAAACACGGGGCTTTGGATGGTTATGGTCAAGCCCCGGTAGTCGAGGAATAGGTCGCAGGGAGGCGATGAGGCGTTTTGGGGAAGGCGACCTACTTAGCGGTCCTTGAAGAATGGTGCTGACCAGTTTCAAGCTCCCGTTGTTGTTCTCACACTTGAGGCACATGGTGATGGTATGGCAGGACTGCCAGGTCGTAGCCGGCTGACCATCGTCTTAGGATTGACGGCACTCACTCGGCCTTGATTCATCGGATGCTGAACTTAACTTTTCTGGTCTACGTCTCGGCTGGATAGCCTACCATTGGGACCTCTCGTCGAGGCTGCTACAAACAGTCCTCGAAAGGTCAAGTGGCGGATTGAAACCAGACCGCAAGGAAGTGGCCATGGCCTCAAAATACATCTTGTGGGGGGAGTGGCTCCAGGTGGGGGATTGGTGTGCATGATATTGGGCTCGGCATAATAATATTGTAGCCTTTTATGTCGATATCGAAAGTTGCATGGTTCGATGGGGCCAGAAAGTTTGTGGGGCTCCAGGTCGGAATAATCGCGTCCGCCCCGTCGCCAATTGCTGAATGCTGACCGCTGACGGCCAAATACGAGTGTCTGAGATGGCTGAATCAGGATCAGTAAGCCATCCGTCAGTACAGCCTCGCATCCAATACAAGCGAATCATCAAGTTGCGGTGTTGATATCATGAGGATGATGGTCTATGAACATAATTGTTTCTGGTGCTGTTTCTATACCAAGACCAGCGTGACAGCAAACTCCATTACCTCTAATGGAATGTACAGTGTCATGCATTCGAAAATACGTCGTTCTCAGTAGGATCGAAGTGATTTGAATTAATAGGTGCTCAGTGTGATTCGTTGAAACAAGACTGATTTCCATCAATTCCATATTTTAGGATCCCCATCTAAAGTGGGCTGGAACAGGATTATCGCATGAAGTAAATTGGGTATTTTAAACTGATGTTTAGTTTAGACATTCATTATATGATTATACGTGAATTTGGTGACTGTTTTATTATTGTCGGTGCCCGGGCCGAAGAGGCAACGAGCTGGGCAAAGATCTGAATCTGAACAGCGTATTCGTAACAACAAAAGAAATATGCTTGTGGGGCCTTAGAGCGGACTATCAGAGAAAAGAGACCATCTTTTTACGTACGTGAGATTCCGGTGAAAGCCTTTGGTGACGGCTTCGTGTCTGAGATCTCGTGTTAACAATGGCAACAGAAGGTTTAGCAAGTCCGACGCCTTAGGCGAGATGTATCGCCGGATCAAAGAGTCAAGCTTTGTTTACATGGTAGAATAAGACAACGAGGAACAGAAAAGAATCCCAATAATCAAAAAGAAAATCAAATTTAAAACCCAAATCCCAAATCTAGATGTCGTCCGCCTGCAGATCTCGTCTAATTGCCTTCCTGTATCTTGTTTAAGTCTTGTCACAATGATGAATCTCCTCAGGCAGCGTTCCCATCCGGTGTGCACATACACCAACTCAAACTGTTTTTGACAAGAGCACTTCCACTTCAAGCTTTGATCTTACCCTTTAATCACTGGGTCTGCCTGCTACAGCCTGGTCCCAATTTCTTCTCCACCGACTGGGTACCAGCTACAGCCTCAAATCGGTATCTCTCACCATCCGCTCGAGCGTCGTTATCGTAAATCATGGATTTGAAGTCGGCGTCTTTCAAAAACGTAAACTCTGCCTTGATCTGCGTCCTGATTGTGTTGAATCTTCCCTCGTCCATGGCCGCGATGGTGACAGAGACGGGCTCCACTTGGGATCCCATGTCACCCAGGGTCTGGGCGGCCTTTTTGCCATCTGCCTCCTCTTGCCCGCAAAAGATATGGAAGACGGACGGAATATCGTTCTCATTCCAGAGAAATACGGCAGAGCATCCGCTCACATTTATGACGGATATCTTGTCACCAGACTTGACTTTCAACGCTGTGATCCACTCGTTCTCGTCCAATTTGTATTCGCCGTCTGTCTTTTCTGTCTTTTGAGCTCTTTCAAGGGTCCTTGGCATAAAACGAAGCCTTCTGTTGATGGAGCAGGCAGTAGCTACACCCGTATCGCTGCTAGTCGTCGCGCTGCTAGTTTTCACACTGCTAGTCGTCGCAGCGGGTGCCTTCGCGCTGCTGGTTGTAGTGCTGCTCGTCGTTGCGACAGCCGCCTTCGAAGTACTGGTGCTTGTAGTAGTAGTCTTCTTCTTGTCTCCTTTTTTAGCCCGGGCATCTAGTTGCACTGGGACTAAGGTGGTCGCCGCATTGTCATAAACATTATCGCCAACGACGTTAAGACTGCTGCTATATAAAGGACGTGAAGATCAGTATGAAGCTCACTTATTATGAAATACCAAGAGTTTCCATCTTAGGAAAGCCTATCTTACCGGTCATTGACTGCTTGGAACGCGCTGACAACACCGGTGACACTGCCCAGTGCTATAAGGACGTTGGTGAAACGCATTTTGGTTATCAGTAAAGGCGTAGAGGCGATATTGATTCAAAGAACCGAAATATAGTACCAAGGTCCTGCCAAGGTCCACAGAAGGTAATATTGAAAATGTTGATTATGGTGAGGAAGATTACCCAGCCAAAAGAAGGAAAATCTAGGGCCGAGGTCCTGCCAAGGTTCACAGATGGTGGTGTAAAGAGGGATGGTTGAGATGAGGAGGATGATGAGGATGATGAGGATGAAGAGAGTTGATGGTAAGTTGAGCTGTTGGGCCGCTCTTATTTATTTTGTACCTCAGTTACTTATATTGATCTTGTGTACGAGTGTACTCCTTCCTCGAGTATTGGGAAGACCTGTGAGAAACAGTCGTACGAGCATCGCGAAACCATATGTGGCCGGAATATGTTCAGACCATTGGCCTTCCCAGGGAGAAGAGAGCATGAGGAAGACCTGCATAAGATACGATCATACGAGAACCTCAAAACTACACCAGGTTGGCGCATGCCCGGACCATGAGCATGCTGAGGAGTGAAAGACCCGGAGGCTCACCGACCCGGTCATAAGGCCATCGGCTACGGCGAGGCTGATTCTCATCGAATTAACGTAGAAGTTCAACCCACAACCACTCTCACACCGACTGGACCTTGTAAGTTGGATACATGACTGTATTGCAATGAGGTGTGAAGCTGGCATGATCAAGGCGTGCAGTTTGCCTACACGGCAGAATAATGACTTGATTATCTCTGCTAGCATTTTCTACCGATCCAGCGGAACTATGAATAACATAATACTCTGGCATATTTATTACGATCCCGCCTGGGCATCACCTTCCTTTACTCACCAAATTGAGCGACCTAAGCTGATTTACGCAGTAAAATTCGAGATGTAATGTACGAACATCTGATTTGAGTTTCATGCTAAATCGAGGGAAACCACTGTATAAATAAGGATTCGTGTCAGATTTCGATAGGCCTATTAATGACACCTGGAGCCTTAGACCGCTTTGACAGGCCACATCTGGTGATGGGCAGGGCTCGCCCCCGCGAAAGGGCCTGGAAGGCAGCCTAGGTATAACGTAAGCACCAGGCTGGTTTGGTATATATTGTGACTTCACCCGCTGTCTCACAACCCATCCAGTGTTTTCGTCTACCTTTCGATAAACCTCATTCTGGCTCTCAGCACCATCGGTTTTACTTCCTACCACTTTCATTGAGCGGTGTCAATCATGGCGATGGATTCCGCCAAGCCGGGCCTCCATGATTTGCCAAATGAGACATTACAGCAGATAGCAGGTCACCTCAACGAGTTGCATCGACCGAGTCTCTATGCATTCAGTTTGGCGAGCGAAACTTGCCATAGTGCCACAAATCCATCAATATTTCACCATATTCACCTCAATGTCAGCAGTCGCGAGGCTTTGCGGCGCGACATCGATGCTCTCGTCAAGACCCTCTCCCGTACAGAGTCCGCACGCCTCATCCGCTGTCTCAGCATCAAAGGGGCTCTGCGTTTGTCTGACGAATCAAAAATTGAGGGTTACAAATCCTGTACGCCAGACCGCCATAGCTGGTTCAAGTCGACTGGCGTCAACGAAATCTTGGGAGATGAAGAGCCATATTACACTTCGCCGTATGTCGTCTACGATGAGCCTGTTATCGAAAAGTCTTCCGAAGAGGATATGGCATGGGCGCCAGTCGTCAGGTTGATGAAAACAATACCGCACCTTACCAAACTAGTATACGACTGCCGGAATCAATTTCCGCCCAGCCTCCTTGACGCCCTCCATGAACACCACCCCCAATGCAGACTCTACCACCTCACTTTTCGATTTCGAACCCTACTATGGGGTAACCCGTATCCTTACGAAATGGCATTAGCCACGTCTCCGTGTCTGTATGGTGTGAAGCTTGCATGCAGTTGGCGGGATTCGGAGGGCGACGATGACTTCAACCAAGAGGCGATGTTAGAGCTCGTTGCCGGTCTTGCGCCCAATTTGAAGGAAGTTGTTGTCATGAAACTTATGCCGGAGAACGCGGTGAGATATTACCGCCGCCCGCGAGAGCCGTGGCGAGGTCTTCCAGGTTTTGTCTCCGGTGGGTCTATGGGGTCATTGACCTCTCTGTCGCTCATCGGGAACGTGGAGTGGAGAATGCCGGATGTTCTCCAGATGTGGTCCAAGCACACAGACTTCAGCTCTTTGCGTCACCTCACCCTTGGGGGCGGTTATGGGTGTGAGAACATGGGAATGGATGATGAGGTTATGGAGAAGGTCGCTCAGAATTACTGTTTCCCTCGACTGAGGACACTTTGCATTCGTCTGGAACGCAACGACCGAGCAGTTGAGAGACCCAGCTACGCCAACAGCGCCATCGCCCTCTTCAGGTCACTCGAACCTCTAGATGAGCTTTCTGTGTCTGGCCCACTTGAGCCCAAAATCCTGGACGCCATTCTATACCGCCATGGTCAGACATTGAAAAAGTTAATTCTACGTCCCTATGAAAATCAATTCACTTTAGACAATGGTCGACCGCGACGAGAAATACCCATGACATTCTCAAAAGAGCATATTCTACAGATCCAGGCCCAGTGTCCGGAGTTGAAAGAGCTGGCCGTTTCGATTAAGCGCACGAAATCCGATGAGTTTGAGGCTGAGATCTATAAGAGTTTCGGCAAGATGGAACAGTTGCAATCCCTCTTCCTCACCCTGGATTGCTCGGACTGGCGGGTTACTCGAGATCCCGAATCGAGGGACGACCCTTCATTCGACGAGATGGATCGCGAGACCTTCAAATTACTCGACTATTTGAAGAATGGCCACCTGCGAGAAAACCTCATGAACTGTGCGGTGGACGAGACTCTGGCGCGATCAATTTGGGAGACAATCTGCCAGAACAAAATGGGCCGACGTTTGGAGTCTCTCAAATTGTGGACCGCCAGGGGCGGCCAATGGGGCAACAGCGGAAACAACGGCGCCATACCACCAGTTATTAATCATCTGAGTCGTTCGTGGCTGATTGAGCGAGTCGCTCGAGATGACATGAATGATATCACCGTTAGGGAACTGGGTCGACAAGTGAGGGAGGCCCGCGATCAGGAGATGACAGATGAGATGAAGCGGATAGCGGAGTACTTGAGAGCGGAAAAAGAAATCGAAATCGAGCCAGTGGATGTAGCGGAAGACTCGGAGGTCGTAAAAGTGCTTCGTCGCATCTGGCCTCGCAAGGAGGGCAGCAAAGATTGGCGCGAAGATTGGTCAAGTCTTCCTCTGCAGGTTTGATGTTCCCAGAGTTGTCAATGAATATATTGTGGCCGATACACCTCCGAAGATCTTCCCAGTCTCTCAAATGTACTATGCAGAGCTGGCTACTTAAGGACGCTTGCTGTTCGTTGAAAAGACTCGGATATAGATGAGGTGTTACCTGTGGCCCGTCGCGGGAAATATGCAGCCAGCTTGCTGCTCCAAAGAGGAGTTTTATGCACGCCTAGAAATATTCCAGATGCCTGTCACACTTGCTCGAGATATTCAACAGAAGGTAATCTGATGCTACCAGAAGCGCTCAAGATATATATCGACGGATTTCTAAAGCCAGTGTGCATATTTTGAGGAAAGGCGGATGGGACCCTAGCACTGACAGTCGTTTCGCCATTGAGTTCTGGACCCCACCTCACTGACCTGACCCCGACAACCTCAACGCTCCGCTCCGCTCCGCCCCGCGTTATCCCAACTCCCACCTCGCACCATCTCGGCATCCAGAACGCCACCTCACAAAGCAAATGAACCGTCTCCTATTCCGCTCTAGACCACTGCTCTGTTCACCCAACCGCCTGCACCCTTTCCACCGAACAGCGGTCAGAATGGACTACTCGAGCGTCCCCACACCGGAGCGGTGCTACGCTGACTTTTGCCTCGTCCCTGTACGTTGAAATATGCCTGCTTCCGTCCTCCCATCTCACGATATATCACAAGATCGAGCTGACATACTGCCCACCCAGGTCGGCACGGGCGAGCTGTCGGTGGCCAAGGAGGTCGCCGAGGTGCAGAAGCTCCTCAAGGCGTCGGGGCTGACGTACACGATGCACTCTGCCGGCACGACGGTTGAGGGCAGCTGGGACGAGGTCATGCGGGTGATCGGCCAGGCGCACTCGGTGGTGCATCAGGTTGGGCCTCAGCGCATCCAGACCTCGATGCGGGTTGGGACGAGGTAAGTCACTCTTGAAGGGGGGATGAGAAAGGTGAGGGGGGTTGGGGTGAGACGGGACTGACCTGAAGCCACAGGACGGACAAAAAGCAGACTGCTGCTGATAAGGTCAAGAGGGTGGAGGACTTGCTGGCGGAGAGCAAGTAACTGAGCGGTGTCGACCAAGGTCTGGTGTGGTTTAGATTGCCCGATGGTTGGTTGTGTGGACTCTCCTCGCATGCGCCTGGCAGTATGGAAAAGTACAGGTCGCCGTACACTTAAGCAGACTTGAACCACCAACAGCAAGGTTCTGTGGTGTAGCGTAAATGGTCTGGATTGCCCAGTCATTCGTGAAACTTGCGTAGTCACCCTTTCAACTCCCGCTCTAGTCAACTAGAAAATATTTCGACAATCTCTGGGAGGGTGGGTGATTTGCGTACAATCTTAGGCGATACAGAACGCAGGCACCTTGGGTGCCTGCCTTTTTTTCCTCCTTTTTTTCATCTTTTACTTCCTCGGCACCTACCGTTTGTTGAAAAGAGACGCCATCATCATCGTTGTTTACCCCCCCCCCCCAAGGCGGAACCGACCTGAACGTGGCAGTGCGTTTGAAAACATCCCATGGCATCGGATCCCTACCCTAATTCACCAGCACCATAACACCCTAGCGGCTTTCCCAAGGTACAGCCTGGTATTACGTAGACGAGAGTGAGGTAGTCATGAAAACGACACGGGCGTGAGGGCCCTTCAAAAATGGCACAAAGACAATGAGTACATTGGCATTAAGCTTATATGATTTGGATAACTTTTGAGTAACTCCGTGATACGTCCATAGATCAGTTGACACTATGACATTCGACATCGTACAGTAACAGTCGTCATTTGAGACCTGCTTCTAACCCCGAGAGGTCATCTTCTTCTGCTGCTTCCTCAACTCCTTCTCCCGCTCCCTTTCGAGGTACTTCTTTTGACCCTTGGCGTCCAACTGCGACAGCTCCTGGTCACGCTTGGCCTTCCTGGCCTTTTCGCGCTCGAAGTTGCGCTCCTCGCTCTTCTCTTCCAGATCCGCCTTCTGGATCTGCTTAGCGATGTCGTCACGGACGCTCTTCACCTTCTTGAGGACCTCAGGGCGGAAGTGGGCCTCCTTAACCAGCTGGTCGGCGATGCGAATGAAGCATTGGAAAATCGGCAGAAGCGGCTCATAGTTGTTGTCGGAGGGCAAGCGGTACTTGAGGAAGATACGCTTTCTAGGCGCGGTCTCGTCGAGTCTGTGGGACAGTCAGCTACGAACGACACACTTGGCCCAAATCAGATGGAAACTCACGTCTTGGGCCTGTCTACAGGTTGATCGGAGACAATGAGATACTCGAACAGGTCACCAGCAGATTCGGCGGCCTTGGCAAGCTCGTCTGTGAGAAGAACCTTGGTGATCTCGGCGCTCTCGCTCATCACAGTCAACCAGATGGGCAGCTTGGAGTGGTCTTTAGTGAAGGTAAGGGAGACATCGAAACGCTCATCCCGGACCTGCTTCATGCGCTCCTTGTTGACGATGGCCCAAACGAATCCATCATAGGTGCTCTTGGTGTTGCTTGTCTTCAGTTCAGCGGCACCTGGAATGCCTGGAACCGTCAGAGCCTCCTTCCCGTCGAAGGGGTAGATAGCCGCCTCCACAGTATCCTGGGGGGCCGGGAAGCTGTCGAAGAAGAGGCTGAGGCCCCACTCGGCGACCGACATGAGAGGGTTGAAGCGGCGGATCAGACTGAGCTTCGCGTCCATGAACGCAATGTTCTGACGGCCAGTCGCGTAGGTGGCGAACTCGAACAGGGACTTCTCCTTAAGCGCCTTCTGGGGCTCAGCAAGGTCAGCCACGAGGAAATCAGTCTCGCCATCGCCACCGCTCGTCGGAGAGCTACCAAAGCCGACGAGCGCGAACTCGGAAGCCAGGGTCTTGGAGTGCGCCTTGAGCCATTTCCTGGCCTTGCTTCGGTTGAGGCGGGAGCCGACGATGTGCAACGTGAAGATGAAGACTATGCAGGCAAGTATGATGCCCTCGGCGCGGAAGTCGGCCAGGGTGTAGCGCTCATCCAGTCGGTACCATTTCGTGTAGGGAGGGCTGGTAGGGGCCGGGGCGTTGGCTCCCAGATTCGCACCGCCCAAAGGCGTGGTAAACGCGGGCGAGGGCTCTGCGGCCTCTGCAAAATCGGCAAAGTCTGTGATGGAGTGGAGGTCAGCACAGCACAGCACTGCGAGCTTGTGTGGAGCCCTTGACGCAAGGTCCAGGAAGAAGTATCCGCCATGCATCCAGACGGACCTGCTCGCCAGGCACCAACGGCGATATGCACCAATTGGTGGAAGCAGACACGTCGGACATCGAGTATCCATCTGGCGACTCTTCTTGATCTGTTGGAAGTTGACAAATCTACCCCGTGGTGCTCGAAGGGCGGATCGGACTGTGAATGTCCAACAGGCAGCTCCAATGGTCGGAAGGTGTCAATTGATTGCGGGTGCGCGTACCTGAGTCAGCGGAAGGGATTGGAGATGCTGAAGACTTGCTTCCTCCTCCGAGGAAGTCCTTCAGAAGGTTGGCCATTGTTGGTGTCTCGCGACGGGGGCAGTCTGCGAGCTGAGTCGTCGTCGGCGGGAGAAAGAGGCGACGTTGTGGAAAATCCTACAAGCTTCCACGACATTGGGGAAGCTCGGCTTGGCGCAGTGCCAGCTCCACACCAGGTTTGGGGTGAGCTGCCAATGGCACAATGGGTGTCACATCGGCACGGACCGGGGTTGTCTTACATAATTGCCTTGACGGGCTGTTGCCCTGCCAACACGATAGCGTCATATTTACTTGCATCTCTGCAGCAAAGAGCAGCGCACCTGGGTCTACGCCTTCCATCCAACCAGCCGAGCTCCAGTGTGGAACCGTTCAAACGCCTCAGACACCTAGACCAAGCTTCCTACATTCCCAACCCGCCGACTTGAAAATGTTCAGCAGATGACAAACATGTCGCAGAGAGCCTCCGTCCGAACTTACGGCAAAAGGGCCAGGAAGCCTCAGCCCGGGAAGGCTTTGGCGGAACTGGACGTGAATGTCTCAATGAGCACAACCACATCCAAGAGCACGGATTCAGACGACACCATCACCAAAATCACGAAAAAGCTCAAAGACGTCACAATCCACGATGGCAAGAAGACCAAGTCCTCAACGAAACACAAGCTTGTCCTGCCGATTCCCGAGTCGGCGTCACTGCCGCCACAGACCCCCAAAAGACCACGCCAGCAGGATGAGCCAAGCCTGAGTCTTACGTCTCTGGAAATTCAAGAGGACTCCCAAAGCCTTACCTGGGAGGATGTTTGTCCTTTCGGCGACCGGATCGAGAAGATTGCAGAGGCATCTTATGCGGAAGTCTACCGGATCACCAACGACCGAGGAACCAGCATCATCAAAGTGATCCGTCTGGACTCTCCAATCAAGCCTCAGACAAAGGTTCAGCAGAAGTCTGGCCTCGTCGATGAGGATCCTCACAGCGAAGATGATCTCGCAGGAGAGCTGCAAATCTCGGAGCTCTTGGCAGATATTCCAGGATTTGTGATCTACAAGGAGAAATACACCGTTCAGGGCAAGACCACGGCAGCTCTTTTAGAGACACATCAAACCTTCCACAAAAAGATGAAGCGCAAGGATCCAGATCGCTTGCAGTTCTATCCGTCCCCAAGCCGGTACTTGAATGACACCAAGTTCCTCGTCGTGGAGTTAGGCGATGCCGGAACTGCTCTCGAGGACTTGGAGATTGTCTCAATAGATCAAATCTGGGACATTTTCCTGCACGTTGCAGTTGCTCTTGCACGGGCGGAGAACTTGGTGAGGTTTGAGGTAAGAACAGTGTGTCAAGTAGCCTCCTTGCAAGTTAAGTGCTGACTTTCGGGCAGCATCGAGATCTGCACGAAGGAAATGTGTGCATCCGTGAAGTCAGGAGCGCAAAAGCGAAAATGGACAAGTCTCCATGTCGATTTGGATACTCGGGACTGGACGTGACCATTTTGGACTATGGCCTGTCGCGGGCAGAAAATGTCGAAGACATCTCCGCACGTCCAATCGCCCAGGACCTGGAGAAAGACCTAAGCCTGTTCACCAGCACCCACGCAGCACAGTGCAAAGTGTACCGGCAGATGCGGTCATATCTGCTGAAAGGCGACCGCGTCTGCCTACCACCCAAATCACACAACAAGCCCTACGAGAAGGGAGTCAACGGGCCAGTGTCATGGAAGCAGCACCATTCGTACACCAACGTCCTATGGTTGTCGTATCTCTACGAATACCTTGTTAAGAACTTCAAAGGCGGCAAAAAGGACTTGACATTGTTCCGACGAGACTCACAAGAATTCTGGACGCACCTCAACCCCGAAGCCCCTCCAGAAATTCTGTCATTCTCGAGCGCCGAGGATGTCGTCGAGTTCGCAGTTGAGGCTGGCTGGATAGAAGAAGACCAGCTCATCGGCCCGAATGGCGACACCAGCTTGTCTCAGATTGGGGACGAGAGCATAATAGAAATACGGTCGTCCCGAAGAGACGAGGTGAGTCTTAGGAGATCGCCGAGGCGACGTGCTCAGCCTCCTGTGGACTGAGGCTGCAGTCCCTAGTGGGGAATCTCAAGAAGGGTCGAGCTGCACGTTCGAGTTCTTCATCAATCACGACGTTATGACGCATGATGGCGGTAAGGAAGTAAGGCCAGTCTGCATTCTGCACATTGATACCAGCGGCATAGACGTCCACACAGCGAACATCATTAGCTGGGCACAGGCTCTCCTTCAATATAGAAGTGCGAAGTCATTCTTCAAGGTGACATAAACCCTGCGGTGAAGCTTGATCAGTACAAGACTGTATGGGCAACTCTGATATGCGTCCAAATCCCAGGCTTCTCGCCTCATGACAGTTCAATTTACGCAGAACCAGCGAAGATAACCTCAAAATCGTACTTCATGCCAATACGGCTTAGGGGCAAATTCAACCAACGGTGGCACATCCGTATCGAAGGTCGCCCCTGCTTATACAAGAATTTATGTAGGCACGACTCTTCGAAAGCACAGTGCACTTATTTCAGCCAGATTCGCTGTTTTCGTCTGAACAAATTCTAAGCATGTTGGACGAATTTATTCTCCTCTTCAAACTGCTGCATCTTTTGCGCCAGCATCCGCCTTTCTTCTCCTTTCAGCTGCGGGTTTGGAAGGCCAATGGTGCACCTAGGAACAAACAACCTCGTCTAATTTCCGTATTGACCTGGCATAAATACCATTAATCGATAGAATTTCAGGTTGTCTCGGAATCAAATGGATGACCGTACTTCCCTTTTGCCCGAGTCTTTGGGACTGTCCAGCCTGCATCTCTCCGGATACTCCCTACTCCTTCGTGCGCGCGCACACACACACTCTTTCTTGATGTGTCTTCACCGGCTTAGATCAGCCTCTAGCTATAATTCTATGCTCCTATCCATGGAATCCATTGAATGAGGGAGGTGTTTTGGCAGGACACTCCCATTGAAGACTCAGTGAAGAACCTTTACCATGCTAAGTCGAGGTACACACCATGAGATCCTACGTCAATTGTTTGCACCGAGAAAAAGCCGCGTTGAAGCTCAAGAAATGCGAGAGAGTTCTCGCTTGGATGGCCAGGTACGCATATCTAGGAAACAGAATAGCTGGAAGGAACAGAACATGAAAGCATCTTTGGTACCTCGGATTCCCAGTCATTAGATCGCTACGTATTAAACATCACTGTACTCACATCGTAGTGCGTAGGGAGATGATGATGCAGAAATGACCGCGCAAAGCACGCTGGGTCTATGTAACTCATTCTGAGACCACGACTTTCTGCACGGGGGGAACCTTTAGCGACCGTCTTTATTGCAATGCCTCGAGCATCCAGACCAAAAGCCGACATGCCCTATGAACCACAGTCCATGCAATATTCGTGTTCTATGCCTCCCGCTGCAAATCCAATCCTACACACCCCACCTGCCTCATGATTAAGACATCCACCTTCTTCTGACCATTCCTCGTTGGCCGAAAATCTCAAGGAAAGTGCCGTCTTGTGGCGTTCATTGTAGTATGCGCCACTTTATGTATTCGCAGCCGTGGCGGCGACAACGGCATCGACGTAGGCGGCGGGCTAATAAAAACAGTCAAGCCATGGAACACCTGTGCGGGGCTCCTCAAAGTTATCGACATGGCTTCGCATAACTTTGCGAGGAATGCTTGGTAAAAGTGATGGAGGCTGTCTGCAGAGTTTCGGGTTGTCGCTCTTCTCCTCTCAAGTGCTGACTTGCCAATGTGCCATGAGATCGCGCACCCAATCCGCCGGTTCTGTACCAAATGGTCCGCCCTTTTTGGGTCTTAAATACAGACTGTGCTTTCCTCTACCACCTTCGTACTCTGACTCCCATGATTCAAGGCACTGAGAAAGCCTGATGTTGTTCGAATCTGTCAGTTCTGCCAGAAAGTTGGAAAATGGATCGAGGTCAGACTTCCTCAAAACGAAGTATGAGCGAACACGCGGAAAGGCTTTCTTTTTCCAATCTCTTCGATAAGCCCAGGACCGGTAGCGATTCAATTTATCAAAGTCGAGGTCAAATTTGAAGGATTTGAATTCGGCGAAGACACAATGCTCTGCATCACATATGTTTCCAAGCCTGACGAGTGCAAGGGTGGAGACTCTGTGACGCGTAGCGGCGGATAACTTTGCAGATACGTGGCGGCAGGCTACTTCTTGGAGAAAGGGAAAGTCTGTCCCCAGGATCTTTGAAGCATTCTCAATGCAGAAGTGTACTCCGCAGTCGTAGTCGTCAATAAATATATCATGCTCCGGACTGATGTAGAATACACCGGTGCTGGACGCCGACTCCTGGACCTCGCCAACGGAACTTGCTCCGAGGACACATAGCTTCCGCCACACAAAGAGAGACCAGTGTCTCTTCAAGTCAACTCGAAATCCTTCCTCATACTCTTCAAGGTCCATGAAGTCTCGGTCGCTCCAGGGGGGCCTTTCGTATTCGTAGACTTCCAACTCATCTTCATATCGATAGACGACATACTTGTCCGTGTAGCCCCGGATGATTCCGTCCACAGCCCGTTCGAAGCCTTTGGTCTGGCCCCAGTGCTTGTCCTTTTCCAGACATTCGACCTGGTCCTGACGGACTGGAGGAACAGCGTAGATGTCGAGCTTGACATTGTAGAAGGCTTTGGCGCACTTTCGAGACTCCTGGTTGACGAGAAGTAGCGGGCTAATGAATTGCTTGAAGGGCACGACACGACCCTGGTAGAGGAGGATGCGTCGATTGGGGCGATCTTCGATCATGGCCTGCTCCCAGATCTTGAGCCGCAGCTCCTTGGGAAGGTCTGAGAACACGTGGAATGTCTCTGCCATGGCTGTTTCTATTTGAAGGTTCAGCGACCGCTGGAGACATCGTCACCAGCGCCAAGGGGCGTCGAGTGCTTACCTGCAAGTAGCTTTGGTCTCTTTCCTTCTGAGCTGACAAGTTCGTACTACGAATGACTGGCACGATTTACGAGCACCTCAGTGTCTTGAAAAGCCTGTGCTGCAATGACTGCAACGATTGAGTTGAGTGGTTTGATGGTCTCGTTCGTTTTCAGAAACAGTGGTTTGTTGCTTGATGTGTTTGTTGGAAGGTGGAGGGGTTGAAGTGACGTGGCAGGCAATGGTTGCGATTGGTTTTTCTCTCCCTCTCAAGAGGAGTTTCTGAAGATGGACCCAGGAAGATCCAGATTTTCGAAAGTCTGAATTGGTTTCTGCTTCTCAAGTCCGCACGCGGCTGGACTTGATGGACTTGGGATCGGGGTTGGCGCTGAGCAGGGCAAACGGACTGGGGCAGTTTTCTGGGAGGAAACAAAACAGGCGTAGCTTGCACTTTCAGGCCTCTATTTTTCGAGTCACAATTGTAGTCTTTTATGGTTTGATCTTTTACCACGAGTTTTGGGGGAGATCTTTCAAATCAACCACACTGCCACTTCTCTTTCGATTTGCTTGTAGCTATCTGCTTTTCAACAAAAACCCCCAATATCAGCAGCGGGCTTCGAACGAGGAAAAGCGGTTCACTGCAGCATACCCGGTCTAGTTTGCTATTTGTGTGTCATTCTGCTAACATGGACCGTCTCCGCTGGCCAGGGTTCTCGAGTTTCTGTCTCCTACTGCCTGGTCAATCCCCCATTCTTGTGAGGTGATCATAATGGTTCTTGAGCATCCTGAATTTCCCTGTCCTTCGTCAACTCCCATCTCTGATGTAGGATTGGGTTTTGTTCCTCCCGAATTTTGGACAGATGTTTCAGCACATTCGATCCATTTTTGGAGGATTCGTCTTTACTGCCAGATTTAATACTTGGAACCACCACCAACCCTTGAAAGCGAGGCATTAAACAATATTGCAGAACTTGGTTTTACCTGACTCTAGTTCGCCGTGAGGTGATCCGTATTCTAGTGAACTCTACAAGGAAAAAGACCAGGTGTGAAGATTAGAACACCATCCAGTCAGTGGGCACTTGCTTCAGCCCGCACGCAGATACTCAAGCTCCATAGCGGGCCACACTAAGGAGTATTCGTTTCTAAATCTAGGCATCTGTCTCGATCTCCCTCCCAAAGAAGTTCTGATCCATACCGGAGTATGCGGAGCGACACGCAACTCAGCTCGGCTTCTGTACAGCGGGCGCCAGTGTGGAACGGACTAGCCCCTATGGCACCGGGAGCATCGTAACTTTATCTCGTCCGATGTTATCAGATATCGTCCGAAGTCATCGATGGAGTGTCATAGTTGATTACCCAGTAATTAAGGACTCGGGGATTTTGCATTAAACATGCCGAAACAAATGATGCACCATGTCTCGTTCCGCTAATATCGTCTTCCTAACCTAGCTTCCAAGAGAACCCGGTACGACTCCTCGGAGAGCAAGAGAACCCTCCATAGATTGTGCATTTGGAATCAAATGTCATACATGGCGCATGAGACTCCTGATGTACTGGTTTTTATCCAGCAATCTTGCCCTATGAGAAGGCCTGAATCTGCCAAGACAGTGTGAACGTTTCAAATCTCCCGCGTGGGAGCTATAATGTGTCATCCACCGACAGAATTCCGCCGAACGCCGGTGGCTTCATTCAGTCGGATGTCTGCCGATCACAGGGAAAGGTCGCATGCATAACACGAACGCAGGAGCTCAGCCTTGAGCTTACATGAGCTTGGTCATCTTCGGCTGGCCCCCAACCTGGCAAGCTGATATAGCCAAGGAAGCAAACAATACATCCTGGGTTCTCATGAAGCTCCTGTCTTGCTTTGCTGGAGCTTCTTGGAGCAAAGAGTTCTTCATTCTAGCAATCACGAGGCACCTGCAAATATCAAATAGCGAATTTTGATCGTATCTCCCATTCTCAGCAAATATGCTGAACGCGTTTTCAGAAGCTTTGATCGCCCGAGCTCGCTACTTAGTCGTCATTGCCAGTGACTCTGGCTTTCAGATGGTGTCTATCAAGCTGTTAGCCACCTCCATGGCACATGCCTACGCCTCTTGGAGTGTTTGTAAGCATGGGATCGAATGTGGTTGATGTGACCCGTGTCACAGGAAGTTCTCCCGTTGACTTTTCAGATTTTTTTGGCATGGCATTGTTTCGAAATCGGATTATCGGGTATGCACTTCGGCCGTCGACGGGCCGCATCCCTGAACCTGGGCACTGATCCCTGAGCGAGCTGTTCACAAACAGTCTCTTTCTTTTGCAGAGCTGGACCATCAACTTACTCGATTAGTCTTTCTGTCTCTCACACTAGCCGTCGTAAATATGTCCATCTCCGATGTGTCAACCAAGCCAAGACTTGGGATCTTCAGGTCTCGAGGCCATGTCACAGACGACTTTCATCTATTCGTCACCACCCTTTCGGCTAACTGGCCTGGACGATATACAGGTAAAGGTTCAGTAAGATTAGACGAGAGACCATTTGATGCCATGCACTAGTACCATGGAGGGGTTCTCGCTAACAGCAATACGTCAGCCTTTCGCGGAAGGAGTTTTGGGTAAAGGGTACTCTCTGATGCGGACAATCGCCATCCGAACTGAATTCAGCACACTGTCGAAACGCGGATCATATTCTCCTCGAATCGAAGCACCCGGTCAACATGCAAGATAACCGCAACCACGACATGGATTCTGCCTGTAATATTTTAGGCAAAAAGACACATTGGGTTACTGGTAGCCTTCTGGCCGCTCGAAGAGTTGTCGTCTTCAAAAACCTATGTATATCTGTACATTGACCTGTCGCTGACGGACTTCCGTTGCATTGCTGGAGACGGTTCTGGAGGTTCAACCTTCGAATTGACCGGACATTATTACATTCGCCTGTCCTTTTCGTTTCCTGACAGGCTGTACTTCTTTCATTGGAGGACATTCAACATGTGCAAACCCATGTTATGGCTCGTAATAGCAGCCCTCGTGGGCCTAGGATCTTCGGTATGTCCGATGATGGATGGGAATAGCGACACAGCTGCGCTCCGCGCAAGGCAGGCCCAGGCTCCACCCCCCGGTGGAAACGCGGAATTCATGGACCAGTTCTCGGTAAACGACACGGGGGCTTTCTTGACGTCAGATGCTGGTGGGCCTATTGAGGACCAGGCGAGCTTGAGGGCTGGTGCTCGGGGGCCCACGGTCCTAGAGGACTTCATCCTCCGGCAGAAGATTATGCACTTTGATCATGAGAGAGTGAGCGGAGCCGGAGCTATCGAAGACAGTAGTTCTCAATATCTGACCCTTGAATTAGGTCCCCGAGCGAGCTGTCCACGCTCGTGGTGCTGGCGCATTCGGCACGTTTACATCTAATGGAGACTGGAGCAATATCACTTCGGCATCATTTCTTAGTGGGCAGGGGAAACAGACTTCGACTTTTGTGCGCTTCTCTACAGTAGCTGGCTCAAGAGGCAGTGCGGATCTCGCTAGAGATGTACACGGATTTGCTACACGATTGTGAGTCTTGATACCATGGACTCATCCGTTCGATAGGTACGACAGCTGATACGAGATTTCCAGCTACACAGATGAAGGCAACTTCGGTAATGACAGCAGCACACCGATTAACTTAAGGTTCTGACCACTAACAGCTCCCAGATATCGTTGGCAATAATGTCCCAGTCTTCTTCATTCAGGACGCTATTCAGTTCCCGGATCTCGTACATTCGGTGAAGCCTAGTCCAGATAACGAAATACCTCAAGCGGCCACTGCCCACGACTCTGCTTGGGACTTCTTTAGTTCTCAGCCCTCGACCCTTCACACACTCCTCTGGGCCATGTCTGGCTTTGGTATTGTCCGCTCTTACCGTCACATGGTAAGTTCTCAGGAATTTGAGCCTCCCATTATGTGAAAAGCATTGCTGAATCCAGATTCAGGACGGCTTTGGAGTCCATACCTTCCGAATGGTCACTGATGACGGCACATCCAGACTCATCAAGTGGCACTGGAAGTCAAAGCAGGGCAAGGCAAGCTTCCTTTGGGAGGAGGCCCAAGTCTTGAATGGGAAGAATGCGGATTTCCATCGCCTCGACCTCTGGAATGCAATCGCATCCGGTAACGGTCCTGAATGGGACCTCGCCGTGCAAGTAGTGGATGAAAGCCAGGCTGAGGCATTTGGATTTGACATGCTTGACCCTACAAAGATCCTTCCGGAAGAATTAGCCCCTCTACAGGTACTGGGCACGATGAAGCTGGACGTAAATCCAACAAACTACTTCGCCGAAGTGGAGCAAGTGATGTTCCAGCCTGGGCACATTGTTCGGGGTATTGACTTTACCGAGGACCCTCTGCTTCAAGGTAAGCTGTATACACATGGTTCATACATACAGCTCACTGCTGACAATAACAGGTCGCATTTTCTCATACCTCGATACTCAACTTAACCGTCATGGTAATGCTAATTTTGAGCAACTGCCAATCAACAGACCTCGGACACGAGTCAACAACAACAATCGAGATGGCGCCGGTCAGAATCTCATTCACGAGAACATTTTCCACTACACTCCAAGTGCGCTGGGCGGAGGAGTTCCCATGCAGGCTAACGCAACCCAAGGTAGGGGCTTCTTCACGGCTCCTCAGCGGCAAATCGGCGGCAACCTGGTGCGCGCCTTGTCTCCGAGTTTCAACGATCACTGGAGCCAACCTCGCTTGTTCCTCAACTCTCTCACGCCTCCAGAGCAGCAAATCCTGGTCAATGCAATACGGTTCGAGACGAGCAATGTCAAGTCTCCAATCGTGCGCCAGAATATTGTCACGCAGCTCAACCGGATCTCAAACGATCTTGCTGGACGAGTCGCCACCGCCTTGGCCATCCAAGCCCCAGCACCAGATCCGACGTTCTACCATGATAACAAGACGACCGGGCTGAACATTTTTGGTGTTCCGCTTCCTACAATCGCAACACTTACCGTGGGCATATTGACGAGCACAAGCAACCCAATCTCAATGCAACAGGCAACAGCCCTACAACAGCGTCTATCTCAGAACGGAGTCGTATCCACCATCGTGGGCGAGTCTCTCATCCAAGGCATAGGAGCAACATACTCACAGTCCGACGCCTCGGGCTTCGACGGCATCATCGTAGCCGAGGGCGCAGAAGGGCTGTTCCAGCCGTTTCTGCAGAATACGCTCTTCCCCCTTGGCCGGCCCGGCCAAATTCTCATCGATAGCTACCGGTGGGGCAAGCCCGTCGGCGCGGTCGGCTCAGGCTCCGCGGCCCTGGCCATGGCGGGCATCCCGTCCACATCTGGCGTCTTCACCAATGTCACCGGCGTGGAGACGATGGCGACGCAGTTTGAGGACGGTCTCCGGACCTTCAAATTTCTGGACCGCTTCCCGCTCGACTCCTCTACCGCGCAGGCGAACAATGACCCGTCTGGAAGCTCGGTGCCTAAGGATGCTGCCGCTGAGGGTACGCTCGCTCAGGCTGTGACTGCGAGCGGGTCCCGGCCTGTCGACGGCTCAGCTGCCGTGCTTGTCAGCTTAATGGTGTCCTTGTCTACTTGGGTGTCCCTTGGTCGGTGAGACGTGTGGTGTGCGGTTGCCAGGATTCAAGAACATGAGTTTATTTCTGCTACATAAAACGGTTCGAAAGAAAGATTTCCGGTCGGGCTAATACCCTGTACAAATTTTGCTTTTCGTATGCTTTATATTTTGCTTGTTTGGTCTGGTACACCTTGGCGACTAGATACTTTTGCGCCTAGAAAACGGGATGGGGTGTTGAGTGGCGTCAGAGCGTTCACATAAGAGAAAAAAAAATAACGATAGAGATCTTGGCGTCCAATGCCCGAGGCAGCGGGCCGAGAAACCGATTCAGGCCCACACTTTTATAAATCGGATGATTGATTGTTTCGGAAGCCTCAACAAACATGTTCCCCGGCCCGCTGATCATTGATCACTCTTTGGTTGAAGACCCGCGTGGTGAGACGAAAAGCAGGGACGCGAAGATTGCCGAGACAGCGATATAACACGCGAGGTCGCAGTGAGGGTAGTGAGGATTTAATGCCTCGTGCATCATCGGCCGATGCTGGCTTTTTGACACCTTTCCACTGAAGGCTGTGGATTTGCATGCTCTCTGGCAGCCAGCTATCTCTTTACTTTAAGTGCTAGTCTTCTTGAAATGAGAGACCTGGGCTAAGGCAAGGTTCGAAGCAAACTATGCTTATCTCCGAAAGTGTGAACACGTACAAGCGATCAAGCAGACATCCAGTTTTATATGCACGGGCAAGGCTCCGGCCTTTGTTGTGAACCGATGGACTACACATTATGGTACTGACCAGCGGATGCCTCTCGGAATGAGCGACTGGCTTATATTAACACCGCATTCCGACCCAAGTGGGCCGGGCTGACATGATCGTCTAGGCTGCGTTGCAATGAGTCTCTGCAATGGTTGCCATTTGTCTAGTATGAAAATACCTAGGTTCACTGCTAACACTGTCTTTGGCTAGGGTTAGCTTTCGCAGGCTCTGCAGTATCCGAGATTCGGAGTAGAATAGCTCGGCATTCTACGGCAATTATCGGCAGAAGTTGCTGTTTCGACGGGAGCTACCTTAGCCAACTCTTGTGACTCAACCGACAGACTGTCAAATGCAACATTCCCACTTTCTTATGCTCTTTTGTATGAAATTAAATGAAAGTAGGGGGTCGAAGGCTCTGCAGTATCCGATAACCGGACTATAGCTCGGATTCCTACTGTATGTATTGGTCTACTGGTCAAACAGGAGATGTCTCCGCAAAACCCTGTGACTCAACTCAGAGCCTGTCAAACATAGGGCGTGTCCCGCTGCCTCGCTTTCCTTAAAAAGAAGGTAGAAGGTCAGAAGGTCATACTTTCTTAATTGTGAGAGCACATACACCATCATGCCTAGTCATACAATCATGGATTCTCAAAGTTTGGCGTATATAACTACCGACGTCTTTACCAGCACTCGCTATGAAGGCAACCCTTTAGCCATCATCCGCTTGCCGCCGTCTCATTCGTTGACACAGGATCAGAAGCAAAAGATTGCGAGAGAATTCAATTTCTCTGAGACAGTCATACTTCACGAGAGTGAAGAAAGCTACAAGAAATCAGAATGGGTATTCGACATCTTCTTGACGACTGCGGAGATTCCATTCGCTGGCCACCCAACCATCGGAACAATTGTCTACTTAGGCAAAGCCATCGAAAAAGGCGGTGCTAGCGGCGTCATCAACGGCACTTTGTTGGCTAAGGCAGGCAGGCTTCCATTCACCTACGACACCAGTAGTGAGATTGCGACTGCTGAAGTTCCAAACGACAGTCATGTTCATCAGAAAATGCTTGATTCGCAGGCCCTTCGAAATGTTGGTGTTCGAAGCGAAGTACTCGATGGTATGGCCGGCCCGGCCGCCGTCGTATCGATTGTGAAACGCATGACTTTTGGTCTCATCGAGCTGTCGTCGTTGGCGGCTCTTGAGTATGTTGCACCAGGATACAGCTGGCTCGATACAGATGGAATGAACCCCGAATACACCATGAACGGACACTGTGGATTAATGTTCTACCATATCACGGAGCAAAATGAATCAGTGACTAAGATCCGCACGAGGATGATTTTGGAGACCATAGAGGATCCGGCCACTGGTTCAGCCTCATCGGCTCTGGGCGTCTGGCTCGCACTTCAGGCCTCTAAGTCACATGATGCTAGGAAGAAGGTGCATAAATTTGAGATGACACAAGGAGTTGAAATGGGACGTCGAAGCGTCATAGGTGTGGAGATTACTCTAGATGATGAAGGGACCGTCGTCAAAGTCGTTCTCAGCGGAACGGCGGTCGAGGTCATGCAAGGATCCCTGCGGGTTCCATAGCTTGGAGATTTTGTGTTAAATGAATGAGCACCATTAGCTGTATCGAAATCATGGCTGTGAAAAGTTTGTGACACTGAAGAATGATCATTTTGCTGATGACTGATAATCGCTTTGTATGAAGTCAGATCTCACCTCCTGAGATGTCCTTAAAATGTCGGTACTAATCAAACAACACCTAGCTTCTACGGTCACATCCACACTATCTCTCAGTCGCCAAATGATCATCTAATAGGTGAGCTAGACTAGCAGGATAAAATTGGATGCACCAGTGATCGATATCATGGCCTGAACGCATTGATCAGTCAGATACGTGAGAGACACTAGGGCAGAATTGGAAGAATATTCCAACGTGTCTGGCATGGTCGAGCAACTCCTGGTGCCTTAGGCGACGAAGTCTGCTATTTGCCTATCCTGTAAACAACACCAGCCAAATTGAAACTACCACAAGCAGAAAGGACGTCCATCTTCAACCTCAGGCATACACAGTCCATGGATAAGTTCGGCGTACCGAGTACTGTGCATTCTTTCCGCTTTCCAATTCGTCTCAGCACTTGGGCTGAGACCCGTCCTCGGCGGCCCGCTGTCAGAAGCGGAGGATAAGAGAGCAGTTTAGATCTTCAAAATGGTGGTAGGTGGGCTATTTGCGCTTGGCTCACTAGCAGTTCTTGCGCAAAGATTCGTCGACCTTTGACTCATGAGATTCCTGTCCAGATTTTACTACGATCGTCTCTCGGCGATCAGTGTTGGTGTGCTAGCCGAGACAGATCTGACAGTCGGGAGGGCCTAGCCATCGACATTCCTCATCCTTGCTGGCAGCTGATGAACACATATATATACGCGAGAGCAGCAAAATAAACGATGCACAACATACTTGCACCGCAGGAGGGGATCATCACGTGTAGACGGCCGCATAATGGGCCGCGATGTTCTAGGTTCAGGGGTCGAGGGAAAGTGAGGCGAGGTACTTGTTGAGGGGGGTATACTTCTCTTGGTTGTCAAACGAGCGAGTACTTGCTGCTCAAACACTTTCTGTTTGTGCTCACCAAGTGACATATCAACTTTTTTTCGCATTGAGCCTCGGTCCGGTGAGACTATGCAAATCCTTCTCAGCCCGGCTAAGAAAAGTCGAGGCCAGGGAACAAGCCGAAGGGATGAAGCATTTTCGGTTTGAAGTACCTGGATAGGGGGCTTTGGGGCTTCCCGAAGTCACTTCTGGGCCCACTGTATCTAGCGTGGGGGTACGAGATGGTCGATCATGGTTGGTGTCTCGGGGTTCTTTGCAACTACGTCAATTTCACAGGTTAACATTTGGTAAATAGCTTGAATGTTGTGTATATTTATTCCAAAGCTGCTTGGAGTAAGAGCAAGGACCAAACAGTCTCGTAGAAGGGGGCGTGCCATAAACTAGCCACTGTAGTCACACTGCCCACTGAGCGGATAGATTCACTGTAGATGAACCTCAGATGTAAGCATAAGCTCTGGGAGTTGCAGCTGAATATCCAAATACAAGGCAAGACTGCTGGATTTGGAACGAAGCTTAGGAGGTACTACGGAAGGTTGCTCCCCAAGACCCCCAGACTCAAATCACCTGTGAATGGATTCAGAGGCTTTTATGAGCGGCACAAGGCTCTTGGTCAACAAATTCAACCAATCGGGACCGTGAAAAGTCACTTGGAAAATAGACACTCTACACTGGTAAAAGCAGTTGTGACCATCACTTTCTATTCACTACTTCCGTGCCAAAACTGCCTTTAGAGATGGCCCTGGAAGTTTCAATGAAACGAAACGTCCTTCAACCAAGAGTTCACTATAATATAGCGCTACTAAGGTACTGTAATATGTCTTGAAATGTGCCTGCACGCCTCCAGAGAGCCCCATCTCATCCTTTCGAAACCGAATAACGAATCTGAGTGGTTTTTACTATTGAACCGTCTTCCGGCCGGCTGCTACGATCTGGAAGTATCTCCTCGTCGGAATCATTCGGCACCGATCCTCTGCCGATATGCGTCTGGACTCTTCGACCGCTCATGTCATTGAGGTCGATTTCATGATTTTCGTTGCTATCGTCTAGACTCTGGTTCTGGTCGCTCGTCCGTATCCATCCTTGCTGGTTCCTGGTATATCGTCGCGAAGTGTTGAAGCCACTGCTAGCGGCCGTAGTCGTCTTTCCAACATGCCCACTGACTAAGGGCCATAGCGCGGGGATGGAAGCGGCAATGATGGCCAGGTTGACTTCTATTGCCGAGAATGTGAACGTGATGCTATAATTGGTATCTGGATCCGGGTTCGTAGTCGTGTATAATCCCATGATGTAATACAGGCGGATACACGAGAAAGCAACGGACCTGGACCGTGATTCAGTGTGTTAATGATTTGTAACCTCGTTCGCATATGCTCAATGATAGATTTTTTTTTCTCGAGCGTCTTCTTGGGCACGCATGTGAATACCCGGGTGAGGTGGGGCTTTGTCGGTTACTTACAGGATGCTCACAGAGAAAATGAGCATGAGGCCTAATTTCTTCCGCCTACTCATGTTGAGGCTCCAAAAGATGTAGAACGGTAAAGCAATAGCTATAACGTCTGTGACGATGGCAAAAATACTGCTTGCAAGGCTGAATTTGCCAACATCAACGCAGTACCCGTCGAGTGTAGAATCCCAGTTCTTCGCGAACGGAACGCAGTCGAAAAGCATAACGAAGAAGACCGAAATCATCAGTAGAAGGTTGAATATACCGTTTCCCCATACTATGTATCTCACAGAATTTTTGACACCGGAGAATCGCAGAATGAACAGAAGAACGGAGATCTTGACGATGGATAATATAGGCATGTAAACGACTCCCATAGCATATGTCCAAATGAAAGCTCGCTTGTAGTCCCAGTCCATTGGAACATTCCAGTAGTGGATCCCGATGTACATAGTTCTCATAGCTGATCGGCAATTGTATCTTTAGCGAACCATTGTTTCCAACTGATTGTAGGGTACAGGTTGGGAGATCCTTCCTCAGTCAGGGCAAAAGCTCACCGAAGATCGCAGTGACTGCAAGGCCAATTGCTAGTAACATGGCAGCAATTATGAGACCGTCATCTATAGAATGAGTGATATCAGTCTAGGGGCAATCTTTAGACAACAGATGAAGTTCAAGTTTGTCGCAAACCGCCGTTTCTGAGTGTACTTACCCCAACCAAATGTTCTCGTAACTAGTCTCGCGTAGACTCTCATAGAGACTGTAATCAAGGACAAAAGCGGAAATAGTACTTCCAGCGCAATTCCAGTCTTCTGCAGCGAAGAGGTCGGAAGATCTGATATCGAGGACATGGTGGACCTCAGCGAGCGGCCTGATCCTTGATGGTAGCGGTGGGGCTTAAATAGAGGGGAACAATGGCAGATGGGCAACCAGCCCGACCACGGGTACGGCCAAAAGTCATTCGTTAGACAGTCTCTCTAGAAAATCATATGGGATTTGAGAAACTTGAAAGATGGGGATCATGTCCGGAAACCGCGTCCTTGATATTGAGTATGGCGACATTGGATGACAATGCCCGCCAACTTTTTCATTCTATTCTCCGTGAATCCGCTTCATTCCGCTTTCTCTTCGGGCTCCACAGGCGTGAAAGAATTTCAATGAGTTTGCTGCCATTTTACTTGTGGACGTTATGCCACACCGGTCGGCCTCGATCCCGGATGTGATGCATAAGAGACCCACAGAATAGACACTGCTAGAGCGTGGCGCTTGAGGAGGATTCAAGAGTTCACGCATATATCCGAGCATGGATCTTGTGTGGCTGCTCTAGCGTGCTGTTATTTCTAACAGAAACATCAAACCTTGAAAGTTTTGATCCTTATAGGCAGGAAGCAATTTCCCGGAGAGACTTCATTCTTCCCTCTCACCTGCCCTCCCGAACTTTGGAGGAAAAAAGAGGAAGGAAAAAATACATGAAACAAAATAGATTATTTGCTGGAAAGCTCTCTATCGAAACGTCAGAGCAGGAGCAAAGCCTGGCGATGGTGGCTTGATCTGTTGCTGTATTCTAAAAGCTTTACTTGAGGTGACACAGTTTTTGGAGACCCCAGTGTCGGAACACGAAAAGTCCGGGCGTGTCTTTGGCCTGATTTGAAGACGAGGTATGTAAAATGACAGGTCAACAATGTGTGCCGAGGCTCTTGTGTCAACTCCTCACGTCGGTACGGCAGGATAAATTACGCTGGCAGGGGCCCCAGAGTCGTCAAGTGGCGATGTCTTTACCGCCAACTGAATTATGGAAAAGGGGGATGGAATGCTTGATGCGGGAAGCAAGGCAAATTTGACATTTCCCGGGGATGTCGGGTCTTTCCCTTCACACATGTGCAGGCGTGGATTAGCCAAGGTAGCTGGGGTAAATAGAATTGACGCATCGCGTCGCTCTAGATTTGGCGTCCATGTGGGCCGCATATCCGATCGAGCCTTTGCCTAGAGTGAGGAAGAGCCTGTGATATTGACTGGAGCAAGAATTACAGCGCTACAGAGTCTGTATCACAAATTCATTCCCTCACTCTCTAAGGCGTCTACCAAACGCTGGCTTCCAGATGTCAGTTCCCAGACATCAGCTTTGCCGACAATTTTTGACTTGACAACATTTCGCATTCAACCAGGCCATGCCAGTGGCCCTCCAGCAGACCAGATGTCGTCCCAGTAAAGTTAGCCTTGTGGATCGTTATCCACATCCGAGGATCCTCAGCAAGCATGACGACTCCATAATCGCTACAACCACGGGCCGTACCCGTGCTTTTCCGGCGCCTCGGGGCTGCTCATCTTGTCATGAATTTGATATTATCAACAAAGGCGATGCTCTTCAGCATGTGGCTGCTTAAGTCTTGGTTCCAGAGACTTGAAACTTTGTTTCGGGTCCGATTCAAATTGTCCCAAGTTTCCAGGTAGAATTTCGCTATACGCAACCTTTTACCCAATCTTGCTGTATGTCGGCGGAGCCAAGCTGCAGGTGTGGCGCGCCGCGCATATTTCGAGCCAACACCCTCGGTCCAACTTCCATCCCAGGCCTAGGAGCTTCGACTACAATGGGGTTGCCACATCTGTGCTCATATTCCCGGTATTGAATGATGGATCAAATCTACAGTGGGCCAGACCTAGTCCCTGTATCTGGGATTTTTATTTGATGGGAGATACAATATCTCCATGAGGCTTCGGCTTGTGCCATGAGTCTTTTACCACGGCTCTCCTTTTCTTTCGAGTCAAACGACATCGCGACATCTTAAACGAGTTCGCAGAACCGTCATGGCTCGAAGTATCACTCTCGTTATCGTTCAGCTCGTGGCGTCGGCAGTTGCGCAAATCACAAGCCCTGATGCTGCAGATACAAGTAAGCGAGCTACAAGAGATCCTGGCGCATGGATTCCCATCTGTATTGAGACTAGCTAACTCTCTCACTCATCTCAGCAGCATTTAGCCCGGCTGTACAGGATGTGACAGATACCGTTGCCGCGTCTGGAGTTGGCTACTTTCCCTATGAGAAGTCCCAGCTCACTCCAGAGGTCATCAGCAATCTGACTTCTTACCTGGCAACGCAGAATACTAGCGATGCTAACGCCGTCATATTTAATTTTGCCAACGCCAGTGACGCATCTCTGAGCAAGCGGCACAGGACCTGCAAGGCTTTCCCCGGCGACGCCTGGTGGCCGTCAAAGCTTGTCTGGCGGCTGTTTGACCTCTTCCTGGGAGGTGCCCTCATCGAGGGTGTCCCAGCTGCTGCGGTCTGCTACCCGGATTGGCCGCAGTATGATGATGCCAAATGCGCTGACCTGGATGTCTCGTGGACCAACCCGGCCTGGCGGTAAGCTCTCTGTGCCATGATGTTCTTGGTCTAGGAGATTCCCTGATGTTTCAAACGATAGAGCCGCGCAACCCACGGAAGTCGACTGGCCAATTTTTGAAGGCATGTCATGTCTACCACCAGATCTTGGGGATTTCCTGTCACGACCAAACTCTACGTGCGAGCTCGGTGGCATGCCAGCCTATGTCGTGAATGTCACAAATGGTATGTTCACTATTTATCACACCATTAGTACAACAGAGTTCTCGTTAACTCAATTTCGCATAGTCGCCCAGATCCAGCTCGCGGTGAATTTCGCTCGCAATCTTAACCTCCGGCTCAATATCAAGAATTCAGGCCATGACTTCAACGCCAAGAGCACAGGCGGCGGCTCGCTGTCAGTGTGGACTCTTCATCTACAGGATATCGAGTTCCTGGGCCATGATTACCAGTCTTCATCTGGGGCAAAGGGCCCGGCTTTCAAGGTTGGCGCTGGTATCACAACGAAGCAAATATACGATGCCGCGCACGAGCAGGGCTTGATGGTCGTTGGCGGGATTGCCGGCGTAAGTAACTTTATAAATTGTGCATGGCCTACATATTCAACTGACAAATTTGTCTAGACTATTGGTCTTGCAGGTGGATACACCGCTGGGGGTGGAAATGGTCCATTGATCAACAAATACGGCGTCGCAGCTGACCAGGTACTCTCGATTGAGGTTGTTCGTAAGTGCCAGCATCATTCCTCAGCCTCTCTTGAATTGTTGCTGAATTGAATCGATGCAGTACCAGATGGGTCATTCGTTTCGGCCGACGAGAATACTAATCCTGACTTGTTCTTCGCTTTGCGTGGTGGTGTAAGTCTTGATTTTCTTTTCTACCGTTAGAGCAACCATGCATTTTTGTTTCTTTATCGAATTGAAACGTCTTGTTGTTTTCTGGGAAATGTTGACAAGAGATGCAGGGAGGAAGTACTTGGGGCGTCGTCACGAGTCTAGTTATTCGTGCTTACGAAGACACCACTATTAGCACCTTGAGTTACTCATTCGGATCTGGGGTCGACGAACACACTTTCTGGACCGCAATGGATGCCTTTTGGTAAGCATTTGCATTCGAATTTGCCGGCTGTCAATACTTATCAATTTGATTGAATATAGGCAGCAGTTCACAACATGGCCTGAGGCCGGTATCTGGAGCTACTTTAGCATCGCGTGTGCGGACGTAGTCAACTGCACGTTTTCCATGGCGCCCCAAGTGGCACCAGGGATGAACAAATCCGAGCTCGAGGGCCACAATGCTGCTTTCTTCGCGAACCTCTCATCGCTGGGCATTACCGTGGATGATGCCTCCTACAACGAGTATTCAGGATTCCTGGAAATGTTCGACACCACGTTCCTCGACACTACCAACACTGCTGGCTACTGGTACTTCCACAGCACGTCACGGTTCTTTCCAGAGAAAAACTGGGAGACCCCAGAGAAATTCGCCCAGCAATCAGCAGCCATCCGCAATACGACCCAGAGCCGCGGCAGCTTCACCGGATACAACTCTAGGCCAGGGGTGAACTCGGCCGTCAGCCAAGACAACGCCGTCAACCCAGCCTGGCGAAAGGGCCTGATCTTCGGCATGGGCAATGTCGTGTACGGCTACAACGACACCTTGGAGGAGATGGCCGCGGCCAACAAGCAGATGGTGGACGCGTACGCGGGGTGGCGCGCCGTGAGCGACGGCACGTACCTCAACGAGGCCGACATCAACGAGCCGAACTGGCAGCAGTCCTTTTATGGTGACAATTACGACCGCCTCTACAGCCTGAAGCAGAGGTATGACCCGTGGGGTGTACTTTACGCCACGGGGGCGGTGGGCTCGGAGGACTGGTACGTGACGGATCAGATTGAATATTTCCCCACGGCGAATGGACGCCTGTGCCCTGTCGGATCATGACTCTGGGTCGAACACGGAGAATGAATTCAAATGTATATATTCTTGGCCGGCGGCCTCTGTAAGCCCAGTCTCGGGTGCGAGAGTTTGTGCTCCACGAATATCTGCTCCTGGGATGAGATCTTTTATAATACAGCTAATGCTCTTTCATCCGTGGCAAGAGATCGAACCACCGTGTTGAATTCTGTCGGGCGAAGCTGGAGCCGACAGAACCTTGCAATTATGCTGATTGCCTAGTTTCTCATTTGATAGCATATAAAAACATTAGCGACCCAAGAGTGCTTCAAGTCCGGGATATTCTGCAACTGAACAGGGTTAAGAAAAATACTATCCTGTGAAGAAAGACATAAGATGAGTGGAAAGGCTGACTGGGTGGGCAACTCACCTAGCTTCTAGTGGGGGGTTGGTTCAGGGTCCTGTGCTACGTAGTCACGTAGTTCCAGGGGTACGGTCCCCGTAGTGTGGGGGTTCGGGGGTTCTGCAATCGGCGAATCGGGGCCGTGTCAAAGCCAAAGCCGGGGCTTGTGATGTCGACGGCTGACCCATCATCGCCCGCATGATGGTCAGCGACACATGACGGCCTCCCTGAGACTTTACTGCGGGATACTGTGGGGATTCGACGCGCCTTTATCGTCAGCTGCCCTGTGAGTCGCCTCGCTCTCAAAAAGTAAAGTCGAGGCGGACGAGGAGGCTCAGGGGTCGGCGAGCCTAAAGCTGAACCTCCGGGGACGACGTCACGACTAAGCCGGGCCGTCCCATCGCAGGCAGTCAACTCTCCTCTCCTCCCCTCCTTCTATCCTCCGATACCACAATGCCTCCGAACGCACCCGCCGAGGCAGCATCACCAGCTGCCCCGTCTACCCTCGCCAGCCTCCTCAACTCCATCAGGATGGATCGGCTCAAGGGCATGCTGTACCGCGGCGGCGGCACCAAGGACGACCGCGACGCTGACCCAGACGAGTACGCGCCCCTGCGCAACTCCAGCGACGATGTCTCCGACGATGATGACATGGCCGACGACGGCGAGCTGTTCGATGCCGCAGAGGTGCCCTTCTCCTGGTTCGAGTACGCAATATTCGCCATGGTCGGCGTGGCCATGCTATGGGCTTGGTGAGCACACTCCTCCGTCCATCCTTCCAGCTGCCATTCCAAGACGACTGACCTTGACGCCCTCGCCAACATAGGAACATGTTCCTTGCCGCCTCGCCCTACTTCGCCTCGCGCTTCTCCGACGACCCCTGGGCCACGGAGAACTTTCAGTCGGCCATCCTCTCCGTCTCGACCCTGACCAACCTGGGCTCCATGCTGGCCCTGACCAACATGCAGCGCTCCGCCAACTACCCGAACCGCATCAAGCTCGCCCTGGCCATCAACACCGCTGCCTTCGCCCTGCTCACCCTCTCCACCTCTATATTCACCGCCGTCTCCGCCCGCTGGTACCTGACCTTCCTGCTCGTGGACGTGTGCTTCGCGGCCCTGGCGACCGGCCTCTTCCAAAACGGCGCCTTCGCCTTCGCCGCGAGCTTCGGCCGCCCGGAGTACACCCAGGCCATCATGGCCGGGCAGGGCGTGGCGGGCGTGCTGCCCGCGCTCGCCCAGATCGTGAGCGTGCTGGCGGTGCCGCCGCCCTCCTCGTCGTCATCATCCCCCCCTGCACAAGGCGGCGGCAGCAGCAGCAGCACCGACGCCGGCGACGACCCCGTCGGCTCCGCGGCCTTCATCTACTTCCTGACGGCGGTGCTCGTCTCGCTCGGCACGCTGCTGGCCTTCCTGCCGCTGGTGCGGCGGCACGACCGCCTCGTCGAGGCGCGCATGGCCGCGTCGCACCCGGACCTGGCCGCCAGCGTGCTGTCGACGCACTCGCACCACGACATCCAGGAGGCCGAGCAGGCCGCGCGCAGGGTCGTCGGCATGCGCGCCCTGTTCCGCAAGCTGCACTGGCTCGCGGGCTCCGTCTTCATGTGCTTCGCCGTCGCCATGTTCTTCCCCGTCTTCACGGCCAAGATCCCGTCCACGAACGGTGGTGGCGGCGGCGAGGGGTCTGGCGGCAGCGGCGGTGGCAGCAGGCTCTTCGACCCAGAGGTCTTCATCCCCCTCGCCTTCTTCGCCTGGAACCTGGGCGACCTCGTCGGGCGCATCGCCACGGCCGGGCATTGGAACGTCTCCGTGCGCGGCCGTATGCCCGCCGTGCTGTTCCTCGTGTCCGTCGCGCGCGTGGGGTTCCTCCCGCTGTACATGCTGTGCAACATCCGCGGCCGGGGCGCCGTGGTCCCCAGCGACGTCTTCTACCTGGCCGTCGTGCAGTTCCCCTTCGGCCTGACCAACGGGTGGCTCGCGTCCAACAGCATGATAGGCGCCGCCGAATGGGTCGAAGAGGACGAGAGGGAGGCTGCTGGCGGGTTCATGGGGCTAAGCCTCGTCGCTGGGCTAGCGAGTGGTAGCCTGCTCAGCTTTACGGCTGCTGGCATCTAGAAGGTTGTTTCCTTGTTCAATATTACCTTATCTTGTTTTTTTGTCCTCTCGGATGGGTATGACGATGGGGGTTTGGGGTGGGAATAGGCATCTTGCATAAGAATGGCGTTGGGTGGCTGGCTTGCTTTCATTGGTATTTTGTCGGCGTTGTCGTATGGAATATTCTGCATCAATCTTATGTGAAAGGAGCAGTGCTAGGTCATTCAGCGTGGCATTCAAGAAGCCACGGGGTTGAGATATCCCAAGATCTTCGAAATATTTGGCCGTCCTGTTATGTTAGAACAGTGAATCGTTAGCAGCATCAAATATTGGTATATCAATGCAACATCACGCTGATATCAGGATCGAGTCCACGTTTCTGGCATATCTCATTCTGTGACTGTCACTCGTGATCTTTTTCTCTTTGAATTTCCTTTCTATGGAAGCTCCACCTGCCTTTCCAGGTGATTGGAGTCCACATTCCCTTTTTGGTGCCAGCTCCTCTTCCACCTTCCAACAGTCCATAATGAGCACTGAGAAGGGATGCGGGATGCTGCCCATTTTGTACAATCTATATAATAATACAGTTGATCTCGGCTTTCTCAAATCAAAGACTACAACATATCCTTCCGCCACCCCTTGTTCGCCAGCTCCTCAATCTCCGGTACCTCAACCGGCCCTCTGACCGCATCATCACTCAGCGCCTCCACAGCCGCCTGCGCCACAAGATCAACCTTCAAAGGCTTCGCCCCAGCAGCGCCCATGAAGCCGTCCAGTACGCCTCGTGTCAGGCTGTTGACGACTGCCCCGACACCCGTCATAGCGGCCATGGGGATGGTGAAGGGCCGGCTGGCATCGTACAGGAAGGGCGGGCGCAGGAAGACGCCGCGCATGCGCGGGAAGCCGCTGGCGATGAGCGACTCGGCCTCGCGCTTGGTGTCGATGTAGCGCCGCGGCAGCACGGGGGCGCCGCCCGCCGCGCTGACGTACAGGAAGGCCGACGCGCCCTCGCCGTCGGCGGCGCGCGCCACCAGCACCGCCGAGTCGCGGTTCATGTTCTCGTAGGTCAGCTGCTTGGCGTTCTCGGGGGGCTTGTAGCTGCCGCCCTCGCGCTCCAGCGGGTTCGGGCTGCCCCGCGTCGAGTCGAAGGCCTTGCGCAGCCCGGCGATGGGCGACTCCTGGCCTGACACTACGCCCTTGTAGTCTGCCTCGAGCAGGATGCCCATGGAGTGGACGACGTAGTCTGCGCCCTTGAGGAGTGGGGCGTATGCGGTGGGCTGGAAGATGTCTGCCGACTCCCATGAGACCTTGTGTGCCCATGATGGTGGTGTTGAGGAGGATGTGACGGCGGACCATTTTGGCTCGCCAGAGCGACTGAGATGAGTGAGTAAGTTGGTGACTGTTTGTTGTTTGATGTGGTGCGTTTAGACTGTAGAGCAGGGTGGTGATTTACCTTATGGACGTGACATCCCAGCCTCTTGCTACGGCGAACTTGCAGATGCGTGAGCCCAAGAAGCCATTGCCGCCGCAGACGACTATCTTCTTGGCGGCTGCTTTGGACATGGCGGATCTGGAGTGGTGGGTGTGTCTGGAGGTTTGTTTGGACAGATGAGAAGGCGTGTAATATAAGAATATTGCCAGAGATTTAAGTAAAGAAACGTGCTGGAGTGAGCTGAGCAGTGGGACTCCACGTCGGAGGAATTATTAGCACGTATTATGCTAGAACGTCAGGGAGGTCACTCGAGGAAATGTGAGAGTGGCAGTGACACTGTGAGCACAATCTTGGTACAGCATGCAGCTCAGCAATCCCTCTTTCTGTTTGTGCCTGCAGTATCACAATTCACACGATACTGATATGGTGGTCTGACACTGAGAACGACAATGAGAATGAGAGCTCCCTAAGCTCAAAGTGGTGATGAAATCATGACCCTGGCACGCCTGGGAGCTCTTGGAGCTTGCGGGCAGGGGTCCCCTGCAGCTCCGTCGCCCGGTGCCGATCGGCCAAAATAATGCAGGGGCGTTTGAGGTTTTGCAAAACTATCGTCAAGATCACAAATACTAACTCGTCGCGAGAGTGGTTGGTAGGACAGGCAGGACAGTCTCTTTTGTACATGGTCAATGAGGAGCATCCATGAATGAGGCTATTTGCTCACCACATGTGCCTGCTGTCGTCTATAGCGGTGTCCATCGTGCCGCCTTGGTGCAAAAAGGTCCCTGGTCTGGCAGCGGGTCGTGTTGTGTCAGTACATGCGTTTTGCAGTGGAGCATGCAGAGTGGCTCTTGTCCTCTGTCCAAGTCGCGAGGTCGCGCTCGGCAGGGACACTTTTGTAAACTCCCTTCTCAAAATCAATACGCTGTCTCAAACGAATCTGCCTCTCTCGCTCTCCAGGTCCCAAACACTGAGCTGTGCCTGTCCGAATCCGTCAACAGACGCCCCTAAGCTGCAGCTAGACTCCGTTTTGGTCACACAAGCGCTGCCGCTACTGATTAGTCATCCATACGCAACCACCACCGTTCGCCCTCATTAAGATCGCGCCCGCCTGTCGCAAGCTCGAGAAAAGGAAATGTCCCGACACGCAGCCCGCAAGTCACTCCACAACCTCGACTCCATCATGGCTCCCGCAAACAGCTCCGGCAAGCGCGTCAAGGGCAAGCAGGTCTACCGGCCCTTCATCTACGGCACCACCGCCCGCCCCTTCGACCCGGACAAGAACCCCAAGCCGCCCGGCACCCCCGAAGACCACACCCACAGCTGGACCGTCTTCGTCAAGGGCATCGACGACGTCGACATCACCTACTGGCTCAAGCGCGTCCAGTTCAAGCTGCACGAGAGCATCCCCAACCACGTGCGCATGATCGACGGCCAGAAGGGCGAGCCCTTTGCCGTCCACGAGACCGGCTGGGGCGAGTTCGAGATCACAATCAAGATGTACTACGTCCCCGAGAGCAGCGAGAAGGCCCAGACCCTCTACCACCACCTGCGCCTGCACGCCTACGGCTCCGACGCCGAGAAGAGCGCCATGACCGCCAACGGCGAGGTCCCCGCCTGGGTGTACGAGGAGCAGGTCTTCAACGAACCTTACGAGGCGTTCTACGACGTCCTGACCTCCGGCGCCATGCCGCCCAGCGACCCCGCGGCTAGCGCAAAGAACAAGTCCGGCGGCAAGGGCGGCAAGGGGGGCGCGAAGGAGGCCAACCAGGCCCCCAAGCGCAGCGAGGGCGGCGTGCTCGAGCGGAGTGCCATGATCCCCATGCACACGCGCCCGGGACAGCCCTTCAGCGCCGAGGCCGAGAAGCTCGAAGTTAAGAAGCTCAGCGATGCTCAGGCCGAGGTCGAGAGGCTCGTCGAGCAGATGCGGGCCGAGATCAAGGAGAAGGAGGAGCAGCTGAGGTCGCTCAAGGAGGAGGCCAAATAGACGGGGCCTTCCTCGGCGCCTTCGACTCATGTTGTCCCGGAATCCCATGGAATGCCACATGTTAAGGGCGGCCCAGATTATCCAGATTCGTCAGCTCTGTCAGTATCATCAGACTCAGGCCAACTGATCGATCCGTTGGGTTTCTTTAAGTGCTTGGCTTGCAAAAGAGTGTTCCTGCAGGCTTCAATACTCAAGCGCCACCAACAAGCCGAACATAACAATATCAAATGGTTTGAGTGTGGGCGGTGTCACTTTCGTTACACTCGGAAGGATCGCGCCCAGGGACACGTGAAAAAAAAAATGTCCAGGCGCTGAAATCCTAGAGGACTGATTGCGGCGATTTACATTTGAGATAGAGGATAGAGGCCCTCTGATGGCTGGCCGGACGGCCTGGGGCCTAAGTTGGTCATGGCTGGGGCCCCAACGGAGTGTGTTTTCTTCGGTCGGCTGCAACCTTCTGCTTTTGTTCTTTTTTTTTCTCTTTTGGCTTTCTTTTCCCTTTTTTTTCCTGGTGGAGTCCTTCTACGAATCACGTTAACTGCATTGATACCCCCTTTCTCCGGGCCTGTCTCCATGATGAGCAGGCCCCGATATCTCTCAACGCGCGCATGGCTTGGAGGGACAAAACAATCGGTATTGGCGTTGAAGGGGTATGGTACATCATTTCGAACTATAGGCCAGGAAAACCACCGATAGTTGCTCAGTCAGGCTGGAGTCTGAGAATAGGGTAATAAATCAGCATCGAATCGATCACTGAGGACATCAGAGTACTACTATGCACACGTTGAGCATCACGTTTCAGAATTCAAAACGTCACGACTAAAGCCCAGACCCCCTTCCTCGTCACAATCACGTTCACTATGGAGACAACACCTCCACGTTTGGAAATATGCGAAGAAATCATTGCGAAGCCCCGTGTGGCCTGCTTACCTCCCCCAGACATGATCATCCTGCGGAAAGTACTATACCAGAGGTTATGCCAAGACAATTTCTCCCAAACAAGTCAAAGGAGTTATCTCATAAAAGATTATTCTTTTACTGGTCATCCTATGGCTGGTCATAGTATAATCCCCCTATTTCTTTACATATACACCAGAGACACTGTGGCCGCGAGGCGGATACCCGAGTCTAAGCTCACTGAGCAAGGACTGATTGTGTGAACACTGAGATATTTGTGTATTTGTCTGTTTTGTTTGTTTGTAGAGTAGAGGTGGGTGTTTCTAATTCTATTACGAATACGGAACGTCCCAAACCTTGGCCAGCAATGCTGCGGCACGATCGATGGATCTCTCCTTTCCTGTCCTTCCTCCTCCCCCTGTCTTGTTCCTCCAAATCGAATCTTACACATCGCCCGCCGAATATGTCGGCAAGCGATGCTGAGTTGTACAAAATGCACAGCCAATCAAGGCGTGCGTGCTGCTTGGGGCGCCTCTTAGGCTCCCTCGAATGACAAAGGAAAAGAAGTTGTTGGTGGAGAGCGATTGTGCTGATCGGGTGGGTTGAAGATGGTCATGGCCCATTCTATAACACCGTTACGCCGGTTTTCCATAATCCGGCCATGCCCCATGCTGTTTCATTCCACCCGTAATGTCCGAAGTCTGAGCAAACGAACGGCAAAAGAAAATAAACTCAAGTCAAATTCCCTCCCTGATCTTTTTAAATATGCCGCTCACGGCTCCTTAACGCCTTGCAGGGTTCTCGTAATAGGATTACCAGTCTTTGGTGGTGAACCCGGGGTATAACGCCATGTGTGAGTTGAAAAAGGAAATCAAGATATGATGGCATAGGGAACCCATGGCACCTTAACAAATCGAGGTCTCGTCATTATTGAGCCTCGTATGCTGGCGGAGGTACATCCTCGCGCTCTTCCCAAAAGGCCGGGTTCCTCCTCTTCTCGTCGTACACGCGCCTGGCGATCTCGCCGGCCATCTTGTTGATCCAGGCCTGCTCCAAAATTACAGAAGAGGTCTCTGAAGGTGGTCCTCTCTGTGGTGAGAATGAGAATGGCACCTTCTCGTCGGTTGAATTCTGTGGAATTCCTTGCGACTGAACCTGTGGTGTTGATTCAGCTTGCTTTTGCTTCTCCGGTAGCTCTGAGTTGTACAACTCTGGTTTCAACGGTGGCCGTATCGGCGAATCGGTCGCAGTGCCAGCGTTGAAACGGACCTTAGTCGGTGTCAATGGGACGTAATCTTCGGGTTCCTCCGGGATGATCGTGTCCATCAGAGGCTCCGACAGAGGTCCCTCGACAGATGCTGTGTCGGTGACACTCTCGCTGACGTCGCTCGTTGCGACACTCACGGGCGCACTCTCAGACTGCTTCCGCCTGAGATTCACAACCCGGGTCTTCTTCTTGCGGCCCGCGTGCGATCTTGAATTCCGCCCGGCTCCGAGCGAAAGGCCAGTGGTGGCAGTGTTGAGGCTGACCATTGAAGGACGGGATGGTGGCATGTAGCCCTGTTCCATGCTGCTGGTATCCGAGAACGTGTATGTCGTCGAAGTGCCATGGAAGGAATGTGCCTTGGTCAAACTAGGCGTTGCCAGCGGTGGTGTGACACTCTCTGGCTTCTCTTGTGAGCCAGCCCAAGCACGGAAGACGACATCACGCAGAGACGGGGTGAACAGAGACATGGTTCTGTTGCAGTCGCTGAGTGAGGCAAGCCTGATGAGATTCTTCTGTGAGAACAGAGTCTGGATTTCCGGGCTGTTGTCAAGCGACAGGTTCTGGATCTCGCTAGGGTCCAACAAGTTGCCGTGAGCATCGACGGCATCCTGCGGAGGGCTGGCAAAGGGATCCACAGCAGGTTCACTGGTCTCTGGAGTCTCGTCCTCGTCTCTCGGAATCTGATCTGGGCACCACAGACGCAGTGACAATCGGTGGATGATGGCAGGGAGCTCATCCATCATCAGGTCGCGGAGCTTCCCCTCGATCGTCTTCTGCAGGTAGTCCCTAACAAACTGGATGGAGTCGAAGGTCGAGGAGACCTTGAGCGACTCGAGAGGGTCATTGCGAAACACGATGGTGAGTCCCTTCTGTTTCGAGAAGACCAGAATGATGAAGGCCGACAGCTTGATGTCGGACAAGGTCAGCGACAGCGGGATAGTCAGCCCCGATGCGGCAGCCAAGGGCTGTGGAGACGTAAAGTCCGGCTTCGAATGCAAGTATGTGTTCAGGGGGTTCGCCTGTTTGTTGACTAGTTAGTATTGTTTATTACTCGTAACCTTGGGTGGGATCCGTGGACTAAACGCGCATCCTTGCACGGCAAATGTCGCACGTCAATGCAAAGCGGGTGGGGCGAAAAAAAATCCCCGTATTTGGAAGGAGTCATCGAAAGAAGTCGGGGAATAGCAGAGATGCAGAAGACTGCGCTGCTCAGAGAGGCCACCCACACCAGCCGTCGTGCGCAGGTCGTGGAGCTCGAGCTGGCGGCGGCTTGCTCCCGCTTCCCTGTGGCAGCAGCCGGTATCTCCCATTGCTCGGCCCGTAGTATAGCAAAAGTGCTATAGCCAAGCCGACACTCGTCAAGCCTGTTGTTTGATGCCCTCCTCGATCGAACAGCCAATTGTTTCATCGTGCAGCAAAGAGAAGCGACTGCTTAGCCTGCGGGAGAAGGAGTGTCGGAGCGACCAGCTCCAGAGTGCTTGCGATTGAAAGGAGTCGAAATCAAATGCGTCACATACCTGAACTCTTGTCCGGAGGGTCAGGAAGGCGTCACCGCTGTAGCACATCTTGAAGATGCCGCGAAATCGGTCCTCTGCCAGGTCGCCTATCTCGAGGATCTCGAGCTCCGGGGGCACGGAGCCGAGATTGAGCTCTGTGACGAGGATGTCATCGACTATTATTGGCGGCTTAGGCGTCTTGTTCAGGGCGGTCGTGAGGAGATCGCGGGCGCGCTGATAGAAGTCCTCGTCGGCCGTGAGAGGCGACCAGTTGAAGTTGAAGGCCATGGCGCGGGCGTGCGGGTGTGGCAGCTCAGAGGTCGGTCGTCATGGCAGGAGGTGTCGATGATATCACTCCCACTTTTCGGTCGGATGGATCGTGTTGGTCGCGTGATGGATGGAAGTCTTCGCAACGCAAATGGGTTAGATGAGTGCTGTCGCGGTGCTCATCAGGTCGAAGATAAGTGGTGATGATGGGAAACAGATCGCTATTGGTATGGGAGATGAGCGAAAATTGGTGGTGATGGTGTGTGGCAGGGTGCGGTATGTCCGCAAGATAATAGGCCGGTAGGTTGGTTGGTGGTAGTAGTAGTAAGAAGCCAGGGCAGAGTCAGCAAATGTGAATTTTGCAGGCGGAGCGGAAATGACGAAAAGCGCGGCAACTCGGAAGCCAAAAAACAGACGAGGGTCACTGCTCCCCTGCGCTTTCAGCTTTCAGTGTCTAAGTCTGGGTGATGTGCCTGTCTGGTTGGTAAAATTTGGGGGGGCGAGTCGCAGGCTGATCCGTGCGCCCCGGTCAAGTGGAGACGGGGAGATGGGGGGAGATGGAGATGGGGGCTGCTCTGTTTTTTTTTTGCCCTCTCCTTTGCCTATTTTTTCCCTTATGATTTTCGAGGGTGAGCGCGTCTTTTGTTCATGCGAGACGCCCGACAAGGCCCCGATGCCGCATGACAGGGTCACCACGGACCGCCTGCTGCCGCGTGCCACAGCAAGATGACCCCTTAGTGAACACTGCGGAGACTGGGAGACAGGCTCTCCCTCACGCGACCAGGGAACAGCAGGGAACCAAGCTGCAGGTTTCGAGAAGCGAGGGGATGAGAATGCTCCTCTCAAGGCTCAAGGGGTGGGCAGAGTGGATGCAGATTATGCTGGCTGTTGATCCTCTCTGGGTTGAGTGGTCTGCGTTGACCTGACCTCACACACTCAGGATGGAGAACGAGGGATATTTACGCAAAAACAGAGACAACGCACACAGTCAGAGACGTTGTGCCTTTCACAGCACAGCATGGCATAGCACCCTCTGTTGCTCTCGGACAGATGCACGACAGCCGGAACATGGGGATGCGACCGACGCCAATGCCCGTTAAAACGCGGGGAGCGAGGATTTTGCGGAGAAGAGGTGGACGAGTGGTGTGACGTGAACAGCCAGTCTAGCCATTTCCAAGCACCCAATTGCCAATCTTGGGTCAAGCTCATTTGTGACTGTTCCCTCTTGGGAAGGGGACGGGCAGCCTGGGAGCAGGTTGGCAAGGGCCCATTCAGCAGCAAATCCATAATAGTAGTCCAGTGACCGGCAGCGAGCAACAAGATCACCAGATGTTCTCACTCCTACGGACTACAGACCACCTAGATAGGCGGTAGGCAGTGGGGGTGGACTGATGGCCTGTCAGCATGGGACGATGGCTTCAGGACTCGTCGGGCAGCTCCAGAGCTCTCAAGAGCTGCCTCCTAGCTGCAGCATCTTCCCGAAATAGAAGAGAGGTCCAGAGGTCCAGAGGTCCAGAGGTCCAAGAGGTTCGTTCATAGGTCCAGACATCCAGACGTCCAGGTTGTGTGGTCCCATGTTGCCGGTGCTCATCCCCCTTCCCTCTTCCCCGTACACAGCCCTCCTCTTCACGAGCCGACGACACACAGACACACAGACGCAGACGATTCGCCCGGGGTACTCGGGACGAGAGCCCAAAGGGCCCAGAGCCCAGGGCTCAGAGTCCAGGCCCAGGCCCGAAACCCAAGGGGACCTGCAGCTGCAGATAGTCTACCCAGATGCCACCACAGATGCAGCACATGCAGCCAGCCCAATGTGGTTCGCCTTGGCTGATTGGTCTTGGACCATTCCTCCATTAGTTCCAGACCGTTGCCAGATGCGGCATCCGATCCGCATCTCGTCAAAATCTAAAGAGACAGAGAAAGAGAATGCACTCTCATTCTGCCCCATACAAAGAGACACGAAGAGGAAGAGCGGGCGCAGACAGAGGCTGAGAAATGGATACGGGGAGGGACAGTGGTAGAGAGAAAGAGAGCTGATGTCATGGTGCCCTGTGATGGAATGGCCCCCATGGTGTGGACGCATCTAACGCCCATCCTACTGCGACTCTCTCTATACCTATACTGTGTAGATTATGTGTCTTCCGGTCAGTCTGTGTGTCTATCTGTCTGCAGGGCCACCGCAGGTGACGCACTCTGGCACTACCACCACACTCTCACACACGAAAAGATAGCACCGCCGCCGTCCATTTTTTTTGCTCTCTTTCGCTTCGATGCCTTCGCCCTCGCTCTCGCCCTCGCCTTAGCCATGCCGTACATGCGCTCATTTCCCCAGCGAACACCCTGACATCCTCACGTCCCTCCTATTTCCCGGCTCTGCACTCCCGTCCCGCTGCCCGCAGCCGCCTTGCACAGCAGAAGCGGCTAATCGGCGCCGCACTGACGACTGATTCAGCCGTCCAACATCCAAGATCAAGGGTCCCAAGGCCCAGGGTCCAAGGTCCAAGGTCCAAGGTCCAAGGTCCAAGGTCCAGGGGCGGCTTGGGTGTGTGGGCGTGGGCGTGGACGTTGTCAACAGCAGGTGTGGGTGTAGATGTGGATTGAGGACGGCGACATACCTTACTACTCTCGCTCTCTCACTGCCTACCTCTCAACCTCTCATATTACATTACAGTGCCACTATGACTTTGAGCCGAGCGCACTATTGAACAATAAAAAGCTGGCCCCAAAGTCAGTCACCGGTGCCAGTCAGTCCTGACTAAATTCCCGTCCTCATCAATGCACATTCGCACTTGCATTACCTTTTGCCTCTGCCTTTTAACTCCCCTCCGTCGTCGCGGGCCCCAGATGTGAACCACGGAAACCGCATTCCCTCTTTACCACTTCGAGCGCCCTTCCCTTCAGACGACGGTCACGGCACGGGTGACGGCAACCATTACGTTCGCTTTCTTGCTCGGTCGCCGCTTGTGAAGTAGCGACTTCATGCATCCTTGACCGGGGCGCCACCTCTGCATTTCACTTACCTGACACCCCCTCGGACCTGTTTCCGATTGTAATGTGTAATTTGGAAACCACACTTAATGGCTCTGGGAACGTGGATCGAGAATCCTGAGAATCAACGGACCGACGCGGCGCAAAACCACAGGACCGGCAGCAACATGGAGACGGTACCCTCCTCAGCAGTATGCACCTTCGTTGGTGAAGGCGCGGCAAATGTCGTCTTTGAGCTCACGGGTGTGGCAGACCACCCAAACTTGAACGGTAGGGTTTCACGGCAATTCCCCCATGAGGTCCAGGACTGCACAGGCTAACGAGCACTCAGGCCAGTTGCTACGGCTGCCGAAGGACGAGTCGAGTGGCATGTCATATGCTGAGCTCCAGGACTACTGGGAGAACAAGGTTTCGCCTCTTTTCGAGCCGCATGAGCTCGTGCAGCAGAAGCTAGTCCAGCTACCCCAAGATCCTGAATTCTTCGACCGGCTCAACCAGCAACTCGAACAAATCGAAGAAAAGGGCACCCGCCGCCATGACTTTGCCGGCCACAGGTTCGCGCCCGAAGGCATGAAGACCGGCATGCTGGTCGAGGACATGAGGCCCAGGAGGGCGGGCGCATCACCGTCCACCGGGGATGACGACGATGGAGACGAAGACGACGACGACGATCTCTTCACGCTGCACGAGATCAAGCCCAAGTGGCTGCACCAGTCACCCCGGGCGCCCGAGGGCGCGGAGCAGTGCCGCAATTGCGCGCGCGAGGTGCAGCGCAACCTCAAGAACTCGACGCGCAACCCCGTCTTCTGCCCGCTGAACCTGGTCAAGGCCGTCGACTTCCCCCGGAACCAGCACGTCGTGGGGGACATCCGGCGGTCGCTGGGCCTGTCGGAGGCGCAGTCCGACAACCTGCAGGCGTGGCTGCGCGGCTCGACCCTGCTGCGCCGCCTGCGCACCGCGCAGTGGGACAACGACCACGCGCCCAAGGCGGTCGTCCCTGTCACCTCCGACGACAACAATGACGGCGGCGATGATGATGATGATGATGATGACGGCGACGACAACATATCTCGCTACTGCCTGGCCATGACGCTGCGCGACTGCAGCCTGTTCCTGCGGATCCCCAGGCGGCCCGGCGCGAAGGCCGAGGACGTCGTCGCCAAGCTGGCCGACATGGACAAGAAGAACTTTGGCGTCAAGCGCGAGTACTGGGAGGGCATGGAGCAGGGCCTGCACGCCAAGGGTCTGTACTGGAAGGGCGACGGCGTCTCGGCCGAGCTGACCGACTGCCAGTTGCCCTTCTACAAGGCTGGTGGGAAGAACCTGCCGCCCAACGTACGGACCTACTACCGGATCTAAAGGAGGATGGCAGTCTTGTGGGAGGTGAAGTTGGTTGCATTTTTGCTTGGTGGGTGCGCGTTGTTTTTTGTTTTAATAGACTTGGGTTGCGCGGTTTGCCTCATTATTGCTATTACTCTTGCTCTGGTCCTAGTTCTGGGCCTTGGGTTCGGACTGTCTGTCGCCTATGAGGCATACATACATACACTGGCGAGGCGTTTACAGATGCGCTGCTTTTTGGAAGCAAGGTTGGAATTATGCAGCATAGCCTCACGGCTTGGTTACTACGCTGAACAGGACTTCTGTCTTTTCGGTCTAGAATTCAATGGCATTGGTTTCCCACGACTTTGTTGATATCTTCGTCCGCTTCCAATCAGAGGCATCGTGAACCTTGCCTACCGACGTTGTCTAGGTATGTCTCTCCCGTTCACTCGTGCCTTCGGCATGGAAGCGTTGTCCGGCGGGCCTCATGTCCGACAGTGGTGATTCATGGGACGCACAGTTGCTTGAACTCGAAGCGCTGCGCCAGGGTATACCCTTCAACCGTGTCTTAGTGTCTCGAGGCTCTCTTGAGGCAGAGAGTGGTATGCGAGCGCATGCCATAAAGTCGTGGCAGTACTCACGGAATGGCATTTCATAAGTTTGAAAGTCCTGACTGCATTTTGTACTCTGCCCCCTCCCACCGACACAATCACTTCATCAAGCTGCAGGGATATAATTTTTGTTGATGAAGACTCTGAATACTCATGATTGTGAGGCTGTGTCGTGATGTCAGTGTTCAAGTCTGGCATCTCCTTCGAGACAGTCTCACACTTGAAGATCTCATTGGTATCGAATTTTATTCATCGCAACCAAAGCTAAAAGCAAGGCATAATAACACCGCTGTAGACCGACTGATGCAAGACGCCACCTTGAAAACCCCGTAATAAGAGAAGACCTCAGATCATCGTGCCCCGCTCGAAGCTGTCCCTAATCTCGGCCGTATATTTGTTGTAGAACCGCGCCAGCTTCTGGTTGAACTGCTTGTTCTTGTCGTTGATGTACGTGACGTCCGCATCGTCACCATTGCGGGCCTGGCGCTCCCGCCGCTTCTTGTTGGCGACCTCCTCGGCCTTCTTGAGCTCGCCGACGAGGCGATCGACGGCCTTCTTGTCGGGCTTGCTGTCGGCGAAGCCGGAGATGGCGTCGCCGCCACTGCCGCCGTAGAAGGTGCCGTCCTTGTCGACGGCGACCATCTCGCCGTCCTCGGTCTCGACCAGCTCCAGGGTGCCGCGGGCGGCGGCCTCGTCGATGGCGCGCATCTTGTCGCGCGTGTAGCGCTCCAGGTCCGGGTCGCCCAGGTTGTGCAGCTGCCGCTTGTAGATCTTGTTGGCCTCGCGCCCGTAGTCGGAGAAGGCGTTGTCGTCGCGGTGCCGCTCCTTCTTGGCCACGCGCTTGTCCCACTTCTCCGACTCGTCCACCGTCCAGTCCCACGCCCGCTTGCGCTCGAAGTCGCCGCCCGAGTCCTCGATGTCCGCCTTCAGCAGCTTGTTGGTCGCCACCGCCGACTTGCGCTGGATCGCGGCCAGCTGCGCCGGGTCGTTGGCCAGGCGGTGCGCCTCGCTCTGTGCGGCTGAGAGGTTGGATGCCGAGGAGGACTTTGCGCGGGTCTGGAGGGCGCGGAAGCGGGCCATGCGGTCTTGTATCGAGGCGGTGTTGGCCGAAGCAGTCGCGGAGGGTGGTTCTGGCGCATCTTCTGTGCTTGGTGGCTCGTCTGCTGGTGCGGGGGTAGGCACCTTTTCTGAGGGCTCTGGTGCAGTTGGCGTCTCGTCTGTTGTTGATTGTGGTGGTTGTTGTGGTGGTGATGGCGGTGTTGGCTGTTGCGTGTCGGCAGGCGGTGGTGATGATTCCTCCACTGTCGAGGTCGTTACCTGGCCCTTTTTGCCGCCCTTTGCGGTCTTGGCAGTCTTTCTCTTCTTTGCTGGAGGCATGTTCGATAGCACTTGTGGATTTGAAGTCCTGGTCAGGCGGGTATCGGAGGGAAAGACTGGGTGGTGAAGTGATGGCTTGGGGTAATGATTGTCTGGGCTGTCTATCCTAAGCCATATGCAAGAAACAGTCTAGCGGCTTTCTGCGTTGCTCGTACCCCTGCACAGCCCTGGCCTGACTGCACTGCTACGTCTACCTGTACACTCGAACTCCAAATATCTGAGGCGAAATTTCATACTCCAAATACTCAGTTTGAATGAAACCCAACATCACAAATTTCACATCCCAGAGCTCAAGCTTCACTTGTCAGATCAACTCCATGCTTCAAGTATTTTCCCACCTTTCGTATGATTTGGAGGTCCTCTCTATTTCCAGAGTCTCGCCAGCACGGGCCACCCTCCCATGAATCGCGATCTGCTTTACCCACAGTATGAGGCGGCTCAGAGTAAGAGACCCATCTGGGCTCTGCTGGGGGTGCGGCGGCTTTATACCATATACTCTGAGCCCTCAGAAGCGGAACATCATAGAGAAATACCCCAGAGGCGTTGCCATCGAGGGTTCGTCTCACAAAAGGATCCAACGAAAGAGACGCGTCGCGTTCGAGCTGCCAAATGTCGTGCTAGATCTCGACGCCGAGGACAGCCCACATGTTCGCCCTTTCGACGATCATGATGCGGCCCAGCAGAAAGTCAAATGGGGCTATAATCCTATCATCCCTGAGGTAGAGCAGCGTGTCAGTGTATTGACGACCGAGATGCTCGTCGATAGGAGGAAAATGAGCCGAATGCTGGCAGCCCGTCACAGCCCCTTCAAGATTTCGGATCTCGATGTGCTCTCGGTTGCCCTGCTCGGCGGCAAGTCGACTGTCTCCCCGCCGCCTGGTGACGGCACAATGGACTACAGAGCCGGGCGAACCAATTCGTTGTTGCAAGGCAGGGACCGGGCGCTGCATCTCAACGGCATACCAGAACGCATCCTGGCTGGGGATGCAAACACCATAATTCAATTTATGCTCCATCGACAGCGACTGGATCCCGCTACTAAAAGGCCTGCTTCAGTCGGCACCGATGGTGAAGCGGACAGACCGGATACGTTCAGACAGGCTATCGACCGCTGCAAGAGCCTTTCACAACTTGAAAGACTGTGTACCCACGGTCTGTCATTGGGACAGGATGCGATCAGCCCTGCCTCCGTGGACCACATTGCACACTACTTGAAGGGCTCAAGGAACATTTCGTACAGGCACAACACTAAGCAAGCCCTCAAATTCGTCAACAATTTGACAATGAGACAGCTCTCAACAAATGCTGGTCTCAATTCCTCCATGTCACTACTTGGTTTGGCCTTGGCAGTCGAGCTCCGCTTGCTGCCCGCAGTCATGCAATATTTGCATATTTGCTTGTCACAAGGATTCATAGGCAATGCTCAAGACAAGCCAGAGACGTTAGAAGCGGTTGCAAGTGGAATACTGGCGGCATTAGAACAAGGACAAGGGCCGGAAAGGGGAACTCGTCCAGAGCTGTTCACCTTATTGACCGGCCGGACTCTCGCCGGCTCTACAGTGCAGCCGTCCTTGTTCGGATCAGGCATCGTCAGCCGTGAAGAGGGATCTCTCCCTCACCATATTTACGTCCAGCTTCTCGGCCAACTGGGTGCCTTCCGGCTCTTGTGGCATTCGTGGAAGCCAGGCGCGGATGACAAGATGAGACAGCAGTATGAACAGCTCTACTTCAGAGCCTTCATTCGCTGCGCCGAGGTGCTACACAACGCCGAGGTCGTCACTGGGCTGGATTGTACGACAGCGACGGGAGATCTGGAAAGGGATGCCGAGCTCGATTTGCAAGCTATCAACGCATTGGATGCGTATCATGCTTCTTCGACGACCTCGCAAGCGCCCTATGCCTCGCATGTTAAAGATTTGCTCACATGGGGCGACATCAAAGAAGTGTTCGAGAGTGATGGAATACACCAAGCAGCGGCACGGATCAATGATCTAATGGCCAGGATATGATCGAGAGCAGCCTAGTCCTCGGCTGCTTTATCTAGTCACCGGAAACGACTGCTTCAGCCTTGCAGTCAGCCATGGGGGTTGCCAAGGTCGTGCGGATGCAAGTCTCTGCCGAGCCACCTCATCACCTGGGTCACATCAACAAGCCGGAAGAGTGTGGCGGCAGGTAGCGTACGTCCAGATCTATGGTTCAATTGGTCCGGACGTTGTACAAATCCAGCAGCCCATCGCGAAAACAGATGTGTCGCGAACACCGATAGTACCGAACAAGTCAAATAAGCCACCGGCCGTGGTTTTACCTTGGAATAATCGAGAAATCAGCCGCATTCAGGACACAGAACAACATGGGCACGCAGAATATCACACTTAATTTCCAAAAAATTCTGTAATCTGGCACTTTCGTTGCGAATTGAGGCTGACATGACTGTGTGGGCACCTTGATACTGTGTGACCTAGATGCTGACAATTTGGCCGTATGAGGAGCATCGTCAAAGCATGGCTCTCCCTCAGCAACAAGCCATCCCGATCGGTTCCCTCCCCTTGTTACATCAAAGCCCGTGTCTCTGTCAGCCCTGCAGACAAGTGGACCACCGCCTTTCACCCAAGCTGCAAGCTGTCGGCCGACTGCCAGGGATGAGCTGTGAGAGGCGACCGCCGATTGCCAAGCTCAGCAGCAGCTCACGCCGGGGCCCTATTGGGTATGTGCCGGGATCACAACATGTATGTAGGTCTCACCTGCAAGGTTCCTTGAATTACCTTACGACACACCTTGATGCCGGCGTGTTCGGCAAGCTACAGCTGTGGCGCGCAGCTTGCAGCTTACCATGCAGCTTCCCCCTCTCCACGCCGCCAACACGAAGCCTGGCTTTCTTAAGCTACCTCTGCAACGCTTGTTGGGACCTATCATGGCGCTCGTGTTATTCTATCGTCAGCGCCGGCGCCGGCACGCCAAGGAGGTGGCACGATGTGGTCCGACGCAGACCAGCCATGCTGTTCATCGATGTTGCCTGGTTCCGTCGAGCTGGGTCTACGGCTGAGTTTACGTGAGGGCGGGAGGCGCTGAGCCTTTTCCCACTAGTTGCAGATTTGACTCCGCGTTCATCTTGAATTTTCCTCCCCGACGGCCTTAGGCAAGGACATCTCACATCATCTGCCGTTCGTTATCCATCTCGTCTGTTCCCTGTGTTATTGTCACCGCCTCCCGCCCCTAGTATCTTGTGGGAGCCCTCTCGTTGTCCCATCTGGAGATCACTTAATCCATCCGACAGTCTGGACGATCTGCTCGCGTCGCCGCACCGCATGAATATGCGAAACCTTGAATCCTGCGACATCGAAGGATGAGAGATCCGTCTCCTCGCTCTTCACAGCTCGTGCTAAGCCGAATGCGACCGCCATTTTGGGCCTACCTTGAGGCTCCTTTGCAGGATGACGTCCTCCTCGCTGCCGTACCTGGCGGTCTTTGCTCTACTTGTCCCTCGGTCATGGCAGCAACGAGACCCGGTACAAGATTTCTGTCGGCGGTTTGGTCACCAATCGACTATCATAGACGACAAGCTATACATCGACGGCGGTCTGATAAATTGGAATCCAATTTCAACATATCCTCAAAACTACTCCAGTGAGTCTGTTTTTCCTGAAACGAGTGAGAGCAGATTTGAACGAGAATGCTTGCTTACATTGGCCCCATCGTTCCAAAGATACTTGGCTCTCGTATCATGACCTGCAAAGGAATGGCGCAAGTGGCATGCCTCAATTGCATGCCAACCTCTCGAAGAACGCATCTATCCCGGACGTCAGTGGGGGGATCCTATGGGGCGACGACATCAATAAGCAGTTTTATCTCTTCGGCGGGGAGTACTACAACACACCACCCACGCCCTTCAACCTGTACTCATACGATGTACTCAACGACTCATGGAATAATCTGGGTCCACCGAGCCAGAGCGGGATCAATCCGGTATCTTATGGCGCAGGCGTGGGCATTTCGGAGCTGGGGTTGGGCTTCTACTACGGCGGATGGCTTTCCAACAACTCGGTACCAAGCTGGTCAGGCCCACCTATGGCTACGACCGGCTTGATCAAGTACGATATGGACCAGGGTTCATGGACGAACAACACAGGGCCGGATTCGACGCGGAGGGCCGAGGGGACAATGAACTATATACCAGCCTCGGATGGCGGGCTGCTGATCTACTTTGGTGGAATCCAGGACCAGGAAAATGGCACAACCACAGGTCAGCCTATGGACGAGATATTCATATACGACATCCTCAGCGGGCGATGGTACAAACAACAGACATCTGGCACGACGCCACAGATGCGAAGTAGGTTCTGTTCTGGGGTAACGTGGGCGGATGACCAGTCGAGCTATAATATGTGAGTCTCGAGGCAAGCACCCAGGGCGGCCGGACATGGCGTTGACTGATTATTGCAGATATCTGTATGGTGGTGCTGGTATGCCACCGGATACTTCTGGCTTCGACGACGTGTATATATGTATGTCTTCATACTCCTCGCTCTCAGAAATCTCTCTGACCCTAGCCACAGTAACAATTCCCACTTTCACCTGGATAAAGCTATACCCTAACGATGGAAATGTCACTGGCCAGTACCCCCATCACAGTCTGAGTTGTAACGTAGTCAACAAGGGACAAATGCTTGTCATCGGTGGTACTTTCCCACTCAGTGACGAATGCGACGTAGCCCCTCAATGGGGGATGCACAACCTCGTGCTGGGCCAGCAGGCCGACCCAAATGCGAATCCGTGGCAGCTACACTCCACAAACCTAACGACGTACGCGGTGCCAGACGAGATCATCTCCGTGGTGGGCGGCCAGGCCACGGGCGGAGCAACGAGGACAGCACCTACCGGTGGTTTCGACAACTCCGATCTCAATGTCCTCATGACGAAGCGGGCTACCATAGCAGCTCGAACCCCAACACGGTCCATTCCCACCGCCACAGGCGACTCCTCGTCCTCCAACGGCACGCACCTCAGCACCGGCGCGATCGTGGGGATAGCAGTGGGCGGCGGCGTGGCCCTCATCGCCCTGGTAGTCGGGCTGTGCATGTTCGTACGGAGACACCGAAGATTCCGCTACGGCGCCACGGGAGGCCGGCACTCCGGGCCCAAGTCCAGCGCGGGAGGGAGTAGCAGCCCGTACACCTTTGGGCCGGGAGGCACGCCGTGGAGCCCCAACAGCGCCTACAGCGGCGCGGCCCACACCCACGACGCGCACACGCCGAGCAGCTACGGGGCGCCGCCGAGCCCGTTTGCAAGGCGGCCGAGCAACATCAACGTCCAGCAGGGGCCGGCGGAACTAGCGGCGCCCGTGCCGGACGGCCGGGACTACGACATCTCCCCGGGGGCCGCCATGGGGGGCATGGTCGACGGTAGGGAGTTCGGGGCGCAGCGGCGGTCGCTGAGGACGTCCCACCGCAGCGTGAGCTCCTCGGGCGCGGTGCCGTTCTACGGCGACCAGCCCAAGTTCGATGACTCCGGCCGGCCGTGGTACCCGCAGGTCAGCCGGATGGACGAGGGACCCTTCCCGAGCCCGCGGTCGGTGTCGAGCCACAGCCCCGGGTACAGCCCCGCGCAGGAGATGGACTCGAGGTGGCCGCTGGGCGTGACGGGACACACCCCGCCGGGCGAGACGGATTCGGGGTCGGATGATAGGGCCCGCGAGGGGAGGGGCGGCGCGAGGCATGAGACTTTTTATCATCCTTAGGTTAGGCGCTTAGGCCGTGTCTCTGGAGACAAACCGTATGATGGGCGTTTCCTCGGCGGGTTTTGTAGCGAAATAGCGTCTCTAATTTCGGGAATTTCTTCACTGGTAGAGATTATTGAGTGTTCAGGAGTCTCACCGACGCAAAGGGGCTAGAGTCCACGAAAGACGTGCCTACGGAGTGAACCCTGACTCCGTTCACATTGACATCATTGTGTCGAGTCTGGAGATGAGATAGATCCTTGCATTCCGGCCCTCCTTCCTACCTTTGCCCTTAATCTCGCGGTCGCTTAGGAGCCGTATTTCTCTCCCCTTCCAATTTTACTATCCTAGCGATCAATACCTACGGGTGCCATAACGATACAAAGTCCGCAGAAAGAAGCAGACGCCAGGAGTGTCCAGGGGTCATGTTCTACAGCTCATCAAGCACGTCCTCGGACCGCATGTGACGTCTCATATGCATGGAGTACGGCCGAGACCTTCCGCAAAACACGGCAACGACGTCTACCCAGACCGGGACTGGGGTGGGCTCCCGGCCGTCCTGTACAGCAGCCTAACCATCCAGGTCCTGCCCCATGTTGGGCATCCTCCCGTGCCGCGCCCAGGCCGTGTCTCCGGTAGAGTACTATAGATATACGGTACACACAACGGTCCCGGGGCAGCAAGGCTTGGGGGGGGGGGGGTCTCACTTTCCTTCCTTCTTCCTCGTCGTCCTAAGCGATCGGCTGAGTCAATCCCCACACCGACCTGCATCACGTCAAAGTATCACCTAGACGAGAACCCTGATGGTGTATGTGGCTCTTGCTTCCATACCATGCTTTTTCTTCTCCTTCTTTTGCCTTGCCGCAGCTCGTTCCTGTCACGGTTTCTGTCAAATGACGGCCGGGCGGGCATTGCTTGTGCCCGCTCTCGACAAGGAGATGGTGTGATTGCTGAACCTCTATGGGCCGCTGCCACATGAGACACGGCGCGTGTGCCTTGTGGATGTGATGGTGATGGTGATCCAGCCAGGTGCCTACGAGCCAGGCACAGACCCCCAACTGCAAGGTTTGACCAAGAATGCTCATGGAGGAAGTCGATGATTCATGGGGTCAAGATAGGTGATGTGCCCGCCCTCACGGGAGTCAGTTCTCGTGATGAGAAGAGCGCGGGACCTTGGATAGGGAGGCAGTTGGCGAGGCTCCACCGTCATCCTGACGTCCTCGCGGGCAGACGGACAGCAATATGCCTCGGTCTATCTGTAACACGAGGCTATTGTCGGAACAGGCACAAGCAAGGGCGTCGCTCACCGTCCGCTGGAGATCATCTATATCGCTCACCGATCAATATCGCGCATCATCGTCCCGTCGGGAAGAGAGAGGACGGAAGTAATTGCCTCAGCCCCGCCAGCCATCCGCCGGTTCAATGTTCTGGCGACGCAGGCCAAGAGGGAATCAAATCCGTGCCCGCAACGGGCTACTTGCAGGTGCAGGTTCAGGCCCGGGTTCCCTCCTTGCGTCCCTGCCGGTATCTCTGTCACTTGGCCAGGTCCCAAGAGACTGGACCGTGGGATTTTGGCTTCCCGTATCTTGTCACCCCACGCCCTACCAGATATCTTGGTAAATAGTCTACTTTCTTCATCCAGTCAATACCGTTTTGCGCGAATGGTCCCACGGGTCATGATCATGGCCAGCCAGGCAGGGATATGATCAGGTGGGCATACGCGCAGCAAGCCACGGCTAACCGCATGCACAATATCGAGGGTGAATTGGGCCTGGTGTTTGCTGATTGGCCTGGGAGTGAGAAAGTGGGAGGGGAGCCGCGGCTGCCAGCGGTACTGTCCTCTGCCCCTGCTTTCTCACGATAAGAATAGGATAGGATGCGATTGCGAGCTGGATGGAGGCATAGGGAGGTCGGAGGCATAGGGAGGGTGTGATTGTGGGATGGGTTAGGTTGAGCCACGCTGCCGAACCAGGACGAACCGAGGCCCCCCTTCCCTTCTTCTCCAAGATCCTATTCGGCGTACCTGCAGCTGAGCAGGGCGAGGCCCTTGCGCAGGAGCGCTTAAAGAGGATGATGTGCGATGCGAGCAAGGTGTTGGGTGAGACGAGTCCCATGCGAGACATCACACACGAACACATACACACACACACTTGCACACACCCACATCGCTCGAGTGGCTGTTGGTTGTTGGCCGAAGAGTCTAGGAAGGGTGGCCTGGGATGGGGTTTGCAATTGGCTGCAGCTGGCCGTGTTGTGTGGACGAGAAGAAGAGGGCCGGAAAATTCAAAGATCTGTATCCGGCTGTCAACCTGTCAATCCGGACGTCTAGAACCTCACCCTGAGGGACGGCGCTGGTACAGGACTGGGGCATGCGTGCATGTGGGCTGTGAGCCGTTGCATGCCCTCGCACCAAAGAAGTGACGATGTGCGTCAATGATGCCGCTCATTTCCTAATCCAAGTTAAACAGCGGGACCTGGCGTCGAACAACGAGCGACCGTTTTCACACCGTTCCTTTGCTTTGCTGGTGGTCGTCGTGTCGAAAGATTTCGGCCCCCATTCTGTTTCCAGTATGGGCCCCTGAGCAACACTTATTTCTTCATCCCCTGTGGGCTTTTCCACCAAGGGCCCCTGTGGGAACGCCCAAGCTCTCGTGGCTTTTTTCCCCACAGGGAACCTCGTCGAACCGAAGATGGCCGGCTTCGTGCTCGATTCATAGGCCCAGAGGGCTACCGCTAGATAAAATTTCAGCACGTTGCACAGTACACGTAGGGCGGAGGATTTCGCTTGGGCGCCCTTGATGCCTCACGTTGGGGCCTCTCATTTCGTCCAGGCCGCGGCCGAAAGTGACGGGAAGGCGACCCCCGATATTTCTGCAACGCACTGAAAGAGAAAAAAAAAATTGAACAAAACAAATGCAGGGGCGATGCAGGTGCATGAGAGATACAACATGAGATGCATCGACCAGAGTTCGAGAAGCTGATGAAATGACAAGAACACATCATCATCCCGCTGACTCCGTAGATCCCCCTCCCTCCCCGTGACCCATTCCAAAAAGGTCACCAGATTCCCCATTAAAAAGGGGATATTGCCCCAGGCGTTCGACCGCTTCCCGTCCTGCCATTGCCCACCCCCGGCAGCTCCATTGTTTTTTTTCGACTGTTACCAGATGGCCATGTGCACCAGCTTAGGTGGCATGACAGTCGCTCACCGGGCGGGCGTAAATCCCACGATTCATTCCCAGGGTTGGGTGAGGGTACTGTAGGGGGCGCGGGCGGTCGCAAGCGCGTGTTGAACCTTGGAAGCGGGGCGGAATTGTGATATTTCACATCCGTTTGCACAATCAGCGGGCGGTAAGGCGCGTGGACTGGGGCCCTGCCGATGAGATCACAGAGCGGAACTGACACATACCGTACCCGTGCGTGCACTTTTTAAACTTTCTCATCGTCTCCAGCTGAGAGACGTGTTCTCGAAACATGAGCGATGCCCACCGCCTGGGCCGCCCCCGGTGGGGCAGTGGCCGCCCCCCTTGGAACGGGGTCGGGAAGCCGGTGAAGGCCCCCCGGAACGGCGGGATGTCAGAGAAGGGCTCCGTCCGGAATACCACTCTGGCTCCGGCTTTGGGCACTCTGGACCCTACAGCCTGGGTACACTGTGGGTTCCAGTAGGGCGTGGAAACGTGAAATTTCTCCATGATGGGCCGCAAGCGAGGACGGTTTTTTTCTTCGGCTCCCTTTTCCGCACCCTTGTATGGACATGGCATGACCGAGTATACGGGGTACAGTGTTGCAAAAGTCTTGTCTGACGGCATGCCAAATTCGGGATTTCCGGGTGATAGAAACGGTGGTGGCTTTCTAGCTACTGCAGGCTCGCTATAGTAGTTGATCCTGGTGTGTGAAACACATGGCGATCTTTCGCTCCTGGGGGCAAGAGGTCTTTGATGATAGTGCTCACAAGTCTGCAGGACTGCAGCAGTTTTCCTAGCAGTAGCAGTGTGAACTGTTAATTGAGATTCCGGGATCGCCCTGCCCATCTGCAGTACGCACACAACTCGGTGATGAGCAGCCGCTCTGGGTCTGATTGAACTCGTGAGACATGCATAGGCATCACCTCCGCTGCCCCGTGCATATATTACGTAGATAGTAAACTCGACATATGCACTGTAGCCGACACAGGCAGGCAGATTGTCCGTTGCTGCAGGGTGCAAGAACAGATGCGGGGAAGCTACAAATTGTCAGACGAGGAGGATCGTGAGCCCCCCACGCTCTCAGATATGAATGTTGCGAAGAGGCAGGTTCAGCGATGATCGGTCAGGCGGAGGCCGAGAGGCGACCGACCACGGCATGCTCGGCATAATATAGGGCAAGCCTCCCGAGCGTCCGAGGCATACACTTCCGAGCGATCCAGAGGCCGTCTTTTCGCGTATCTTTGAGTAGCACTGCTTTGCTTTGCCCTGACAGATAAGGGACCTGGCCTTTGCCTCGAATTGGGTTGGCTTGCATGCAAGTTGGGGATCCAGGACCAAGAAAAGGCGCATGCGGAATGATGCAGAAAAAGGGTCCGATTTGTGTATGAGGAATAGAGAGATCTTGCGGCTGGACAAGTGTACGCGCAAGCTCTGCTGCAGTGTAAATATCGCTCTTCGAATGAAAGAGAATGAAGCAGGTTTTTTTTCTCGGGACGTCAACTTGACGAGCCACGACGCCGCGTCAATCATGGCAGGCTTTGGGGGAGGAGGGGTGCCTGTGTGAAGAGCTGAGCATTCCCGGCTCCTCGTAGGCCATGTTTTACACAGAGGCAATGAACGTCAGTCCTGTCAATCCAGGTGTGTCATCTCCTCAGCCCTGTGGTGTTTCTATCTTAGGAAATCGATGTGTTGATGTTTTCCCGTGTCGTGCAAAAACGCGTCGATCCCGATCTGTCAAAACCTTGCGGCTCCAGACTTTCGCCGGCCTCGCAAGGAAGAGCCCTGGTAAAGGCTAGGGCTTGTCATCAGGGTTCTCAACTGAGACCAACATAAAGGGCGAGGGGTTTGCGCAGGGGGGGGGGGTGGCCGTTGGTGTCCTGCCAAGGCCCAAGTCAGGAACAGACTTTTGACCTTTGGCACAGTTTGGGAGCAAGTTTGTTTGGAGCGGAGTTGACCAGAGGCTCGTGACTCAAAGTGCTCGAGATTCGTCTATGATGGTGAATATGAGGTAATTGTTTCTGGCTTTCTGAGACACGGCCGGGGCTCGGCTGTTATGTGAGAGAAACTCTCTAATTGATCGAGGATGAGGTCATGCGGTTTGGGCTTGATGATTCGTGATTTCTAGCCTGGTAGCACCATTGTCATCCATTTGGCCTAGGCGCCCGGCTCGAGGCTCCATCCAGGTTCGCATCAACAATAGTCGAGGTACCTGACGCCATCGATGAGGCTCAGTTCTGATTCTTGCTTCTGCTCCATAGGGCGTCAGGGCGTGCAGGCAGGCAGACTCAGTGCCGCCAACGGTCCCATCTACGTGCAGGACGGTACAGCACGGTACATGGCTGCGTTGCGTACCCGGTATTATCAGGTCCACCGTCTCTTCGCTTCGTTGTGTGTTGTATATGTACTGTAGGGCAGAGTGACAAGATACCAGCCTATTGAGCCAGATCGGTGCGCCCAGAGGAACGATCGCAAGTCGAGCCCTTCACCGACAGATGCCGCCCCAAGGACTGGCCCTCTGTGCTGTGCGGGCGTGGAGCACTGGAGCTTTCCCCTTGCGCACCCCATCGCCCCAGGCTTGGCCAGCAGAGCTTGGGGAAAGCATCGCCAGGCACCGGGAGCTGAAGTTGCTCTTAGCTAATGGGCGGGCGTGGAAGGCACCGGCGCTGAGCAGATTCCTGCCAGCTGTGCAACAGTTACAGCTCATCATTCGCTGTTGCTGCATGATTCTTGTCGATACTGCCACTGTTTGTCATGTCATGCACCGGGAAGGCTTCCGCACGCAGGCCTCAGTGCATGACGACGGAAAGAGGGGGTTCGCAATATGTATTTACTAGTACTGTGCAGCGCATCGTGCAATAGTGCTGCGTACCACGTACCCATGATGGCACGGTGGCAGAGCAAAGTAGCTTCGCTTGTCTTGACCGGCGTAGCGAAATGCTTGCTTGCTTTGTTGGCTCTGGATCTGGCTGTGCTCTTGCGGGGCCCTCAAGGTTCCAAGACAAGGTTCGTTCGTGCTGCCCTCAAGCAGCTAAGCTGGGAGAACATGGTCGTGACGGCTAAGTCATATTATTATTACTCATGAGAAACACGCTCCTCCATGTGATGAAGCACATGTAGCTGCATCTCATATTCGGAATGTTTTGTGCCTGGAGGTCCCTGGACCCTGTGGAACTGACAGACAGACAGACTGACTGGCTGGCTGACTGGAGGTTCGACCCGCCGCAGAGCAACGTGCTACGTGCCTGGCTTCACAAGGACGGGCCAATCACAGGAGCTGTCCGGGACATGTTGTATTGGCGGGCGACAAGATTGCCTCCATCCACCCACAGTGGCCTTTGGATATCGTGTTTGCCCGGGCGCCTTGTCAGCCTCGGGGACAGACACGTTCCTGACAGGCCTGGAGCAGAAAATTTTTTCCATCTGTCAGGGGCGCTGTGACATTACAATCTTTGCGCAAACGCGATAGGAGGCCGGCTGGCCATGTTGGGTGTGCAGCTGAGTCACAGGAAGCAATCGTGATGAAGGATCAAAACACACCAGGCAGGAAAAAGAGGGCACCCAAGGAAAATCTCTGAGATCTAGACTCTGGCGGTTTCCCATGGCCCAAAACGGTTCCGCTTTCGGCGACATTGTGTGACGGTACCTGGGCAGTGACGGTAGGATGAATGAAATGGATGAATGGATGGATGGATGGATGGGTTGTTTCACCGTATCGGAACAGTCGCGGTCGCAGTGTCTCCCCCAAGGCTCCCAGCTCGAGTGGGGACGGTCTGGGACGGCGGCCTGGCTGGCTGGTGGCAGGCATGGCGGGCTGGCAACTGGGACTGGGACTGGGACTGGGACTGGCAACAACTGCAACTGCCAAAGCAAGAAACCCATGTCTTGGGCAATGGGAAGCGGGCACCTGGCCACCTGCCCCATTGAAGCGAAGCGAGCATGCACGTACCGGCGTGCCGTACCAGAGTACGAGGGTACCAGGCGACCAGGGAGGTTGCAAGGGTGCCCAGGGTACACACGCGTACACGTACTGAGTACCGATACGGGAACGTCGGATGACCCAAGCAGCAATTCTGCGTACCGGTACTTGGAGCCATGCCTCAGACCGACCGGGCAACGTGCATTTCAACAGGTCCATCCAGGTCCATCTAAGGTTCCATCCACTCCAGGCCCAAGCTCCCTGGGCGTCCATTATTACAGTTACTGCGTACTGTAAGATGCCAGGCCCAGAGGAGGGGAGGGGTGGAGTGGAGGGGAAAGGTACATGGTCCCATACTGTATTGTGTACTGTCGCCCAAGTCTCTCCTTGGCCCTTGCCCACGCCCTTGTTCCCAGACTGGCCTGTGCAGCGCTGCAGAAGAGCAGCAGCAACAGCAGCAGCAAAAGAGCAAGGCACAGAGAGAGAGAGAGAGAGAGAGCAAGTAGTTAGTGACAGTGCAAAGCAGCTCACCTCATCCCGCACGCAAGAAAACGAACTTGAGCAGGCGGGCCAGACCACACGCGGAAATAAAGAGTCACAGGTTCCTGCGAGCCCAGGGAATCCGCTTCTCCTCGTCCAAGACCACATTACATATACATACATTACAGATCACAGATCCAGTGCTTGCCAACTCTGGTCTTTCTGCTCCTCTTTCTGCAACTCTGATGCAGTGTCCCTCGTTTCAACCGAACCTCGAGCTTCTTATATCCCAAGGCACCATCCCATTCCCGGACTCTCGTTCCCCTTGCCCTTTGGCCTACAGTACACTGCTACTGCTGCACTGCTGCACCGTTGCAATTGACAATTGATTGACTCTTGCTCTCTTGCTATTACGTGCTCGCACAGCGAATCCACCTCATCCTTCGACAGCCCAAGCCAAGGCAGAGCAAAGAAAGGAAGAAAGCAAAGCAAAGCAAAGCAAAGCCAAGGACTTAAATACTCACACAGGCATTCCCGCTCTCTTACTTGCTCCAATCCCCTCGGCTTCTCCCAGGTTAGGAACAACACCGGTCATACCAACAACAACATCAAGGAAACCATTCTCCCATTTGGCAATTTCTATAACTTTGCTCTTTGTCCACAATAGGCCAATCCTAGCTTTCCTCCCCACAGGACACAGGACACAGGATAAGGATATACCGGAATCAGGATTCAGGACACAATTCCACTGGTTTGGACCGTTTCGGAGCATCCGTTGTCTATCCGGGACTGTACATACCGTACAAACACACAGGCACCAGCCATCACCGCTGCTCACCCCCTCGCAATTCAATTGGCATTGGCGCCTTAGCATAAGACAACCCCCCCAAGTCTCGTGCCTCCGACTCGGAACCCGTCAGGAGGACAAGACACGCATTGCATTGCCGTCATCTCACGACAAACAAGCCTCACTGACCGCGGATCCCTACGGTCTGCCCTCTTGTACACCTGCCGGGTCTTTTATACTTTGGCACCATTAACGCCGGCCTCGCTCCAGAAAGCGACCGACCGTCGCATCCAAGCAGCTGCAGGACTTACCGTCCCTCATCCATCCTGGCACTAGCGGTCACACATCATCGAGGAGCCGTGTTAGCCCTGCGGAATCCCTGGCAAGCCTGCTACGATCCCCCTCTAGCGGGCAAACGACGTCGACTTGGCTGTCAACGCTTGCAAGGCAGGCCGTTGGTCTGGCACATTAGTCAATCCCACGAGTTCCGAGGACCAGAAACGGCACGGTACAACAGCCCAACCCACGCTATCTCTCACGCAATTCGACGCGACACTGCTATCAGCGGTTGCGCAAGAGTCAGGAAGACTTCCCATATTCTTTCTTATTATTATTATTATTATCGTCGTCTCTTCTCTCCTCCCTGCGCTGCTGCTCTGTCCTGCTCCTCAATTTTCAAATCCATTTGCCACCTGCAAGTCGATACGAGCACAAACCTGCCAATTCCTGCTCACAAGTCCACGTCCACGCACGCCATCCACCTACTAGTACCCGTCTTTCCACCACACCCATCTTCAGCCTGCTGCATATAAGGACCGAACCCGCGCACCCCTAGCGCCCACCACCCCCCTCGGATTGCTCGTCTCTGGTCTGTCCGCTGGCAGCCACCGAGCCAACCAACATCACGGACCAAATTGGGATCCCGTCGAGAACACAGCAGCGAACCACTGGCCTTTCCCCAGATATTGGACCCCGCTGCCTTCCCCACGTCCTGAAAGGACCCTTGGTGCGAAACGGCCAGCCAACGAGCGAGCAGTGTGGCTCGTTCCCATCAGCATACAAGACCGGCCCATCGCCTCTTCGCACTCTCAATCCTACCTCATGCACCACCACCGAAGGAAGTCTGGCCACGGGTCTGCCAACACCTCTACCACAGACGTGAGGAAAGCCGTCACAGTCTCCGACCTGTCTACAAGGCATAAATCAACACGACCAGCAATGACACGAAGGACAACACCCCACAAGCTGGGCAAGAATCTCCGAGAAAGAGAACGAGACATGGACGACGAGTATTGGTTGTCCGTCGAGCATGAGAGAGAGAGTTTCCCACAGTTCTGGTAGGTTTCACTGGTTCATTCACGCGGTTGCATCTCCCGCCATCCCCTCGCGAGACCATGGTCCCTCCATCCTGCACGCACTCTCTTTGACTGAGTCATCGATCCAAAAATTGTCACAACGCACAACGGGCGCGCGCATTTTTGGGGTAGTGGAGGTGAAGCTGGGCGGCAGCGTGCTGTACCTGCATCTATAATCTGCCAAGGGCTCCTGGGCTGACTTGTCAATGTTTAGCATGACCTGCGAGAAGCAATTCGTTCCTCAAGATGAGAAGTTCCTATACTGCTCTGAATCGTGAGTAGTCCTCCTTTTGCTGTACACAGCGATCCTGTCCATACTGACGAGGAAACAGTTGTCGCGCCAGGGACCACAACAATGTGTCCGTATCAAGCATGACACCCAGGAGTCACGGCCACAGTGGCCGTTCCACTCACAACTACCCCTTCTACGCTGCGGGCACACCTGAGCCAAAGGACATCATCCCTAGAGCCTCGCCTTCCAGACCCAACTCTATGCATCTCTCCCCGCCGACGTCGCCCACCAGCAGCAGCCACCACACGTCAGCCATTTCGGCGCTTAGGTCGCTGTCTATCCGAGAATCAAGCCCACCCACACCGCCTGGCTCTTATCCCAGCGGCGTGTGGCCTTTCTCATCGCGCAGCACAGCAACGAGTCCCAGCACGTCGTATGGCACGCGGCCCACTTCGATGTACTCCACCTACGACAATTATGGCTACACGATGGCCTCGTCGGGCACAGCGGACCGACCATTACCATCGCGCCGCCCCGGCGGATATTCGCGACCGAAGAGCATCGAGCTCGTCACGCCCATGACCAGCCGGTGATGATCAAAATAGAGTGGCACGGACGGCACACGGACCCTACCCTGGCTACAATCTTACACACCTCGCGGCATCATGCATATGTTTGCTGGTCATGTGAACACCCAGCACGCAAAAGGCGGGCCACACCTTGGCGCTCAGCCGCTCACGTTGTGTGTTCAAAATGAAAGCTCACATGCAGCTGAGTGGCTGATTCAGCGTGACAGAACCCCTGGATGGGGTGCGTGGGTGCAGGATCAAGCTAAGGCGGGAAAGATGCTCTGTCACAATTTTAACATGTTGGCACTTCAGCCTATTCCGGGAAGAGGCTGCTTACGTCTACCACGGTGTGATTGCCCATTATGGCGATACTCATTTTCCAGCTCGGCGGCGCTGCGGCTGCCACCGAGGCCGATCGGCTTTTCCATGTTTTTGATCGCGAATTTTCTTGCATCGGATTCTTCAAACCACCCCACAAATCCCATTTACGGACTTCGAGTGGGAGGTTCGGAAGTGCTTCCCACGGGCGCTACCACAGTGTCCACGTTGGGAGGCTGGCTAACCGACCCGCATTGGGGACTATTGCCAATGGAGTACGAGTCATGACCAGGCCGGCGATGATTGCGGCTAAACACGGCGTGGGGGTATACCATCTTGCTGCCTATCGCAAGGAATTCGTGTGGTGCGCATCGCGGATGGCGTCGGTTTCTTTCGATTCTGTTTATTTCCTCATGGGATCGGCGTCTCACGTATCAGCATACCTCATAGGCGAGAGGGGCATTGGCGCACACAAGTCAGCAGTCGTCGACATTGGCCGATTTACGAATTGATGGTCGCCTGGATGAGGCGCACAGTGCAGCCAACGCATTGAGAAGAACCTGCCTGGTGGGCAGGCTCTTTTGCAAGCCTTGGACTTGTTTTGTTGGCATCGTTCATTTACCTTTTTTTTTTTTTCAGCATTTTCTGGGCAGGGCAGGATTGGGACATTATACCACACATCATCATTTGCGGGCGCTGGGCTGGGACAGGATGGCGGATTGGATATCTCACGCCGTGTCTAGGTAGCGAATAAAAGTTTTCTTCATTAGCAAACCCGAACCATGCCTGCCATTCCATTGTGTCGCGGGCTGCCTCCCGATCGAAACGCCTTTTCAGCAATGCGCACCGTCCGTCGCCCAAGCTTTCATCGGTCTGATGGCGAAACAAAGCATGTTGTGTGGACCGAACAGCTCGGGTTCTGCGACCAGATCTGAATCGTATCTGTGGATTACGTGATGCCTGTTCGCGAATCCGAAGCTCCCCTCTTGCTCTTCTCTCTCTCGCACAAACATTCCGAGAGGGAAAACTTATCCTCTGACCTGTGTCAACGGCAGAATTGAAACCGGGAGCCCGTCTCGGGGGCGGCGGGCTATCGAACCTCTGGTCCCCCGACCCCCACCCCCGGCGGACGAACCCCCGGCTGCTGCGGAAACGAAAAGCGTATCGTCGCCGGCACGGAAATTGTTTTGGCTGTCATACCATGTCTAGTCAAAATCATATCATCACCAACCCAAAAACCCAGCCAATCTGAGGCTGATATCTGTCGCCTCTTGCTTGGTCCGCACCGTGACTTTGCTTTGTTTTCTGTGGGGGGCTCCCCCTTCGTCACAGTGCAGCGCAGGGTTCGCGGAATATCTTTCTGGTTTCTAGGGGACCAAGGGACGATCCGCCCTTCCCTCCCCCCCTCCCTCTCCCAATCTCTGTCTCTGTGGCCGGCCCCCTTCCGAGATAATAGAGCACCATGCCGTGCGTTGCATTTGCATGCATGCAAGGTCTGCGTGCATGCAGCGACCGAGCAGAGCCGTCGGCGGGCAAGTGGGGCCCTTTCCCGAGGGCTGCTGCTTTGCTTCCCTTGTCCATTTTTTTTAATTGACTTGGGGACTGACTCTGCCCGTTTCTACGTGCCTGTGGGCATGTCGGGTGCTTGACGTATTTTGCGTTTTCTGTCTAGTAGGGCACGAAGCTTGTATCGCTATGGGCAGGCAGGGTAGTATCACGTACGATACTTGCATGCCCTACAACGAATACACAGTATTTACACCAAAAGCAAGGTACGTGCATGCACACAAGAGTCGGGGACTTTTTTTTTTCTTTTTGCTCCGCTCGTCCCTGCGACGGCACATCGAGGATGCGTCTCCTCCTGCAGGGCAGCATTTCTCTCTGGGCGGCAGACATTGCCGCGCCAACAACATTGGCAGGGGGCCTTGTTTGCCCAAGCTGTGTGTGTTAGACCAAGAGTCGATCGTTGATCCCATTCCCGCGAATCCAGCTGCGCCTGCGCGTCAGGCTGCATGGGTTGCATGGGCGCTAGAGCGGCGAGGAAGGAGGATGGAAGCGGGAGCGAAGATAAAGAACCGGGAATCGAAGGGCGTCTCTTGTCTTTGTTCTGTTCCGGTTTCTGGGGGGAGGGGGGGAGGTGACGATGCATTGCATTGCATTTCGCCCATTGATGTCCGTTTCTTGTGTATGTATGTGCAATGCTGTGTCTCCATTCATTGCCTCTTTTCTGGCCCCCCCAAGTATTATTACCCTTTGCGTCCCCGGCTGCAGGACCGAGAGATGCAATGTGACCAACTGCCATGGATACCTGGTTTGTGGCTTCTCATCTTTTTCGTCTTCGGGGTGTATCTTGTCTCCTCCTGCCTCCCGCACTGGGGCCTATATGCAGCTCTGTTATCTTGCATAGATTGGCGACGGGATGGGATGGTGGGAGGGTCCACGTTCGGGGCCGGCAGGAGGCGGGGACGGAGAGGGGGGCATGGGGGTTCGTAGCTTGTTTGATTGATTGAGTATCGAGCCGCCGCCCACTGGTTAATTATTAGGCACAATTAAGAAAGAGGCTGCAGTGAACGGGCGTGGGATGAATGGGCTAAGCACGGGATTTGGGGTGTGAGTGAGCGAGCGACTCGTGGGCCGTCGGGTGCAAGTATAGATTCTCGTCGGTTTGCCGGATTGGGAAGTGTTATCATTTTCACATCCTCCCGAGAGCTGCGCACATATACTCCTGCTCAGCGTGTCCCGCGACTGCGGCGGCAAACTCCGTCTCTGTTGTCCCTGGGCGCGGACAACAACGCACTGTTGGTCGCACTGCACTGGTTCGCTTCCGTGTCACACAATCTGAGGCACAAATCATGAACGGCGCACCAATGCGGTCGGTTCCATTTGCGAGGCGTTCCATCTCTCTCGCCCGGGATAGGTTCCGCGTCGTGAACTGTCATGCTCGTCCTCTTAGGAGTCAGCAATTGAGCCTCCAGCCTCCAGCCTCTCCCAATCGGAGCATTTGCTCTCATGGCATCAAGTATGTCGCTGTTATCCTCGCGAAACTGGTCCGGAGATGACCACCTCCTCGACGGCCTCAGGCTGTGTCACGCACAGGAAGCAGGCCCCAGCAATGGATCGGGTGACGGTGAAGTCCTCAACTCATTGGTGCTGCGGAGTGTCGCACAGGCGCAATGGAGACGGAGTCAGTCGCCGACGCCGGCATCGCCACTCTCGTCGTAGGCAGGCGGCCGGGCGAAGGTGGTGGGCTCTTCCGGAGCTGCAGCGGCCCCTGGCGACCCTCACGGCCGGCATTGGCGAAGATCCTCGAGAAGGAGGTGGGTGCTGTTGCCTCAATGATCCGACTATGATGGGGCTCTCTTCTCGCAGATTGGCGGGAGATTTGCCGGTGGGACATAGTGGTGCCGTACTCCTCTGGAGAGAAATCGACGTTGTGCGCGACCATCTTCGAGATTTTTCTACCTATATATATATATGTGAGTGGTATGTGTGTGAGACTATTATAATTACAGTTGATGATGGTTCAATGACGGGATTCTACTCTGTCCAGATGAGAATGAACATGTCGGTCTGGTGAGTTGATCACATCTCGAATTGGATGCCGGTCACATATGTGCCTGCGCAGGAGACAGGTCCAGCCGTTCCTGCAAGCTGCCACACCTGCCAGCCTTCTTGTCCTGAACAGGTGGCGCCAGTGAGCCTCAAGGGGCTTGCAGGACATCTCCGTCAGAAATGACATCCATGCATTGTGAGGCATGGAAGGGTTGGAAGGGAACACCCTCCCATTTGCCTGCACTTCCTGCACTGCATGAGACAGCGTCGACGATGCCCAATATTCCTCATCTTGCCGTGTCAGGGAGCTAGACTAATGTATGTCAACCGTCCAGATGGGAAGAGACCGCCCCCACCCCCTGCCAACACGGAATGGGAGCTTCACACCAACCACAGGATTCCAGATAGGCCGGCCATTGGCTTTGCCTCGTTACCCCTACCCAGATGACACTCTGTGTTAGGCGCCCACGATTGCTGGGCAGGAATTGCCGGCCGGCACACTGTTCCCTGCGATGTACCATCTCAGCAGCGGCCGCTCTTAAACAGAGAGGACTGATTGCGTGAGTGATCAGCAGGAAGCTCGGAAGCAAGCAAGTGATCCTCCCAGTGGAAGCCCGCGTCGTCATGCCTCTCACTCCGCCACCGTCAAGCAGCTGGAGACAAAAAGGGTAATGTCATCCCGCATGACAGCAACAAGTGCGGTTCACTCGAATCACATGATATCCCCTGGCGCTGGATTCTCAAACGAGACGGTGTCGGCCGTTAGTGGGCGGGCTGGCGGATCGTCGCCGTTTAGCGTGCAAAAGTAACACATGGCCGGAAGAATCGTTCCAGAACATCTCATCTCGCTCAGACGGCCTAGACATCCAGATCTGCATTCCCATTTGCCTGTTCTTGTCTTGCCTGCCCACCGCTACTTGATTGTGCGGCTCACGTAGGGGTGCCATGGGTTTGGGTTGTCGATCTCGATCGTCTCAATGCTTTGAATTAATGCTCCCGAGGTCTCTAGAAACGACATCCATGATAGTTCCAATAATTACCAGAAAGACTTAAGCAATGCAAGTTGAAAAATTTTCACTAGATTTTCATTCGGCTCAAATTGAGTTCAAATAAATAAGGTTTGATTTATATGCACAGTATGTGCTTAGTTAATAAGAATAGAATGATTATGTACAAAATACTCTCAGAAGCCTTCCGGCAACTTCACTTTATATACACAATGCCAGTCGACCACTGTTCTGGCATCCTTCCAAGCGTTCACTGAACGTGACCGCAATCACCACAGCAAGCTGCTTAGCAAGAGCTGACGGTGGTGTACTTGCAGTTGCTGGAGGGGCCCTTGGAGACGGAACTGGGCTCGTTGCCGGGGGTGGTGCCCTTGAACTCCTCGCAGATGGTCTTGACCGAGGTGGCGCAGGTGTTGGAGATGGTGGCAGAGTCGCCGAAGTTGGGGTTGATGCCGGTCAGGAGCTTGCCGTTGTAGGCCTTGACGTTCTTGACGACGACGTGGCGCTCGGCGCTCTTCTTGCAGTTGCCGCACGCGCGGTACAGCTTGCCAAAGTCGACGACCGTGAAGCCGTCGATGGTCACGGTGCCCTTGCCGTTGTGCTGGATCACCTTGTCCTCGGCGGCCTGGGCACCACCGCCCTTGATGTTGGCGTTACCGTCGCCCTTGATGGTGAGAGCGTCTGGGTAAGAAGAGAGATGTTAGCTTTGTGAATTCTCCATCGTCAAGAATCCATCAGTAGGTCCGAAGACAGGGGCGACTTACCCTCGCAGACGTCGACCCACCAGACGTTCTCGATGGTGCAGGCACCCTTGCAGTGAACACCCTCGATCTGGTCCTTGCCGATGATGGCGTTCTTGAGGGTGGCACCGTTCTCCAGGATGAAGACGGCGTCAGAGTCACCGCCCTCGGCCTGGCCGGTGCAGGAAACACCACGGCCGTAGGTCTTCAGGCCACCATCGAAGGTGCCGGAGATGGACTTGGCCGCCTTGTAGGTGACGCTGCCCTTGGACGCAGGGACGGGCAGGGTGGCACGCTTCTGCAGGTCGAAGAAGTTGTTGGGAGTTTGGCCAGCTGGGCCGGCAGCGATGGGGGCCACGAAGGCAAGGACGGTAGCGGCGATGGTGAACTTCATTTTGAATGTAGTTGGTTGTTTTGAGGTAGGCTTCAAAGAGAAGGTTTTGTCAATAATTCTTTTGGTGAATGAATGTGTGTCGTCAAGACGAAGATGCCCCAGGCAAGCGAAAGACTGTAGTTGAGAATGAAGGACGTGATGATCGGTGATGATCTGCAAGAATCTCACAATGAACACACGCCGGCGAGAGCCTCCTTATATACAGTGATTCCTGCCTCCTTTTCGGATATCCATTCGCGCCCGACAACATAATTATCCATCATCATCTAGGAGAATTCTTGAAGTACCGGCCCCTATTACACAACAGTAAGCAGGAGCCGACGCTATTAGACCCACGCCTGTGCCTTGAAACCAGGTGGCTGCTGGAAAGAGGCATCGAGGTCCTTGGCATGGAAACATTTTTGTGCGTGTGGCCAGACCTCTGCGGATACAGTGAGTCCGCGGCGAATGCGCGTATTGCCCTTGCTTGACCAGGGGCACGGGCAACAAGCGCTGCCTATTCTCTCCTATTTTGGTCTCTTTCTATGTTTTCTTTTCATTCACTTTGAATAACCAACACGATCCTCCGCAGTGAGCGTGTTTTCCTCGCGTTGCCAAGTTCGAATTTCATTTTGTTTCAGCCTCAAATTTTCCCTCCAATAGGCACTATGTCCAACCAGTCACGCCTCTTGAGTAAGCCCATCCGGTTGTTTAGCTCTCGGGAGATCAACGGGCAGTAAGCTTAACTGTTAAGTTTGGTCAGGAACAGGGTGTTGGTTACGAGGGCCGGCACCCACCTGGGCCATTAAACTAAGTGCTTGGCTCTCCCGAAACAGAACCAACTCCGACAACTCAGACTTGGCACAATTACCACACTATCGGAGCATACTTCACGAACTCATTACCGCCTCTCCCCATCACCTAGGTTGCCTCTTCTGACTGGGACCAGGTCTCCATCTTGTAATAGGAGCTGGATCAGGACATTACTCGCTCATGCTGCCCTCACTCCAAGTGCTGAGTGTTTGAATATCTGTTCATACCTCCTGGAATTGTGCTTCTGCTTTGCACAAGCGACTTGACTTTCGAGGCTTTAAAGAGCATGGTCTTGGTCAATAAATGTGTATTTTCAATTTGTAAGGCCTTCTACAGAAGAGAATTTCATTTTGACACTATTGTGGTACTAGGATCTTTGCGGCTCAAGAGCTCAAATTGGCACTAAGTACGATGGGAGAAGTTGGCTGGCCCAAGCACTACACAAAAGGAGTTGTGGTCAGGAGGTGTAGCTGCGGGTCAAATTGGGACTCCTTGATTTCACGATCGCTATTACTTCTGGCCTCCATGCCTTAGGTAAGTAAGTAGTTGCCATCATTAATCAGCAGACAACCTTGCGAAGCACGGGGAATTTTGGACATGCTATCAGATTAAGTTGCATGTCCTGATCGGAACGATCGACCGATGAAGCAAATTTCAATCCCAGCACATACAGTAGTCTAAGTGGGCACTTGAGACAGCGAGAACAAAAGCTTGAGTCAGCCAAGATCCACCACGTGTATTCTGCTGAATAGGCGCCGCACTTGTGTAAGGTGACGTCTGCGTGATGATAGTTTCACATTCGACTTTCTAGCCTGTCTGCTAAAACCTCGGGGTGATACCGACGACGACATCGTCTCAAGACTTATGCAGTACTCGACAGAATCCACACATCCATATCCTCCCATGCGGCTAATGCTAGGTCAGGGCGACGGTGAAGCCCGAGACCAATGTTACCACCCCTGAAGAACCCGGCCGGCAGTCTTGGTGCTAAATCGGCTGGCTACCGTTCGATGTCAGATTCGTTATCGAGTAGCTTGGGCAGCAATTGTGACACCAGAATTCGCGAGGGCTAGGAATGCGACATAGCACTGCATGACCGGACGATGTCTGACTCGGCTGGTGCCGTTTGGTATGCACCGCAGCAGCGGTTGTTGCGGGAGTGAGGCTGGCGTGTCGTAGGTACCGTCTTGTCCAAGTACCGTCAGGTTGATACAGAGGCGCCGTTTCGTTCCTCGATACGGTGAACTCCGATCAAGGAGGAGCACGTGGTGAAGGGTGAGTTTGCATGAAGATGAAGTGCTCGTAGGCAATGTACCCAACGGCATCACGAAGACAAACGCAGGAACTGCAAGTGCATGGCCTGAAAGTGGTTCTCGAAATTCTCACCGAACTTTTCCGAGGGCAGCCCTAGATCATCCGCGTCCCAAACGGGGTCGCCCCCCAGATACAGTCGCCGCTGTTCTATAGCGTCAAAGGCGTATGTGCTCTGCGTGCTTGGATCGTTGTAGATGAGCCTAACCATCTTGGGATTGCGCATGGATTCCACAAACTCCAGCAGACGCGACTCTAAGCGATTGATCTGAGTGCCCGTGATAACGGAATCGCGGCAATGGCGGCAGAAGAGATGAAAAAAAGTATCAACATCACACTGACGCTCCGTGAAGCTGGTGTTGATAATGAGCTCCTCGAGGTCCCCAGGCAGCGTATCCAGCAGGGCAGTGCAAATATAGGGCAGTCGGCATCGCAAACTCTTGAGGTTGGGGATCATTTGGCTGATGAAGTCGCAGAGGTGTACCGGTGTCTCCTCATGAAATTCAACGTTCACCATGTCAATCTCGAGTGATGTCAACTGATGGAGGGTATTGATTCGCGAGAAGACCTGGCTGGCCATTGCGCACTTGTCCAGACTTGGGCAGATGACCAGCGTGCGCAGCGCATCAAGGCTCTTGAGCCTAGACACTACCTCGTGGAGGTTTGCGGTAGCCCGAGCTCTCTGTTGATCGATCTGTGTCTTGAACGGCAGCGGATCCATTGTGAGGTCGATAGATGTTGTCATTTGCTGCGCCGCGGCGAGCTTCTTGTTTCCTCTCATGGCGCGTACCATCGGTCGTAGATCTGTCACTTGCAGGCGAAGGTTGCGCAGGAGGATCGGTCTGGCAAAGGAGTACCAATTCTTGCATACGGCGAGGCGTCGAACATCTTGACGGAAGTTCTCCGTGCCGACGTCTGAAAAGATGAGCTGGAGAAGCTCTGCGGGCAGGGTGAACAGCATATCGGTTGAACAGGGCTCAGTTGATTTTGTCTCGGGGTGCTCCATCATCTCCATGGTGGCGATGCTGTCGCCTGGCTGAGGTCGAAGTGCAGCTTTGGACAAGGATTCTGACCAAGGAACTCTCGCAGGGGCTCTTTTAAGGCTCTGAGAGACTGCTGTCAATGTTCTCAGTCAATTGGAGTTGTTCCTTTTGGTGAAATTAGGAACCATCCACTCACAGCTCTATGTTGGTGTTGAATCTTTGTGGGTCTGACTCGAGGCTTGGACAGTGAATCACAGTACCTTTGATCTCACGCATCAATTCCTTTAACACACCGTTTGCAATTATGATTTTCGAGCTGGCAAGCAGGTGTGTTTGCATCTCGTAGCTTCCTTCGTGTAAGTGGTGAGGTTGATGTGGGTTAAGTGAAGTCACTGCTGGAGGAAACCCCTGCATCCACATTCACACCATCAGGTTACCCTCTACATTCAAACAATTGCTTTGATTGTTCCACGGTCAATCGAAGAGCTTACCTTCACCCATATCCTGGACGATGAATGAAGCTCTGTGCCTGGTTTTGTCAAGAAATCCGCTTCCGATCAGTAATTGGTCAGTGTCATGAATGGCATCTTCTTTTCTAACACCACATTCCTCGAGACCTTCTACAGAAGCATCATTTTGACGATATTGGTGGTCAAACTTCAAGCCTCGAGGCGAGTGGGTGAAGCCATGTTAACGGCCGAGCGCTGCAAATGAAGCGCCTGTCCTAAATTTGGAATGGTGCAGGACTTGTCAATTTACATTTCCCAGTAATCTGAATTGAATCAATGTCAAGAGAGAGTCATCTTTTTTCGTAAACTGCTACCTGATACTTAACAATTTTAGACTTTCCAAGTTGACATTGTAAAAGCTAGCCTTTGCTTCCAATGCCGAAACCATTTATTTATTCGTAGACAATGTCTCTCCGACAACAACAACAGACACTGAATTCCCAATCAGCAAATACTTCATTATCCGAAGACCTGTGTCTGAAGGTCTTTCTCCGGTGTGGTGCAGATTGAATAGATAATTAGCTACTTACTTCGTGGGCGATCGAGGAACTGCTCCTCGTCCGCTGCGATCCGCGCAGCATTCTCCGGCTGCTGATAGAGCCCAAAGAAGGTCTGAAACGCACTGGCGTCCGCAAAGGTGAGCTCAGCGATGGCGTCGTAGTCGAAGTCGGCCTGGGAGCCCATGAGGACGGTCGCCGGAAAGTTGGCATTGCGCTCGGTGTCCTCGGTTTTACCCTCTGTGCGGTGGATGTACCGCCGCGTATGGCTTAGAGGGAAGTGTCTAGGAGTTCAGCGTCAGTCGTATGTGGACATTGCTATGGTTCGGGATGTACGATGTGTTGGAGAGAGTATCTTATTTGGCTGATGAAACCGCAGAAGGAAATTTGTTGAGGGAGTTGTTGTGGAGAATGAGGAGTTGCAATGTTTGGACATACTCTCCGCCTATCTCTTTGACTAGTGGCATGTGTTTGCCTTCATAATGCGCGCGAAACTGTTCCGGCGTTGTGCCGGGCTTGCGGTAGGCGAGTATTAGCACGGAGTAAGTCATTGTGTGTTCCGTGACCTGGAATGAAAGAGAACGAGAGATGAGCTGCAAATCGAAGTGGACTTGTTGAGGAGCCAACTGTGATGTGTTGGAGTCGATCTTGTTATTTGCCGGGATAAGTGTGATGGGGCGGCTGCAGTACTTATCCACGACCGGGCAGTCTCGTCTGTTAGTTGTCTGCGTTGGCGACAAGCGTTGATCTACCCGCACCAGGAGTACATCCTTGAAGGAGGAGCCTCGAATTGGACTGGGGCCAGATTACAACAGGCGTCATAGATATACACAGTACTGTTCCATGCAGGCTGCAGCGGCCAACAAGCACTCCATCGTCTTTTTAGGGCTTATGGTAGAAGTAAAGTATGTCGGCCGCCATAGAGACCTGCTGTCAAGGATCATGGGCTGAATCGTAAGACTACGGCTCAAACAGATGCTACCTATGGGGCTATCCAAACAGGCGGACCCACACTACCCCTGGCTTTAACTACAGTATTACACTAGTACATGCAACGTGAATTTAAGTAATCTTTTCTTGATGGCACTGCAAGATAAAAAGGAGTATAACTCGATGTAAATATTCATTTGCCTGGATTTGTCTTCCAGTCTTGGGAGACACGTGACTTGAATCATGGTATATTTTGGTACGCTCATCAGGTACATTTTGAACTTCGCACTTGCTTGATCCAGGTCTGGTCGACATCTTGACCATCTACGGCATGTAACATAATTGTCTTGTCACCTTCAGAGATAGTTTTGGTGGCAATGGCTCGTCATGGGGACCTGAAGAGGCTGATGGCCGACCTTGCCAATGTCTTCGGAGGCGACGCGGCTGGCGGTTTGGCCGATATCCCCAGTGGCTTTGCTTGTCTGTTGCAAGACAACTTGATCGCTGAGGACTAGGAAGGTCTATGTACTACTTTCGACAGGATCAAGAATGCAAAGGAGATATGCAGGAGTAGCCGGTACCCATGAGGTCGGGCCGGTCTTCTCTGGGACTTTTGTTAACAGCAACTTTTCAGAGGATTACAAGTCAACACAAGAAACCACGATGCAAACCATGAGTCCACAGGTCACGGATCTCATTCAACCCCATCCCAGTTCATCTCATACCGCCCGCCCGCCCGCCTGTTATATCAAGACACATACACACATGAACACTTATAAGCATGCACACACGCCACAAAATGCCCGCAAAAAAAGACAACGATTTTTTCACATTCGAAAAACTTTGTTCCCTACTCCTACTACTCCCGCGGGGGAATAAATAATAACAACCACAAGAAAACAACAGAAGCAAGAAGAGAAGAGAAGAAAAAAACCCCACCAAGAATGTGGCAAAGTTCAAGGACCATCCATCCAGGAATGTTGCGCCTCAGAGTAGGGGGAAAGGGGAGGTGAGGGAGAAACGCGAACGAGTCCCCATCCTCAACCCAAATCGCCCCCTCTTTAACAATGATCAAAGCCCATCGATCTTGTCCATGCCTCTTTGCTTATTTGTTTGATTGTTTGTTTGCCGGTCGTCATGTGGGATTTCCTACTATGTGGGAACCTCCGTCTCGTCATCATCGTGCAAGGTGCATTATAACAGAGCGGGGAGGGCGCGGAGATAGATAGATGATTGAATTCGTTGCTCGCAACTTTTCCCCCTTGTTGGCCCCCCCCCGGTTTTTATCATTACCGCTTTCTAATGTGGTCTCGACGAGGCCATCTCTCCGTACCTGCCTCTGTTCTGCGTCGTGTCGTACGCCTGAAGCACGCGAGTCTGCGACTCGTCTGCCTGCGAGAAGGCGTACCCCCTCTGCTTGCGCATGCGCTGTACTTGTCGTACCTTGCGGATTGCCTTTTGGAATTGCTCCATTCTGGGCACAAATCGTCAGCAAATTGTTCCTCTGTAAATATTTAGGAGTAAAACGTACCTGGGCCTGTAATCTTGAATATTGTACTTCTGGATCTCCTGGATGTGGTGATAATTCTGGGGTCTGTACATCCTCTTGGCATACTTGTATCCGACGTCCCTGAGCAGGCACAACACCGGCAGCACCAATATCTGTAGCCAAAAGATTGGGCTGGAGAAGATACGCGGGACAGTGCCGTAGTACTCCTCGGACACCTTCACCATAGGAGCGACAGTAGCGTAGGCCGCGATGAAGGCGATCCAAAAGGCCATCGAACCAGGTATCGCTATCACGTGGTACTTTGTCCAGTTGTTCGTCACAAGGCCAGCCTTGCCCAGCACAGTGAGCAGGACCGCACCATACATGCCAGTGCCCCACACCCAGTGGCCAGCCGTCTTTCCGTCACCCTGGATAAGGTCCCATGGCCAGAGAAGTACGCCAAAGATGTAGAGAATGAGTGAGTGGTATACGGCATTAGCGATCCACGCGACGAATACTCGCAGACGGAAGAATTGGTTGCTCTGGCCCAAGTTGTATAGCTGAGGATAGCGGTCTAGAAGACGGGCGGAGACAAACTGGTCCAGGATACCCATGGCCAATGGAGGCAAGACGGTGAAGAAGACGTTGTAAAGGGAGAGCGTCCAGGATTCGTAAATAATAGCCCCAGAGAACACGTTCTGGAATGTATACTGTTCTCTATATTAGCGGATGAGACGAGCGTTATGTGAGCGGATAGAGCTTACCCAGAACTGTGTCAGGTACAGCGTGATGTTCTTGTAGAACGAGAACAATATTGTCTTGCTCACACGGTGGTAACTCCAGGCGCCGTGTACCAGTAGCAGCTTGCGGAGGAAACGGAACTGTGCTATCGACACGTCTGCGCTCCGGGCCGCCTGGAGACCTTCCAGACCACTGATACCCACGCCAATGTGCGCGGCTTGAATCATCGAGACGTCATTGGCACCGTCGCCAATAGCAAGGGTGATGGCCCCTTTCTGATATTTTTTGACCACTTTCACGACGAGCGCCTTTTGCAACGGGGAGACACGACAGCAGATGACGGCCTTGCACATAACAGCCAGATCAAGGAATAGCTTTTCCATGTCTTTCTCGAGGGCATAGGTGAGTGACTTTCCGTCGATAATGAGGGCCAGTGTCTCCGTCTCGATCGTCCCGTCGCCTTGGGTCCTGATGGCCTCGATCTTTTTCTGGAGATTGTCCCTAGTAGCAGCAGCCGTCTCCTCATTGACGATAAGAAGCATCATATCTTCGCTTAGGAGTTTACAACTCATACCAATGTTGATGGCAGTCTCCTGCCTGTCACCAGTGAGAACCCAAACTTTGATGCCTGCTTGTTGCAGGGTGTGAATGGTTTCGGGAACCCCGTCTTGAAGCCGATCCTCAATAGCGGTCGCTCCCAGCAGGAAGAAGTCCTTCTCGATGAGCTCGGCGGCCTTGTCCAACTCCTCGGCACGGTTTCCACCAACGGTCGTGGACGCCTTGTCAAAGATGCCGTACCACTCTTGAAACTCCGATTCGGGGACTTCGCGCATGGAGAGACACAGAGTTCGCAGACCCTCGGAAGCGTATTCCTCGAGGTGCTGCAACGTCGCCTCGACATGCGGGTTGTTATCGTTTAGTCGTTCCAAAATGACAGTATCGGCACCCTTGCAATAGCATCGGATTTTCCCATCTGGGCATCGGAAAATCGTCGACATCCTCTTCCTCGTCGAGTTGAACTCAAGAACGGCGAGAAGCTCGTACTCGTAAGTTTGCCCACCGGCCTCTATGATGACTGATCGAGGCTTGCGCGCAAAGAACTTGTAGCCGAGGATGGCTGCACCTTCGACCAGGGCGCCCTCGTCAGGCGAGGCAGCCTGATATTTGATGTTTCCCGCGCCGTCATTCTCAGGAATAACTGTGTGACAGGTCGAAAGCAGGGCCAGGAAGTGTTCGATAACGGGTGCTGTCTCGTGTGATGTCGTGTTTTCACGGAGCGTCTTGAAGTCGTGAATACCAACCTCGACACCATCCTGAACAGTAGCTCGCCTGTCCTCTGGTACATCATCCGAGTACATAATCCCAGCAATCGAGCACTGCTTGAACTCCATCATATTGCAGGTCAATGTGCCTGTCTTGTCCGAGAAGACGTACTCGACCATTCCCAACTCCTCCACCAAGCTAGAGGTTCGACAATTGGCAGGGGTGTCGTTCTTGTCGTAATACATATCAAGATCGTCGTTGATGAGGATTCCGTGCCAGTACTTCACCATTTCGACGGTGACGAACAGGGAAATGGGCACAAGCGCAGAGAAGAGGACCCAGTACGTGACCATGTCTTGGGCGAACTGCTTAGCGACCAGGCCAGCGTTACTGAGGGCGGTCAACTCCAAATATCCCAAAGCGCTGCCCTCGACACTCCTCATGATGAGGTCACCGACCGTACAAACGATGCTGAGGATGAGCAGAGTGCCGACGAGCATCAGTACCAAGAGATTCATCTGTTTCTCCACCTTGGTCCTCTTGATGGGAGCGGCGTTCGCATTGCGCATGAGCTTCGTTTCGTGGCCAGTGAAAACAACAACGCCGTGGATCCATGGCGTGTTACGAAGCGTTGCGCCACGCAAGAGAAGCTGCTCCGGATTCAAGGCCAGCTCCTTCTCTCCAGCTCCCGCCTGCATCGTCATTGTCGCTTCGTATGTGTACAGACTACTGTTTGGCTGTTCGGACTTGATCTTGCCCCCCAGCCGGCCCAGGTCACTCGAGCTGACCAGGGCGGCGGTCTCGGGCAGACCCTGCTTGATCTTCAGGTTCGTCTCTCCGTCTAGGTTTGCGGTCTCGATGTAGCAAAGACCCTCCGGTTCGGAGCTAGCAAGCAGGACCAGATCGGCGGGGAATGGCTCCTCAGATTCGACCCGGACAACATCACCGACCGCCACGTTGATCCATTTCGTGTCGGTGAACTCGGATCCGCGCAACACCCGAGCTTTTGACATATTCAGGGACCTGTCGGCCTGTTTCCTCCGATAGTCTTCGACTAATTCCTTGCCGGCCGAGATCAAGAGCACGACAATCAAGGGTCCAATGGTGGTATACTGGTTTGTGGGAGAGAGGTTGGGTATCTGTTGCAGCGCGGAAGTGAAAAGGAAAAAGATGTTTGCGTATTTTGAAAACTGCTCAAAGAGGAACTTGGGCAGAAATGTCGCGACATTGTACTTTGCGGTGGACACATGGTTGTCGACGTATTTGTTCGCCTGGTTCGCGGGAGGGTTGTTGAGGTGGATGATGCGCGGGCCCAGGGTCGAAGGGTCGGGCTTGCCGCGCCCAAACCCGAACTTGAAGTTTCCCATGTCGAATTTCTTGCCCGACTTGTTCTGCGCGTCGGCCCCCATCGCGGATGAGTTTCGTTGCGCGCCCGGCTCGGTCAGCGGGAGGTCCATCTCGGAGTAGCCCTGCCCCATGCCCAACATATTCTTGGCCCGGCCCACGATGCCACCGCCGAGGCCCAGCACGCTATTCCTATTCCTTGCAGTGCTCCTGCCCTGCGATTGATAGCCGCCCGGTGCGCTTGACCCGCTGCCATGTTGGTAGTAGTGGGCGCCGTCCTCGGCGTACTCGTCGATGTCGTCGTCGGCGTAGCGCTGGTAGTTGCCCAGCTCGGAGGTCTGGCTGTACTGCCTGTTCCCGCCGTCGGTATATGGGCCAGCGGGCCTTGCAGAGCTGGGTGGTGTTGATAATTGTGTTGGTGATGCTAGGGGTTGATGTGATGGTTGGCCGGCGCCAACGAAGTCGTCGTAGGAGACGGAAGGGCGTCCTTGTGCGCCATCGTGGTCGTATGCGTCTGAGGCGAGGAGATCGTCGTCGTTCAGGGCAGAGCGCTGGCCCTGGCTGTAGACGGGCTGGTCATCAAGGTCGAGCAGCAGATTGTCGTGCTTTGAGGGACCCCCGTAAGGAGGTTTGCCAGCCATGGCAATTGGCGTTTCGGGAGTCAGGAGCGCGCAAAATGACGTTGCGCGGCATCCGGGAGGCAGCGGGGAGGGTTCACTGGAGAGGGCATGAAAGAGGGCGCGCAGGTGAGGGAGGTAATGGTGGTGGTGATGGATTGGATGGGATGGGATAGGTATGCGGCGTTGCACTGGTTGTTGAAAGACGGCTCGGGGATGTGTCGTAGGCTAGTCTATCGCGGCGTGGGCAGCTGAGGTGAGGGTAAGCAAAAGACAGGACAAGGCCAAGGCGAAGCAGCCGAAGCAGCAAATTGTCGTTGATTTCGTTAGGAGGGACGGCACAGCCTTCGTGTCTGGTTGCACCTTCCAAGGTTCCTTGGCCTGCCGATCCCTGTAAGTACGTACTGTGTGTAATGCTGCTGCTGCTGCTGCAACTTGCTCTGCTCTCTGCTCTCTGCCTCTCTGCTGGTCTCTGCTCTGCTGCTCTGCTGCTCCCTGCGCACAGCTGATAGATAGTGAGTGACGACCCCCAGCGGGACTGGCTGGGCTGCCAAGCAGGGGCAAAGGGGACCACCAAATACACCACAGATACAATCACTCGCACACACGTACGCACTGACGCACAGGAGGTAAAGTCACTGCCAGAGATACCCTGCACCCCCCGTAAACGCACAGCCCTCCTCGATCGCGTCGGATCTCGTTGCTACAGAAGTCTGAGTCTGGGTCTGACTCTGACTCTCAAACCCTCCTCCTGCTTCAATCCACCACAAGAATACCTCCCAAATAACCCCCGAGTCTACTACTCAGCCAGTCCCCAGAGACACACAAAGAAAACATCCACTGTGGCAATTGCAGATGCGAAGGCATCCCGTCGTCTGTATCTACGTATCCATGCAGCGAGCCCGTATCAGATTGCTCAAATGCTAAAAACAGCACGGGCGACCCCAAGTCCCCCCCCAAAGTCCCGCCCCTTCGTATAATAAACGGTCCCCACCACCTAAAAGCTGGCGAGGCAGGGCGAGTGGGTTGGGTTAGGTTAGTCTCATTAGCGTTCAAGGCTGACCTCCAGACACCTCTCTCTCTCTCTACAGTACCTCATCCTACCTCCCTCCCCACGCACTCACTCGCTCGCTCGGTCACTCGGTCAGTCCTTTTGGGTATCCAAACACGCAGCCTACTACTCAGCTGCAGACGACTCCAGTGTCACAGAGAGGGGGCCTGTCTCACACAAAGGAAAGCCGAGCATAGCCCCGCTTAAAGCATGTCTGTCTTGTAGTTGGTTGTTATTTAGTGGCGAGGGACAGAGAGAGAGAGACACACACAGGCCCTCAGCCACGAACGTACGTCGTCTTCTGCCACTGCCTTCAACAGGCGGCAATCCGGATCGACCGGGTCACATACATGACCTACGCCGAACCAGTGCGTTGTACGGGGATGTGCCAGTACCTTGTAGCTGGAATAAAACAAAACCCTGATCGCACTATTCCAACCTCGCCGTTGGATGACTGACTGGATAGTGTGTGACACACAAGACATGGCCGTAGAGACACTCAGTGACAGCTTCGAAGCAAGCGAAAGGCAGAGCACTATGAGCCGGAAATGGACACAAGACTACCAAAGGGCAAACCAGTCATCAAGGTTTCGAACTTCGTAGTTCCTACGTCTGGTGAGAGACATCGATTTGATTTGATTTGTTTATGAAGCAGGCCGTGTCGTGAGTGCGCATCAAAGACGCACGTTAAAACAAAACAAGACTGATAACCGCAACTTGAAATATAACAATGTACGGAAGAGGAGCCTCCCACCTCTGTCAAGCCTCTCACACAAACCACCCAGAAAACAAATCAAATCATTCCGGATTGGCCACCAATCTGGAACTTCCCAACCCCGACCCCTAGCCCCCCACTCAAATTGACCTGGGAGAAAGCCCTTTTTGCATCATCCCCCTGGCCCACCCCCGCCAGATCGATCCTGAACCGAGAAAAACAGAAAGATATCCCCCAGCTGACATCAGCAAATATTGTTGTTGTATATAACAAGTCCGCGTATGTAGGCAGTTTCGTCCGTAGTAAAAAGAATAAGAAGGACAGCATCCAACATGTCAAGTGGTATCTTTTTTCCCAAGTATAAAAAAACCCCATAAATCAAGAAAAAACCATAACTTGTTGTCGGCCTTCAAACCCCAGAAACAAGGGGTCGCAATGAAGCAGGACGTAAAATCAATCATTACGTGGCCCGCCAGATGGAGGTAGTCTGGTTTACGCCTCCTCTGTGATGCCACCCTCGCCGCCGCCCTCATCGCGCCACTCTCGGCTCTTCTCCGTGAGCTTCTTGACCCCGTTCACGCGGGATGCCCACAGCGCCTCGATCGGCGTGCGCACCGTGAACGCCCGCTGCGACGAGATCACCCCGATGGCCTGCAGCACCGCCTTACGGCTGTCACGCCCAAACACGGCGGGGTGGTTGATCCACTCAAGGGAGGACTCGAGCTCCGCATCGAGCGCCGCCACGGTGGTGGCGTCGATGCCCGCGGCGGTGCCCATGCTGCCGAGGCCAATGCCGTCGTTGGAGCGACTTCGTGGGATGGCGGACGATTGGAAGCCGTTCTGGCCAGACGATGTTGCCGAGGCCGTGGGAGAAGGTGTATGTTTCCGGTCGGGAGTGAGGGCTGCGGTCGGAGAGGCGTCGTTCTGGCCAGCATGTGGTGTGGATGGGTTCGACTTGGGTGGCATGCTGGGCACTGGTGGCAGACCGCCCTTGCCTAGACCCTTGAGAATAGAACGGGTCTCGTTCAGAAGCGTATGGGCTCGGTCGTGCTGTCCTCTGCTCACGAGCGTGAGTGCTCTGGTGAGCATGTCTGACGTGAGCAGCTCCATCCGACGCTGCACGATATGTGGGTGCGGCGGAATCGGCGGTGTTCCGTTCCATGACTTCTTGTTGGAGCTGGTCGGCAGCATCGTGATTGCAAGCAGCGATGGTCGTGGGAGGTGCATAGCTGCTCCATCCCTCAGAATGTCGCCCCAAGTAAGATCTGCTTGAATCAGTGGAACCTCCTCGACGGAGAGGGCCCGCTGGTCCTCTTGCTCAACTGGGCCACCCAGAGCCTCCAAACCAGACACGATGCTCTCCCAGGCATCTTGCGGCAGTGACTCTTGCGTCGAGTTGTCTGGAAGAATGACAAGCTGAACAAGAATATCTCGCTTATCACCAAAGCGTAAGTCGCCGAGGGAAGCTTCTGCATCTCTACCCGTTGCGCGTTTGGTGATTTGCAATGCGCCACTGATCTTGTGGAACTTGGCGGGTGAGCCCTCGGGCAACTTGAGCTTGAGCTTAACGTTCTGATGCGAGAGCGACTGCATTGAGCCCAAGCAGCCAGCTAAGCATTCGCGAAGCATCATCCAGTCTTTCACGTAGGTGTAGGACGCTTTTGTCCGAGTGGATAGCTCAATCATGGTGTCGGGTTTATGTGTCATTCCGAGACCGAAAGAGTGAATGGTGATTCTAGGGCCGTTAGTATCCAGAACAGAGAAGTATTCGGAGTGGTATGCTTACTTGGCAGCCTCGGCTCTCGAAACAACGAAATCAACACTGTCCGCATCGGATGTCGATGCATCGCTGATGAGCATGATAGTTGCCACTGGGTTGTTGTACTTGCGCTGCATCAGTAGGTCCATCGCCACGTTCGCTCCTTCGACGACATCAGCGCGGTGGCTCTTCTGCCCGACGGGCTTGATCGATGACAGAACGTTACTCCAGCCAGGCCAGGCCTTCGTGGTCATGCCCACAATGGGCACGCCGCCACCGCCGGACCCGAAAGTTACGAGGCCCATACGATCCCTCTCACCCAGGGTGTACACCATGAACCGGAGGGCATCGCGGACCAGATTGATTTTGACGCCTTGCATGGAAGAGGAGATCGGTACGACCACGACCACGTCGATAGGGACGTGGACCGAAGCCATGAGAGGGCTTCTTTGGAACGAGGTGTAATCTGTTGGCGCAGTGGTGGCGGACCTAGCTCCACCCCATGAAGAAGCCACCGACGAAACCCTTTGCGGCCTGGTGGAATCTCTTCGCCAATCCTCCTCATCCTCCCCTGAGAATTCACCCCGTTCGTAGTCAGGGCTGCGGACGGGCGAGGTCTCGACAGCGTTCAAATCCAGCAGAGCCTGCTGCCACAGCTTGAGTTGATTGCGGTTCTCGAACCGCAGATGAAATTGAGGCAACTCTGCGACGGAAAGACTCAGAGTCAGAATGTTCTCATCCATGTTCCCCGCCTCAGACACCTCGTTCAGGTGCTTCTTGATCAGGATCGAACCCTTTAGGGTGCATCTCGTGGTCTTGCGCGGCGGACCATCTTCCCACTGTGGAGGTGGAGCCGAGCTCTTCTTCTCCTTGACGCAGATAAGCATCTCAGCGAACAGGAAACACTCGAGCTCCTGCCATGAAAGCTTATCCTTGCCAACTCGCAGAGTGCCATACAGCCGCAGTTTTCCAAAGCGACTGAAATCCAGTCCATGCCAGTTATCGACCCGATTCCGCAAATTCTCCGTCATTTCCTCTAGGACCTCAGCCGACTCGTACGGGTAGAAGCGAGGCGCGCTCTGTGCCGGCGATGGCGGTCTCACGGGGAAGGAGTCCTCGATCCTCTGGTGCGGCATCGGTGGAGCAGACTGGATGTCATCGGGGTCGGGCCTCCATTTATTATCTGGAACCTCAACGGTGACGAGGCAGGTGAGTGTCTGTTGTTGCCTTGACCTGTTGATGGTGGGGAACTCGGATCGCACTGTGACTGTTGGTGCCGGAATGGGATTCCTCGCGACGGCTTTCGGGCTGGCGAGGCTAGTTTCCATGGCCTGCAGGTCGTAGTCGTGACGGCGCGGCGGCCCACTCTGAGTTGTCTCAGGATAACCACCGGCAGAAGAAGCAGCTCCAGTCATCCCAGTAGCCTCACTGTCGCTACGCATGTGGCCTGTACGTCCTAATGCATATCTGTCGGAGTTGTTGTCTCGGAGGCTGCCACGCGATGGAGTCGGCATAGGGCCTTGTCTTGCGGCCGAACCCCGGCTCGGTGGGCGACCGGAGTGGTCATTCCATTCGGAAGGTGCTGGGTTTGGTGTTTGCATGGGCGCTGGGGCCGGTGCCTGCGCTGGTGTAGGTGTGTTTGTTGACCTCGTGTCATTGACGGAAACCGATCGGACCATGTTGCTGATTTTCTCTGGAGTACGGTCAGTTACTCCTCACAGTGATGGCAGTTACAGGCTCGAAGACGTACCGATATCAAGGACATTGCCGCCACGGCTCGTGTCCAGGTGTAGTGGTGCATTACATGTTGGGCAGTATTGCGATTCAAACTCCCGGATGAATTCGTAGAAACATGCCTCGTGTGAAACATGCGAGCATGAGAACTGCAGTATCCGCTCTCCACGGAGGGTATGTTCCAGCGGTTCTTCACAGACAGCACACTCGGCGCCCACGAAGGTGCGCTCCCTTCGGGTGCGACTCCGGTCGGCATTCATCATGCCAAAGTTGGAAGTTGTATTCGCTCGTAGAGCACCTTCGCGAGATCCGACTGAGCCAGTCGAGCGGGAAGAACGATGTGATGGGGCGCGTAGAGTCCCAGCGGCGATGGAATGGCCTGTGACGACAAGATAGGAGTGTTAGCGTTGGGAAGCTGGCAGGACTCGCCTCGATGTGTCGGGTCGAGGAGTTGTAGGTATCACCACGGCGCGCGAGCTCGACGCATTTGCCAACCGAACGGAGCGAGCGAGCACCGGGTTGCAGACAGGAGCGTGCGACACAGCAGCCTGTGTGGCTGAAGAATAGGTTTGAGGAACATAGGAAAGCTGAAGCTTAACTCACCCTTCTCCGGGAACGAGGGCCCGTCGTCTGAGTCGCCGAGAGGTTTGATGGTTGTGTAGTTGGAGCCCGTCCTCGCAGCGGAACCAGAACCAGAGCCAGAGGGAATCGGCTCGGTTCCTCCCCAGGCGGATGCGAAGCCCTTCTTGTCGCGGCCGATTAGACCAAGCTGTTTCAGACTGGCCAGCTGGGCGTCGGCAATCCGCTGCTCTTTGGCAAAACCCTGCTGTTTCCCTTGTTTCCCTTGGGATCGATTGAACATATGGGACCCGGGGATGGAGGTATATCTGGGCGGAGGCGAAGTTGGAAGTCGGAGCGGGCGACAGAAAAAGGGCTACGGAGGTGCCTGTGGCCTGTGCCTGTGCCTGGATTGAATGAGCCTAAGCGGCGCCTTGTCCTGGTGGAAATGAGTCGCGCAACAACGTCCCCAGGTTGGCGCGGCCCTTGTCCAGGGAAGTGGATCTTTGACAGGAGAGGGATCGCTATGGGGTCTGGGCTCGTGCCGTAGGTGGGCTCTGCTGTGGTCTGGGATCCAGGAGGGCCCGAAGCTTTCAGGAGGAGGGTAGTTTGAGCAGTAGGGGCCTTTGGGGCCTGACCCGGGACGACCCCAGCTGGGCGACGATCTGTCTGTCAAGCCACGAGCGAGCGTGGCCCGTGGTCCGCGAGCCTGTACAGCGGTGGGCTGGTCTGGGCTGGGGCTGGGGCTGGGGTTTGAATTTGGTACTGAATTTGGATAGCCTTGGGAGTCCCGGGGGAAAGGGGATGGGGGGGGGGGGGATAGACAGGTAGACAGTTAGACAGACAGACGGGCACAGACAAAGACACCACAGCTCCGTGGAGGGCGCTGGTGGCTTGACTAGCAGGGCGACGTCCTGGGAGCGAATTGTGGGTTGTCACACAAACTCCTGGAGCCGGGGTGGAAGGCTGTTTCAGAGGGGTCGTATCAACTATGCTGCAGATGGCGAGTTAGGGGAAGCTTGCTGGGCGCTCGATGATGGTGATAAGGTTCACCTGAAGCTGGCTGGGTGGATTCTGTGCGCACCTCCAAGCTGACTTTTCCGCTCGGCCAGAGCTGGATGCTTCCGAGGTGGTGCCGTCGGGACTCGAGGGGAGAGGGAGGTGAGAGAGCTTTGGGGAACGGTGATGTCAGCTCAGCTCAGCTCAACTCAAAGCTGCTATGCTCCTCTGCGTGTACTGTAGGATATGCAGGATGCCTGTTTATGCACAGCAACAGTAACAGCAACAGCAGCCACTCGTTCGGTCACTCAGAGCTGGCCGTGCGTGGATATGATTGCGATATTCCTAGGTTGGGTCCCGGTGGTCAAAATCATCGGCATCGGCATCGGTGACTGGGCGGGTGCTAGGCAGATCTAGCTGGATATCATTGTCTTTTTTTGTCTGCTTTCCGTCCAGCCGTGCGGGTGTCTCAAAAGGTAGGTACAATAAAACGTCTTGGACAGCAGCCTCTAGCGCAAGTGTAAGTCTGCCTGCTTGTCTTCTGTTCTGTTCCGTTCTGTTCTGTCCTGTCTGTCTGTCTGTCTGCTGTTTCTTTCCTGTCCTGTCTGGCGCGTCTGGCCTGGCCTAGGATGGGATGGGACGGATAGTTTCGTCCTAACTCGCAAAGCACGGAGCCGTACCGGTGGAAAAATAATGGTGTCGCGGTGATCGGTAAGAGGGGCCGTCTCAAGTGGCAGACGGAGAAAATGCGGGCACCTTTAGTTGGGGCTGGCTGTCAAGAAGGCGAACGCGATCAGGAGCAGGATCAGGATCAAGACCGAGGAGGACCAGGACTTGGAAACACGGGCAGGTTGCGACACAACACGGCACAGGACAAGACAAGACACGACGGGAGATGGGGATCGATGGGCTGGCTGGCTGCTGTCTGGATGGGCTGACTGGACTGGATGGATGGGCTGGATGGGCTGGGAAAGGAGAGGAGATGGTTCACGGACTGGGACCAGCAGCAAGACCAAGACCAGCGCAGAAACTGGCAGAACTAGGCGGGTCGGTCCTGGGTCCTGCAGGGTAGCTGGGCTCGAGCTGGGAGAGGCAGGGAAAGGCAGGGAAAGGCAGGGAAAGCAGGCGTAGCAGGAGCGGCCCAGCCCTGCAGATGCACGATGCGAGCTGGAAGGCGCTCGCTTATTGGCCTGGGGGCTGGTCTGGGACGAGCCCTCTCACTTTCCCGCGTCCAGTAGCGTTGCTCGCCGACAGTCATCCCCTCCCTATAACATGGTGCCTTATGATAATGCCCTGGTCCCCTTTCTTAATGTACTGCACCCAGTTCCACCCAGTCTGCCTGTACTGCACCCACCCACCCATGCTCATACACAAGTACAGGACGCTTGTACTCATGCCATGCCGTGCCCTGGCCATGCCACGCTCTGCCGTGCCTTGTCCTGCAGCAGATAGACTAGGCTGGTGAGGCACTTCAGCGATTCGACGACACAATCATGGTCCGCTATCACGACTACCGAAATATGCAGACACAACAGACAGACAAAGACGGTGGCTGCCGTCGACAAAAGCAAACTAGTCAACAGGCTGTTTTGCATGTTCCCGGGGTTCGTCGCGATCTAAGACATTGTTGCTCCCTAGTCCCGAGATCGTGGAGAATTCGAGCTCCAAGACCTTCCCTTTCAGACTAGGTCAGGAGAAAAGCATTCCCTCCCACTACCTCCGACGCTCGACGCTTGTACCGAGTAGGCATGCAGCCTGTCAACCCGACAGATTGGGTAACTATTCACTCCTTGTATACGTGTACCGTGCTATAGGCACGTTGACGGCGATCAGCCCGCACGAGGCACTTGGCCGTGCGTGACTTCGGCCGACTGTGTGAGAGAACAATTCTCTTTACAGCCGAGCAGCCGAGCAACCAACGGAGATGGCGGTTGAAAATGGAAATGGCAAAGAAATGTCATGAACCACTCACTCACTCACGCACTCACTAAACCGGGCAGTGCGGTACCGTCGTATCATAGAGCTACCATCCAAGTGGGTTCGTCAAATAGTGGCCAGCATCAGTGCACGCACACGCTACCACACTACCGCGCCCAGGACAAGGAAGGATAGGATATTCAACCAGCACGCACCAACGTTGAGACTAATGTGCCTCTTTGTCTGTCCTGTCAACTTCCACCAGCATACGCCGGAAGCCTTGCAAGAGCACTAGGCGATGCTCTTCGCCAGCGGTGGCCAGGTCACGGATTGAACTGACAAAAGGCTGCCGCGCGCCAATGCAGGAATGACTGCGTTCCTGCGCGGCTCGGACTCCTCCGATTTAGAGCTCTGCCGCTGCCTGTCAGAACGTGGCTCCTTCAAAGTCACTTCTTGCCCGGGGCACACGCACAAAGTCCATTGACCCGACCTTTTGCATAACTACCCCTGCACCTGCACCTGCACCTGCACCTGCACCTGCAGGCTCACGTCTCTTTCTGTGTGTCTCTGCTGCATGGATCAAATGGTCAATGGTCCATGTCCTTGGTCCAAGGCTCACTAGATGCAGCTTGGGAAGGGAAAAGCCGAGTCGAGTCGCATCCTCCAACAGACTATGCCTGTCACCTGCAGCTCCCGCCCCATCTCGACCGTCGGCACGTTGAGAACGGCACCGCTAGAATGCCTCTGCGGACTCGAGGCCTGTACTAATCACCAGCAGCCCTTCTTGCCGCTCACCGGAAAAACCCCTCGCGTTCCTGGCAGGATTCGGATTGTCTCCAGACGAAGTTCGCTATCAAACGGTGGTTGGATGCTCCTCCTGCATGTCCTGCACAAGTCCCGCCCAGCGTTGCACAGAGCAGGATTTGCCTACCCGAATCGACCATTTGGCCCGGCCTGGGTCGCCTTCGGCCAACCTGTTCGGAGTCAGGGTTCGATGTTCTCGAGTAATACCGCATCCAACTACGAAACAGTCTCGCCAGTGCTGTAGTCATAGTCAGAAACGGCTCTTGCTCTATCAGACGTGCTCCACTGGCATTGAAGGTCATGCGAAAGCAAAGCTAGGCGAGCTGGCAGACACATGCCACCTGCCATCGAGGATTAACCAGTCTACCAAGCTGGGCAGAAGGCTGGATGATCGTCACGGTTGAGACGACGGGAAAGGGGAAGCCTACGAGGCCTGATTTAGAACGCGGCTAATATCTCTTTAGCACCGCACTCCTAACCAGCAAGGCTCTAGTTACGCGCGATACTGCCGATCTCATCTCACAATCGTCAGGACGAGACTCGGGACTGGGCAGAATCGGAGAGATTAATTGAAGCCCGTCAGAGGCCAGTCGCAGCCTCGCCGCGAAATGCAGCCCGGAATGCGCCACTAGCCAGTGGCTGGCCAATGACCAGTCCGCGAGCTTCATAGAAGAAGGTTCACACTAACTCCCGGTACGTGGCCGCGTCCCGCCCTCCTTGGAAGCTTTGCTTGGGATGCTTGGGTGTTCCCTTGGTCTGGGTCATGCGTGTCGCCATCGAGCACGTGGCAGGAGATAGAACCCTTTCGGGGGTTATCCTCTGCTGGATGATGCCCTCTGGCTACCGGCAAGTCGAAGCCGTACTCCAGGTGATACAACACCAGCCTCCGGGCCAACCGGCTTCCAAGCCTTGAGCGACTGCTTGACATATCGTTTGTGGCCCAGCGGCCCAACGGTGCCGGGCGAGGTGCTCTCGTTCTTGGGATCAATCAAGGGGTCACCCAGCTCCGGCTACGAATCCAAATGGAATCTTCACCAGTGCACAGACGGCGGATGCACGATGAGCTCAACCGCTGTCCTGCCCAACTGGCACTCACGCTTTGCCGGGCCATGCCCTCTATCCGCTTGGACCCTGTCCGGCCATGCGCGGATACCTTGATACCATAACGTTTAAGTTATTGGACATGCGCCCACTTTGACTCGATGTGGGTATTTGAGATCTTGATGTGGTGTGGTTGCGGTCGCCATCTTGAACCGACTTCGGCACACATCGAACTTTAACCGTGAAATTACAATGTTACAAGTCAACCTTTCACACATGTGCACTTTTATTCTCATCTCACCTGCTCGAATAAGATCCTTCCACCAAATACCTCCTGAGTAAATGACGGTGTGACTAGTAGTATAGGAGGGAAAAGCAATGACAGCTATAGCAGCAATAGCACGGCTCCGCACATGATGAAACATCTGCATACAACCGTTCATCGAGCTCCGTGCGGGTCCTTATTGGATCGCAACTATTGGATTCCTTGGACTCCTTGGACTCTCATCCATCCATCCGGAGCATTATGTCTCAAGCCCACAGACCGGCCAACCGCAGGTGCAGCCTCGCTCGCTTCGTCATCTTGCTGGATTGGGAAACCGAAGAAAACTTCCCGAATTGGCGACGGGGCATCGTAGTAGGCTTCCTTTACGAGATCGTCCACCTCGGGGCCAATCTCGTTTCTAGACGGTACCGGTGGGCTGAGCAGAGATTCGCAGCGGATCTGCTTCGACATTTGGCGGAGAACTTACCAAGACTGCTCGTACGTCCACCCGAATGAGTCGAGTCCACTGATCCATCATTTCACGTGGGCCACGACCCCCATGCACGTAGACCCTGACGATGCGCCCGAGCGTGAGATGGATACTTGATGGCTCTGACCACCCAGGGATCAAAGGTTGGCCAGTTGATTTTAAAGTTTGGCAGCGACATGCATGTGACGATATCCTCAAGCAGCTTTGGCAGGTTGAACCGTGATGATTGACGCAGAGGGATCTGCGTTTGACGGTATCTCATGAACGGCTACATACGGGGACCACGGCAAATAATGCGAATTGCAACCAAAAGTCGGCAGGGTGTTGCATCGCGGCACGCACTTGGCACCCTCCACTGATGTGTTCGTATCGACCTCTCAATGGAAAATATTTGGACAAGGAAGCCGGAGAATAAGCCCGAATGCCAATATACCGACATCCTATTGCGGTCAAAAATAAAATAAACAAATCCAGAAGCGTCTTCGCGAGTAAGTAAATTGAGTAAACCCCGAACAACCATCCGCCCGGTGAAGGCCGGACTTCTATTTCCGTTCAGGCCAAGCTCCCCACCACCGGCGCCATGCGAAGATACAGGCCGTGGCACGCAGGCAGACCAAGCACAATCACATCATCCACAGCATGTCAAGCAGAATGCGCACTCTCCCTCATCATGCGCGTGGGGACACCGAGTGAACCGCACCGGCCACATCAGGTCCAGGCGCTGCCGTCCGCAGGGCCACCGAGCAGGATTCATCGCATCTCCCAGATAGCCTCCTGCACGGCATAGTCCCCTGAATCGACGAACGCCAGGATGAGGCCGCCCCTCCCAGGCCAAGGAAGGATGGACAGTCCAGACCAAAGGGCGGCATTATTATTATCATCATCATCGTCACCACCACCGCGCCACCCTAAACCGGGTACACATCTTGCCCAATATAATTTGCCTTGGAGGCAGCGATCAGCGCGCACTCAAACTTGGGATGATGATGAACACCACTACACCTGCTACTGCGGCTGAACGCCTGCTGTGTTGGTAACTGAGGTGCTGGCCCACAAATCTTGACAAGCGGCCTCCCGGACGTTGCAACCCGGCCCTGTCTCTCCCTGCCTCTCTCTCTCTCTCTCGCGAGTGGGGAGCAAGATTGGCCATGGCGTCGAAGATCCCGCGGGTCGCAATTGGGGGCCCGCCCGTTTTTTTCCTTTTGGAAGAGCCGCAACCGCCTAATCCGCAAGGGCAGAGGGAAAAGGCCCGTGTTTGGAGGTACTATCTACCTACCTACCTATCTGGGAAGGGTACCTAGTGCTCTGCGTTGTCAGTGGTTGGGAGGCAAGTCTCCTTGGGGCTGGGCTGGCAGGCAGGCAGTTCTTGCTAAATTTTTATCCAAAGAGGGGACCCTTCATTTACGACCAAACTCTACTTGCCGTTGCCCAACCTCGTGTATGGGATGATAGTTTTGAGGCCTTCCCGTTCGTTCCGCGGAGGGGGCGGTCCTGGGCACGGTTGATTGGGTGTGGAGGTGATGTATTGGGCGTCCCTGGAGGGTGCTGACCACCAACACCACCGCCACCACCTCCGAAGACCCTTCACAATGACTGCGACTGTGACTCCAACCGTGACGCCTTCCTAGCAACGCCGATGCTACCGCCCTGGCCGGTTCTGCCGGTCAGATAATCGCCTAGTCGAGCTCACCCAACCCAGCTTGGCTGCAGGGTGCGTTCAGCTGGTTCAGCGAGGTGTCCACGGGGACATGTCGCCCTGCCGGCCTGCTGTGACGTCCGCCTGGGTGCGACGCTTTAACCTTTTCACTGGCCCTTTCACATATTGCTACCTTGACAGTTTGCCGGGGGGGTTGGGCGAGAGGAGACGGGTATCGATCAGGCTGAGCAGCGTCAGCGGCGAGGGGAAGGCTGAGCCATTCTCGCAGGCGAGTGGCTGGCTACGTGCCCATGATCTCAACGGCGGCTTACAACGCATCCTAATGACCTGGGTGGCTGTTTCCCAGGCTGGTCTGTCACTTGCTACACATGCGTGTCAGACCTATACCGCATAAACGAAGGTCGTCAGCGTAGGGCGGGAGACGCGCGGCTGCTGCGTCTCTTTGCACGAATTGAGTGATGATTCGGGGCTTCTGCTGTGACGTCGAGCTTGGTCGTCCAGCTGCGGGCTGCGCAAGTCTTCCTGAGCGGAGGTGTGCCTTTTGTGAGGAAGATGTGGTCGAGCAAGTGCTGACTGGCCTATTCAAACCCTCATCCAGGGCAGTGAAGCTGGTCACTCGAAGCGAGCCAGGGGTGTTGATTTGGATGACGTTGACTTTGACTTTGATGTCCTTCCCAGCTGTGCAACTACCAGGCAATTGTTAGAAGCACTTACACTGTAAGCTTGTTTTGCGGACGATACAGTATCAGGACGGCTCAGTTTGTTTTGAGCACATTTCCTACACGATCTACCCCCTCCAAGTTGCCTCGAACTGGTATCATTCATTGTGGACCCCAGGGAACAGACCAAAACATGGTTCGGAGTCGTGGTGAATCCCGTCAATCTCGCATTCCACCGATGACAAATGGCAAGTTGCACAACAGCCTCATCACACACATCTGCCGAAGACACCCATAACAAGGCCGCTCCATCCTGTGTTTCAAAACACGCAAGGCCATCACGGTCAATCAACCGAGGAAACCCATGAGGAGACATCCGTCGTCTCAATTCCACCTCCCCTTCTGCCCCCTTTTTTTTTTCTTCTTTCAATTAATTCCCTGGTGGCGAACAATTACGTTCCCGAGACGACTGCCGATGTTTACTTTCCCGGCTCTACGGCACTGAGCCCACCAGGAAAAAGGGCCGTGGTGTAGCGTCACGGTCCGGGGCTCTGTCAAAGTTGACAGAACGAACAAAGTGCTGGGCCCAATGGGCCGGTAGCCTAACCACACAGGTGGCAGATGGTTCAAGTGTCCCACTATGCCACGCCGGCGGCCGTTCGCAGCGTGGTGGCCGCCGGCACGACTTCCCGTGTGCCAAACGGTTTCTGTCTGTGCGGCGGGACAGATCTCACGAGGATGGATATACATGAAGCTCGCACCGCCCCTCTGGGACCTATCTTTCAAGCGTTCGCTGTCGAGGTGCGGCGGCCGCCAGGGGTTGGTGCGGGTTTTCCCATACGCGGAAAGTTCGCAGCCGCCGCAGCCATGGTTCCTGACTTGCTTCTGCGCCAGGAACATCAGGCATCGCCGTGGCAGGACGCCAAAATCGATGATGGGATCCTTCTTCGCGATATGGTGGGTTGGGACTCGGGAGCAGCAGGATCCGCAACGGGCACGACGGGACCTCGGTGTCTGTTTTCAGGCCTCCGCCACTTTGTCGCAAGACACTCCTCAAGATCAGACGTTGGGGCTAACTAATCTGTGGCGAGACCTGCGCGCCCTCGAGATGGGATCATGTCGTTGGGCGGCTGGGTCGACGAGACCAACGGCAGGATATTCACTCCGGATTGGCCTACTACGCGCCGTCTCTCGCTTGCTGTCTCTGGACCCCTAGGCAGGAGGATTCGCTCCGTTGTGTAGCAATACTGCCTTGGGAAGAAAATACACTTCGCTCCTTAGCCTCGACTCCTTCCAAAACAGATTAGATTGCGATCATATGCACGTATATGCTGCACGACACATACGAATCCTTTGGGGGCCGAAAATGGGTTACAGTGGTAACACATCCACCCGCTCCTACATACATGTGCAGGATTTTTGCAATGTGGCGAGCTGCCTGCTTGGCAGAGGGAGGAATTCCAATAGTCCTAAAATATCCTATCTGTACGGGCTTTCTTTTCTGCCTGCACTCGATCCTTCCGGTGGGATCCTGATGTTGCCTCCTGACGTCGTCTTCATGCAAGACATGTGATTGATGGCCTTTCGACGAGATTTGGATGTGTCGTTAATCCGTCGGCTTGTGAGTCAGACACCTACCAGCACAGTGATTATGGGCAAATTCATGATGGGACACGAAGGGGCAAGAGAGGCAGCATGGATGGATTGGATGCCACAGGTGGGACAGAAGGCGGGGAGGTGAAAGGTGCGACCACTGCTCAGCAGCCATCGCATCAGACTTTAGGACATCTACTGCAGACTGCACCACCCGTGCAGCCAGTTCACAAGCGAGGGCGGCATCGATGCCGAAGGAATTCATCCAGTCACTGGCAAAAGCAGCGTGTCTTGAGGGTCTAATTTTCTATGCGTACACTCGGTTTCATTGCCGACGCGTAAGACGCGACGAATGCCTCAGTAACACGGTTGGATATCAATTCCCGCGTTGCCTTTCCCTCCGCGGGTCTATACCATGGTGGATATACAGTCGTTGGTGTCGCCGTCGAATCCCATGCGCTCTACACTTAGTCCTCGTCCCAGTTCTGCCACAGCTTGTTAGTCTCTGGGCTGATAGTCATGCTTGAGGGGCTGGTAAGATACTTACTGGATTGGGCCCTGGGGGCTTGGGGCCACCGGCTTGCCTTGCCACGATAATCTGGTCCACCGACAGGACGGTCCTGGCGGCCTCTGTTGCCAGCTTGATCGCCCAGCTCTTGGTGACCATGAGGTCCAGGATACCAGCATCTTGGGCGTCCAGGATTCCAGTGTCCTCCTCGTTCTGTCGTGACTGGTCAGTAAAGTGCACAGGATGAGACAACTCGTAGAGGAAGCTTACCTCGATATCAACACCGGTAGTCCACTCATCCTTGCGGCTGTGCGCGGCGTATAGCCTGCTCAACACCTCTGTGGCATCGAGACCCGCGCTCTCCGCAATGCTCCTTGGTACGACCTCGAAAGCCTCACCGTACTTCTTGATGGCGTACTGAGCCAGGCCCGGTGTCTTCTCACCGTATGCCTGTAGCCTCTCAACGAGCTGGATCTCTGCTGCGCCGGCTCCTGGCACGAGTCTGGCGTCCTTGGTGATGGCCTTGACAACATTGACACCGTCATCCACGGCTCGCTCGATGTCGTCGAGATGGTTTTGGGTAGCTCCCCTGAGCACCAGGGTTGCTGTCCTGGTGACTTCGTCTTCCTGTCGGAACACTGTAACTCGATCGCCGCCAATCTCGAGTGTCTCCACCACATCAATAGAGCCCATCTCATCAGGCATGGGTGCACCCAGTCTTGCCAAAGGCGTAGCACCGACAACTCTGCATATTCTTCGAAGATCGAACTTGCTAAGAATCTTGATAACCAAGATGCCATAGCGGTTCAGGTAGTGCATGGCCAATTCTCCAACTGTTGAGCCTGCGATGATCACACGCAGGCCGACATCGTGGAGCTCCTTGATAGCTGCCTCAAGCTGGGCCTCCTCGCCTCTTGTGAAGTCGAGCATCTCCTTAGCGTTGTGCAGCAGGACGGTGCCCTTGGTCTCAGTCTGGCTGATATCGATGGCGCACGAGTAGACGCCGACCTTGGCCTTGGTTGCCTTCTTCACGGATCCGTTGGGCTCCTTGGGGAAGACCATGCCCTTGACGACACGGCTCTGCTCCAAGCTACCACCCATGATCTTCACTACACGGACGTTGTCGACGCTGAAGTTGGCAGGGTTCTTGGGGAGGACGGCCAGAACAGCCTCGGCGACGAGATCCGACAGGAAGTCCTCGTTGCCGTTCTGTTTGCTGGCCACCACGGTACGGATAGCCTTGCTCAGCTCCTCCTGCGACGTGATATCGGCAGCCTTGTCGACCTCGAGCTCCTCGAGGGTCTCCAGGGCGAACTTTTGGGCCTTCTCGTAGCCGGTGACGATGTCGGAGGTCTTCAAGCCCATTCGGAGTAGGTCCTCAGCCTTCCGGAGCAGCTCGCCAGCCAGCACGATGACCAAGTTGGTGGCATCGCCCATCTCAGCATCCTGCTGTTGACTGGCCATGACCAGCAGCTTCGCGGCGGGGTGGACAACATCGAGTTCGCGGAGGATGGTGGCGGCGTCGGAGGTGAGGATCATCTTCTGCAGGTGGTTGATGACGATCTTGTTGCGCCCATAGGGACCCAGAGAGGTCTGGACAGTAGAAGCTATGGCGCGGCAGGCGTCGATGTTCCTGAGCACGGCGCCATCTTCAGAGTCGTAGCTGCAGTGTGACCGCCCCGGTCAGTATGCGATGTGGTTGAACACGTTGGGATATCAGGGACGAGACTTGGAAAGGGGCAGGGTGTATGGGCTGGATTTACTTGTTGTAGCCGCCCTTGAAGAGGCCTGCATTTGGCGCGTTTGGGATATTCAAAGACATCTTGACGGGTTGGTTCCAGGCTGGCCAGAGACACACAACACGTTGGGAGTCTGTGTCGGGATGGACGTGACAAGAATGCACTCGAGTGCAAGCAAATAGGCGGAGGGGTCCAGGAGCTCAAGCAAACAAAAATTCGGCTGGCTGCAAGGTGCCAGCGGGACGGGGATGGCCATGGTGGGGCGAGATGAGCTTGCTACACCTCGCCGCAAGGCGCTGCACTACGCTGCATACACTGGGCCTCTTCCGTTTTCTTACAGTAGCTGAGCTTCAAAACGGCCAGACGAATGATGAACGTCCCCCAAAATCTTGCACATAACGATTGATCATACATACGATAGGACAACCAGATCTAAAATCCAACAGCAAGTCATGTATCATCTCAAGTACTCCAAGTCTACCCGCTATCCTACGAGGCGAGGTAACAGAAATATTCGGACGTTCGAGAGCCCAATCAAACACGTCTCTTGCATGGAAAATGCTGTAGATGCTCTGTCTAGTCTAGATACGGAGCTGATAGTCCAGGAGTGGCCCGAGCGCATCGCGGTCTACTTGGCCAGCCTTGTGTGCAGTCTACTGGAATTGAAGGATCCAGGTTCACGCTGCTTGCTGCTTGTCTGGCGCATCTTCCAACATTTTGTTTCTCCTACCACCCATCATCCTCAATTATTCCCTCGAGCTGCCTGACCTTCTCCAATCATCAAGCGATCATCAGTCCCAGCTCGCCTTCATCGCCAGCAAGATTGACTGCCATTCCCTACTTCGAGTCCTCATCCTCGCCCTCGCCCTCTTGCAATGGCTCCAGCAGCATCCTGTAAGTTCAAGCTCTCCACAATTCTTGTCAGTACCGGTAGCTTTCGCCCTGCGCAACTGACTCCATCCACCCATCGATCCATCCCCCCATGGGTGACTGACCCCATCGCCCCAAATTCCTCCCATGCCTTGTCATCCCCGCGGTCCGCGTGCGCTCAGCCAAACATCCTCAGCCTGTGTGCTACGTGATGGTCTCCAACAAAGCCAAGATGGGTCGTAGAGCTGACAATGCTGATCCCCTAGCCGTCCCGCCGCCGCTGCCTCCCTCCGTGGAGGAGGCCTACCGCCGCAAGTGCCTGCAGCTGAAGCAACGGACCATGGAAGTCGAGGAGGCCAACGATGCCGCGCGACTGCGCCTGACCAGACTGCAGCGCCAGGTCGAGAAGCTCCGAATCGAGCGGGCCTTCCTCCTCGAGCAGATCGCCAAGCGAACCAGCGCCAACGTCGAGGATTCCGAAGGCAGCCCGAGCCCACCACCAACCGTACGTGACGGCCCTTCACCCTCACCCATGCCATCGTCTCTAGCCATACGCCCTTCTGGACCCCGGCGACAAAACCCATCGTCATCATCAGCGCGCGTTGGAATTGGTTCATCAGGTGCTGACCTAGACCTGCAACAACAGCCCCAGGAGAAGCCTCTGCGTAGCAAGCGGGGCCACCGAAAGCCCTCAGTCATTGCCAACTTGGACTCCAATGGCCCTCCTCCTACCTTTATCAACCAGAGCATGCAGCCGCCCTCGCCGAGCTCTGACGCCTACTCCCACACGAACGCCGAGGCCAGCCAGAAGGACCCGTCACAGCGCGCTAACGGCGTGAGCAAGCCGCCTAAGAAGCCCAACAGCGCCTTTGATCTGTACTGCAACGACCAGCGCTCGGCCCTGACCTCCAAGGGTGAGGATGTCAACGTTGACGAGGAGCTCGCCCGCGGATGGAAGGAGCTGCCCGAAGACAAGCGCGACGAGTATAAATCTCAGGAGGCCAAGGCTGTTTCCAAGTACGAGAAGGAGAAGGATGCCTATGCGAAGGGCAAGGCAGAAGCCGAGGCTGAGGCCGAGGCCGAGGCAGAAGCAGAAGCAGAAGCGGAAGCAGAAGCGGAGGCTGAAGCGGAAGCTGAGGCTGAAGCTGAAGCTGAGGCGGACGCGGATGCGGAGGACAACGCAAAGACAGCGAAACAGCCAGCAGAGTCCCAGGCTGAAGAGACGCCTGCTCGAGATGAAGACGTTGAGATGCAGACCGATGATACACCAGCGGCTGAGGACTAGACGACTGGGCTATTTGAATGACTGGGATCACAGCAGGCCCATAATTATCTCGAGCTATATCGCGATGGCACAGACAGCCACTGCGAGGACACGCGCTGCGACATATGCCATCCCGCTGCTCAACACACCCAGGTACCTTGACCGAGCGACACGCAGTTAGTCTATCACTGTCGATCTTGCTGCACTCGAACCTCACACTCCAGGAAGAGCCCCTGCCAGGGGCATACTACAGTGCGGCGCAAGTCAACTGTGCATGTAATGTCACGTATGCCAACGAATCTTGACGCGATACACTCGGTAAACAGCTGCGCAACCATGCTCGAGCAGATCCATGGAAAAAGGCAGAGTCCATGTGCGGGCAGCATTAGTCTCAAGGCTCAATCATGAAGGCCCATCTTGGAGACGGGGGAGGAAGGAGTGGGCTAGCATGTGGAGGTGGTAGGACGGGGTCATTGTTCACATTTTTTCCAAAGTCTTGCCAACGCGAATCATAGCCTTATGAAGGAACGGTATAGGATGATATTTCTGGTCGTCATGGCCCCGGGCGATAACCGTTTAGGAGGAATGAGGTGGCCCGCGGGGATGGTCGTAAAGACCTGGGCCCCTTCAAATAATACATGTTTTTTTTTGAAACTTGAATCACAACCCTCGCTCTTGACGTACATTCAGTCAAACCGCTGTCGCGTCGTACGCCTCAGCAGGGTGGGGAAGGATCCTTGACAGAGCTGTGTCCATGCCTTGAGCCTGCACTTAGTGATCAACGGCCGTCGGTGTGTGGAATGCCACGGGGTCGGCGGGAAGTACGAGATGAACGTCTGCCATCATTAACACATGTACGTATACTACGAGATATATACAGGAGAGGCCCGATATCAACTGAAGAGCATCGCTAGGCCACCTGACACACGCGTAGTGATCCTAATCACCACGACGGCTCGACCCCAAGCATGCTAGTCTCGTCTCCGATCAACACAGCAAAGACATTTCGCAGGAATTTCGCAGCCGTGAAGCCTTCCCCATATCTATATTGATGGAACCAAAGGCGTCTGGAATGAGACCGACCGGGCACCTGTCTGTCTGCCTGCCTACAGCTGCTGCTCCTACGAGCTTCCTTTGCCTGCTCGTTTTTCGTCCTGTGATCCGCGCTTTTTTCAAGCCATTGCTGGCGGCTTTTTCGTTTCCTTGCCTTTTCCCCCGAATTTGATTACACCCCTGCTAATGAAAAAGAAGCGCTTTGAAATGTTGGCTTGACTCCGATGCAATATACAATGGCTGCTCCCCACCGGCATGGACTTCGCTTGGTCGGTGACAGCTTGAATTTTCGTCTCCTCCCAAGAGCGTCCCGGTCACGTCTCCTTGTGAGACTAGCTCCCTATGCGTTCCCTTGTCCCTGCTATCGCTTCGTATCCAGGATGCTATCCTATGATCTGGTTCCGCTTCCCCTTGATACGCTGCTCTCCTTTGGACAACTTCCCTCCTGGGTGGATGAATGGGCGGGTGGATGCCTTCCTCCTGTATGATTTGACCCTGGTGTGCGGTTTCAGCCGTGTGGTCTAATCGACCCAATATAGATCTACAACAATGTTTATTGCAGCTACGAGGATTTCTGCTGCGATGAGCACGATGACTGAGAGTGACCAAATGTTAGTGACGAGGGTGACATAGACGCAAATGCGTTGCAAATGTATCAGGGCATGGAAACCACTTACCGATCCACTCCAACTTCTCACCATGACCGTGGCTCAACTGGTCCTTGAGCACTGCCAGCAGATCGCCGACGACGTCCATGCGGTCGGTCAGCACCTTGACGCGCTGGTCCATCTCCAGGTACTTGCGCACGGCCTGGTAGACGGGCTCGAGCTGGGGCTCGACCCAGAAGAGCTCGGGAGTGTCGAGGATGGAGCCGCCCAGGTGGATGTTGAGCTTGAGGATGAACAGCTCGCCGATCTGCATGTGGATCTGCTTTCGGGTCAGGGCGATCTTGCCCGTCAGCGCGATCTCGGTCGGGATGTCCTTGCAAGCGTCGATGGTCGAGTCCATAAGTTCTTCGAACAGCGATGTCTTGGTGCTCTGCGCCAGCGCGTGCGCGATGGCCAGCTTGACCTTGTAGTTGTTCTTGTCCCTCAGTGCGATGAAGTCGTTGTATATCCGCGCCGAGTACTCTCTTGTGTAGTAAAAGTTGAAGTACTCGACCTCGACATCGTCCGGCGCCAGCTTTTCGAGTTCGAACTTCGCTATTTCCTTAAGAAAGCGTTGTTCTTGCGCCAGGGTCATGCCCCATATTACAGTCACGCCATACTCGAAAAGGAATACTTCTGAGGTATGCACTTCAATATCAAAGTCCGCGGCTTCAATCATGGCACTCTCGTCTCCTCTTTCAGCAGCGAAAGTGTCCCGTTGTGACTCGTAGTCTTGGCTCTCTTGCCTCAGGTCGATCAGGTCCTGTGTCAAAGGGTAGCCTGCTTCTGAGGCCGCAGCCGTCGCGTACTCTCCTGTCGAGTGCCTCCGCTCATATGGATGTACCGGGTTTGAATGTATCGTCTGCTGTTGGAGGCCCACCTCGGCCTGTTTGCTGCTGTAACTATACGGTGAATATATGCACTCGTCGATAAGTTTTGGGTTTGCACCCTTCGCCTTGCCCCGCGACCCTTTCAGGAACCTCATGAGCCCGTCCATGTCGTATTTGTTCGCCGTGCAGTAGGCCGTCACCCTCGGAAGCCGGGTCCTGTCTGCCTTGCCCAGGCGCGCTGCGTCCCGTCGGGCGGTAGGGTCTTTGATCCGTGTGTACTGGGCGTAGACATCGCGGCCGCTCTCCTCGTCGGGGCCGTCCTCGTCAGGCTCAGGATTTGGGAGGAGCTTGAGCTTCTGTGCGTTCTTTGTTGACCTCTGAGGACCAATCTTTGCGCCGGGCATGACCATTGCAGGACCGCCTGCGCTGTGCCTCCTTCGCAGCTTGGAGTTGAGGGCGCTGAGCACAGGCCCCGATGGACCAGCTCCCGCCGCTGACGAGGAGCCTGAGGCTGAGGCCGAGGCGGTAGTTGTTGAATCACCTGGCGAGCTTCGAGGGCGTGATCCATAGTCTTGGGTTTCGGCCTCGATCGTTCTGGTGACGGGGTTGGGATTGAAGGTCACGCTTCGGACTGTCTTGGGCCTGTTCTCTGCCACGGGCAGGAGCGGCGAGCTCTCTGTTGTTACTGCGGACATTCTGAAGGAACTCAAGCACGAGACTGCTCAATGGTGTGCTGGAGGCTTGGAGGGTTCGTCGAGGGCATGAGAAAGGAGGGCCAGGCTCAGGATGAGACCCCAGGATGAGGCCCGACAAGAGGAAGAGAGAGAGAGCCTTCAAGCTGTGCGTAGCGCAATGACGTCCACGGCCGCTCAGTAAGGTCGAAATTCAGCAGCGGCCGCGGCAGCCCAATTGAAGTTGACGGGCGCCAAAGTGTGGAGAAGCTGATCCCTGCAGCCTGCAGGTCTGACGAACGCCTAAAACGGCGCCCATGCCCTGAGTGCTTCTGAATACTACCCGTTAAACTGAATGCCAAGGTGCAGAACGGCCTGGTCGTTTAGTCGCCTTCTTGGAGGACCGTTCCAAGATCGATTTTGACGACTGCAATCAAGGAGAGGATCTACTTCCACGTTGTGTGGAGACCACTCCAGCGGCGTACCATTTAGTAGCTGCACTAGCAATTGAAAAGTATCGGTTGCCAATGCTGGGCCTCCTGGGATAGGTCACATACTGAGATCATCATCTCAACTGTCAACAAGTTCCAAGAGCGGTTAAGCGTCGAGGTGAACAACGCAGCAGCACAGACTTGCACCAGACTGCTGAGAATTGACAACACATGGTCTCACAGCGTGCATGTGTCACTTGTGGCCTCCAAGATCGTGTCTCAGTCCACGTTGTCTGAATACCACTGCGAGACGCCAAAGACTGACGGGCAACTTGAGGCTCGCTGCCTGCACTTCAAACCACACAAAGCAGTGGCGTGTTCGTATATATATTTGCATTTCCTGAGGTGAGGGCGTCCGGTATAAACTTGTAACGGTTTGAGAAGGCAGAGTGCCCCTGGGAAATACAAAAGTCACAATAGACTCCATAGACCACAAGGTGAGAAGCCTAAAGTAACGAGGCATTGAGCGCAAGATAAACGTCAATTAGCCTGGTTGAATCCGTCTTCTTCTTTTTTTTTTTTTAAAAAAAAAATAAAAAAAGAATACAGGTGTGCATACAATCTCTTATACGGATAGACTCGGCTGATTGTATCCCCTACTTGGCATCGAGAGAATCTTCTGTCGATCAGTTCGAGTGGCCATCCACCGGCACCGGCTCCTAGGCATGAACCAACCCATTCTTGGCGACCCTTTTGGCTGAGTCTACAATATGGTAGAGTCAAGTATTACAGGATATCAATAGAGAATGTAATGCACTATATTTGTCGTTTGATCGATAATCACAACATGCAAGCCGCCGACAGTTGTCAATCTTTTACCTCTCTTTTGTCCTTTGTCCTTCGTCTCAATGACACTCTAGGTCAATACCGACTCGGTTTGAATCTTGAATCCGGCACCGTCTAGTCTGTCCACGAATCCCTGACCAAGACAGGCCGGCGTGAAGACTCCACCTCCACCAAGGTCAATATCGTCCTCCAGAACGGTCAGCGCGGCCTCAGCGAGGAGAGTACCGGTCACTTTGCAATTCGTCAGCCATAGTTATCAGGAACATCTCAGATGAGTGCAAACTTACAGGCGTACATGCTGCCGAAGTAGGTAGCCCGGCAGAACGCCTGCTTCCCGACCGGCCTTTCGGTGTCAGGCGCAGCAACGCCGCGGATCTCGATCTCGTGCTTCTTCGACTGCTCCTTGTCCGGGCCGTCACCCTGCTTATAGACGAACCTCCTCACTACCGATCGTAGTGGTGGTAGTGCGACTAGTAGGACGCTTACGACGGCGATGCCCCAGTGCATGAGCACGCCCGACAGCCAGTTGCGCGTCCTCATGTACTCGCTGAACGCGAAGTTGGGCCCGTAGGCCTCGGCCTCTTTCGTGCCGATCTGCTCGAACAGGCCCCACGTCCGGCCGATTATCGCCCTGTCGCTGTCCCCGGCGAGGCAGGTCGTCATTTTCCCCAGGTTGGGCACCGTGCGGAGCCCCGTCAGCCGCGTCTTGAGAGACGGCTTGTGCGAGGCGGCGTTGGGATTTGGCACGGGGGAGAGTGCAAATGGCCGCATGGTTTCGGTTATCTCCTTCAGGCTGAATGTGTCAAAAAACCCGAGGAGGGAGGCTAGGGTCCCGCCCGAGGGCGCCGCGCTGTTGTATGTGAGTCCAAACTTCGTCGTACGGGACTGGTGCTGCTCGGCTTTGCTTACTTTATCCTGTGGATGGACATGACCGCCTCACGGGTCTTGGCTGCAAGTTCGGTGCGGTTGTGCTTGGCAAGAGACCAGACAATCAAGTCCGCCGGGGCGGACTCGAAGCCGATCTCCGGGAAGAGCATGCTGCCTGTCTGCTTTGCGACCTTCTCGTACTTTTTGATCATGCGTGCCACGAAGGGAACCTCCCCTGTGACGTCGAAGTAGTGCGTGCCATTCTCGGCGCATGCTTTGAAGGCCTGGCTCATGTTAGTCTCGCCCTCTGTGGCCAGGGATGTCGCTACTTCGGTTCACTGACATGCTCCCCATACTGCCCATAAGGTCCCACAGTTGTGATCAAGATGAACGTCTTCTTGGCCAACGCGCCCAGATCATCTCCGTTCAAGCTGCAGATCTCAAGCTCTACAGACAAAGTCAGCCGGGAGGAAAGGTAGCAGCCACGATGACGCAGGGACACATGGAAGGTCTATGGATATTATGAAATGCACCAACCAGGTTGTCGTCGATCCGGGTTCAAGGGCTTGAGCTCGTCAGCGAGCTTTTGCAACTTCTCCCGGGAACGACCAGCAATGGCCCATTTAAGATCGGTGGGCAGGTGCGTGGTGATATGTTCTGCAGTGTATTTTCCAGTATAACCTGTTTGAGCCTGTCAGTCCCTCAGGTCTTGGGATGATGAGGATAATTATGGTTAACGCACCGGTTGCCCCAAAAACTACCAGGTCATACGTCCGCCCATGCTGTTTGAATCCCATCTTGAGAACCTGTGGTGTGGTAACAGGGATATCTCAAGTCGAGTACGTGAGGTCTGACAAGGAGGCGCAACGTGTGGATGGACTAATAGAGTGTCACTGAATGAACATACAGAATAGAATCAGTCGATTGATTGTGCTTCAGAGTATCTGGGGTGAGAGCAGTGCGGGATCTCTCATGGACTTGTACTGCGAAGCAGAGTCTTGCGAATACGATCTACAATGTCTCCTGTCCTGTGCTGCAATCGAGTTACACCACTGATCCCTTAGCCTAGTGATGTCAAGCAACCTTGACTGAGCACAGGGAGTGGGCCAAGAGCCTCGGCTCAGTCAAGTCTCCCAGTCCATCCCTCCATGTGGTCTGATACCTGCACCTCGCCGGGCCGCGTGCGTGAGCCATTGCATCTTGAAGCAGACAAATGGAATCCATGTAAGCAGCATTTATAAAAATGGAGAGATGGTCGAGTGCCTTGGATTATCGAAGAAGGTGATGTTCGAGTCGCATCAGCTCACGGTGAAAGCTTATCTGAGCCAAGTCGGAATCCCCAGAAACGATCTGCCAAGTGGCGGCCAGCTGGGACCAGCCGGGGACCAGAGAGAACCCCACTAGCGCGAATCCCCCTGCTGTTCCTGCCTCAGGCATTCGTAAATTTTCCTAAGCTGCCCACAGAATCGACTTGCACCTCCCTAGGAAATTCAGCGACACCAGCCAAAGGAGACCTACGACTTCGACTTCGCAAGCCACTTCTCGCACCACGTAAAGTCGACTTCAAATCCAGACAAAATGGCCAAGGTAAGCGCCTTGAATTATATTAATGTGTATCGGCCTCACCCAGCTAACGTTAATGTGATCGCAGCGAACCAAGAAGGTCGGAGGTACGTTTGCGAAATTCCCACGATTTCTTCCCACAGCCCAAACGAGCGATGGTCGAGCATCAAGCACACAGCACACAGCACATAGCGGACCGTCGAAAATTATTACAATACTATCGACGTATCAGAATTATCGACAATTGGGGCCTGGAATCACGAGGGATGATGACGTGCGGGGGGCCAACATCGCGAGTCTAAGGAATGGGAAATCATCGTTGTCCTGCTACCGCTACATTGCTACATGCATTGCTACGACGTTCGACCATCGCTCATACGAATGCCTCGCCGAATATCATTGCACATTTATGGGATGAAGGGCTGACAAATAACTCGCAGTTACCGGCAAGTACGGTACAAGGTACGAACAGCTCAAACTTCCTCTCATAGATGCTACCACTCCCGCCCGTCGCCCGTCGCATCCAGCTGGGAGATCCAGACGGCACAGCAGAATGCCCCTCAGATCCATGGATTCCCACCTTGCATAACGGACACATGAGGGGGAGACATGGATCGAGGGGCTATGCTGCGGTCACACGGCACCACGACGGGTTGTGTCTTTGACATAACGGCAACAATCAGCTGACAGCAGTATTTAAAGATACGGTGCTTCCCTCCGAAAGTCCGTCAAGAAGATGGAAATCACCCAGCACGCCAAGTACGTGTGCACCTTCTGCGGAAAGACAAGCGTCAAGCGTCACTCTGTCGGTATCTGGGACTGCAAGTCTTGCAAGCGCACCGTTGCGTAAGTGGCAACCCCTTCGCCCCATGTCAAACCCACGTCACTGCTGCAGGCATATGTTGGAACGACATACGTCGATGAAGATGGGCTGACAATGGACAACAGCGGAGGTGCTTACACTGTCGCCACACCCGCTGCCGCCGCCATGCGATCAACGCTCCGACGTCTGCGCGAGATCGCTGAGGTGTAAGAGGTTTCGCAAGACGACGAAGGACAGGGTGGAAGGTGTTTCATGGCTTTGCTTTTCATCACATTTCCGGGTGTTAGGGAACAAAAGGTCTTCTCTCAGCAAAGGTTATACGAGCATCGACCACGGTTGTGAGGATGGCCTCGACGGAATTTGGAACGAGGCGAGGGATCAAATAATGAAAATTGATTCCATCATGAACAACAACACTCGGTCTACCGAACTCGGGAACTCGGACGTGTGATGGGGGCGGGGACGCAACCGACTTTCGTCGGGTGCGCGTCACGGGTCAACTGGATGGACGGGTCAACTTGATGAGTGGCCAGGCAGTGGGCTGCACAAAGATGTGTTCCGAAAAGATGATCTGCCTAGCCAAATGAAGCACACGGAGTTGTTCAGATAATCGTGTCTTTTTTCTCTCCCACTCCCGCCTCGTCTAGGCGGACCGTAGCCCGCGGCGCCTCGCTCTGCCTGTCAGCCTGGACAATGCAACCACGATCCTGCAATCGTAACCAGACTTTTTCACAAGCCATCGGTCGGTGCCTGGGACTCGGAGCGCAGTGTTGCCTTTTTTCCACCTTTTGAGGAATGCACGTCATCCCCTCCCTCTCCTTTGTCTAATTGTGACCGGCCGGGTGCTGGTCATGGGGAGTGGGCAACCATCTATTTTCGATCTGCCTTGCTGGATAGCCAGGGTGCGTCATCCCGGCCCCACGACGGACGTACCGCGTGTTGCGCGGCCGTGTCTGAGAGTATTCTCGTGACTCGGACTCTTACTGGTGTGAATTATTGATTTGCTCAGTCTCCTGGGCGTGAAATGGCGGGGAGCTGCACTGTGGACAAGAATGTTGTGTAGTGGACAAGAGTTGGCTTGACGATAGCCAAGCATGCTGGGGGTGTTGTAGTAGAGTGCGGCGTGTGACGACCGAACATCCGTGTTGACCAACACCTTCTTTCACGCCCGCACTGAAGGATTCAAGGGTTCTGTTGATACAATAGTCACCGCAATACGTACTCGGGGTACGCAGTAGCCAATAGGCGAATCACTGAGAATCATCCAAACTGAAGCAGGCCCTCTAATATGGAAGCGAGAGAGCCGCCTTCTGGCTCAGCACGAAATTAAGCTATCACAGCTGTGAGATGTCCGCCCTGGGGGGCGGGTATATTATTAGCCTTTCTGGGGACGTGTGTGATTTACTCGAGCGAGGCCGAGTTTCTCCATTGTTGCAAATCAAATCATTCTGGCAGAAGCGTCCCCACTGGGAGTTGTTTGGGGCGCGGCCAGGCAGGATCTTCCAAAAATTGTCTTTCGTCATTTCTTTGCGTTGTTGATGTTTTGATGGGCAAAAAGTGCCTTCAAGGTCCTCTCTTCTCACTCCCGTCTGGAGCACCTCCCCCTTCAACCCTCCCCCCCAACAACTCCCCTTCTCGCTCGCTCTCGGTGTGGGCGAGTGAGACAAGACACTTGCGGTGCGGACTACTACAGTATCTACCTAGTCTACTACCCTGGTCAGACATACATAGACAAGATCGGTCACCAGCTTCGGTCAGGACCCGGGATTTGGGGCCTTTCTCCAAAAAGGACACGGAGAGGGGACGGAGGACTTGGGTGAGTAAGTGAATAAGTGAGTGAGTGAATGATTACCATTTGATCAGGTGGTGTGCTCAGCTCGACAGAAAGAGCTACCTACCCTTGGTCGTGTCTTGGGTACCCATTCCCAGATCCCGTGGGCTATGCTCATCATCATTGGGCGCTAGAGGGGGGACCCGAGGCTGTTTAGTCTTAGGTAAGTTTGCCAGTCGAAATCCGCCCGCCCCAGGTAGCGGCTAACCTTTCTCCAACTGCGCATATCCTGCCCTTCTCCCCGTCTCTTTCCCTCTCTTTTTTCCCGCCCCAATCTTGGAAAGTTAGCCTGGAAACCAACAATCCCACTAACAAGCCACCCAGCGACACTGACACCACCCCCAACCTCGAATCAAGTCAACCCAAAAAGCCCTGCAGCACCAGCAACAACGCCCATTGCCCGCCCGGTAGCTGACAACCACCTAACGACTGACGCCCCTCTCAGGAATCAAATCCCCCCCCATCCTTTTCCACAGACGGTTTTCATGCCTTCTTCAGCCCATCATTTTGTCGGAATCTCGTTTTTGATTCAAAGTTAAAGCTCTGTGATGGCAGACCAGTGCATCGTCTGTCTGGAAAACCTGGACAGTGCAATCCCCCTTCCGCAATTGCAGCGGGAGCTGGAAGTGGAGGAGGGCGATCATGGCGGCGGCCTAGGAGCGGGTGGTGGTGGTGCAGCACCACCACCACCAGCCAAGAGCACCTCTGACGTCTCCCTGGCAGACCTGCCCGTTGCAGCAGCCGGAGCCACCCTCACTCTGTCCGCGCAAAGCAAGGACAAAACACCAGAAACAACAGACCTGAACAGCAAAAAAGATGACGCCGATGACAACGATAACAGCATTGCAATCATCCAGGTCTGCGGCCACATCCTGCACGACTCGTGCCTCAAGGCGTGGACCGTCAAGGCGAACAGCTGCCCCATCTGCCGCCAGACCTTTCATTCCGTCCAAGTATACGATCAGATTGGAGGTGAGTCGCCCTGCACAACTCCGCCCTGGCGTTTTTTCCAAAGCCGATTGCAAAATCTAATATTCTGGATTTGAACAGGAACCCTCCTGAACACCTACGAAGTCGAAGATAAGAAACAGGTTGCCGAATTCGATCCCCTCGCTTGGCTCGACGAGAACCCCGAGGAAGAAGAACAAGTCACGCCTTGCCCCGTCTGCAACACAGCAGAGAATGAAGAGGTCCTCCTCCTCTGTGATGGGTGTGACACACCATATCACACACACTGCATCGGCCTGGAAGACGTCCCCGATGGCTCTTGGTTCTGCATGGAGTGTGCACACCAGCTCGGTCAGGCCATAGAGGAGTCTCTTCCTGCCTTTGCCCGGGCTCCTGGCCGAAGAGGCCGTCGCACTGGATTCTTCCCCCGCACACGCGGTAGCATGCGGAATGAGAGGAATAGAGGTCGTACTGACGGCTGGCTCGGTGCATGGGGTGAGGTCTCGGGCCACATCCTTGGCAACTCTGGTATCGATGTCGACTTCCACGAGGCAGACGATGATCTCGCCGAGTACCGAAGATCACAACAAATGCGGGAGAGGGAGAGACGTGAGTGGCAGCGATGGCAGCAACGACTCAGCATAGCGAGCCGGCTCGGAGCTCGAGACGTCTTTGCTCGTAATATCCAGGATGTGGTGGACCAACAGGTCGCACCTCAGCCCGAGCCATTACCTCCGCGCGAGGAGACCCGCGAGGAACGATTAGCTTGGAGTGCCATGGAGAAAGCCCGAGATGCCACTCCAAACGGCCGGAAAAGGAAGTCCAGATCCACCACAGCATCTCCACAAGAGCCTGCCCCAGAACCCGAACGACGGCTCAAACGCCCACGAACCAGGCGGAATCCCTTACAAGCTGAGGCTGGGCCGTCAAGGGCAGGTTCTGCATCTTCCAGCATAAACAACAACACCAATAACAATAATCAGCGAGAGGTGAACGGGGGTCCATTGGAAGCCCGCTCCCCACCTGCGACAGAGGGGCAGCCAACCTTCCTTTCTTCGCTCTTGAGGGAGGTCGAGATGACCGTCCCAAACGACGATGACACAATCCGTGGCCTGTTTGGAGTTCCGCAGTCAGTCGACCCATCATCACCAGTCAGCTCACCATCGGCATCCGCTCGCAATAGTCCTCGGGCACTATCTCTCACGCCCCCACCGCAGCCCCCTCTCAATGGAGCTTTCAGGTCGGCCTCACGGTCACCGGTCTTGTCCCTGAGCTCGCATATCGAGCCACTGTACCCGCCAGCGAACTACTCGCCAACGAGATCGAATGGAGAGAGCAGCGACTCGGAAAGTCGTCCAATTAATGGGCATCGGAATGGATCACCGGAGCTGAGACAGCCTCGACCCCGACGGCAACACGAGATCCGATTGCCCCGCGCAGAGGACACATCGCCAACACGGCAGCCATTGCCGTTGGAGATCAAAGAAAGCATCAGCCGGGTGGTGCGCAATGCACTCAAGCCACACTGGCCGGTGGACCGCTCCAAGCGCACACTCTCGTCGGACCAGTACGCCACCATCAATCGCAAGGTGTCCCACAAGATTTACGAAGAGGTGTCGGACCCAACGGCGGTTGATGACGAAGCCAGACGGGCCTGGGAGAAGATAGCAACCAAAGAGGTGGCTCGCGCGGTGGCTGAACTCAAGACCTGACTGACGATTACGACTTGAAAGCATGACGGTGCCTCGGCGAGGGCAGAATGGACGGTACGGCGTTTCACGGACTCGAGCGATCTCTGGAAAGATACCCTGGACACTTTGACGGCATGCGGCGTTCCTGTTGATCGGCTTTTGACGGGGCCACAGGTTTTCTGTGGCAGTCGGGGAACATATTTTTTTGAAAGGATTTATTTTTCTTAGCAAATCGACTGCCCTGCGAGGTCATGGAAGGAGATGCACGCTTATCGCGTCTCGAGAGCTCGCATATAAATGGGGCATCGCGTTTTGGTAGATAGGTAGTTTCTTGATTGGAATGACACTGTTCCCATGATCTGACCGGCCGTTATGTATGCATCTAGATGATGTCTCTCTCTTGCGCGCAATGCAGTTCGTTGGACGCATTCTCGGCATTCACGTGTTGCGCAGCTTCACCTCTAGCTTGTTGAGGGCAGTTTTCAAACCTGCGCTATAACTGATTTAGCATAAAGTCAGCATTGGTAGTAAACGAGCCCATCTCGAATCGAAATTGCGATTGAGGTGGGCGCTGGAATCGATGATTTTCGTTTCCTTCATTCACGCGCTGTGCGAGAGATTTCACGATCGCGGGGTCGCTGCCTCGTAGTAAGCAGCCAGGGGCGGGCTCTCAGTTTCTGCAGTGCGCGGCCCCTGTCGGCTAGAAGCGATCTCTTTTGGGAATGTGACAACCATCTATCTAACGGAGCCCAGTGAGGTTCTTAACAGTAGGTGCCGCTAGCGAAAAAAGGGTTGTTCTGGGGTTCACTCTGGGCACGGTATAAATGACAAGACGTCCTGGGAGTGGGAACAGGCCTTGGGATAAGGATTCGTGCCTAAAGAGAGGAAAAGAGGGAGAGAAGAAGGGAAGAATACGGTCGAGGGCAGAGATTTTTGAAGGGGACATGCGAAGAAAAGTGACCCACTATTTCCTGGTGCGACCGCCCAATCAGAGAAGAGGCTATGCTACCAGGCGAGGTACGTACCTTTTTTTCGACGTCGAGAAAAAGTTCAGGTCCCGTCGCACGCTTGGGAAGCTCCTGAGGCGCCGCAAAGGAGCTCCACGGGTCGGATTCGGAGGGTTGCTTCTCACACGCACACTGCACCCATCCCAGACACACACACATCATGTCGGCGTCAAGTAGGGGCTCAAGGGCCGCTGTGCCTCTCCTCAGGAGTAAGTTGACAATCTCCCAACCGGCCAGTGCCTCCATGTCCTGTCACTTCGATAGCTAACACGAAGGTCCGCCCACCTTCAGGAGCGCCTCAAATATGTACCCAATGCGCCCACAGACAGACCAGCCAGCCAGTATCAAGGAGGGCATACTCGGCCTCACCCACCACGATGCCCGTCGAGACGAACGTCACCACCCCGCCCACCGACCCGAAGCTCGTGCCGGAGCTCAAGACCAACCACCCGAAGAAGCTGCACAGCCTGCGGGCGGGCCTGATCCTCTCGCGGCCGCCGCTGCTGACGCGCGAGCAGACGCCCTTCGAGCAGGCCTTCTACCTGTACCAGAAGCGGCTGAACGAGCGGCTGGCGACGCCCTTCTCGCGCCGCTTCTACTTCAAGAAGGACCAGCCGGCGACCATCGACTTCGCCATCAAGTGGGCCGAGCGCGGCCACACCATGGAGCGCGGCATCGGCCGCGTCACGCGCTCCGGCAAGTGGGCCTGGGACGACGAGCTGCTGCTCGGCGGCCAGGGCGAGGCCCTCGCCGACGCCGGCGCCCTGCGCGAGGCGCTCTACACCGAGGCCGAGAGCCGGGTCTCCGAGGACGGCGAGCGCCTGAGCTTTGACGACCGCGTGCGCATCGAGAGGCCGAACCCGCGCCGCACCGAGGCAGACCGCGCCGGCGACGTCAGGAGGCTCGACCGCGCCCTCGACCGCACCCTGTACCTGATCGTGAGGAAGGATGGCCTGTGGCGCTTCCCGCAGGATGACGTGTGGCCGGACGAGGGCCTGCACGAGGTACGTAGATCCCCGGAACATTGTTCTTTGCGCAGCAGGGGTAGATGTCTTACTAACTTGCAACTCCATTACAGACCGCCGCGCGCGCGCTGACCGGCTGCGCGGGCGTCAACATGAACACGTGGATGGTGGGACGCGTGCCGGTGGCGCACGAGCACAGGGAGCCCGTGTACACGGGCGGCGAGAACGGCACAGAGCGGCGGATCAAGGCGTACGGGCGCGACATCTTCTACCTGCGGGCGCGCATCATGGCCGGCCAGGTCGACCTGGCCGACAACAAGTGGGGCGTCACCGACTTCAAGTGGCTGACCAAGGACGAGCTGGCAAAGGCCATCAACCAGCAGACCATGCGGAGCGTTATGAACTCCATGCCGGCGCGGTAGCCTTTGCATACGCGGCGTGTCCTGGAAAGTGGTCTGGGATGTAAGTATGGGAGAGGGTGTAGGTGTATGTATGTACAAAAACCCATCAATACCAACCAAATGTGCAACTGGCAGCATTTTTGGTAGCCGTCGCTTGAACGTACGTGCCTCAAGACGCTTTTGCAAAACAGAGCAAGGACGCGAATCACACAAAGCTCCCAAAATCTACTTTGGCCAACACGGCTTTGATATCCTCTGCTGTGTGTTCCACATCTGGGAGCCAGTCGCAAAGGTCTTGAGTAAGCCGAGAGGAGTACTCATGTACTTTGTGGCTCGCCTTTCGCCACTCGAGCCACTGCCACACCATTTGGTGTTTGAGGAACGGTTGAATTGACTACAATTAATTATTGAGTTACTACTCTTAAGAGAATCTATGTCCAGCCCTACCAACATCGCTGATAAACATTCGCTAATGCAGTAATCCTTGAATGCAGAACCCGACGAAGAAAAAAAAGAATACAGACCGAATGTCGCTGTCCTGCCGACTGCCCTGAGACTCGCCCCAAGAGTACAAACAAGCCAATACAGAGCTCCAACTATTGCCCAGTCACACGCGCTCAATCCCCGAACAAATCCCAGCCATGGCATTTTCCAATTCTGAATCAAGCCTCATCTCAAGCTCACAAGTGCCATCTTTGAACCGGAAAGGGTTGGTCTCTGGTTATCGCGGCACGCATATTACGAGACAAGACGACCTTTTGCTCCTGGATTCTCCACAAACCAAAGGAGTTCGCTCCCCAGTCAATTTCCGGTGTAAAACATCCTCCCGAAAACTCCGACACGACTCCTGTTGCCGTAATAGTGCCAGAGTTTTTCGTCCCACTCTGGCAACGAACCCGGCACCCTGGAGTGGCTCTCTGGCTTTGGTTCAGGCGTCTGCGCTGGGGTGGGTGGTGCCTTCGTCGCCGAGGAGGCCTCGGGCTGCAGGGTCTCAAACTTGGCCAGTGCTGCGACGTCCTCGTCCCGCTCTTCCAGCAGGTTGCCCTTGCTGGCCGAGCTGAGCACGGCCGTCCCTACCTGTCGCGCTTCACATACCACTATCGGTAATTGACTATTATTATAATATGGCACCGGTGGCAGTGGGGCTCCTTGTGCCACGAACGCTTTTGATTCCGGCAGGTTGCCTTTGCTGGTCGAGCTGAGCACGGCCTTCCCTCCCTGTCGCGCTCCTGATACCACTATCGGTGGTTGATAATTATTATAATATGGCACCGGTGGCAGTTCAGGCATCGGTGGTAGTGGCGGCACCGGCGGCAGCCCCGCAGCTTCCTTTGCTTCGAGTTCTCTCAGAAGGGAGAGAGACAGGCGACGATGGGTGCTAGGGGTCGACGAAAGCGAGATCGACGCAGTGCGAGAAGTCAAAGCTTTCTCGCCCAAGTCTTCTGACGGCAGGAAACAGAAGCCTTTTCTATTCTGGGATAGATGGTAGGACCTTTTGAGAAAGACGACTGCTGTCATGTAGCCTGTTCTCAACTCAAGTCAGTATTATATAGGCGAGGGTGGTTGGGTGGATATGTGGTAACTTGCTGTCATATCCGGCCTGGTGAGGGCAAGGGTTGAGCTGGCTGTGAAAAGTCTCAGAGACCACCATTGGGAGATCCCGGCGTTTTACGGCGTCGAAGCACTCGCTCAGGCACAGGTCCGGCGACATCTCATCCGTTCCCCTTGTAAATAAGTACTTCGTGTCCACGATCCGGGGGAGTTCCTCCCCTGTGATAGTCCTGAAAGCATCAACTGACTCTGGAAGAGGGCCAACGAACATGCTGTGCAGGAAACAAAGATCCCAGAAAAGGTTGTGCCCGACAAAAATCGGCTGCTGGTTTCGTAATTGGCGTTCATATTTCTTTAGGGTTATGTCTAGCTGCATGGCTTCGACTGAGTTCTCGCGGAAGATGAGAGCAGAATCGATTTTGTCGGCGAACGGCTTCCCGCAGATTGCGTCCCACAGGAGACGGGCTCCGGTCTGCTTCGCTACGGCCTGCTTGCGATACTTGTGATTGACATCTATATGATGAGGTCCTTCTCCTGGACCATCAAGTTTTGAAATCTCCATGTACGTGCCTCCGTTTCGGGGGTACGCTCGACAATTCTCGAGCTGATCCTCGACAATTTGGTGAATGAGACGCTTCTGCAGGCTGTTCAGTCGGCCTTTGTGTAGGCCGTAGACCTCTATAGCCTCGCTCGGAGCCACGTCAGAAAGCTCCATAAAATGTCTCCGCCCGTAGACTTGTTCCTGAACACAGCGATAGAATTCCCTTGACTCTGAAGAAAGTCGATCAACATCAATACGGTCGTTAGCTTGCCTTTTACCCTCGATGAAGTCATCAATGCTTTGAAGTCCAGCTTCTGAGTCAGATAGGTAGGGCACTCCCTTGCTGAAAACGTCAAGGATGCTGAACCCATGGCCCTCGAGGAAACCAAGGCTTGAGGTTGATAGTCTGAATCGTCTGTCTAGTACACTAGCAAGATGTTTGGAGGCAACACTGTCTCCGACAACACCCGGATGGAGTGGAAGGTTAAATGTCTTGGTCACATAGGATTTCTTCTCAGGTTCCCAGTTGATGCAAGTGAGGCCGAACTGCAGGATGGTGTACATTTCGGCTGCCACCCTCGCGCCATCGTAAATCTCTTGCAGAGTCGGTATAGATGGAGTTGGCTTCGAGAGAAAAGGCTTGGCCGAGATCCCGCTCATCTCAAGATCCACGGAGACATATTTAGCCTCGCTGATAGCCTTGAGGATGGAAGGTAGCTTTCGCCAGAAGTTGGTGCAGTCGATCTCCATCTTCGGAGGTGCTCTTCCAAGAATGGAAAGTCTCCACGCGATAGTTGCTGTGCAGAGGCGGTATAGCTAATTGGAAGTCACTGGGCAAAAGAAGTCTGTGGAATGACTGATGGACCGCCAATGAAGACAGGTAAGCTCGAAGGTGAATTGATGATGAGGGTGAAACGAGTGTCTGCAGCAGTGATTTCCTAGGTAGAGAAATGTGAATCTTGGTTGGGGTGAGAACACTGAAAGAAGCTATGCATGAACTAAGCATGGGATATCAAGGGTGAAGAAGGGTGACCTCCGAGCACTGAGTATTATGAAGTGAATTTTGTGACACAATGATGCCTGGTGGTGTCTGGAAAACATGATTGCTGCTGTTTACCTGCTCGGTTTGTCCAGTGGCAGTGGGCTGCTCCTGCCCCTGCTCTGCACTCCCACAACACACCCAAGGTGATGGGTCAGGTAGCCCGGATGCCACTTTCCTTGATCTTTACACCTCCAAGACCTTTCACTGTTGTAGTAACGCTGTCCGAGATACGTTGGGCTTGTTAGGGGTTGACAGCACAAGGTGCCATATCTGGCGCGGTGTTAAGTTCATTGACATCTCAAGTTCTGCACTCGTTTTGTTTTCCCCGTCCCTTGGGCCACTCCTTCACGTATGTATAACTGGGTCCACAACTCAACATGTCGGATATACAGGGACATTATCACCATGAAGCCTAGTAGCAGAAGGAGACTGCCCTTGAAGAAATATGTAGAAGAGAATATATTGAGCACGTTTAAAAGGAGAACGTCTTTGCAATTTCAAATACATGATAAGATGAGAACCAGTGCTTGTTTCCCAAGGTGATTGCTGGGACATGTTCAAGTGCCCCATGAGTATGTCATCTAGCATTCCAGGTCTCAGAGAGCAGAATGCTGATGGCTCTGTGCTGGTTTCATGATATCAACGGCAATGAAACAGTACCGTCAGAGATATCTTAACATCTCAACTTTGCTTAACTCCGCGCAGACCATACATCATGGAGAAGATGTTGACTTGCGTGTTGAAGTTGTCTGCAGAGAAGAAATGAGAGGTGGCAGTGTGATGAAAGTTTTACCAAGTCCCGACCTTTAGATACATGAAATGAGGTCTTCGTTAGATGTGGGCCTCTCAAGACCCATCCCGCGGCTGAGGCTCCCGGCTCTGATCATCTAGAGGAGAAACCCAGGAGTCGATTCAACGCAAAGGAAAGAGAAGAAACCAAGAAAAATTTAAGTCGAGTTCCACAGAATGGCGGCTTTACTCATACTGGATCTTTAGGAGTGGAATAACATCTTGCTATTGACAATCCGGCAGCAACTTTGGAAGGGGATTTCCTGTATTGCCGTGCAGCTTACTGCAACATCAAGTGTCGCAGAGGTACCAAGTACCTAGGAAGTAAGTAATATGGACGGAACCGGTGGATCTGTTTGCCTACCTACACATAGGCATTAACTCATTGTCTCAGAAGAAATAGGAGACCATCTCACTGGAAGGGTGCGTGGTTAAGTTACATGCGGGCCTAGAATCCACAGATGCTGCATTGAAAGTATGTTTTCCTACTAGAAAACAGACGCACTATCCATAAATAGACATCCTCGGGCTATGTATTCTGGGCGTATGGTGGTGGTTCTTGTCGACGGCAGAGCATAATCTTATCGCCTCGTAATATCGAGAGGGCACAGATGAGGATGACCGCTTGGGAGCAGGCCGATCTCTATAGACCAGGATTTGGTCTGGGGAAAAGCGAATTGAGTCAATTGACCAGGGGCTTGGCAGGGGTGGATTGTCTTGACAGCACTGTATTCTGCTGTGGTACCCGTTCGCCAGCTTTGGGCCGGCCGCCTCATCACCGACCCCGGCCGACCCATCCACATTTTAGACTAACCGGTTGCCGAGGCTCAAAAGACTGCTTTCCCTGGTGACCTCGCCCAACCACATGCAATCCCCGACTGGAATTTTGGCTGCCAGACTTGCAGACCGCACCACGATGCGCGTCCGACTTCCTACCCGCGATCCGGAATAGCCCTCGTCTTAAATGACGGCCAATTTCTCCCGTGCAAATCCATCAATGCCATCCTGATCACCGCAGCGGCTCCCCTGAAGGCTGAAAGGCTCGTACCGACTAGACAATGGCTGCTCCATCAACAAATGGGGCGTATACCGCGACCCTCAGTCCGACCTCGACCGAGGGCTTCGCTACCCAGTCGCTCCGGTCTTCTATATCCTCCCTTGGCTCCCCAGCTGCCGCCCGTCACGCCGCCTCGTATGTCTCAAAAACCTACCGGCAATCATCTACTTTATTCCTCACGCGAAGGCTGCCCGAGGCCCTCTCCACAATTACGCCTCTAATCACGATCACACCACCCTCGCCGACCCAGTCGGCAACTGCCAACGGCACCACTGAACCTGCGCCCGTCGCCAAAGCCTCACGGAACACGAGGATCAAGGTCTGGACCCTGTACATCGCCATTCTCAACGCCATAGTGGCTCTCGACCCGGACGAGGGGAAGGAGGCCCTCGGCACGCAGGAGTGGAGGTCGCTCTGCGCCAAGGTGCGGGATGGGGACGTCTGGGAGGAGGTGGTCCAGAACGGCTACCATGGTGTCGAGGCGGACGTCGACTCTGACGTCGTCATCAACCTGTGCGTAATTTATTAACTTTTTTCTTACTGCCAGCGGAGAGACTGACATATTGACTTAGGGCCACTCTCCTCCTCACACATGCAAGGACGCAGGAGTTGAACCAAAAGCGCCTGGAGAGCTATCTCGCCGCCTCAGCGACTCCCAACCTGGATTTATCAAGCCGCTTCGCACCGCCGACACACCCAATGCCAGGCGGCGCCCCGCCGCGGCAGAGGTCCGGCTCGCGGGCGCGCAGCGGCGCCGACACGCCGCGGGACCTAAACGCGCGGGTCAAGATCCTGGAGCTGTACACGCTGCACGTGCTGATCCGCAACAACGAGTGGGAGTACGCGCGCGAGTTCATCAGCGTCTCCTCGGTGCTGGACGAGGAGCGGCGCGAGGCGTTCCTGCAGGCGCTGCAGAGCCTGCAGGACGACCAGCGAGAGGCCGAGCAGCGCGAGCGCGACGAGAAGGCCCGCCAGGAGGAGCAGCTGCGCCGCGACGTCGAGGAGGCCCGCCGGCTGCGCGCCGAGAACGAGGACCGCGAGAAGAGGCGCCTCGAGGAGGAGAGGGCCCGCCGCGAGGGCAGCGAGGTCGACTATGGCATCGATTCCCGGAGCACGGGCGGCTCGTCGGCGGGGAGGGCGCGGCGGGCTAGGGCGCAGACGGGGAGCTCTTCACGACCGTCGAGGCCATCGAGGCCGGTGGCGGCCGGTGGTACGTCGCCTAATAAGAGCAAGGCGGTGGCGCCAGCATCGTTTGGCGCGAAGGCGGCGGTCATGTTTGCCAATGTGCGCGCCATGATCGAGCGTATGAGCGTGCAGCTCCATACGAACCCGATGCTGCTGATGAGGCTTCTGGCCTTCATCATAGGCTTGGTTGTCATGTTTGGGAAGAAGAATATGCGAGAACGCATAGCTCGGATATTAGGGACAAGTTGGAATAAGGTCAAAGCCACGGCTGGCATGGGTGTGAAGGTCAGCTACATATAATACTTGAGGGGCAGCATGACGGCCGCACATATTGGCATCGAGAGGCGTTGGGGAACACTGCTCAAAGGAGACTTTGGAGCTTTGTATGAATTGCATGAAAATATGACAGCGTAGTTTTGCATCACATTGGCTGGTATCACAGTTTTACTCTTCTTCACCTGCTGAACTTTTTTATGTTGTTCGATGATGACCGGTATCAAAATATCCTCTCCATGCAGCATTCTTTCCACCCAGCTCATCACCTTGCATTTCCCACCCTCTAGCCGTCAAGTCTTGTGTAGATGATGATTTTGTCGAGCAAATTCAAATGTAGAACCCCCCAGATACCTGAACGCCCTTGCGAAATGATGTAGGAAAACAGCCCAAACCCGGGCTTCAGAAGGGCTAGTACGTCCGATTCGTTTTCTTTTGATAAAACAACTGTATTCGCAAAAGCAGTCAGCAAATATCCTCAACATAGAGACCGATCCCTGGAGCAGCATAATGGAAGGTGGTGGAAGGACAGGGTTGCAACTCACGTCCGTCCTGGAACTACCCAGGTTGATGATCTTGGGGCAGCCGTCGCGGTCCTTCTCGAGGCGCGTGCACTCGTGGCAGTAGAAGGCGTCGCTGATGCCCTCGCCGCCGCAGACGACGCATTTGTTCTGGTAGTTGCCGAAGCTGCACTCGTCACAGATGCGCACCAGCGTCGTGGGCCGCACGTACGAGTCGCAGACCGGGCACTTGCCGTCGCACTTGTCGCAGAGCCGCCCGATGGCGATGCCGGCCTGCTTGCGGCACATCACGAGGTCGGGGTGGTGGCGGGACATGGTGGGCGAGTTGTGGTAAGGTGATGTGAGGTGAGGGTGTCGTGGGGTGGAAGAAGGAGGTGGACGCAACAGGTGGCGAGGCGAGGCGATATACTGCGTAGGGAGGGCGAGTGAGTGGTAAGTTATCGGATTGATCATCAGCCTTGCCAGCCTTGCTCGAAATTTCCACTGGAGGACTTAGCGCTGCTTGCACGCGACCCCCTGCCTGCCAACCTGGGCAGTACTCAGGTACCCACCAGCTGGTACGGGTCCTGGGTCTGGGGCCCACGGCCGCCCGAGTGTGGGGTAGCCCATGCCTGGGGAACCCTTGAGCTCGAGCTCCCCGAGTCTCTGTGCGTTCGTTCGGCTGCAGGTCTGAGTTGAGGGAGGGGGATCGTCCCGGCGCAAATTATTCACAGCTCAGTTCAGCCTCGTCTTGCGCTTCGTCGCTCTTCTCCTTTCCGTTTCACCCTGTACTTGCCTTGACAATCCCGTTCTGGTTTATCGCGAACTGAGACGTTGACTCGACGGAGCTGTACTGTCGACATTCGAGCAGTGTCATATTGTCATTGTCGGTAACCAACACAATGGCCAACTCGAGAAGGTAAGCCATGCACAGGCATAAGGGATGATACAGCACAAAGAGATCAATTGGCTAATATATGCGCAGTCCTCCGCCCGACACCAACACAGTCATGACTGAAACGAAGACGGCCGAGACGAACCAACTCAAGCGCAAATCGTTTGGTGCCTCGCCCGACCCCGACGTAGATGAGAACGAAGACGCACCCAACAAGCGCCCAAGAACAGAGGATAGTCCAGGCAGAAGCCCCAAACGTCATGGAAACGGGACAAACAAGAATGGGCATGGGGAGAGAAATGGATCTCCAATCAAGGACGCGTTCTTGAAGGAAGAGAGTCTTTCCCCGAATGCTCGCAGACAGCGCCAAGCCGTGGACATCCCCTCCTCGCCAGAGCAACGAAGGCGGCCTTCTGAGTCGAGGCGGTATGATGACCGCTCCCCGACCAGCCCGTCGGACCGACGCGGCTCTGAGACAAGCCGGCGGATGTCATCCTCACACGGAGCAGAGAGGGACCGCGACCGGCGGGAGAGCTACTCACAGGAGGAGAAGAAGCGCGGCAGGCGTCTGTTCGGTGGTTTGCTAAGCACACTAAGTCAAACCACGGCAAATTCTCAGCAAAAGCGACGTCTGGAGATTGAAAAGAAACAGCAGGAAAAAGCCGTCAAGCAAAAGACCGAGGACGACAAGCGCCGGACGGAGAAGCTCGCGAGACTCGACAAGGTCAGGAGGATCGAGCAGGTTCGGTTTGATGAGCAAGTGGTGAGTCTGTTCCCGTGACTCGGTGCCGGCATTGACTTTACAGTGGTACAGTATAGGAGGAATGGCTGCTGACCTAGGTAAATAGATGCGCACCCGTCACTCAAACATGCTTGCCATGGCGCACAGCCTACGGACCAGGAGCGAGCCCAAGCTGGTACGTTCCCAGTAGTGAGGCCGTTCCCAATTGACGCGGCAGATGACTCATCATGCGATTTCTAGTACTACCGCCCCTGGGAACTCACGCAAGAGCAAGAGGACATCATCAAGGACCAGATCCGCGACGCAGAGGATGACATTGCGGACGAAGTCAGGCAATTCAAGCGCCGCAAGGAGCAGAGACTCAGGGACCTGGGCGCTCTTGCCCTGCCTGGCCCACCAGAAGTTGATCCTACGGTTGGTGAGCAAGCCGAAGAACGTTCTAACCACGCTGCGCAAGATGAGTCCACCACTGATGTTGCCGCTTCTACTAATCATGATCATCACGCCCACGCACATGCACACTCACGCTCACACTCCCCTGCCCCAGCCCCTACACCGAAAACAACCCACCACGAGGACAAGGATCACGACGAGATGGTCGAGGCGGAGGAGGATACTGTCATATACTAATCTGCTCAGCCCTTGACTCTTTGTTTGTTATGGGCATGTGGTGGGCAGCTGGTAGTGGGGAATGTAAGATAGAGTCCAGAGCAGCAGTAGACCTCAACAGCCCCATGCAGGTGACCTGAGCCCCTGGAATGGAGTTTAATATTGAGCAGTTTACTGGCGCTCCTGAACAAGAAAGCACCTCCTGGTCCTGAACCAAAAGAGCGCGGGCTGGGCGCTGAGGCACTTCGGTGTTTGGAATCGAGTGTCCCTGCTCCGAACACCCGGGAAATCCGTCGCAGGGTCTTGATTTGTGATCAGTGTCGCAGCCAGATGACGATGGCTTAGTCTCTCATGTTACAGTCTTGTCGAAGTATAGGCCGATATCGTAAGATCTTGCATCAGCTCTCTCAGTCGTCTCCGCTGATCGTTGGGCCGACCGAGGTTTCTCGGAGGGCCCGCCTTGTGGTAGCTACGTCTTGGCTCCGCTGCGAGTCTTGATGCCTCGGCCGACCTGGGGCCCCCTTGTCCTTGTTTCTTGTACAGCGCACTAGTGTAGAGCTCGACGAATATGCCTATGACTTTCCAGAATGCTGCTTTCAGATGAGAGCTGGCAGATCCTTGAATTGTGTGAACTCAGAAGATGAAGATGATAAGAGTATCCTGGGGTCCGAAGCCCAAAGAAGATTGACGTCAGTGTCAAGCAAGCACTTTCGCCGTTCCGCCAGCACATGCGGGATAAATAAACAAGCCTCCGTCCACCAAGCTTGGCGGCCGCGGCAGACCCCCGATCGAAACGAGTCAGGGAGCTTCGACTCCACCGGTCGAACCATCGGTCCTCCGGCCGTATAAGTATATAATTCGAGCCGGCCCAGACGCCCCTACGGCACATCACTCTCTCGTCCCCTCCCGAGTACATTCCACACACACCTTCGCCCACCATGGTCGTCGACAAGCTCAAGCCCAACGACCCAAGGGCCCAGTCCCTGACCGCCGACGTCCGGGGCAAGACGTACAAATACATCCTCGCCAAGCCGGAGGGCACCCCGCGCGCCACCGCCCTCCTCATCCACGGCTGGCCCGACCTGGGCTTCGGCTGGCGGTACCAGGTACCATACCTGACCTCCCTAGGACTCCAGGTCATCGTGCCAGACATGCTCGGCTTCGGCGGCACAGACGCGCCGCAGGACCTCTCCCTGTACAGCCTCAAGTCATCCTGCGACGACATGGCCGAGCTGTTGGCACAGGTCATCGGGCGCGGCGAGCGCGTCATCCTGGGCGGCCACGACTGGGGCGGCGCGCTGGTGTGGCGCTTCGCGCTGTGGCACCCGGAGCTGCTGCGCGGCGTCTTCAGCGTGTGCACGCCCTACGCGCCGCCGCTGCCCGTCTTCATCGACTACCCCAAGCTCGTCGAGATGCTGCCCAACTTCCGCTACCAGGTGCAGCTCGCGGGGCCGGACGTCGAGCGGGAGATCGGCAGCGACCCGGCCAAGATCCGCGGCCTGCTCACGGGCCTGTACGGGGCGCGCGGCCCCGCCGGCGAGGACGTCTTCACCACGGACCACGGCGTGCACTTTGAGAACCTCGGCAAGATGGGCGAGTGCCCGCTGCTGGACGCCGGTGAGGTCGACTTCTACGTGGGCCAGTACGCGCGCAACGGCATGCGCGGCCCGCTCAACTGGTACCGCACGCGCAAGTACAACTACGAGGAGGAGCTGGCGCTGCTCAAGGATGGGAAGCCGCCGCATGTGTCGACGCCGGCTATGGTAGTCGTGGCTGAGCAGGACCCAGCGTTGCCGCCGAGGATGTCGGAGGGAATGGAGGCGCACTTTGATAGCCTCAAGAGGGCAAAAGTGGGCGGTACACACTGGGCGCTGTGGGACTCGACTGAGGGTGTGAATGCTGCGATTGGGGAGTTTGTTGAGGAGGTGCTCAGCGGGTCTGTGAAGGCATCTATCTGATGACTTAAGTAGCGAAATAAGACTCTATGTGAAATGATGAATTTAAGTTCGACAAGGCCGGTAGTAATCTGTTGGGCATAGATCTGTGTTTGTGATTAAGGCTGCTCAGATGAACCCATATGCCCTAAAACATCATCTTTGTCATGCAATGAAAGGACGACTTCTTAGCAAATCTTAGTAAAGAATCTCTCTTCACCTTGCGCTCTATCCTTGAGTTGTTGGTAAGAAGCTCTCATCATGACCGGGGCGAAGTCTGCCTGTCCCTGCGTATACATTATCGCACACCCGAGGTCAAGACACCCTTGCCTCTCCAAACTTGATGTCAAACGCCCAGGTGCGAGAGTTCCATGGTCCTTCCGGGTATGGCTGTAGCCTCACCTATTGAGCCCGTCGCTTCTTGTTGCGGTGTGGCTGGGTCGTTCGGCTGCCTTGTAATGGTACGTCTCTCTGCCATGGCGCCTGCCCCATCACCATGCCGACGACCCGTAATCTGGGACATGATCTTCTGAAAGGGGATGTCTCATTTCATCGAGAACTTCTGGCCGGAGATCTGTGGTGCCTTGGAAGATGTCTTCTTGTTCGGTTTACCACACATGTGGCAGACTGTTTCCCTTGGTCAGCCTACATGATGTAATCCACGGCGGAGATTCAGAGGGCAGTGGGTTGAGCATACGATCATCCTTGTATGCACACTTATTGCAGTACGAATGACCCTGTGAGATCTTGGTCTTGCATTTTGTGCAGGAGCTGTTACACTCGGTCAGTCATCTACCGTGTTTAGAGCTGACTTCTAAGTGGTGCAACTGACCTAGCGTACTGAGCATAGGGGTTCTTTGCATTCTTGGAAAGCAGCTTGCTCTAGACAACATCCGGCCGTTAGCAATAACCTTCTCACTTGACACACACGACGAAAGGTGCGTCTCTCACCTTTCCGATACCTGTTTGCCCCAGCGTGGCCGACTTGGACGATGAAGAGGCTGGCGATCCGTGATACATCTCACTCTTCTTCTTCACACTTGGAGTGGCAAGGGTTGTCCCTTTCGACAACTTGAGGCACTTGGAGCAGACCATAGCTGAAGAAGTGATACGACACTATTGGTTGGGTTATGTCTGGACAAGATCCTCTTGGTCACCTGTCTCAGATGAAGTGTGATGGCAAAGGTACGTTGAAGATGTTTGCGTTGATGGTTGATGGCTAACTGTTGATGCGAGGGAAGTAGGTGCTTCTGTGCTGACACCAGTGCGGATCAAGGTACCTCGGTACTGGTCATGATTCAGCCGCCTGGGCGATCTGGGACCCGGTGGGTCCTATCCCTGGCCCGCTGGCCCGCAGACCCTGAGACGACATGCAGGAACTGGATGCTTTAACCTGTAAGAAACCTGCATGTTATAATAACCTTCTCTTCATCCATCAGCCTGCACTGCTGGAATTGGATTCTAACTGAATCTTGACATTGTAGTTCCATGATTACATATTACTGGGCACCTGATCCCGAAGACCGGATGCAGGAACATGCATGTCCTATCAATCTTGCCTTCATCAACCTGCATCTCTAGACTGGGATTTCCAGCTGGTCTCTGTCACATGCTTTCGTGATTAGACTTTTCACACCTTGGCTCTCATCAGATAACGAACAGGTCCCGGGAATGTCTTATCAACTCTTTTCCGGAGCGGTGGAGGGATGCCGGGGATTTTCTCTCCTGCAATACAGCATTTCCTCCTTCCGAGCTTCGGCGAGATGAGTGTCCCCATCTCTCTGAGGACATCAACTAGATGATGTCTTCGGACTTCATATGAGAAAACAGGTATGAGTGTGCTTTCTATTCTGTTCAGATGGAAGCAAGATATTCACTTCCGTTGGAACATCTCTACGGTGTGGTGTGCCCCATTTGATATTCCTTTATTTCACATATTCAGTCCCATGGGCACATGCATACATTCACCCCTATCCACTGCTGAATTGCTGCTGGATTGTTTTCTTTTCGTTATTGAAGAAAGTGTTAGCATGTTGACTATGCTTGAGAATACACTCGATGTTTGTGAAGTATCCCCACGGCTTGAGTCCCTCATTGCTGCACCAGCAGAGGGCTTCACAAGACCAAAAAAAGTCGGACGTTTGTCTACTCAAAATGTGGGCACTGGTCATTGCTCCTCCGGGTTTGAGTGTGTGTACGTTGGATATCAAATTGTGGTCTTCTCAATTGCTGTGAAATGGGTATCAAGCAAGGCGCTCTCTTCCTTCTGCCCACCTGCCCCTACCACCCACCTGCCCTACCCACTTATCCACCCACCAACTCTTCTATCAACACCATCAAGCCAGACCCCCACCCCCTTTTCCAGCCAAAGAAAGTTAACAACTAACAATGGCAGAAGAGACGATCATGCTTCCTGAGGAGTGTCCTCCTGGACTTGGCTTCGACGGACTCTCTCTGAATGGCGCGAAACGCGCCATACACAATCTGCAGAACGCGAACCACGATTTCGCATTTGCCTTCGACATTGATGGAGTACTAATGAGGGGCAAGACACCTCTCAGTGGCGCCAAACAGACTCTAGAGATCCTTCAGGCCAATGCAATTCCCTTCATCCTGTTGACCAACGGTGGAGGCCTAACAGAGGCCGACCACGCGAAGCGCGTCGGGGAGAGACTGACCATGTCAATTGATGAAGATCAGTTTGTACAAAGTCATACCCCCTTCAAGCTGGTTGTGGAGAAATTTCAGAATGAGTGGATTGTCGTTCTGGGTGGCCAGAAAACCACCGCGAAGGAGTTGGCGGCCGCGTATGGTTTCAACCCGGACAAAGTCATCAGCAGCAGTGACATCGCCAAACACCATCCAAGCATTCACCCTTTCCCAGTAAGTTCTGCAAATGAGTCCAGGGTTGCTAGCAAACCAACTGACAATTCGCGTCCCAGGAAATGACCTCGACCTACCATGATGAGCACGGTAACATCGCGGACGACTTCTCCCACGAGAAACAAATCGCAGCTGTCTTCGTTTTCTCGTCCCCTAGAGACTGGGTAATACGACGTCCTATCAAAGCAACTATTATACTGGCACAACCGCTAATCATTAAACTCACTAATATAGTGCCTTGACCTTCAGGTCTGCCTGGATCTTCTTCTCTCGTCCAAGGGCAAACTGGGAACGCGGTCACCCCTGAACGGAGACGCTAGTCTCAAAAATCACGGCTACCAACAGGACGAGCAGCCGAAGATTTATTGGTGCAATCCAGACGTGCAGGTAAGAGGCTCTACTCCTCCAATGCACATGCTTAGGCACTCCGTATTCCTTGACAAGATGCAAACTAACTAGTAGCTACCGTAGTGGGCCACGCCTCATGCCACTCCACGCCTTGCTCAGGGCGGTTTCCGTGCCGCACTAGAAGGGATCTGGGCGCAGATTACAAAGGGAAATTCCAAGTTACAATCGTGGACTTGCGGAAAACCCACATGGACAACGTATGAATTCGCCGAACAGGTGTTGCGGAAGTACCACGCCAAGACGAAACCAGATGCAAAACAATCGATCAAGACGGTGTACATGATCGGTGACAACCCGGAGAGCGATATCCGCGGCGCCATTGATGCGGACAAGACTTCGGAGCTGACCTGGAGAAGTGTCCTCGTGGAGACTGGTGTGCATGAGGCGGGCACTGAGCCTGCGTACATCCCTACCGAGACGAAGGCCAATGTCTGGGAGGCCGTGCGATGGGCCGTTAAACAAGAGACCAACATTGACATTGGTGAGCCTATTGAGGGTTGACTGTGGAATTGTCTTGTGACGATGTTTGTTCCGGATGACTGATACTGGCTGATGCTTGATTTGGACAAAGAGTCCCGGCTGATGCTTGAGGTGGACTATTGATTTCTGCAGATGTTTGATTGGGACGACTGATTCCGGCTGATGGTTGATACATGACTGAGTGCTGGCTTGTTCACATATTGATTGTTGCTCAGATGGTTCATTGTGGTTCATTGCTGGTTGAGGAGTTAAGAAGAGCACCAGGCGTCAAAAGTCTTTCGAATCCTTTTTGTTGAGCTGTCAACAGTGCAGTTAGATCCAGGAAGGGAGGTTGGATCCTCTTTGCAATCAAAAGTTGCACACTTTTCGCTTGAATATGACTTCCAGTCCTCCGGAAGACTCCTGAATGCAGCCTTTGCTCTTGAAGATATCCTCCTCCTAAAGTGAATGCAATTAATCAAAAGGACAGCTTGAACAGCAAGCTTGGATATGGAGTCTTCCAATGAATGATGCCCATACGGGTGCTTTCGACCGCTCGGGCTAAGGAACACCACCAGATCCTCCTGGCAGGGACCGGGTATTCAACGGGGAAACATGTTTGTCACCCATCAACCAGGCCAAGGTCCCGCCATCTTGGATGCCCAGAGATCGAGCTGACCGTTGGAGGGTCCCCCCTCCACTTTGGAGAAGCCCGACCCCACCACCCATCCAGACTACAGACGGCCTTGTTCCCCAGACGCCAGAAGCGCGGCGATCCCCATGCAGCTAGCTCTACTTGGAGCAGGCGTGCAACCACACCTCCAGCATGCCCTGCCCACCGCACCAGATCGCGTGCGGCCCATGTGGTTGGGAGCTTGGTACGCCGAGGCTGTTCCAGTTCCCTCTTCCTGATCCTTTCTCCGCATGCCTGCCCGCCTGTGCTACGGCGTCACCTCCGCCTCCGCCTTGGGTAAGCCCAGCAGCTGGCCTGGCTGGGCGGACTGGCCGGAAGCCAGAGGAGGAAGAGGAGGATGAACCGCAGCAGTGGCAGCAGCAGCAGCACGACATAGGCTGCTGTGCCGCCTCAGCTGCATGTGCCACACAAGGGTGCGCAGCGCAGCTGCTTATATGAGTTAAGATGTTTTCCTTTTTTGTTGCTTGTTGCTTCTGACACACCCTGTCTTATGATGTCCTACATCTTTGATGTCTTACATCTTCCATCGAGGTCCTTAGCCCCGGGTGCTTGTATGTGCCTGACAACAAGCAATTCACTCTCCTTGCCTGTAGGCGCACACTTCCTCTGACACCCTTCTCTCTCCCTTCACTTGAGTAGCTGTGTTCCAAGCTGTATTGTGCAACTGCAGCCCAGACGATGAGATGACAACCGGAAGATGCTACTTCATTGGCGTCGGTTCCGGAGATCGCTGCTTAGTCTACGACTGCTCACCTCGGTCGCCCTCGTCATCCTCCTCCTCTGGGCGACCCTCCCCTACGACAATGCACTCCGCTTATCCGCTCGGTTCAACACCCACCGACTTGTCACTTTCCTCAGAGGTCCCCTGAGAAACGAGCGCTGGCTGTATGAGCCGCCCGCGTTCCCGTTGGACTGGTCCCGCGACGTAGCCATCATCTTGAAAACGGGATACGGGACGCAAGAGAGGGCCCTGGCGTGGATCGAGGCCCTGGCGACTGGGATCAGCCCAGAGAATGTCATCATCGTAGGTGACTTCGGTGTCGAGCTGGCGACGAGGGACGGTGCCCGGTCTGGATTGAAGGTTCATGATGTAATTGCGAGGTTCGTGGACGAGAGGCTGGCAGTGCACGAGGATGCTCGCTACCCTCGTCTTGAGAAGTACATGAACTTGAAAGCGGCTATCTCCGCAGGCGAAGACGAGTTGGCGCGAGATTACTCGAGCTCGTTCGGCTGGGAGCTGGACGCCATGAAGGTACCTGCAGAGACGGCATTCCTAAGAGCATCATCCTTGCTGACATAGTTGCAGTTCATGCCCAGTCTCGAGTTGGCTTACCGTGCTATGCCAGATAAAAAGTGGTTCATCCTTGTCGACGACGATACGTACCTCATCTACCCGTCGCTCAACTTCATCCTCGGCCATTTCGATCCATCCATAGCACACTGTAAGTGAAGTGTCGTAGGACAAGCCTGTGCCCATCTGTCCAAGACCCAGATCGTGGAACACATCCAGCACCAACTTCCACAACCACTAACCACCCACACCCAAACAGACCTCGGCAACGCAGTAGGCGACTACCGCCAACGCTTCGCCCACGGCGGCTCCTCCATCGCCCTCTCCCGCGCAACAATGCAGGCGCTCTTCGCCCCGAGCAACCACCACACCATCGCCAAGGCGCGCCGCGCCTCCCTGACCGAGACGTGGGGCGACCGCCTGCTGTCTGACGCGCTCCTGCGCCTCGGCGTGTCCGTCGACGAGGACGCCAGCCGCTTCTTCAACGGCGAGCAGCCTTGGGCGTCGCGTCTGCGCGCCGACCGCTTCTGCGCCCCCGTGGCGACGTTCCACCGGCTCTCAAGGACCGAGATGGCGACCGTGGGGAGCACATTCAGGGATGCTGTTGATCCGGTGCTGTGGGTTGACCTGTGGGAGGTGTATGCTCTGCGTGGGCGGCAGCAGGACCGTGCGGCGGATGCGCGTCCTTCTGTGAGCCGTGGTTCCTCGTCTGGGGTGTCCGAGGAGATGCCTGGGCGGGTCGGATGGGATCATGTAGGAGTGTTGGACGAGCACACGCAGACATTTGTGGACGTGAAGACTGCGCTTGTCTGTTCTGGTCACTGTGTATCCAGTCATAAGTGTATGGCTTGGGCCTGGGACGAAGGCAAAGGGCTTTGTCATCTCAGTCCATGGGTGACTGTAGGCAAGGAGGCAGCAGGCATGGTGTCGGGACCAAATGTGGACAGGGTCAGGGCCCTGGCTGATGAGTGTCGCTAGGACAACTTACCCCGAACATGAGCTGCTTGGACATATCTTTCACTGTGTGCCTACGAATGCATGTGCTCTTGGAGATCCGTCATTTGTCTGGTCAGAACACAACAGGGGCGTAGAATATTCTATCCCGGCATCGTGAGATGACACATGTATTGCGGCTTTGATGCTGTCACTACGTGGTTTATTGCATACATTAGACCTCGCAATCTTGAGCGGCCATTGGAAGATCTATGCGCCTACTTGAGGTTTTCCCACACCATCAGAGCGAAATCTTCAACTAAAACCCCTATTGTGAAGGTGGTATAGTAGGAAGTGCACCCTCAGGAATCTCTACTGTGGAACCCCCTTGTTTGTCAGCCTTCCCTCGATTTTCGGCCAAGAAAATTAAGCTAATACGCCAATGTCAGCCTGGGTGGGAATGTTCAAGAATTCATCACATGTTAATTTCGAAGGTCAAAGACTAAAAGTCATGTTGTATACCGACCATTGAAGCCCAACCTAGCCGGCTCTAAGAATTCGTCCGCTTCCGAGTTGAATAGCATGCAGGTTTGGTCAAAACCGTGACTACTGATGTGATGACGCCTCAGCCCGCCGCAGTCTTCTGGAGGCTCTTCTGTTTGAAAAGAAAACTCCCTTGGCTAAGGATGTCGAAGAATCAATAAGAGACAAGATATTCTCGTTCCAATTGCGCAGGCGTTGAGTCTTCGAGCCTTTTTGAGTGATGTCAACAATTTTGGGAATTCAAGTTGCAAAAAAGATCTTTCAACCGTTGAAATGCTACTTCCCCAGCCTCAAAAATGAGCTTAAAAGTCCTGGTTTCCTTCTTCAGTTCTGTTGTTGTTGCAAACCCCAATTCAGTTACAGAGCAAGGGAAATGTGGATGTCCCCACTGGTGATGTAGCCGCGATGCTTGGGGGCGCTTCATGCTGCACAATTATTCTGGGCTGCTATTGCCTAAGCATGGACCTAGATACTTTGTTTACATTTTGTCATTGACATCAGGGACATCATTTACTGTAACCAAAACTGGGATGCCTTCCTGATTAAAGTCATGTTCACAAGACATGCTTTAAGTGTAGCACTTTGTAGATAGCGTCATTGAATCAATGATGGCTTCCCAAACTGCAGTCATAACATCACTGCCTACAGCTTTATACAAATATGTAGCAGATAGACGGTACTCCTCCTATACTAATTCTCTTGCAATATGATACCTCACTGGTTGTATGCTTATGGAAGAAAGTCTGGGTGATTTCGAATTGTTTGTCAGCTTAAGTGCCGAAAGCCCGGCAGGATCAAGCTAATATCGATCGGCTCCTGTGCTAGCATTGATCCCTCAAGGCTTGTTTCTGACAAGCCTAGGACTGGGTGGGGATGCGCTCGCACTGTCGCATCCTAGCGGAGATATCGCGACTTGACAGCGATTACCTACCGCAGGAAGATGACCAAGATTCTCGGATCTAGGTTTCGTCTAATCCATCATCCTCAGCCACAAACCAGGCACCTGCGATCTTGTAAATATAAGAGATCACCAAGTGAAGAACAACCATCTCATTCGTTACCATTATCCTCCACCTTGTAAAAGTGAAATAAGCAAACAAACCTGTCACTTGGCACACATTCGACATGGCTTCAAACAAGCAAGAAAGCAGCACACAGGCTTGTCTCCCCAGCCCTCGGCTGGTCAGCACAACCCACAACTCAGATGGCACATCAGTCTTTTCATCAGACGAGACCATCGCACCGTTCCAGCCCTTCGGGCCTGGCACAAGCTCCTTTCACAACTTCGACATCAGGCCTGTCGTCCCAGCCAACAACACCGAGGCGGTCAACCCCTCCGCCTTCGCCAACACGTTCCCGCGGTGTGCGCCCGGCGGCGCATACTTCGGCGTCACGGATATCCCGCCCAACTACTCGGCCCCAATGCACCGCACGCAGAGCCTGGACTACGCAGTGGTGCTGTCCGGGGAGATTGTGTGCGTGCTAGACGGCGGGGAGGAGAAGACGATCTCGCAGGGGGAATTTATCATCCAGCGTGGTACGAACCATCAGTGGGTTAACCGATCTGCCGCGCAGGTGGCACGGATCTTGTTTGTCATGGTCGGGGCTGATAAGGTCGCTCTGGGGAATGGTACGGAGTTAGAGGAAACTGTATTCAAGAGGTAGAGCGAGATGTTTTTGTGCAATGGAAGTCGCTCGCCTCATAGTTACAAGAGGCCTTGTCTGTTAGCAAACAGTACAGACGACCTGCATGACCGCATATCATTGTTTTAGAGCGGGCCAGACCTATCTGGCGAAACAGTTATGCTCATCCAGGTGTTGTTGACTTGATGTCGTTTTCTGAAATCACATGTCGACTGAATTGACCCGATTACAAACAATGTGGAGTGAACATGAGGGTTGAGCTAGTTCGTTGGACAATTCCTGCCTTTGAGTGACATGTTTTGCAGTTGACTTGGTTGTGTGGAATTCAGGGTAAACACACTTTGCACCGGCCCATGACACCCTTCGTTACAATGAGAATTGCGTCTGCAACCATTAATAGAGTTATATACTCTTAATAGACAGTCTACCCGAGGGATTCACCCATGGGAGCCGATCTTACAGTCTCGGGTCGCTGCACGGGAATAATGCCGTAATGAAGTTTTTGCAAGGATCGGAAATATTCAAAGTTGTTAGTTAAAGGAGTAAGGAAATAATGCTCATACCACTTTTCAGTCTTCAGTCTTGTCAATACGGATCCCGCCTGATCTAACCCATTCGGCATCAGTATGCCCATGTGTATCCTCAACGTACTTCTCAAAGTTCTTGACAACTTTTATTGTCTTTTCAATGTGGGCTGAAGACAACTTTTGGTGCTTGAATTTGGCCAATTGCTTAGCCGTTCGAATCGAGTTTCTGATCTGCCGGCCGTTCAACTTGTGTCTTGCTAAGGCGTCAACTTTCTTCTTCAGGTCTTTGTGGTCGATTTCACTTTCGTTCCCTGGAGTGCTTTCATCCCTGAGGGCCCCAATAAAATCGGACCATATTTGCTCACGGTTCTCGGTGCTCAGTCGCGGATAGTGCAGAGCTAGATGTATCCTAGACTTGAAAGCTTCATCAAAGGTGCCAACTACAACTGTAAGCTTTTCCAAGATCGTGATGCTGAACTTCGCAAAAAGTCTTACCTCTGTTTGTAGTTAAGATCAAGATGCCATCATAGTACTCCAGTGCCCGGAGGAAGACAGAGACTAATGCATTTCTCTGGAGGTCTGCTTGCGTTCTTTCTTCGAGAAAAACCTCAGCTTCGTCTAGGACAATAACTGGATAGATGTTAATGGTAGGAAGTAGCTACGGGTTTGCGTGGAGCTTTTTCTTACCGGCCTTCCAAGTGCCTCCCAAGTAGAAGATGTGTTCAAGACACTTCTCGACAATCTCGGGCTCTGTTCCAATATCTCCGCAGGTCAATCGATACAAAGGTCGCTCGGCTATCTCAGCCACCGCCTCGGCCGTAAAGGTTTTCCCGGTGCCAGGTCCACCATGGAGCAAAATCACCAGTCCATTGCCTTTTCCTTCAATCACATCGGCCATGGTCCTAAGCTCGAGGTGGTTTGTGACTAAAGCCTCAATATGATCCTTATTGTCGTGATCCAGGACCAGTCTTTCGAAGGCTGTCTTGTTCCAGGTGACGGGTCTGATATGCTTGACTGCGAGGGTTTCTGAAAGTATGATTGTCATTGATTGCTCTTGGAACATGCACTGTCACGTGGGTACTCACTCCACTTCTTGTCATGAAATCGGAATGCTTTGATAGTGGTAGGCAGGAGGAGCAAGAATGTGCCCGGGGGAAGGTTTTCCTGCCCAACCACGGCAGTGAGAAACTCATCATGATGCAATTGATCACCATCGCCTTGTTGAGCACCATCAGACTTGTTATACAGCTCATTGTATGTTTCCATATCAATCATGCATCGATAGTTCGGCTAAAAATTTGTCAGCTGGAGTCCGACTGGTCGTGCATCTCTGGTACTCACCATCTGGATGTCGAAACCCTTCGTTGGTGCAGTGTAGCTGATCAAGCCTCCTTTCCAGCAGCTCCAGAAGATTTCACCTCTCTTTCGCAACACATCTTTTAGACCGCTTGTATCGATTCGGAGCGGGATTGCGGTCAAAGATGTTATGGGAATTTTGTCATTGGCGGAATACCCTGACGGAAGAGAGATTTGCACAACGTTCTTCGTCTTCTTGAATAGCCCGTCAAATGACCAAGTCTCACATTCAATTCTTATTTCAGCATCCTTGCTCGAGTAGATACTTCTTGCCAGCATCGCAATGGGATCGGACTCTTGTGGGCTCACGAGGACGTCGCCGGCCAGAAACAGATTTGGAAAGTGAGGCCTTGTGAAGAAACCTTGAGAGATAAGATCGTCGGCCTCAGCATATTCATTGCTGAATTGCTCTTCGAGATATTTATACAGAGCTCGGACCTCAAGCCTCCATTCTGGTGTTAGATGACTTTCCACAGCCTGTATCCGTGGCCGAGCGTGGTAGAATTGCAGATATGGTGCCACAAGATCTCCGTGCCTATTCCATCCCTCGAAAAGACAGAAATTTAGCGCGTTTCCGAGGGCTCTAGAGGCTGAAATTGTCATCGTCTCTAGAGTCGGTTGTGGTTGACTCGCACCAACCTCTAGGACAAAAAGGCAAGGTCGGAGTCGCATGGCATCCTGGGCGTCCACGGGTTCAATCTCAATCGTGCGAAATTGTCCGGTCCTCGCAAGTTCATCGTGAAACTTCATGCATTCATACACACGCTCAATGACAAAGCTGATGTGTGGATAGGCCGTAAGGTACGACTGCAAATTTCCGATCGCACGCTTCCCTCTCAAGGGAGTGGCTTTGCTGTCCCCAGCGTCGAGGCTTGGCTTATCCAAGAAATATGCAGACTTTGGATGATATGTGTGTGTGGGGCCTGATTGATAACATGTGACTTTGTGCACAACGATATATTTGGCCATGGCAGGCTGAGTCCAATAGGTCGCCTTGTCTTGGTTACTTTTAAGCTTCTTAGGCGCACGAGTATTGCTATCACTTTCCAAATGCGAAGGTGTACTTTCTCTGCTCCTCTTGGACAAGAACGCTGCTGGCGAATGATCAGACGACATTTCGGCGACCTTCAAGGGACAGTTGCTTGCGAAGGGCTTGGTGGCGTATTGGATCAATTGTCAGTCCAGGCAAATTCACAGCAGTCTGTTCTGTAAACGCATGTTTGGCAATGAAATTTAGTGAGTTGAGACCTTGGCTGAAGACGCGAGGGGTAGAGGGCGTGTCGAAGGGTGGAGTTCTCACCAAGAGTTTGTGGGTGAAATCTGACGGAGAAGCTGGTGCCTTTCAGCTGAGAATGAACACAGCTCGGGGCATGTTTGCCCAACCCCTCCTTTGCTGGCGAGGCATGAATAACTGCCCAGACGATTCCCAGCCACCGACCGGTCAGTGCTTCTGTTACACAACCGATCTGCTGTCTCGATCCATTTGATGTGTCTTCTTCAAAGTGGCGCTGCAGAGCACTGCCCACCCCCAGTGTAACAAACTGAAAAGTAGCGCACCAGGTCAAAGTCTCCTCCTTTGCTCAAAGAAGCCTTCAGGGAGATCTTTTATTCCGACCTTTCAGAATTTGGAGCACAGATGATGCAGATATAACAAGCCTTGAAATGTCAAACGCTTCCCTTCAAGGCTGGTATGGCGAACTGGACAGGTAAGATGCTCGGAATTGTTTCCCCAAAGCTGCTGTTCCTCCTTTTTTTGTCTCCAGCTTTTGACCTGAGATACTACCAAACTGGATTAACTGACCGCTTTTCTGTTCTTGTCTACAGTACAAGGGATGTTGCGGAAGAAGCATACAACGAGGCTATTAGGTACTTGAAAGTCGAGTTTCAGGGGAAGAAAGCCGACAGTCTTGCGTGGATGAGGAATTCCACATCGATAACGGATGTCCAAACCTATATACTGCAAGCCCAGAAGCGATATCAAGATGCCACTAAGTTCAAAGTTCTACGGGACAGGCTACACAAAGCCTCGGAGATCATGCTCTATTATGGGACAGCCCTAGACATGCTTGCTCAACAGCATCCGGAGTACGTCAGTCTCGCTTGGGGAACTGTCAAATTTATCTTCATTGTGCGTCGTATGCCTTCCTTTCGCTGGGCTGAATCCCTCTGACACCACCCAGGGCATCATCAATCATGCAGAGCTCGTTGCTGAGTTTGCGAAAGCTCTCACGGATGTCGGTGAAGTTCTACCAAGGGCAAAACTCAACGCTAAATTGTATCAGACCGATACGATGAAGGAAGCCGTGGTCGGGCTATATCGACATATCTTACTGTTCCTGCAAAAGGCGCTGGAATGGTATCAATTCACCCCAGGACGGAGAGCCGTCTGCGCGGTCATTCGTCCTTTCAAAACTGATCTCAAAAATACTATCGATGAGGTAAAGAGATGTGCAACACTCATGGAAGCTTTGGCTGGATCTTGTATGAAGGCCGAGCTTAGAGACACTCACTCCATGGTTCGAAAATTCAACAATCATATCAATGATATGGAAGCGCGTTTCACGGAACCACTTGCGACACTGACTGCCAAGATGGATGAGGGGTGGAAAATCTTAATAGGTAATTACCGTCTAGAACGTGTTTTACAGTGAGGTAAATCGATGAATATATGCTGACTGGAGTATTGCGATAGAACACAAGGCGATTCTCAATGAAATTCGTGGGGACGTTGGTGATATGCGCCCGCGAATCTTTGACATACAATTCGGCGAAGCTACGCGATTTCTCAAGCCAGAAAGGTGTCAAGCAGAAGCATTACGTAAACAACAATCACTGTCGAGGAGGGGCGGCCAGCGATGGTCAGCCCAGAACCCAGACATGGCTCATCTCATCACGAGCATCGGCGATTGGATTGCTTCGCCAGAGCCCTCCCTTCTGTTTTTGCAAGCTGGTCCAAAAGCAGAAATACGAACGAAACAAATCGCCGTTGAACTAATCAGCCTTCTTCAACCTGAAGCCAAACAAACATGCTGGTATCTATCAGACGCTACAATCGAGGACACACATGCCACCTTGGCCGAAGTTCTGAAAAGTCTCGCATCACAGCTTATTGCGCTGGATCAAGCCACCATGGCAAAGCATCTCGGGGAAAGCATATCTTGCGTGAAGCTTCATGGCTATCACACAGAGAAGGAATGGTCAGACTTCATATCATTGATCCTGAAGAATCTGCGCGAGTGCTTTATCATTGTTGAAGCCGAGGATGTGTATAAGCTGATCAAGAGAGATGTGAGCCAGCTCAGCCAATTCAGGGCGATCTTTCAAAGCATGATTGATAAGGCTCGTGATGCAGGCTGTAAATGCAAGATCTTGGTGGCTGGCTACAGGGTCATGGGGGGTGGGACAAGGTTGAACCCTCAATCTGCATCATCTTCCAGCAAAACCGTCAGCGTACGGGCACTGGATCCTATACCAGCTCGACTCCGTCGTGGCGGCCCAAGGTCCCCTTACAAGCATCCAGCTTGGCAAGCTTTGAAGCGTAAGGCGAGGTACGGGGACAAGAGGGTGGACTCACGTACATCGCAGCGCGATTTGGCTGGAAGTAGTAATGGCCCTGTTGATTGATACTTGTTTGAGGCGCGAGGAGACGAATAATCTATCTTCTATTTATGCCTATATCTAGTCCTGTGTAAGTACTTGATACGGAATTCGACAGAAGCCGGCGCCTGGAGGGAACCCGAAGACGACATCGATGGCCTTTGAGCCCAGGCGCCTAGAGCACTCAGCTCAGCATCTAAGAAATATTCTTTCAAACTCGGAAAGAAACATTTTCTAACTGAGAAGAAATTGAAGGCGTTAGTCATAATAGAGGAATTGCTCTCATGTCGAGAACTTCAATATTAGTCAGGAAGCTTCTTTTGCCATCAGAGAATGTTATCCAATTTGGCATTGTTGCAGTACAGCCCTGTGTCAGGGCATTGGGTATAGCTATTGTCTTGCATTTCATCTGATGTGTGCGGAACTGTATATCGTCATATGAATTATCCAGTACGCTACCAATTGCCCAGGGTTCAGAGCGGCACTTTGAGCCGTAGTGGTGCTGCGATGTGAGGTTCCAGCCTAGTGCCCATCCACCCACCAATGTGCCTGAGCTGCCATGTCGACAGCTTGGCAGCTTGGCAGATTGGGTGTCGAATGCGTAGGAGCGTTGCACGTGTAGGATGCCGGAGGCTTGCATTCTGTGCGACCGTAATGGAGCCTAATCAAAAGCCTTGCGCTAATCGATACGCGCCATCATTGGCGTTGCTCTCAATCTGATCTTTTCATCTCATTGGCGTGCAACCCTCACCATCCCGTCTTGACCTCCTCCACGCTAGTGTGGATAGAGAAAACCTTTTCAGTGCTGTACAAGTCGCTAGCTTGAACAGACTACACCTTTGTGAAACTGATCTCGTAATAAGATTCAGTTTCACCAAAGCACATCTGGCGATATGAAGGCCATTCCTGGAGGCGCAACTTGATCAAGATGTTTCTCCAATTCCAAAAAAAGCGCAAAGCTCTTCCAGGAAGCGATCCTGTCAACTACAGGATATCGGAGGATCAGACGGATGATAGTGTGGTTAAGAGAAGAAGATGCACTGCTTTTGAGAAGCAGCTCGACGAAAACAAGGCCACGGAGCTCGACAGAGAGATAGAGACCAAGAAGCAAGAAAAGCCTACGCCTAGGGCACTCGAGATGGTTAACCTCTGGGACTGTGTGAGTTAGACCCTAGATAGCTAACGGATATGACTGCCAACTCAGTGCTAATTTTAAACCTTATTGTAGTGCTATTGTAAAACAGGATCCATGGTAGAGGGTCCGGCATGCATTAATTGCGGCCATAGCATTTGTCCTTTTTGTGAACGTTATGATCGTCCTGTTGCTGCCTAATAAGTTATAAGACACAACAGCTTATGGATAAGAAGAAGACAATGCGCATTTCTATTATCATCGATTCAGAACCAGATATGGAACAGATGATGTGTGAGAAGCATCAGAACACGAAGCTTGTCGAAAACCCAAGTTCCAGAAGCAAGAGGTGGTCCGCGCTCATACTATTGAGACCGGTGAGCTGCGTGCGAAGACTAGCGCTCTCAGCAACGACATTAAACGAGAGGAAGCTACAGGCATACATGCTCTCTCGAAGAGACAGTCCTCAATTCTGAGCACGAGAAGCATAAGCTCTTTACAATAAGCTGCAATGACAAGAATAGAGGGAGGAAGAAATCAGAGACGCTGAGGCTTTGCACATTTATGGACGTCTTCCACGAGTTGCTTGATCGGCGTGTGTTTTTCTAAATGCGCTGCGAGCGTAAAGTCATGTTCAATACCATGGGTATTCACTCAGTCATATCCAATGTTGGCATTGCGGTATGCCAAGCTGCTCGAATTACATCGTGTAATATGACTATCCACTTTGACCATTTTGGGAGACTGATGAAAGATCAATTGGTCAACTATTAGTCTTGGATTCACAATCTCCATTCATCGATGACAAAAATTTAAATGAGATCCGGTGTACAGTAGACCGAAACCCTACCTAGGTATCTGACAGTCTAAGGAAAAGCTCAAGGCCAGATCACCAGTGGACTTACTTTGATACCATCTTTTTTATGAAGTTGTCTAATGGTCGCTCCACTATCTCAAATTTCGAAGGAAAATCAACACACAACTACCAAAATCACACGTAGCGAGGAGTTTTGAGTACTAAAAAAACCAGCGTTGGTACGTAGGATAACGTAGTTTACGCCCCCACTGCAGGGGTGTTACACCAGGGTTAGGAGAAGCACAAGCGGCTGCAAACACCTGATGGTACAGACTACTGTGGTAGCTTAGGCAGATACCTAAGGGTGTGTCTGAGGCGCTGCTGCCTCCAGCGCACATGACGTTCGGCGCATTCAAAACACAACGGCCCCGTCATCATGGCTTGTTGTCCGTTACCATTGCACGTTTTCCTTGCCCAACAGGCTCAAGCGCGCAGACTCAACTCGAGTCAAAATGGCCGGCACTGATGAAACCGTTGTTTCCCAGGACTTGCACGTGGGAATGCTGTTGCGCTGTTTCTTGTGTCAAAACCCACTCCCAGAGCCTAGGGAAGAAACTTATCCCGATTGGCAGGGCCCTCTGGTCTCTGGTATGTCCAAGCCCATGATCTTGGTCAGGAACCTTGCTTACAATTTTTGAATAGTATTTCCGTTCACGACTGAAGATGGATCTATTCGGGAGCAGTTGCGCTCCACGCACCTCCGGAAGCTCAAACTGCACTACCCCAACAAGACCCGTTTTTGGTCCAAGAACTTCCTCCGTGAGAGGCTGTCAGTCCAGCCCTGCGGTCGACAAGGCCTTTGTGGGGATTACTGCCCGGAGTGCAGACCGGATCGTATGGTCTACCTCTCGCACAGGGACTGTTGGAAGGTCGCGTTCTCCAGCGCTCCCTTTTCTTCCCCCTTGGATTGGTCTTGCTTGGCTGTACAAACACGACCATTTGAGACCCGTGATTCGGGAATTGATGGGCAACCTGTGGTTTGTCACGAGGATCCGCCCACACCCCTTCCTGCCTCCGTGGCCTCTGATAGCAGCCTGTTCCACGCGAGCACTACCTTGGCAAAGCTTCTATCCAAGGTCCGCGCACTACCTCCAGAACTTCAATTGCAGATAATGAGCTTCTTGAAAAACACCATGTTTGCCTCGCTGCTGCAGGCAATGACGTTTGTCTCAGAGGTGCTTCCTCGTCTGTCCCCTAGATCCCCTTGGACAATTCAGCCAAAAAGAACATCCCTACAAGTAAACGTCGATGAAAATATCCAGAGCCTTTTTGGTTGCTCGAGAAGTATCATGGGTCGGTCATATCTGAGCGAGTTAGCCCTTGGACCACTCAATGGTTCGACAACACAAATTCCCTTAGCGAACAGATCTGTCCGCGGTTTGCAGTTTGCTCTAGGCAGATTTGGCCTTCGAGGCGTTCGCATCTCATATCAGGATGGATCTTTTTCCTCGTGGCTTGGAGACTCGTCGTCTTGTTGGCTGGGAACAGTTCTTTGCTCCGAGCTTTCCAAGTTGAACGTGATCGCAGACGTGAGTGATCCCTGCATGCCGATTCAAACAATTCTACACCTCCTACCGCAAGCGAAAGCAAGCAAGAACTTGGACTCACCAGTACTTACACGATATGTGCATAGCAATTGCGAATAGTTTGTGTTGAGACAGGTCCGAGTGCTGTCAGTCACAACAAAATCTCAGTCATGTGGTACCGTAGCCCTCCGCCCTCCGGTATCAGTACTCGAATTATCACACCACAATGTCCGGATGAGGTGCTTCACTACTATCCGGGTTGGAAACAGTGCCAGTACTTGCCACTCACTTTTGGCTCAGAGTACGCGTCTGGACTGACGGTTTATATTGGCTCGGAATTCTCCAGAATAATCGGTATTGTTTCCCATGGTTCCTCTGACGTCGTGTTCGGGGAGGCCGTGTATGCGGAGGACGAGTACGACGAGGCGCACCATGGTCCCGGAATACCAATTCATTTCGCTTTTAGACAAGGGGAGTGTTTAACTTCTGCCTGGGTGCATATGAGATCAGCTTCATATCCGCTGTCTGCTGGTTTGCTCGCGGTGAGATACATGCTTTCACCGGAGAAGTCTCGCGCAACTACTAATAATTTTTTCGAGGGTAAAGCTAGGTACAAACTTCGACCGTGTTCAATATTTTGGAGCTTATCAACTGCCTGAGCAGCTAAACTATGCCCGTGGGGTCCATGATTCGGCATGGGTTCGTCTCAGTGTTGGACGACTCACCAAAATTCATGGATTAGCTTTTGACATACCCAAGTGTTGTCGAGGGCTCAACACCATTCCATTTTTTGGAGTTTCCCAGGATACTTCACCTGCACCGGATATTGATGAAGCAGCTAAGCCTCCGCTCCTGCCAATTCATGCGGAAGGCCCTACGCTCCCCACACTGGATTTCGCCAATCACCTCCGAAACCAGAAAACGAGATATGGCTTTTCGACAGCTTCTCTGAATGATATAGCTACCATGCATGTGCGCAAGAAGACGATCGAAGCCCACTCAAAGCGCGTGTATGGGTGCGCTGGGCTGCACATAGTTCATCGCGACTCAAGTGTCGAGATACTGGGGCGATGGGACCCCCGTGACAAGGCTTGCATCTCTAAATTATACGACGCAAGCGAGGGGTCCTTGACAAGAGTAACTTTCCACATGGGCCAAGCTGAAAGGGCAACACACGTGGAAAATATTACCGTGGGTGTTACAGACAATCCATGGGACTGCCAGCCTCTGGATGCGTCACTAGTGGTCCCAATGGAGCCCAATGACTGCGGGAGAGATTCAGCCACGAGAACGTTCGACTGCACCCAGGACTCCCAGGTAAGAAGCCCTCTTCCCTCTTTATCCTCCTTATCGCTTCAGGTCTAGGTTCTGACAAATTCGAAGCGGGTCGCCTGGTGGTTCACATTCGGATATGACGACATAACTCGTGACCGCGGGAGCCCAGCGATTCAAATTGAGGAGGAGACTGATTTAGTTTTCGCCGAAGCGCTGGAGGTAATACAAGTAGATTGAGAGAGGCTGAGCCGGCGGCTTCGCCTATCTAAGAGATACTCTCCGGTCAATATATCAATAACGTGATCTAATGCTAGGAATTGTTTGATGACCAATTGTAACGAATAACTCCAGCAAGCAGTGTTGTCTTTAAGATATCGATACTCCTTCCACCTTCTCCGCCCAGCCCTTCCCACACCCTTCTTTCTCCGGAAGCGAAATTCAATGATCCAGCGTAGAATTTTAGTGTGGTCTGGTCGAGTGCCCTAAAACATTCATTATGTTTCTGTAACAATCCAACGCTGTATTCGTAAAACCGAACAGTCCCAGGACCATGGGCCAGCATACTGAGAATTCGAACAACAAGTCCACATCGGATTGCGCTTGTTTCCAAATGTCAATTGAAAATATATGCTGAAGTAAATAAGCAAAAAGTCGAGATGCTGAGGACGAACAATGATCTTCAAGACACCTAAGACCTCACGTTCGGGTCAATGCTTGGAGGAGTCCGCTGGCGAACTGGCCTTGAAACATTTCGAGGCGACGCAGAGCGTCTGTCGGCAGCCGCCTCTGGACGCGTCGGCCGAGATTCCCTCGGCGGGCTTGGCCGAGACTCCCTCGGCGGGCTTGGCCGAGGAGAATTCCTCTGGTCAATTTCCATGGGGGAAGCGCTCTGTGGGCTTCTTTCTGATCCGTTATTTGGTGTCTGTGGGCGTGATGGAAATCCGGCACTGCCCGAGGAGGTGCCGGGCCTGGACGAGACCGGCTCCGGTTTGTGAGTATCCCTGATCGTTTTGAACTGGGCTCGGATGGTGACTTGGTCCGCTGGCTTGCCAACATCATAATAATCACCGCCCAGAGTCGGCTTATTATCTTTGTCGTATCCCTTTTTGCCCTTGTGGTCCCTCATAACGACAACTTCCTTACTGTTCACAGTCTCATATTTCGCAGTGAAGAAGCGTATGTACGGCCCAACGACTGCATTAGCGTACAACTGGTTGTCACCGCCTTGTGGTCTTTTTGCCTTCAGCCATTCCTCACAATATCCAAAGAGCTGGCCTTCCAGGTCCAAGAGTGTTTTGCCTTTCGTTGTTGATGTCGCATTGCTTGCTCTCTTGGCTTCGGTATAAACCAAGGCCATCTTCTTAAACCCGTCATCCGTATTGTCGAAGTAGTAGGTGATAATATCCACTCGATTGTCGGACTGGTTGTTAGGAGGGGCTTGAGAGTTGTTGGAATAACCTTTCAGCAGAACTTTCTGGTATAGATCTTCCCAAAGAGCGACGGTATAGACCTCCAACGGGTCCACTTGGGTTTCTCCATCCTTCTTGAGGTGCTCCGTGGCTTGCCTATGAACAAGTCTCAACGCATCAGTGCTCAATAGATTTTCGCTTCTGGTATGCGAACTTCCGGAAAGGCTAGAGCCGGAACTGTGAGTATCGGCCGTGCGTCTAGAAGTCATGATCGCTCAAGAAAGCTCGCGAGTCGATTGACGAGGCAAGATAGCAGTTGCAGGATGGGTGGGAGATTGCAGAAAGAAGTGTAGTAGGGGAATACAGTCGCAGAGAATGAAGCAAAGATGTTGTGGCGAATATTCCACCTGGGAATGAGTCGCGCTTCTATCTATACAATTGCAACGAAGACTTTGGCAATGTTGAGTATCTGAGGTCGGACTCTGATCAACAGAGACTTGGGCAAGTTTCCATGCTTTATAGTTTAAACTGCCTCATGAGGCCTGACTGGGAGACCAGAAGCTTGACCTGACTGAGCATGTTGGGTAGTGGGGGCGGCCCAGGGGCTAAGATGAGATTTTCTTTCCCCATGGTGCAAGCCACAATCTGATGGGGGTTGTGGTGTAAGCTCAGAATAGGCAGAGACGGCCAGAGAGGGGCCGGATTTGGATCTCGCTTGAGTATTCAAATGCATCAGGTGCGTCAATACACTCTTCTCTCTGTTGACTTTGCTACGAAATACACTGCACCAGAAGATTTTATCTCATTTCTCTGAAGTCCGGCGAATTAAGGGGTTAAAACAAGCAGCACATTACGCTACAAGCAGACCAAAGTCCTGGTGAAAGCACTTAGACCTTGTAACAATCCGCCAGCGTGCATGTCAGTAGCATAGTGGAGCCTCTTCGCTTGTGATACACTCACCGAAGATATGTAGAGAGCGTTGTGATTCCGCAGTAGACTCGACGGGGATGTAGTCCCTCGGGCTAGAACATGGCGGCATAAAGGTGGCCTGGCAGCCCAGCGCAGGCAAACAAGATTGTAGGTCGCCTTGAAATGTTCAAATCGGGCAATGTTGTTCGCAGAACACGCGAGCACAGGTGCATATTCACCATATCTGTCCATCTTATTCCGCTCCCTTGCTGAACTTGCCAGAATCCCGAGGGTATTTGGTAATTTCACTTGGTTCTACTCCTTTTGAATCTTTTGGCTCGTTTTGGAACAACTGATGGACTTCTGGTACATAGTGTTTCGCCCGTGGCCGAAGCGGAGACCGCCGAGAGATTCTGCTTATGAATTGCTGAAACAAGGACTTGAGGTTTGTACTACTGTGTCATCGTTGTCAGCCGGATGCCAATTCATTCTTGATTTGAATGTTGTTTGGAAATTGTTTGGAAATCATCTCTCAAAATGACCACAACTTTCTATGCCAGGCATTTATAGATTCTTTTAAAGAAGAGAGTTGATGGCCATCAAATCCGCCCATATTTCCCATCAAGAATACGGTTTCAGGCCAGCATCAACTTTGCGGGAACGACGGAACTTTGTTCTGATCTCCAATGTCAGGTCAAATTGGGCTTGGGAAATCGGGTGTGAAACATCTAGACCGAGATGCTGGGCTTGAGACTCTTATCAATCCAGCCCTGGGGGCCAACCTACTTTGTATCATTTGTGGCTGACAGGCGAGGTAGCAGCGGCCGCTTAAGTTATAAGCACGACGTCCTCCCCCTCTCTCTGCTCGAAGTGCACTCAAAATCGGTCAGCTATGGCCCAAGTAATCCTGTCGCATCTGCTGACTGTTTGAGACTCGGTGTCTTGAGATGAATATCTCGAACCTGGACCATGGTTTTTCCTTTATGAGCACATACGGCTATCAAGTTTTCCCTAGGAGTGGGCACACCTTTTCCTCAACAGTATTATTTAGTATGCTTAACGGTCCGAAATTCTACAGCGCTCCCGTTGCTTTTCGAGTGCTTGTAGGAAAAGACCGTCGGCCGAAAATCAGGTTCTCGGTCAGTCTTAGTAGCACATGAGGTCATACCAGGTGACCTTGCGCATAGCAACCGTTTCGAAGAGGTCAGCCGTTCAGCCCGGAATTCTCCGTCTTGGTAAGCTCAGTTTCGGAAAGATTCATTGTCATTGTATCAATGTTGAGCCAGTTTCTGGGCTGGATACTATCCGAAAGCTGTGTAATGCGGACCACAAGAACTCACTTCAGGTTTAATGGAATTTTTCGTAAGATCTTAATGCTTTTAATCGTCAGATGAGATATGATCCTCGGGGACTGAATGATTTAGGTCTGTAAGAAGCTGATTCAATGACATATCTTTGGGCTAGATAGCCCTTTCCGACACATGGCTCTGCGTCGATTATACGCGGCCTCTGGTGTACATACTCGTTTGGTAAATGTTTGTTTAGGGGCAAAACCACATCGCAGAGGCCTTGACTCACATGACTGGTGGGACAAACCCCCGATGATCTTCCAGCCACATGCCGGCGCTTTACCCCGAGATTCGCCTTGCACTATGCACGTAAGCCGTTAATCATATGGTGGAACTCTGATAAAATGAATCGATGAGTTCTGCTTTTTTGAAGTCTGGTGGAATACTACCAAGAGCTGCAGCTTTTGGGTTCGGTCAATCGACAATCATAACATTATCGCCCTCAGAGACATACGATGACTCCTCCCGTGCTGGATACCCTGTCTCTTGCAGGCAAAGTGGCCATCATCACTGGCTCTGGCCGCAACAATGGTATCGGCGCTGGCATCGCAAGGGCACTCGCTCGGAACGGTGCCGCCGTAGCCATCAACTTCGTGTCCGATGAGTCGGCGTCACGCGCGGAAGAGACGGCCCAAAAGATCCGGGACTTGGGCGCTCGCGTCGCGGTTGTGCGAGGAAGTATCGAGACGCAGGATGGAGCGAAGAACATTGTGGCAGAATCTCTCAAAGCCCTCGACGTGGATCACGTTGATATTCTAGGTATGATCGGATTAGACCCTTCAGGTCGCTAGTTTTCCTTTCCCAATTCGCCGCTGCCCTTTCGGATGTGCGTCGTTTGGCAAACAAGAGAATCGGTGCAAGTGTATATTCATCAATTCATAGTCAACAATGCGGGAGTCGGCGCAAGTAGTCCCTTGCTCGATGTCACACCCGAACAACTCCAGAAAGAGTTCGGTGTCAACGTATTTGGCGCTCTCTACGTGAGTCTATTGTGATCCCGAGACAGAAAAGAGGTACGAGGTTTCGACATCGTCTTCAGCTAACTTCCTCATACACAAGATGACACAAGCCGCAATAAAACTTGGGAACATGCCCCGCGGCGGCCGCATAATCAACATCGGGTCTATCGTATCTAGAATGGGGCCCGCCGACATGGGTGTGTACGCTACTACGAAGGCGGCGACGGACGCGCTCATGGCGACGTGGGCTTTGGAGGTATTCACTACAAGGACCTATGGTGCGGCAGTGACACGAGGAAACTTTGCTGATGCCAGTCTCCAGCTTGGACGCAGCCGCGGTATTACCATCAACACTGTTGCGCCGGGCCCTGTCGATACAGACATTGGCAACGATATTGACAACCCGGACGTCACCGATGATTCATTCTTTGTGGATATGACCCGGGCCGAGGCACGGACCGGGACCGTGGATGATATCGCTGATGCGGTACTCCTCCTTGTTTCTGGCTTGAGCCGGTGGATTACGGCCCAGTTCATCTCTGTGAGCGGAGGAATCAACATTCTGTAACTATCTGGGTGAATACAATTTACTTGAATGGGAAAACTTACAAACGATGTCCTTTCATGTTGATTCGAGGATTTGACGTGATTGCAAGGAGTGAGATTGAGCGCTGTGTCTGGTTCTATTGGCTCCGAGAAGTCGTCGCATTTGGACAAAGCTGCTTCCAGCCCCTTCAAAGAGGCTGAATTAAAGTGAGGTACGACTGGTAGGATCGGAAGTCTGCGCCAGCTATAGCAGCTCGTAGAATTTACCTCTAGTGCAAAGTCAAGCGCCAGAGCATCGAAAGCAGTCCGACGGACGAATAGGGAGATTTACAATTGTCCGATTCCGATGTTGCACATGCTGACTCTGCACAGCTGGCTTTATATCAGCATGTTACGTGGGGTCCCACACAACTCGCTCGTACTCAATGATCTCGTGAGAAACGGTACAATTTAAGCCAAATGCTCAGCCGGAACAGAATCACGGGCCAAAGGGGTTATAGTTCGGGTGGATGTCATTCCCGAAGAGTCCAGTCCGGCGTAAACAAGCTCGGCCCGCTGTCATGGGATCATTGGTACCTGGATTATGTAGCGCGGAGTCACAGTCTTTGAAGCAAATTCATGGATCGCTCCTGGATTGTACACCTGTCTCGATGAGCCAATCCGCCTTGGACGAGATAAGTTTGGTAATTGAGGATCTCAACTCACCCCCAGGATTTCAGACTAAGGTGATATTTGCGAACAGTCCAGATCGCATCTCTCAACTTGAATCTTCAGCTATTCTTTTCACTCAACTCTACTAAAGTTACGCGTAATTGACAAAACCATGGCGAATTCAGAGGGTTTCCGTTTGACGTCTGGGGATCTGGGGCTTGGCCGTCTTGACGTGAGCCCACCTGGATGCATAGACTTGGTCAATGATCTTCTGGTGGAAAACCACAAGCGGTGGCACATGTACTTTCGCGATGTCGCCGGCCACAATCATATCCCACATGCAATCCTTAGCGCTCTGGCAATGGGAGGAACCCCGCAAGACCTGAGACGGGCCTATGACGACGGCGAAAATATCCAGAGGCCCATGCCGGTGCTCGACCATCAGACAGTGAAAGAATTGAGCAACCCGACTGGCTTTCGGGCTCATATGCAAGTACTCGATCAGTATCCCAATTTCCTGGTCTTTTTCGAACAGGAAATTGCCGCAAAGGGGTATGAAGCTGTCATCAACGACTACTGCCTCAGCCGGACGCCGCTCGCCGATCTGATGCTTGCCCAGCTCTACGAGGGTCTCTATCATCCCATCATCCATCTGGGTTTCGGCGTGGAGTTTAACTTGCCCGGCCTTGTGGCAGAAGGCCTTGCGCAGACAGCCAGCCATGACCCAATGTACATCGACGTCTTTTTCCAGCGCGCCGAGGCCGTCGCACGGTCCGGCAACGTCGCCCCGCGCCCGCTCGTTGAGCTCTACCACGAGGTGCGCGCCAACGAGGCCATACGCACTGCCGCACGCCTGCCCGACGGGCCGTGGAAGGTGCGAGATGGGGTGCTAGGCCGCAGTCTGGACGAGATTGTCGCGGTGGCGGCGCAGTTCCGGGTGCCTGAGGCGTCGCAGGAGGCGGTGGAACGTGCCACGGCTGAGATGATCAGCTGCGCGGCGTGGACATGCGCGGCGGCGCACAAGCCCGGCCGCGAGCGCAAGATCGACTTCTTCCTCATGCACAACGTCACCAGCTCCCTCTTCCTGACCGTTCTCGCCCGCCAGCCGTGGATAACTCTCGCCGACAAGGTCAGACTGGTCGAGTGGAAGGCGAGACTGGACCTGGTTTGGTACGCCGCCAGCGCCGCGCCGGAGCTGCGTGACGAGCACATGACCAGCTACGAGGCCACGTTGAGCGCAGGAATGGGCTGGAGCGAGTTGTACCAGGCTCTCAATAAGCATCACGATGACGGCCATGTCGCCAAATTTGTCCGGGCCCTGAAGAATGGCGAAGACGCCACCAAACCCTTCGAGAAGGAGGATGTCGGCGCGATCGACCCCTTCCCAGTCAAAGGCGACCTGTGGCTCAAGATCGCACAGATGTGCTACGATTCAACCGTTATGTACGTTGATGGGCAAAAGAAATGGGTATGGGGAGCTGGATTTGATAAGATGTGGGACAACGTCCCGGAATTCCTGCGGGAAAACTGAGCAACAGCAAAAGACGCGTCTATAAACCTGGCTCGGGGCTAAAGAATTTTACTATAATTCTCATCTTACTTACAAAATTGGCAAAACTGTCCAATTATTAAAATTACCTGGCTATGTTTGCTTTTTTTGAGTGTGCACGACTGCTCCGGGTCCATTGACACTACTAAGGCGAGAAATTGATAAGGAGTTTGGCATAAGTAGACCATTAAGTTCAACGTGTCATTCCCAGACGGGCATTTGGTTTGTTTGCTCTGTTCATGAGTTGGTGTAGTTGTCTTGCATAGCTTCTCGCGATACTCAAGTCATTCTCACAATATTGACATTATTCACTGAACGATGGTAACTACGCTAAATGCATGTCATGTGTAAAGTCTCATCAAGTAGCAATCGTCACAGGAACTCGGTAGCATTGCTGTTGTTGCCTGCTAGTGCAGGCGCAAACATTATTATACATTCTGCTAAAGCATGTCTGGCTGTACGATTGGCTTTGTGGATGAAAACTCAAGAGGCTTCTTCTGGCATCTCTACACATATAGGTAACCTGATTGTGACACCGCAGGCTCATTTCACCATATAGCATAGTGCATTTGAATGGGAATTAGACCGGCGACAATTTGATACGTAACAGCAGAGATAATATTTACGGTCATCCAAGTTCAACATTCAGGGCATTTGAAAGTATTCTAGGCACCGGAGCAGGCTGAGGCGCTGGCAGCAACTCCGGGTCACACATTCACAACATCGGGCATGTGAACGTTTTGGGTAGATGCGGAGTGACCTAATAAAAGGTTGTTGGATTACAGCTTATGTTCAACCGGCACCCGTCTGGCTATGGAAGGCACTACTGCTGCTAAGCTGAAATGCTCACCTTCTGAAGGAGCGGTGGTTCAGGTCAATCAGTGTTGCCTGTTAACCGTGAGTAGCTCCTTGTGTCCCACCTATGTCTGCCTTTGCAATCGGAGGATTATCTCAGACCGATTCCGGTACGCCGTGGGATCCTTTCGGGCTGATACAGTCGAAAGTGGCTGAACCGGTCCTTTACTAAGACACATTGATTATCGGACAAGGACTTGATTCATGGAAAGTACGGAGTGATTTGAAAGCAGGATAACAAGGCTTACATTTGTGGCAAATTATGCGTGACATCCTATCTCCATAGAATGCCTTTATCTCGGGTAGTCAATGTCCGCTAGGGTAAGGAGCATCAACATTGATGCCTTACCTTTCTGAAGTGGTTGAGAAGCAGCCCATGCCCGTTTTGCGCCCATTCGGGAACGGGGACCGGATCCGGGCCATCAGACCTCTCATACACCGTCTCGGGATTATCAAGCTCGGTGGCCAGCTGTAGAGCATGTGCAGGTTTCAGCTTATGATACTACTATAACCACCTGGCAACCGTAACGATAGGACAATTTGAGGTATGCACAGGAAACATCAAATACCTTTGCCCCCAGACTTTCCACTTGGCGACGATTGATATGAGCCTTTGGGAACTTCTAGAAGGTCAGACCTCCTTGAAGCCTCCATCCAGTTCGTAGCCTGCTTGGTTCATAGGCTCAAATCAGTCTGCTACAGCCTCGATTCACAAGATATTCCAATATACGGACCGTTTCTAGTAATAAGACCAATCGCTGAAGGTTTCTCCAGAAAATTTGTCTCCACAAACTCTTGTCTTCCTAGACTTTCGCTATGGAGTGGGCGGAGTCTCGCACTACAGCTCAGGGCTCATCCTCGGGCTCGCCCTCAACAACGGATGAGTCTTTTGTCGAACCCGGCAAGATGAAGCTTGCATACTTCGGCAACGAGTTCCCAGCTGATAGCCTTGGAGAACTGACTCGTCGTCTCCAAGACTATAGTCGCGACAGACGGCACTATATACTGGCTAAGTTTATCCACGAAGCTACCCTAGTTGTTCGGGAGGAAGTAGCCTCACTCCCTGGGGAATTGAGGCTATTGGTGCCACCGTTCACAACAGTATTCAGCCTAGCCGAGAATACCCCACTCCGTGAGGGTCCTCTTGGTGCCGCTGTAAATGGAATGCTCTTGTGTGTACTCCAATTGGCGGCATTCATTGGGTGAGTAACTATCATACAGAGACCAAGACAGGTTGAATCTTCCTCCAATCCTGAATACTGAGCTGCGGGCACCACAGATACTATGAGAGACATCCCGACGAAGTATTCGATATTCGTGGCACAGACACTTGTCTCGCAGGGCTAGGTACTGGCCTCTTGTCTACCGCCGCCATATCATTGTCTCCATCCTTGTCAGACACACCGATCGCTGCGGCCGAGGTGATCCGTATAGCCTTTCGACTGGGGGTTGTCGTTGATGAAGTTTCGCGTAACCTGGAGCCTCGTCCACTCGACAACGTCCAAGGTGACAGTTGGGCATACGTAGTGCCAGGTGCTCAGGTTGATGAGGTTAAGAAAGAGCTTGACGCTATCCAAGCTACCCAGGTGAGATTTAAGTTATCACGTACGCCCGGAATGTCTTCCAAAGCCTCGATTATTGACCTGTAGTTCAAAAACCAGGAGACTCCAAGACCGGACATGGTCTTCATCAGTGCCTCGAGTCGCGCTTCCGTCACCATCAGTGGCCCACCAGCCAGGCTGGCGCGTATCCTCAAAGTGTCTGAGTTTTTCCGCGACCGCAAAACCATCGCTCTGCCAGTGTATGGTGGTCTTTGCCATGCCGAGCATATATACGGCAAGGAACACGTCTCCAGGGTCACAGAGGCCACTTCCCTCCACGCCAGCTTCACGCCTCGCGTGCCCGTGTTGTCGACGAGCACAGGCAGACCATTCTCGGCAAAGACCGCTTCCGGCCTATTCTACCAAATTGTAGCAGAGATTCTCACAGGCAAGATTCAGTGGGACAATGTCATCAACAGCGTTGCACAGCGGGCGAGGGCCTCAGCGGTCTCAGAGTGCCAAATACTCACCTTCCGCACATCCCTACCGATCCACGATCTTATGGATGACCTGAACAAGCAGCCACAAGATCTAAAGCTGAAGACTAGCATGAAAGATGTTATTCAGTGGATCGTCAAGCCTGAAACCCCATCCAGCGGGCCAAGGGGTCCCCAACAGGCCAAGATCGCAATCGTGGGCATGGCCTGTCGGATGCCGGGAGGCGCGACTGATCCAGAGAAATTCTGGAAAATATTGGAAGAGGGCCTTGATGTTCACCAAAAAGTACCTGACGACCGTTTCGATGTTGAGACACATTACGATCCCACTGGTCATCGCGTAAATACGAGCCACACACCGTTTGGCTGCTTTATCGATGAGCCCGGCCTGTTTGATGCGCCGTTCTTCAACATGTCGCCCCGTGAGGCTTGCCAGACGGACCCTATGCAGAGGCTCGCGCTTGTGACAGCTTATGAAGCGCTCGAGAAAGCGGGCTATGTCGCAAATCGCAGCGCGTCTACTTCCCTGTCCCGTATCGGTACCTTTTACGGACAGGCGAGTGACGATTATCGCGAGGTGAACTCTAATCAAGAAATCGGTACATACTTCATTACTGGTGGCTGCCGAGCGTTTGGACCGGGGCGAATAAACTACTTCTTTAAATTCTCCGGTCCAAGTTATAGTATTGATACAGCTTGTTCATCCGGGCTAGCGACGATCCATGTAAGTGGCTTATTGACCTTGGGGTTGCCAAGACTATGCAATGCTCTACCTCCAGATCAATGCTGATAAAACTGATGTGCAGGTTGCTTGCAATTCTCTCTGGAATGGAGACACCGATATGGCTGTGGCGGGTGGGATGAATGTTCTCACCAATTCAGACGCTTTTGCGGGCCTAAGCAAGGGCCACTTTCTATCAAAAACGCCCAACGCGTGTAAGACCTGGGATGCGGAAGCCGATGGATATTGTCGTGCCGATGGAGTGGTATCATTTGTGCTGAAACGCCTCGAGGATGCGGAAGCCGATAATGACAACATTCTCGGCGTGATACTCTCAGCCGGAACAAACCATTCAGCCGAGGCAGTCTCTATAACCCATCCTCACGCAGGCCACCAGGCAGACCTAACCAGAGAGATCCTGGCACAGGCTAGTGTGAGCCCATTTGACGTCGATTATGTGGAGCTTCACGGCACAGGCACCCAGGCCGGGGATGGGCAAGAAATGAAGTCTGTCACAGACGTCTTTGCTCCACTAAATGGCGACAAGCGTCGAAGTTCAAAACATCCGCTGCATATAGGCGCGGTCAAGGCCAATGTTGGCCACGGAGAAGCTGTGGCTGGTCCTACGGCGTTGCTGAAAGTGCTGCTGATGTTCCAGAAGGAAGCCATTCCCCCACACGTGGGCATCAAGAACAGCTTGAACCCAAATCTTCCTCAGGACCTGGACAGGCGACACGTTCGAATCCCCTTTGAGAAAACCCCCTGGCTGCAGAACTCAATTCGATCTCGCATTGCTGTGGTCAATAACTTCAGTGCTGCTGGAGGCAATTCGAGTATTGTCATCCAAGAAGGAGCACATGCAGGCGGAATCAAGATGGCCGCTGGTAAGAAAGATACGGCCGACCCACGATCAAATCATGTCATAGCCGTATCAGCCAAGAGCAAGGCCTCGTTCAGAGGGAACATTCAGCGTCTCCTTGACTACCTAGAAGAGCATCCCAATGTCTCCCTTGCGAACCTGTCGTACACAACCATGGCCCGAAGATACCACCATAACCACCGCGTGGCCATATCCACACCGGGAGATGGGGTCGCGCAACTTAAAAAGCACCTCAGCAGCACTCTGCAGTCAGCAGACTCTCATAAGCCTATCTCGCCTACTGGCCCGCCACCCATCGTCTTCGCCTTCACAGGCCAGGCTGCCTCACATCGGTCGATGAGCTTAGAGCTATTCCGCGACGTTCCCAGTTTCCGAACCCATCTCCAGTATCTGGATTCCCTCTCTCAAAGCCAGGGATTTCCCTCCTTTATCCCTGTACTCGACGGCAGCTATCCACAGGACCATACCCATCCGCCCACAGTCACACAGCTAGCTCTCGTCTGTATGGAAATAGCGCTCGCCAGGTACTGGGAGAGTCTTGGGGTCCGGCCGGACGTTATTGTGGGGCATAGCTTGGGCGAGTACGCTGCCTTCCACGTGGCCGGTGTACTATCTGCTGTAGACACCATCTTTCTTGCCGGCCGCCGCGCAATGATGATCGAGGAGAAGTGTCAAAGGGGCAGTCACAAGATGCTGGCTGTCCGCGCCTCAGTGAACAGCATCCGTGAGGCCGTCGGTGATATGCCCTTTGAGGTTGCTTGCATCAACAGTCCTCAAGATACTGTGCTCAGCGGGCCGGTGGACGACATCAACAACCTGGCTGAGAAGCTTCAGTCCTCTGCTAGCTTCAAGAGTTCTCACTTAGACGCGGCATATGCTTTCCATTCCGAGCAGATGGATCCAATTCTTGACGAATTCGAGGACATAGCAACGACAGGCGTTCTCTTTCAAACGCCCAGACTGCCCGTTATCTCGCCCCTCTTGGGCAGGGTCATCTTTGATGATAAGACTATTAACGCCAAGTATATGCGCCGGGCCACGCGAGAGACTGTCGACTTCCTCGGGGCGATCCAAAAGGCACAGCAAATCTCAACTGTCGACGAGACGATGTTGTGGGTTGAAATAGGGCCACACCCGGTATGCGTTGGCCTTGCACGGTCAATCCTCACAGCTGCACCAGTCATGGTGCCTTCCCTCCGCCGGGGTGAGAGCAACTGGCAGACGATGTCACAGAGCTTGGCTGCCGTGCACAATGCTGGGATCACGGTGGATTGGAGAGAATATCACCGTCCTTTTGAGTCAGGCTTGAGGCTTCTCGATCTGCCATCTTACGCCTGGAACGAGAAGAACCATTGGATCCAGTACAACGGCGATTGGGCCCTCACAAAGGGCAACAATTTCTACGACGCGGAGAAAGAGGCGGCGAGAGCGAAGAATACGGTCTTGACCCCGACTGCTTCCCTTCATGAACTCAGGACTTCACTCGTACACCACGTTGTCGATGAAACATTTAGTGAATCGGCGGGGCGAGTTGTTGTGCAGTCCGACATGATGGCGGCTGATTTTCTGGCTGCTGCGTGGGGACACAAGATGAATGGAGCAGGCGTGGTCACATCAGTAAGTCTTTCCACGTTCACAAGTATGAAAAGATTTGTCTTGTGAATCTAACAATTTGAATTTCTAGTCTATCCACGCAGACATCGCTTTCACGCTTGGGAAGTATCTCATCCAAAAGCTGAGACCGGGTTTCAAAACGGTTGCGGACATGGACGTAAGAGACCTTGTGGTTCGTGAGGGTCTGGTAGCACAGAAGAACACGAGAGTGCCTCAGCTCGTTCAAATATCCATCTCTACGCAGAACGTCGACGCCGGCGTCGCTCACCTCGAGTGGCACAATCTTACCAACCACGGCGCCATCGTCGACGACGAGCCCATAGTCACCGCTCAGCTGGCCTACGGCAGCAACTCAGGCGCTTACCTAGCAAGTTGGACGCCAGTGCAGCATCTCGTGCAGGGCCGCATCGAGGCCCTTGAGAAGCTCGTCGAAGAGGGCGTGGCGAGCCGCATGTCGCGCTCCATGGCATATCTGCTCTTCTCCACCAACCTCGTCGACTACGCCGACAAGTACCGCGGGATGCAATCGGTGATTCTGCATGAGCTCGAGGCTTGCGCCGAGGTTACGCTCACGACGTCGGACAAGAGCGGCCTCTGGACTGTGCCGCCGTTCTTCATCGACAGTCTCTTTCACATTGCAGGATTCGTCATGAATGTTTCGGACGCTATCGACACACAAGCCAACTTCTGCGTCACTCCGGGTTGGTCGTCGTTGCGCCTGGCACGGCCACTTGTTGCTGGGGCCAGTTATCGGACATATGTCAAGATGATCCCGACCACCGAGGACCCGGCCATATATCTCGGCCATGTTTACGTGCTGGATGGTGAGAAAGTGGTTGGTTGCATGGAGGCCATCAAATTCCGCCGATATCCTCGCATATTGCTGAACCGGTTCTTCTCGGCGCCAGACGTCAAAAACACATCTGCAGGCAAGCCGTCCAAAGGCACCACAGCATCCGCCGCTGGCGCCATCCCAGCCGCAAAGCCGGCCTCAGTCTCTCCAGCGGAGCCTACTGCGGTGTCGGTGACTGCTCCTGTGCCCGCGTTCCAGACCAAAAATGAAGTCAAGCCGGAGCCGCTAGCGCAGTCAACGCAACCACCGCCGCCGCCTGCTCCTGTCGCGGCGCCGCCAGCCGTCGGCAATGAAGTGGATAGTACTACGGCCAAGGCTATGGTTCTCTTAGCCGCTGAGGCGGGCCTTGAACCTTCTGAGCTTCAAGACGATGCCAGCTTTGCCAATTTGGGTGTGGACAGTCTGATGAGTCTCGTTATTGCTGAGAAGCTGCGCGACCAGCTAGGCGTCGCCGTCAGCAGTAGCTTATTCCTGGAATATCCGACAGTGGGGGATTTGAGGGCTTGGTTGTTGGAGTATTATAGTTAGATGCTAGTATCTAGAGTCTAAATTCGGAGTTGTTTATTCTTTCTTACAGTAGTACGGCAGTTTTGTTTTGGCAGCCGGATGCTTCATCAGAGTTGACTAGCACCTACTCCCAGGAGAGTTACAACAAACGGTTGATTAGGTTCTTAAGACTCGATTTGCTTTTACCGCACTGCATGCTCATGGGTAATATGATATGCCACACCCGAGATTCTACCATGTCCGAGTCACTGAAGTCGACCAGTCGAACAAATTTGAGCCTGTACTACCTAGATTTATCACAAATCATGTGTGAGATCGAATTGAAGACTGGTATGTCTTAGTGATGATCATTTTCTTATTCCTATATAACCCATACTTTCACTGTGATACGTGTTCTAAAGCAAGCTCAGGCCGTGTCCATGCCCCAAGCCAGAAGCTTTCACCTCAAGCCGCCCCGCCGTCCAAAGTGATAACCTTCCCGTTGATCCATTCGGATTCTTTGCTAGCAAGAAAGCAGACAACACGAGCAACGTCCTCTGGGTAGCCATTCCGATGCAAAGGAGAAGCATGAGCTGCCATCTGCTGGCGTTCCTCGGCTGTGTACTTTTCTCCGCCGGGAATATAGTGCTGCGAAACGGCATGAAACATATCGGTAACAGTGCCACCAGGTGCCACGCCATTTATAGTGATCTTCTTGTCGCCGCAGTCTTTGGAAAGGACGCGGACAAAGGAGTCGATGGCGCCCTTGGAGCCTGAATACAGCGAGTGCTTCGGGACGCTAAAGTCCCTCGACGTGTTGGACGAGGTCAGGATGATGCGGCCGCCCTCGCGTAGGACACGGTAGGCCTCGCGGGCGACAAAAAACTGCCCGCGCGTGTTGAGGCTGAAGACGCGATCAAATTCGTCCTCGGTGACGTCCTTAAGGTGACCGAAGCTGACGGTGCCCGAGTTGCTCACGGCGATGTCGAGGCGGCCGAAGTGCGCGATGGCGGTATCAAAGAGCCGCACTGTCTGCGCCACGTCGCGCACGTCGGCTTGGATGGCGACCGCATCCGACCCGAAACTCTTGATCTCGGCCACGACCTTCTCGGCTGCCTCGGCGGACGCGGCGTAGTTGACGACGACCTTGGCGCCAAGGTGACCCAGCCGGATTGCAATGGCGGCGCCTATACCGCGGCTGGAGCCCGTCACCAAGGCCACCTTTCCTTCAAAGCGGCCTGGGATGTATGGAGTAGTCATTTCGTAATGTGGACTTTTGGAACAAAGGTAAAGGTTCGTGGAGTGAGTTGTCAAGAACCAGGCGCCGTGGGGTCCAGAGTGTCTGTACGGTCACAATATGTGTGTGATATGTGTACTGAGGTAGCTTATTTCCATTAGTTTCAACCTCAATAAGGCATCATGTCGTATTATTTGGGGTTCCTTCTTGCCAGGGACGGAATGGATGTCACCGGGAGTCTCTGGTCTGACCCGAGCCCGATCCCGTCCACGTCCGGAGCCCGGAGAACCAGTCTGGAATACCGAAATAAGCCGGCTCGGAATTCGATTCGTGCGAATGAGCCGGATTGAATAGATCAAAGGTGCCGAGCAGAGCCTTGGTCATTGAAAGGTTTACAAACATTTGATACGGAGTAGTATATGATGATCAAGTCGCTAGGTACTCGATGACATGCATGTACGCGACCTACTATTGCCGGCATTTTTCTTCAGCAATCCCCTCACAACATCTCAACCATGTCAAAGGCTGTCGGAAAATTTCCCGCGTACAATGGTGCGTTTTTAAAAGTTTTTTTGGCGGTGTCGTATTGACATTGAATCACTGACTGTGATTGTGAAGATGCCGTGGGCTGTCAGGCTGTGCTGTTCGAATGGGCCGAGAGCTTTGACACCAAAGACTGGGACCGGCTCTCTAGGGCCCTTGCCCCATCACTCTATGTATGATGCTTCTTACTTGCGCTTGAAGCTGTTTCCGCCCTAATATAGCCTATTTCTCAGGTCGACTATACGCAAGTGATGGGCCAGCGCTGGGAATCCATGCCCGCGGAGGATTTCGTGGCTATGGCCTCCAACGCCCATTTTCTCGGCAACCGGCGCATCAAGACGCAGCATTTCATTGGCGCGGGCAGATGGACTCAAGCGGCAGAGGATCACATCACTGGCTACTTCCAAATGCGTGTGGCTCACCAGAAATATAGTGACGATGAACTTTCTACGGTATTGTATCAGGGCCACGCGCACGGGAAGGCGACGGTCCACTGTTGGAAGATCGATGATGTCTGGAAGTTTGCGGGGCTTGAGCCTGACATTAGGTGGGCAGAGCATGATTATGATAAGATTTTCCAGCCTGAGTAGACCTGCTCGTGCTGAGAAAGATGTTGATTTCGCCAATTATATATGGTTTCTTTTGATGCCATTCTGAAATCTTTCCTGTTCTTGCTCAGAGGTGACCCCCATTGGAACTTGTATTGACTACTTGACCCCCAGCATAAGATGTCGCAAATCCATTTGGACGTCGTTGCTACTACTCAAGGGCTGAACATCGACATCCTTTCCACTTTGTGGCAAACGCCGATGAAAGTTTGGGTCATTGAGAACTTTGAGATAGACTTCAAAATCGCAGAGATATCTATTTCTATACACATCTATTCAACGAGGGCCCGTATTCGCTGGCAAATAGTTGTGCAAAAAAGGGAAGAAGTGCCTCAGCAGACCCATCAGGATGCACATGGGCGTCCCGGTTGGAAACTTGGCTCTACCATTTGTATTGACCACGCTGACATTCTTCTGATCGTAACGCCCCTGCTCGTCATCAACTGCCTCGATCATCGCGGCGGCGAGGTCCAGGTACGACAAGGGACTATCCTCATCCGTGAGACTGAGCGCATGGCCGCGCTGTAGGTCTACTGATAATGCCCCGGGTTTGACGTAGATGGTGGTCAGCCATTCCTCGTGCCCGCGTAGCAACACCTCAGTCTCTTCCAGGTCCCGATAGACGTGGGACGCCGAGCGGTGGAGGAGGGCGCGCAGGAGGCGCGGTATGTGGCGGGAGAAGTGGTCGTCGACGGTGGCTGAGGAGAGCAAGACGAGCTTGGGTTTGGTGATGGCGTCGGTGATCCCGGAACTAGAGCTCGAGAGCAGGTTCTGTAGGGCCTGCACGGTGACAGTGGCGGTGTCCTTTGCCATATGGCAGCCGGGCACGTTGTCGTTGGTGGAGACGACAAGGAAGACGGCATGGGTGCCGCGGACGCACGAGGCGACGAGGTTGACGTCGTGAATGTTGCCCTCGAAGATCTCCACGCGGCCGCCCTCCTTGACGTCGGGCAGCAGGCGGAGAAGCTTTGATTTATTGCGGCAGTAGGCGTGGACCCGGGCGTCTGGGTTCCTCAACAGGTTGTCGATTAGGGCCAACCCACAGTTGCCAGTGGCGCCCATGACTGCGTAGGTGCGCGAAGGCATCGTTCTTTGATGCTTACTTTCAGACTTGGAGTGGAAACTGCTCTACTATAGAAGGGACTTTGATAAAGACGGACGAGAGAAATTTACCAGTTTCTTATATCTGTACATCGTTGAAAGATTTGACTGCTAAACCCACAGTACTTAAAAAGACCCATGACTATGATCGGTGTCAAGCTCATCTTTTCATCCTCGGGATGAATTGTAGGTCCGGCATTTCCATGGGGAACGTGCGGATGATATTACGAGGTACAGCACTCGACAAAGCAGCATATTAATGTTGACGCCTGTGAATTAAGACATATAGACGGATCAGTTCCATTTTAGTTCAAAAATATATTATTCATGATCGAGAGCTCTAGACTGGGTACCTAGGAAATATTGGTCCATACCATCAAGGGCTTCATACATATTGTCCCATTTTATTTGACTAAATGCTCTGTTATGCACTTCGTTGTTTACTGACCAACCGCAAAGCCAACGTAATCACCGCCTCGCCGAGATAATCATGCTCTGCGGTCGTGTGGCGGCTGTCTCGTCCACAGGTTGATGCGGCAATGATATCTCACGTTCCATACTCTAGTGTGCTGTCCTTTACCGCATGACGCAGCCAATGGGCCTTCGGGACATTTTAATCCCTCGGGGTATTCTGCGCCTATCAAATCCAGTACCGCCAGGTCGGAGAAATCCGCAACGTCGCATTTTCCCAGGGACTTGATTCCCGCCATCTGCAGCAAGCTCGTATTCAACGTCGTGTGGAAAGGATGATCTTGACAGGATAGTACCCCTTGACACTTTTCCCGCCCTCGAGGAGGTCGTCCAGCTCCCGGTACAATTCCGCCAGGGCGTCTGGGAATTTAGACACGAAGGGGAAGGTGGCAAAGTGTGCCTTGACACCAGCTAGGTCAGTCACAAAGCTCCAGCCCTCGTCATCTTCGTAGGTCTCTACGTCGTCCGGCCCCGTGTAGTTGGGTTGCTTATCCCGATGTGCCTCCTCCGGCGGCAACATGCCCTGAATGCCACCACTGCGCATGTTCAGGTGGATCCGCTGCGCCCCGGCCTCGAATAGTTCCCGGTTCAGCGGCGCGACGTTGTAAGTGCCCTGGGTGCGGGCCATGACCTGGATCGTCGCCTCCTGGGCCGCGGCATCGCCAATCTCCCTGAGCAGCTGCCGGCCGCCCTCATGGCTGATGCGCTCCCATAGGCCCTGAAGCTGAGTGTCGTGGAATCGCGCCGGGCCGAACAGTGCGACTGCCAGGGTGCCACCCTGCCGTAGCTGCCGCGAGAGGGCGGCCATTGCCTCGTCCTGCGGGTGGGCAAAGTGCAGCACGTTGGTTGCGAAGACCATGTCCACGCTTCCTGGCTCGATGTCCTCGGCGTCCTGCAGCTTGGCGGTGCGGAAGATGAAGCCGTCTGCTCCGCGCAGGCGTTGGCGTGCTAGCTCGATGTTCTGCGCCACGATGTCCGAGACGATGACGCGGTTAAAGCGTGAACGTAATGTTTTGGCGTACGGTCCGTTGCCCGCACCCACGTCGTGGGCTGTCCCAAAGCGTCCTCCATGCGCTCGGTGGTAGTCAAAAATCCGGGTGAAGAAATTTTCTGGAACTTGCGGTCGTCCTTTTAGGTAATTATTCCAGAAATTGTCATCTTGGGCAAAAACCTGGCCATTCGAACCCATCGTGTACAGCACAGTGTATAGTTACGAAATTGGAGGTAGATAAGACTTATTGGGAAAAGGAAAAGTTCAATCTGATTCGCATATCAGAAAAGCGCTCGTTTAAAAGAAAGACCTGGCGTGGGACAGCGGCATATTTGAGCTTGGATTTCTTGCAATCCGCATTCTGTCGGGCGATTGCAGTCGGGCCAATAGACTATTGGTGGTTCATGATCTATTCCATATGAAAAGAAATAGATCGAGAAGTTACTATAGCTCTCTTCTGGACAATTGCAAACACAAGACCGCCCAGAACGTTCCCAGCAATCCGACTTGTAATTATTATCAGTAAGCTTGGTACTTTACGACCAACACCATGGTCAAATTACTGTGCGAGCGAAGGTGACGGGTAATGACCAGTCTCCCCAGCTCATCCCTCACGTTCTCGATAGTGCTCGATAGCTCAGACAATTCCATCTCATTTTCGTTGCCCAATTGGTACATGGATAGGTCCCGCACTCGCGCAACGCCCTCAACCTGGGGGTCGGCGATGGAACCTGGTTCCGGCAGGAGACGAGCCGTCGGCACGAGGATCAGCGCGCTACCGGAACGGATGAGGTCAATATGGACGCGCAGTTCTGCCCGGAAGTCCGCTCCGGCAGTGTCTCTGGCTGAAGCTGGCCGCAACGAGGGTGGATGTATGATGTAGACGGTGGCCGCAGTCATGGGCTGGGCCGTGCCAGCGGCCCGATAGGTCACAGTGATATCGCCGCCCCGGCTGGACGAGCTCGGGCGGCCATGGCTCCAAGCCGGGGCTCGGATCAGCGGTGACGAGTTTGCGTTGTCAATCTGCACTATCAGGCGGAGATTGGGAAACTTGTCAGCAAGCACTGCTGCCATAGGCGTAGATGTTGCGCCAGCCTGCCGATCGGGTGAGAAACAGATAAGTCACAAGAGACCGTATATGCAGTGTAGCATGAGTGCTGACTGGATGTGACGATCTTACCTCTACGATGCACGCGGGTCCCAGATTCTTCCACTGGAGACCCGAGAGCACGTCAGCCACGGCCTCGTCCTCGTGATGCAGGCCTCCAGCGAGGCTGAGGTAAGCGAACCACTGCCGCTGGAGTTTGGGGCCCTCCTGGAGTGCTGAGTGGAACGAGCGATTAGAGTTGCGGGCGAGGCTATAGGCGCACTCGGTTGGTTCCTCGGACGCGCCAAAGCGGCGCGTGGCGGCGGGCATCTGCAGGGCCGCCGGTGCAACCCAACGAGCCAAGAAGATGGCTGCGTCTAGTAAAGCTTGATCTGTGCAAAAACACGCCGATAGGCGTGTATGTGCCACACAGCCCGCGTTGCGCTCTTGCAGGAATCCTGCGGTGCCTAGCAGTCGGACGACCCGGCCCAGCTGTGCCGTGGGGACCGAAGTAAGATCGGCGATGTCTTTCATTGGGACTTGGATGCTCACATCAGACGGGATGCATGTCAGGATGCCGAATTCGGCAAGCCACTGAAGGCAGGCCAGCATCTCCACCTGCTCGTGCGCTATTAGTGATCAGTGGCGGACGCCTCCTTCTTAATGAGAAACATGAGTGCGACGTCAGCTGCCAGTGTGGGGACGTACCTGGCGGGCAAGCTCCTGGAGAAATTCGGTCGGGCCAACGACAAGCCTCTTGATAGATTCCACGCTGGCGAGAATCTGGGCCTTCGCCTCCTGGGACGCGTTGCTCACAAACTGACCAGATGATGGTTCCGTGTCTGCGAGGCTCTTGATCGCGGCAGAGAGCGCGTTGCTGTGGCTTTCGAGGGCTACTCGATCCATTCTGAGGAGCGCAGTCACTAAGGATTTTCTAAGTGATACTCAACCAAGTGCCTCTAGGTGGTGGTGAGCTGAACCAGGAGGTACTTAAGTAGTGTAGTGTGGGGCTGGAAGAGGGAGTCGTGAAGACAAACGAATCCTTCCAACTACTTGCAGTTACTTATCTGTCAAGCTGTGTACTTATACTAACTTGGAATCCAGTATGCCCACTGCCGCACCACCCGTTGCGCGGCACATACGCAGGATGCGATCCAGCCAACCGACGTGTCGCTTTGATCCCCGGCAGCTGTCTGAGTGAGCAACATTACCTATACAGTACATCCTTCAGCCACATCGTAGTGTTCCAATCTGAACTGGTATGAAACCAAGCCCAAGCAGGTATATGCGAAAGCTAATTGTGCCAACAAGCTAAACGTGTGACCACCCTCAGCTAGGCAGATAGTGTTCTCTAGCACCGCTGGATGCTCTAGAAGACGGGACAGACATGTGATTGGCAAGATCTAGGAGTGCACAACTTACACAAGCAGTCTAGGGCGAGTTGAGGCAGATAGTGCCTTGGAGGGAATTATATGTACTCAACTACGTGCGCTTGCCCCCTTGGCGATAAGGTGCGCAATGACAGTCGGCTACTTATATAAATAATTATCCAAAGAGAATCAAATGCCCAGGTGCCCAGCCCTTGGCATACTGCATTGACAGTCTTGTCCGACCATCTCTTGTTTCGCTGCGTCTGCGGCTCCGGTGCTACTCGGAACAAAGGCTCAATGGCCAGTCCGCACTCTGACATGCCTGTCGAACAGGCCACAAACTCGATCAGAGCGGCCACACCATCTGGCAGCAACGTGGGCGGCTCAAATGCGGCTCTGCGCATCAGCTGCCAGGCCTGTGCCACGTCCAAGGTCAAATGCCCCAAGGAGAAGCCCTCATGCTCCAGGTGCGAGAGCCGGGGCGCCATCTGCCAGTACGTTGTGACAAGGCGGCCGGGGCGCAAACGTGCAGGCCGCGACCCGGGCCACATGGCGAGCTCGAGCACTGCCAGCACCGTGTTCGACTCCATCGCCAACAAGACCCCGAGCCGCCGGTCATCCGCCACCCGCTTGATGCCCAGGAGCAGCGCCGAATCGACTGTGGCCAGCGCCACGACGACCCCAAACTGCCTGGGCGCTTCATCACCTAGTCCAGTCATAACCACATTGGCCGGGGCGGATGCCATTTTCACAGCCGACTCCTTGGATGCCTTCTGTTTCTCGACGGAAGAAGAGGTTGCCATGATCCCGGAGCTCGCTGATTTCAGCACTGATGTTGGGGACCTGGACTTTCTTTCATCCCTGTCTGCCATCGCGTCGCCCTTTGACCTGTATGGGCCGGACCTTGGCAGTACTATCATCCCCAAAGGGAGCGATGTTGGCTCACTTCTCATGCCCCCGGATAACATCACTTCCGAGTTTCCTTCGCTGGAAACTTTACTATCAGCCGACTCACATAGCGCATCATCGCTGAAACATTCACTTGCGTCATACAGCTCCCCACCGATCTCAAGGTGCTCAACCAGCAAGGCCGATGACGTGCGCTTCAGCAGCACTTTGGCATGTGGTTGTTTGACTCAGGCGCTCGACCTTCTGAAGACCTTGTCTATAGTGGACTGCCAAACAACTTTTACTACGTCGGGTATTCTGACGCCAACCAGCCCAGGCACACCCGGGGCGGTCCAGACTGTTCTACACGAGAACAAGCAGGGCATAGAGGCCGTTCTCAGCAGGCTGGCATGTGCAAACTGCTCTGACGACGTGTTCCTGCTGTCCGTCCTCACCATCACCGTCCAGAAGATCCTGGAGCGATACGCCATCGCGGCACGCATCCGCTCGGGTGACTTAGGTGGTGGTGGTGAGGCTGAGGCGGGCAAGTCGGCGACGGCGAGACACGCTGTGGACGACTTCCTCAGCAACGCGGACAGAGGCGCAGCCAAGCCATTGGTGCTAGCGGGCTACGGCGCCGGGGCCCGTCTCGACCAGGATGACCGGGAGCGGGTGGCACAGCTTGTCCTCAGCGAGCTGCACAGGGTGCAACGCCTCGTAAATAAGCTGGCTCCCAAGCTGAAGGGGGTCAGGGACGCGGACGGCGACCACGCCTCCGGCCCCAGTGATGTGCTGCAACGGCGGCAGAAGGTGCATAGACGAAAAAGGGAGGACGATCTGTCCCCGGGCGTGGCCTTCTCCGAGGGTACCTTGGAGCAGATGGAGCGCGACATGCGCAAGAGCCTCAGTTCTCTGTCCACCGAGATCATCAGCAGGATTCGGCAAAGCCAATTCTGATCACGGCGTAATCATGATGTTCTAAGCCGCAGCGTCCCAAGGACAGTCTTACTTAGTGAGCGAGCGATCTGGCGGCAAGACTTGCCAATTTCTTCTCAATCAAGAATTATACAGGAGACGGTGCCGGGGTAGACCAAGAGGAATCAATCAGCAGTAAGGGCGGTTTGTCTGCCAAAAGACGGCCGTGGACATTTGGACACTGAACATTGTCTGATCCATAGGAGTTGTCACAGAACAAGCGGTTCACTGGCTTTGGCGATGCTTGTCTCAGGAAGAGACCATGCTGAGATTGTGGATTGGTAGTGATGGCGGTACGTAGGTAGACAGACTGGCCCACCACCTGGCTGCCAGCTGGCATCGGCCCGGCTGCAACGTAGACCATAGACCACCTGCGCTGCGCGGCTGCGCGTAGTCAGAAACACCATAGACCCAACAACCAGAATCATCAATCACACCAATCGCTAGTGATTATCGTGCGTACACACAACGAAGCCCTACCAACAGAGACCAAATATGTACCTACCTAGGTATCAAGTAGGTAGGTGAGCAACACCTGACTACCTAGGCAGCCATCCCGTGGCACGCATGAAGGACACAAGCGCACTTACATAGCAAGTCAAAATTATTGTGGGGTCCAGACCGTCATTGTTCGACTGCTACTTGACTGATTGAGGCCTTCTTGCCATGGAAACTACTTCACCCTTCAAACCCATTGACTACCTCGCCGTCCCTGACGAATTCCTCGATCCAACCTATGGTCATCCTGTTTAAAATAAGCTACGGAACCTCTGCGTACACAACTATGACAGCTTACATGCTTCGTTTGGTATCAGCAAATCTCTCATGGTCACCGACAAGATGCTCTTTATACCACGGATCTTGTTTCATGCGCTTGTAGTCTTCAATGTCCTTGAACACGACCTGGCTGAAGCAGTCGAAATCTGCAATGTTTGCCATCTGCGTGTCGAACAATTCGGACATCAAAGCGCGGGTCGAACTCTGATTATGGATCTAGATGAGATGTCAGTGTGGAGAGTCATTTTATTTGAGTCTCGAATGGAAATGACGAGGTTCTTCATAGACACGCCAACCCCCAGTGACTCCTTCTTGGCAGAGGAACATCTCACTTGCGTCCATCTCTTGATGCCATACTTGACCATGAGGTCCTTTGTCAAAGGCGCTGACACATCCACCATATGCTTGCGGTAATCTTCCTCGCTCATGCCCGGCTTTCGATAGCCGCAGATGGTGAGACAGAGATATCTGCTCCGTGTAGTTCCGACACTCCCAGGTGCCTCTTGCTTAATCATCGTTGTCATTTTAGAATGTGTTCAGCCAAAGAATCAGTAAAGACTATTATCTAGTCTGATAAGATGTGGCAAGACGTCCCCTGACAAAAAGTGTTCATATAAAGCTATGAGTAGGCCCTTGCATTGCCATGCAGTGTCACAATGGGGTATTACCTATTGACCGAAGGTGCATGCCTATCTAGGAGTGCGGACTCTCCTCTCTTTCGCCGACGGATCATTGACAGGTTCCAAAAGGTCCGACATTGCATTTAAGCTAAAATACTATAACTTAAAGAGATTAGACACATGTGAAGCAGGCCTTTCAAAGCTATTCAGGAGTGCCCCCACCTGCACCCAGCTCAAGATGGAGAATAAACGCCACATTTCAGCACGTTTACAACAACCACAGAGACTTGGTCTAGAGGCTGCCGCTGTGGTCTCAGGGTCCTTTTTGGCAGGTAAGGTCACCCCCCTAGTATCAAGGACCTAGAACGGACCTGCAATGACCAGTCCTCGGGCGGGAATGAGAGATTCAAATCTAACTGACTTTTATGACAGGCGCCATGATGAGCTTGTCTGCCTTCACGATCCCCGTTTTCTTGGACACCAACAGCGATGCCGCACATATGCTCCGTCAGTGGTCGCGGCTGTACCACTACGGCCACATCTACCTGCCCGGCCTGTCCGTCACAACATGTGGGCTCTATGTGTCCGCAGCGATCGGCGCCAAGAATCGTTCAGGCAGCCAGCGCGGGCAATCGCCATCACCACAGAACTATCTCCTAGCCGCGGCGACGACGCTCTGCATGGTGCCCTTTACATGGTTGGTCATGGCCCCCACCAACAACGTGCTGTTCGGCCTAGAGGGGTCGCGCAACGGGACGGCGGATTTGGGTCCCGCGCGTGATTTGCTGGTAAGATGGGCGTGGCTGCATGTCGCTCGGTCCTTCTTTCCCCTCGTCGGGTCATTGTTGGGATTTCATTATCTTCTGCAAGGGCGTCGGGGGAAACAAGAGTGACGACGTGCAGGGCTTCTACCGAGTTGGTCTACCTACGGCACATTGCAAGTGGAGCCTGCGGAATGTATTACAAGAGGTGTTGTTCGGGTCAGCAAAATTGTCCCGATTGTTTCTGACGAATCGCCCGACGTGCATAAGCAAGGAATATGATAATGAAACAGGCAAGGATGTTGACCGTCAGCATGCAGTCCAATGCCAGTGTTGATCTGAACAAGACCATGTGTATGTATGTCAGTCACCATAGCCATGTTAGTGCTCCATTTCCCTGATACTGCTCGATGCAAAGTGTTTCGTACCTTATGGTGATGTAAGTAGGAGGCAACGGAAAACCTTAAGGATGTAGAGGCATTCAAGTGAATGCACTACGTAGTCAAAGTACCAGAAAAACATTGTAGACATACTATTTGATTCACAATTCGTAAACCAAAAGCTAAAGCTAGCACTACTATTACTGCGCCAAGGTACTCCTTCAACATAGATGAACCCAGAAGTTCAATCATCATGGCCAAGTGCTTATTGTTCACTTACTCTTAATGTCCTGCAACTTGCAATTTTCGTGCATGAAGAAGGGCTCCCGTTGGGAGTGACGAGAACACATTTCACGCTTAGATTTGTCTCCCGCTCACGACAAGACGTGTTTGAAGTTATCCACATACGTAATGTTATACAAATTGCGCATCTATAGGTCTTGTGGTTATATGTATTTCAGGCAACTGCAAACCATTTCTTAACGCCCCCTCTCACCTCGAATCCAACCATGCCATCCTCGGCAAGCTTTCTAAGAACTTCTTCCGTGAAGGGTTCCAAAGCCAGCTCACGGACCCCCTGATCCATCTGGGTCCCGTAGACAGAGGTGACAAGCTCCCTCACCGTCAGCTTCTTTCTGTGGCCGCCCACACCGCCGCCTGTCGACTGCTGCAGCGCACGCAGGGCCTGACGTTCACGCCGCAGTCTCGCCTTGAGCTCGGCCTGCATCTTGGCCTCGAGGTCGTTAATGTCGGCGCCGTGGGCCGGGTACCCCTTGGCGCACCGGTGCGACTGCATGATGTGGAGGGCCTGGATCCATGTGTTCAGGTGCTCGACGACCGTGGAGCCGTGGCCGAGAACATTGTCGCCAGTAAACATTGCGTTCTCCTCCTCCAGAATGAAACACATGTGGTCGTCGGAGTGGCCTGGGGAGTGTACCGCGCGGACGGTGGCGCCTTCGACGCGGAAGATCTGCCCATCTTCGATAGGCTGCTGCGTCTTGCCGGGAGTGTGCTTGTAGATGTGACCCGAAAGCTCTGGGTAGAGACGAAGGAGATCTGGCACACCGCCGGTGTGGTCACCGTGCCAATGGGTCAGGAGAACTTGGGATATTGCAAACCCCTCTCTGGCTAAGAGCCGTGAAATAATATCCGCCCAATCGGGGATGCCCTGGCCAGTATCGATGATCAGGCGGTGCGCACCAGTGCCAACGATGAAGGTGTTGGTGCCCTGGAGAGTAAACTGGTCCAGATCATGGAGTTATCAGCACCTTGGCTCGGAATGTTCAGTTTGAAGAATCATGATTTCACAAACGCACCTTTCCCGGGTTCTGTCCCAGAACGCGTATCACCCGCGGGCTAACTTGCTCTACGTCCAAAAGTTCAGGTAATAGAGTTTGTTGACCATCCAGGTACTCTTCGAAGGCACAGACGTTGAAAGCCTTGTTTATTTGCTTGTAACCTCCCACTCCAGGCGCCATATTTGGGGTAAGTCCAATACTGAATGACTGTGGGTCTGTTCTTCTCTTGGTAATGCATACAAGTCATGCATGAATTCAACAGCGACATGCCATGGCGTTTCCTACGGTGAAACAAAATACGAAGCAATACCCATGCTGCACCCTATATGTACCACGTACAGTGGATGGGGATATCACGAGCAGCAGTATCATGCCAGAGAGCTCGTCCGAAATTATGGACCGCAGTTATCAGATCCGAGCTGAAGAAGATCTTATCCTGATCAGTAATGGATGTCGGGATATAAGTCTGACATGGGCAAAACAGCTCATATTCAATGTCCGTGGCTGAACACCTACGGTCAAATCTCCCCGAGGTCTCACCGTGAGGGACTCACCGAGGTCACGCCGTCGAAGATAAGTCTTTTTGCCATCAATGTGTCTGATAGACTTGGCATGCATAAAAGAAGCTGGCTACGATAACTCATACAAGGAATTGATGTGAAATCATTTGAGAGGAGGCAATGCCCTGGTTGAGAACTAATGGTCTTTTGTCAAGATTGTCGCTTGGAGCCGGTAACGGGAGTCAGCATCCAGAAAGAGGCTGAACCAGTGAAAATAGCCTGAGGCCCGGCCGTCTTTAGCTAAAACCGGGAGTGGGTGTGGCCTCCCAGATTGTTCCCCCTTGCCAGGAACCGCTATGTACCTCTTGTAGAAGGGTGTTGCACAGGTCATGCGGAGGCCCTGCTGTGCAAAAATACAAAGACCACTCGCCACAACCTGTTTCCTTGCTTGATGAGCTCTCAAGGCCCGTACTGCCTGTACCACAGTCATCATTTTCAAAGGCTTCTAAGCATTCAATGCACTGAGGCCCGGCTTTTCAATCTACACTACCTCCTTCAGGTATTGAATACGATGGAGACACCAGCCATTGCCATCATTGGCGGCGGGCCTTGTGGTCTCACTCTTGCACGTCTATTAGAATGCCAGGGCATCGACTACGTTGTCTATGAGCGGGACGAGAGCAGCACCTCGAACCGTGCAGGCGGTACCCTTGATATCCACGCCGGAACAGGCCAATACGCGCTTCGTGAGTGCGGCTTATTCGATGCGTTTCAAAAGCACGCCCGCTACGAAGACGTGTTTTTCGCACTCGCAGACAAGCACGGAAAACGGGTGTTTGAGATCGGGCAGGGCCACGATGCGCCTGAGATCGACCGCCGCGAGCTGCGGCAGATCCTTTTGGACTCCATCCCCCCGGGCAAGATCAAATGGGGCCATTCCCTGAGGGGCGTCAAGTTCGGCGATGACAAGGAACTCATTCTAGAGTTCGCGAATGGCACTCGTCTGTCAGGCTTCAAAGTCATAGTGGGCACCGATGGTGCCTGGAGCAAAGTGCGCCCTGCGGTATGGTCGGCTTACCTTCGCGCCCTTTGGGTGTGCTTGATGTGAAAACATCGATATGCTGACCACTTCCTTCAGGTGACGGCAGCACATCCCCGGTACTCTGGGAAAAGCTACCTGGAATCGAGAATCCGTCTCGACAGTCCTCTTTATGAAAAGACGAAAAGAGCGATGGAGCACGGGACGTTTGTCACTGTTGGCTCGGGCAAACTCAGCGTGACTCAAAGGCAGGGCGACGGTTCTTATAGAAATTACTTCGGGTTTCAAGTGCCTGAGGACTTCTTCTCAAATGACAGCTTCGACGTTTCGGACGTCGAGGCCACACGCCAGCTGCTGCTCACAAAGTTTTATACGGATTGGTCAGAAGATCACAAGGAGCTTGTCCAGCACGCTACCGACTTCCGCCCTTGGCCTCTCTACACACTGTCTACGGAGGACATGGGCTGGAAGTCAGTCGGCGGCATAACTCTTGCTGGTGACGCTGCACACCTTGCCATTACCAACGGAGAGGGCGTCAACCTCGCACTCACGGACGCAGTCAAATTGGCAAGCAGCATTGCCGAGCATGGCCTCGATAATCTGTCACAAGCCATCCAGTCGTACGAGGAAGAACTGAGCATCCGTGGGACAGACACAATCAACAAGGGAAAGGCACTCGCAGAAGTCATGTTCAGCGACGGCCCTCAAGCATTGATTGACCTGATGAATTCATTCGTAGAAGAGGCTTAGAACATTATTGAAATTTTAATTTCCGGTGGAAAGCCCTACTACCTTTATGTTCAGAAGAATATATTTCTTACATAAACTCCTTCGCCTATTTCACGTCCAATCTCCATCAAGAAGATCTTCGACTCTCTTCCCGGCAGCCATCTCCTTTTGAATGTCGTCAAGTGTCCAATGCACGAAGTTATGCCCCGGAGGAATGTTAGTGTTGCTGAACTCAGTCCCATGAATTATATGAGAGGCCGCCTCTGCGTACTTGTCCTCGACGTACGCCTCAGGGTCATGTAGAAACATCCATTTTGGATACCGCAGGCGGACCACGCTTGGATTCTTCTTCACAGCCTCCCAGTCCGTCGTGTCGCCGAGGACCTGGGCGTTGACAAAGGCCATCTTCTGGGTACAACTTGCCCTCTCGTACCGCAGGATGTTGTAGACCCTGGTGCCGAGCGGGGCCTGGGCCCCTGCCGCCTCCCCTGCCGCCGCCGCGCAGGACCGCCGCAGACACGCTGCCAGCGTGATAGCGTCCTCGAGGGCCAGCGTGCCCCCGGCTGCAGAGGACGGTACGGTCGAGTGTGCGGCGTCGCCGACCTGCACGACGCGGCCGCACCGGCCGGCCCAGTCGCGGCGGAGGTCTCGCCAGTTCAAAGGCCAGTGGATGAGGTTGCCGCGCGGCGCGGTGCGCACCAGGGCCTCGATGACGGGGTGCCAGTCCTCCTCCGGGCCGGCGGGAAGCTGCTGCTGCTTTTCCCGCACCTTGGCCCGACGCAGCACTCGCACGACCTCGTCCGGGTCCACGTTCGGGTCCCAGGACTCGCTGGCGACTTTTCCCTCGTCCAGGAGCTCGTCGCGCGGCGTGATGCCGAACGCGGTCATGTCGTCGGAGAGGTACAGCCCAATATGCATGCTAGAGCCCATCCAGAACTCGTACGTGTGCTTGCCCTGCCATCGTTCACGCACCATTTCATCGGCCATGGCGATCTTGGTTGGAAACGCCGTGCGGTAGACAGACATCCCGCTTGATCGCGTTGCTGTATGTTCGCCGGCGATAAGCACATCCGAGGCCGATCGAGAGCCATCCGCCGCCACAACTGTTCCTCCTCTGGTTAGTCATCAGAATTCTTGACTGGTATTCCATTGAATAAAACGGGGTCCCATACCAACATGAGCTGTTCTGATGGAGCCGTCTTTAAGCACAACACCGGCCCTCCCAGCTGTGTCATCCTCGAAATATCTCTCCACTCGCTGGCCGTAGTCGACCTTGAAGCCTAGCCGAGCAACTTGACGCAGCAGCATACGGTAGAACTTCTTTCGTATCTGTACCGCACCACAGTAAGGAAATCCTCCGGGCTTGGCTGCACGTTCCGTGACAAATTCAGGGGCGTTGAAGTTCGGCTGCGATGGGCCGTCAATGAGCTCGCCATTGTGGCGGTAGTAGTACGTTCCCGCCTCGCACTTGTCCTCCTCCAGCTCTCGGCGCATCTCAGGCCAGTGTCTAAACACCTCCAGCGCGGACGGCTGGATGATGATCAGGTCGCCACTGAAGTTGGGCCCTTGGTTCCTGTCCAGGATGCCGATCACATTGTGACCCATCCGCCAGCACTCGAGCGCCGCCATTAGCCCGGCATATCCTGCGCCTACGATCAAGACCTCCAAGTGAGTCTCTGTCTGGCGCTGGGTAGGTTGTGACACAGTCCGAACCCATTTTTTCGGGTCGAATTCATCAGGGTCGCCCACCATGAAGAAGGTGTCGGCGGACTGTTCGTGGAACTCAGAGTTGTCACCCATGTTGCGATTCTTGGTAGCTAGCAGCCGTGAAAAGATTCGAAATGTCTCAAATTGGTGCATATACTCAGTCGACTGATATCCGGTATTAGCTGGGCCGCGTACTTAACGAATGTCGATTGCTGGACTTGAATGATACGGGCGACCAGACTTGATCGAATCCGTCCCGCTCGAACATTCGGGGCAATTTTTTCTGGCACGCTGACATCGGAGGATAAGCTGAGAACCTTACAACAGGTTTCCGAGACCCTTCTCGCCTTTCCGTGCTGGAGTGTCAAGATCAACATATTCCGCCGATATCCGTCTTCTCTCTAGTTTCCTGGTGGCCCCGAGAGAAATAGAACATTCCGATCCTTTTCTGTGTGGAGTCTCAGGGCTCCATCGTTCAACAATTTCAAGTTTTTGACATTCACAAGCCCGACTCAAAATACCGCTGTGTTAGTACGTAGTTTCTACAGACAGCTCGCAGGCTGGCCACACATGCTAAGTCTAGAAATCAAGTCGAGAAAGTGACAATGAATGATTTATTGGGAAATAAAAGAAGAAATGTAATTTGCCTAATACTAGGTCCAGTCTGTTTGTGTCCAGAATTGGCCTGCATCGGCGTTCATCAAAGGCTGATCGCTCAATTCAGGGCACCCAACAAGAGCTGCACCCGCAAATGACCCCCAGTTCATTGGCATTTCCATTTCAAACCCATCAATGTTATTGATGTCCCCAGGAGTCCCATCAATACCAAATTCGCCGCCTGAGCTCATCTGTCTCGCCTTTTCTCTCATAAGCGTCACAATGCGCGGCACTTGTGCAGGGGGCATGTTCTGCCGCTCAAGCAGCGCCTCCCGCAGATGCCACACGTGGAGGACGATGGGGATCCAGATGACTAGGTTCCGGTGCTTGTCCGGGCTCGGCACCGAGGTGCGGGCCTCGTAGTTGGCGCTCATGGCGTCCCAGGCCTCGCCGGCCCAGTCCTCGTCCGGGCGGTTCCGCAGCCCGTTCAGGACGTGGTTGAAGGCGATGGCTGGGAGGTACATGTCTACGAACCACAAGAAGCCCCTGGTAAGGGTGTGTGCCCTCAGTTTCGTGTCGCAATCGAGCATGCGCAGCGCGCAGGAGATGGCCGCGCTGCGCTGGGCCCCCGTCGGCGTCGCCACCGACGCCGACTGCCGTGAATAGTACTGCAGCAGCCGGATCCTTGCCAAAGCGCTGCGCATCGTCCAGATGGTCATGAAATGGAGCGAAGTTTCAGGATTGCACAGCGCCAGGCGCTTCTCCTCTAGAGTCTTCTCGATAGTTACAAAAGTATCGCCCTCCGCTGCGGCCGGCCACTGACGGGCTGCCTTGGGCTGCACGATGGAGTTGAGGGATGGGTTGATGAAATTGATGTGAAAGGCGCTGTGGCGGAGGAAGTCGGCTAGCTCGCTGCGCACCACGGCGAACAGCGCCTCAGTGGGCTTGTCGTGGATTGCTGGCGGCGCTTTGATCCCCGGCCGCAAATCGGAATCGCTGATACTGCTTGGGGGCTTGCAGTCCCAGGTGGGAGCGAGCGAGGTATCTCTGAAGTCAGACATCTCGCAGGTACGGTGATCAAAGAGCGTCAGTGCCCACCACAGCCTTCTACGCGTCTCGGCCTCTAGAGCGTCGCAGCCAGAGAAACTGGATTCATCATGTATCTTCATGCGTTTTGCAATGCGGATGGCCACGGCAAGAGTAGAGGACAGAGATAGTGGATCTGTCTTGGCCTGCACAGACACCTGCGGAGAATATATTAGACGGGTCAAGCGACTTTAAACATGCTTGGGTGATAGAGAGCCCCGTTCTTACCAGGTAGAGATACAAAGCCGTGAGGCTGTCGAGGTTATGTGTTTGTAGAATTCTACAGTTTCGTAGCGCCTGTTGGCAAGCGAAGTGATAGCATGATAAGAGACTGTCTTTCGAAGTATTAAAAAACAAAAAGCACTCGTCCTCGGAGAGACTCATGACCGAGACGCAGTAAATGCTGAACATGAGAGCATGAAATGTTGGTGAAATACTCCCGGTATCGCCGATGGCATCAACGATCCGTGATTGCACCGTTGGGGTGTGCGTGACTTTGAGAAGTGGGTCGACATTGTCCAGGTATATCTGCCAGAGCCTGAGAATATGGACTTGCTCGGGATGCAGAGTATGTAGGTTCGGGTCTGTTAATGGAGTGCCAAAGAAGAGAAGGTGGTCGTATCCCTCGGGCCATGGGTTCTTGACGGACATCAGGTTGGAGCCGTCACCGTCGTCGTCGTCGTGTTCATCTTCGGAGTCCAATGACTTCAACCCGCGGTCAGTGAGCGCCCGGCGCTGGCTTGCCATGCGTCTCGAAACTTACCAAGCTGCCGATGGCATGAAAGAAGTCTCTGTTAGAGGCCATCGTCAGTATGTTTCAGTCTGTCTGCCGAGGCCGACGATGTGACAACACTGTGCATACATGGCCTTGTGTGACGACGCATCTGAGCGCGCATCGCTAAAATGAGTCTCATCGCTAAGCGGGACATGTTGGTATTGCTCACGCTCCCGCTCCCGTCCGCGCTCATAGTCTGCCATGTGCAGAGGGTGGAAGCTAAAGCCGTTCTGGCGGAGGAGACTCTCGTAGTATCGAATCCTCCCCAACAGCTCCCGCTCCGGGAATCTGCGCCGGCGGTGGGCCTGCTGGGCAGCACGCACACACTCCATGCCAGCCCGCACGCAGTTTGCACAGGGGAAGACGCGGTCGCACTTGATCTTGCGCTGGGAGCAGCAGACGCAGGCTAGTACGCGCTGCGATCTTGTTGCGGTGACGTTCCCTGCAGCAGCTGCATCCTTGGGCTCGGGCGTGGAGGGCGTCATGGTGTGACGGATTCTCACAGGAGCCACTGTGGTGCTGAATCATCCGCAGGTAGCTGCAATGCGTCCATGGGCCTTCAGAGCATGCTGAAAGAAGGATTATTGATAGCTGGCAAACTAGGCCCGTGAAGTAGGGCTTGAACACTATCATCCATTCCGGACCCGGGCGAGCCTTCCAACGGACCTTTCTAATTTCCAGCACTATAGCACCTTTCCTTTCTGGGCTTTTCTACACCCCGAGGTGGCGGCGGGATCTAAGGCCGTCCAGTCAGAAGCTTGGCGGAGTCAGCCCACATCAGCATGCATGCGGCTTGTTCCAGAGACTGCCGCCAGTCTGCCAATAAATCGGCGATTATTTGAGACGGCCCAGAATGCTGAGCTCATGGTGAAAGTACATCGAGGTACATGAAGTGACATAGGCGTTGTACTGTCTCACCCTCGAAACCATAGTGAGTAGCTTCGGCAGATCCTTGCAATGTTTAAGTGTGTGTACTGTGAGACTTAATTACCTCATAATCGATCCTTTGTTCCCACCACTTGCTGGTCGCGGTGCAGCAATTCAGTTTGTAGTAAGACGGCACAGCGCCGCCAAACAGGCCTAAACCCAGGAATCTACCTAGGTCAAATTTTAACATTTGCTGAAGCGTAAAGTCTTTGGATAATTGATGCTTTTGTAAGAGCATCCAAGTCTGCAGGACGGTTTCTATGTCTTATGGAGATGGAAATATTCGTCTGAAAGTATGATGGAAGAGACACCAACAAGAGTTCTTTTGAAGCAAATTGGCTTGCTCAGCGGCGGACCTTTGGTACCTGCAGAAAGATGATAGAGATGATAATCTTGCTCAAGGAATTGTTTGATGATGGCCTACTCAGGACGTTCTCCGAAGAATATAGAATTTCAACAACAGAGGGATGCAACACGTCACGAGTCACTCAGAGTAATTAAGTCCACGGAAATAAATGACCACTCGCGGCCTGCCTCTGACTTCGGACTTTGACGCTGCGTGTAATGCCCAAATTATCTATCAGACATGGTTCGGGTCGTAGCAAAGCCCGACCTGGATTGCTAATTTCCGCATTTGCACATTCCCAAACTCGGTATTTAAACGTTTCTTCCCTCGAGAGCCTCATTGCAATAAACCCACCATCTTTTCAAGAGCCGTGAAGGAGTCCATGCTGTTCAACACCAATTAGATCCGCATTTCGTCAAATCAGATCCCGTGGCATCTTTGCATTTGACTCGCGAATAGCACGATGGACTCACAACGCTCGACACCTCCCCGGGATCCAAGCATTGGCACCGGCCGCCCAGCGGAGGAAGCCATGGCAGACTCTGGCAAGGCATTTCAGGAGGATGTGGCTCTGAAGAAGCCAGCGGATACCTCGCCGCCTAAACAGTCGAAGCCAAAGCTCATTCTCGTACTCATCTCCATCCTCCTGGCCATGTTCCTGATTTGCCTCGACCGGACCATCATTTCGACAGTACGAAGCCCGCCAGCGCTCTGCCTCGTGTTTCTTCCTCGCCTGCTCCAGAATCTCAAGCAAGCTAACCTCGGTTTATGAGCAGGCCGTCCCTCAAATCAGCAACGAATTCAACTCCATCACCGATGTCGGTTGGTATGGAAGCGCATACCTCTTGACCAACTGCGCACTGCAGTTAGTCTTTGGCAAGATATACAAGTTGTTTCCCATCAAGACTGTGCTCCTCATCAGCATTCTGCTATTCGAGGCGGCCTCTGCCCTTTGTGGGGCCGCCCCGAACTCGGTGGCTTTCATAATCGGAAGAGCCATTGCCGGTGTTGGTGGCGCCGGTATCTCCGCTGGAGTGGTAGGAATACCCAATAATCTTTTCCTGTTCTGATTACAAACATCCATTCGGTAGCTGATATGATATTCCTAGATTGTCTCCATCGTCTACGTCGTCCCGTTGAAACAGCAGCCCCTAATACAAGGCATGTTTGGCGCTCTGATGGGCGTTTCCTCTGTTGCCGGTCCTCTAATTGGGGGCGCCTTTACAACATACGTAACTTGGCGGTGGTGCTTTTATATCAACTTACCCATTGGAGGCTTTGCTATGCTGGTCATCTTTTTTATCCTCGATATCAGCGGGCAGGACACAGCCGATATTCCCCTGCCGGAAAAGTTGAAGCAGATCGACGTGATTGGCACTATCTTCTTGATTCCTAGTGTGGTTTGCCTCCTGCTTGCACTTCAATGGGGTGGCCAAACATATCCGGTGAGTGCACAATTATCACCACTTGAAAATGCTAGGGCGAAGTGCTTCGTGTTTGGATGGCAATCTGAATTTTCGTACTGACCAATCTGTATAGTGGAATAACGGACGTATAATCGCCTTGTTCATCGTTTCTGGAGTATTGATGATTGCCTTCTTCATCGTCCAGAATGTTTCTCCCCGGACCGCAACGCTACCTCCACGTCTGTTCAAGCAGCGCAGCCTTGTGGCCGGATTTGTCATGATATTTCTCATCATGTGTGGGAACTACATAGTCGGTGAGCAAACACGATCCCGGACATACAACTTGGCATCAGGGTCGCTGATCACAAAAAAGTGTATTTCCTGCCAATATGGTTCCAGGCCATCAAAGGCTCCTCAGCGGCGGAATCTGGCATCCAAACCCTACCTCTGATGCTATCAATGGTGCTCACTTCGATCATCGGCGGGATCGCCACTACCAAAGTCGGATACTATACTCCATTCGCAATCGCAGGGACTTGTATTATGAGCATTGGGGCGGGCCTACTTACCACCCTCCAGGTCGACTCAGGTTCTGGCAAGTGGATCGGGTACCAGATTGTCTACGGGTTCGGGCTCGGCTTCTGCATGCAGGTGCCCGCGCTCGCCGCGCAGGCCTCACTGCCCAAGAAGGATATCTCTATGGGCATCGGACTAATCCTATTCGGCACGCTTCTCGGCGCTTCGGTGTACGTCGCCGTCGGGGAGAGCATCCTGCTGAATGGGCTCGTGTCCCGCCTCTCCGGGATCCCGGGCGTCGACCCGTCCCTCCTCACCTCCGGCGGCGCCACGTCGGTCATCAGCTCCCTCCCTGCGGGCGTGCGGGATACGGTCGTGTCTGAGTATAATTCTGCACTTCGGGTGGTCTTTCTTGCGGGGATCGGGCCGTGTGTGGCGAGTGTTTTCGGTGCCGCGTCCCTTGAGTGGACCAGCGTCAAAAAGAAGCCAGAGGGCGAGAAGGACTCTGAAGCCGCCCAAAAGGCAGATGAAAAGGTGGAAGACCTTTAGACAGGTCTTGAAGAGAATTAAGCATCGTATGATGGGAAACGAACGGTAGATGGAGGAGGAATTAGAATTTGTGTGCTCCGTCCAAGAGGGGGATGTATGACAGTGTTTGAAGATGTAAATGTATCAATAATATGAATAGAATGCGGCCATCGGCGGTCGCCAAGCCCAATACAACGTTTCAACTCAACAACAAAGGACACAGGAGAGGATGCGTCAATCCCGCCTAAAGCAGGCTTGCGATGGTCGAAGCTCACATGTGTCGGCATCCCGTGTGTCTGTCACATATGGCTCTTTTACAACCTTTCTTGGTTTCACTCATCTCAGTTCATCAACCTCAGACTATGAATCCTTGCAGTACTGCCTGCCTCTTGCAATAGTTGCTCTGTCAGCTGCGTGGGCTAATCTTCCAAACCCATTAGTTCGTGCATGGATAAATACCTGAGCAGAATCAGTATCCGCCTGTTCTAAAGTTTCGCAAGAGGTACAACGGCCAGAAATGCTTCAGCTGGTGCAAAGAATTTGGTTCAGTTTCTAATTTTTTATGAAGACAAGATCTTATCACCTTTAGTCCTGAGAATATAGGGCAGTGTTACCCAACAAGCTTAGCAACATCAATCCTAGAGGCTGGTTTTGAGCGCGAAGCAGATAACCACCAAGCGAGACACGAGACAACAGTATAGATTCAAATAATAGTAAATAACATAATAGCAGCAGAACGGTTTTCTGGCTGTAAGCGTCATTCCCCACTTGTCTGTCGCACTTAAATCACTGCCCTCAGGCCTGCTTTCGAGGCACCAGCTTCGTGTAAGCAGTAGGTAACACGGCGGCCTTCTCGCTGTTTAACATCTTCACGTGAATGGCGTGGGGGGTCGGAACGCCGTCCTTGTCGCAGCTCACCCACTCATACATGGCCAGGGCGTACGCGATGACAATGTTCTGCTGGACCTTGGCCAGTCGTATACCCGTGCACGGATGACGGCCCATGCCCCACCCGGTAACTAGTTGGGAGGGTTAAATGTTAAGTCAGCGTTCTCCGGAAAGGAATTGCTGAGTGAGGCAGCACACGGGGACGATTACACTCACAGCTATTGGTCTCCTGCTTATATTCCTCGCGGCCCTCGAGGAACCGGCCTGGGTCGAACTTGTAGGGGTTAGGATACAGCTTCTCGCTGAAGTTCACCTCCGTCGAGTTGTACACGATGAAGGTGTTGCCGGGGACGACGTGATCCGAGCCGGGGATGGGGACAGGCTCCTTCGACGTGTTGAGGCGGCCCATGTTGAACGAGGTCCACATGCGGATCACCTCCCGGAGGCAAAGCTCGATCGAGGGGAACGAGGTCTCCCAGCTCTCCAGCGGCATCGAGTCCAGCTTGTCCAACAGGGACGCGCCCTTGTCCTTGTTGGTCGAATGGGCCGCGGCGGCCGCCTGGATCTCGCCATAGATCTTTGCCTGCCAGTCCGTGTGAATGGCCATAATATTCAGCATCTGCGCCGTCATGATACTCGAGTTCGCGGGGGCCACGAACAGCGCGGTGAGAAACGACTCGACCATCCAGTCCAGGCTGGTGCCCTTGTCGATCGACGTCTGCATAGGGTCGTCCTTGCGCGGCGTCTTCCCGCTAATCCGTTCGTTAATCAGAGTCTGCAGGAGGGTGTAAAAGCGATAGCGCACGATGCGGCGGGACGCCCAGGAGGGAGAGGGCAGCCGGTTATAGAGCACGTTCCAGTTGCTGTGGGTTTGCAAGAGGTATCGCGCGTATTTTGCCACACTCGCGTTCAGCTGCGGGTCGTCTGCAATCTCGTCTGAACAGAACAGGCGGGCGTCCTGGGTGAAGACGATGCGGTAGCAATCGTCCGCCGGCCTTGTGACACCAGCTGCTGTCCGGGGCAGGTTTTCGAAGCCAACACGGGCATCCCTGAGGATGCGAGGGAGATACTTTTTCAGGTGATCTGTCTTCTGGCATGCAAGAAGGAGACGCAGGAAAAAAGAGTCCGCGCGACCTTGGGGGACGCCAGGTGGAGGCCTAAAGATTTGATGTATCGGGGGTGGGAAGTTCTCTCCATTTGCTCGTATGATGGCGCAGCTAGCAAAGTCCATTCTTGGGTCCTCGAAGAAGAGCTTGCGGCCGGCCTCGCCTGAAACACCGACTACATGGCGATGGCCCAGCCAGAAGCTGAAGTGGCCTTTGTCTCCGCGCGCCTTAGACTCGGCCGTGGACTTTTGCCACCAGTTCCTATAAGACTTGTTAAACATGCGAGAAGGCGTGACGGGGATAGTTGTCATTGTTAAAGGAGTATGCGACTCAGGAACATCGAGCGTACCATTGCTGGGAGACAAAACCCCATGACCCAATAAACGGATAAGTATCCGAAGTGAAAGGTGGGGACCTTGGCTCAACACTTGGTGAATATGACAAGAACGCGAGTATCCCGAAGAGTCCTGTTGCGAGCGCAGCGATTATGTGGCTCATCGAGGGGAGGAAAAGCTCCAACCCATTCGTTTCTGCGTCGTTTCCGGACGTGACATTCATTTTTTCTTTCTTTTTCGATGGCGCCTAAAACTGTATCGAGTCTCGAAAAGCTGGGCCTGTGGAGACCAAGTTGCCAGATAGACTCACGTCGCTCCTACTTTTTCGACTTGTGTGAATTGAATATGTGAGAAACCGAGCACTGACCTAGAATTTGAGGCCCATACGGTGCTATCCAATAGCATATAATATGTGACACGAAAGTGTTATCATGTGGGATGCTACAGACAAGTGGATCGGGCAATCTGTGGCGAGCCTGACGGTGAGGTTGGTGTACGGCGGATCTCCCACGGCGGATTGGCAACGCCGTCTCTCGTCGGGGCAATGTACGGGATATTTAGCTACTCATGCGGACCCGACGTTAGATTGGCCGAGAGTGGCGTTATGAACACACCCGAACCGTATGGCTTACGTAGCCGGCTTATGTCCAACACCCCGAACTTGTCCAGCAGCTCGGCCCAACAACTCCAATTCAATGGAGTGGATCAGAATTCTTCTCGGTTCAAAATTATTCGACATCGCGTTGTTGGGATTCCCGAGGCACCAGGATTCTTTAAGAGGACCCCGATGTGTTCGCAAAGCAAGCGTTCGAAGAAAGCTGACTTATACAGTACCCGCCAAAGAATTCGCATTTCTCAGCATTGAATATAGCTGCTTCTGGTTCCTAGCAAAATTATAACTCGAGACTGATTTGAAAGCAAAAGAGAGATTTCAGGTATCCTAGATCATTCCACCACGTTCAACATGTCATCAGTAACCGAAACACAAGCTGCAACTTTAAACAAGTTTATTAAAGGCTGGGCTGAATGGACGCCAGAATCAATGCTCGAGACTTGGTCCCAGGACTGCACCCAGAAAAACCTGCCATTCAGCTCCAATGTGCCAATCAAGTCCCGCGCAGACGCAGAGAAACTTTTCCCTATCCTCATGTCTTTCATGACAGATTTCGAGGTACGGCCGAATATCGTACCCTTTAACTTGAAAGAAGACGCTGTACATTCTTCTAACGCCTCTATCCTATCAAGCTTAAGGTCCATAATATTGTGCACGATCCCGCCCAGCGCAAAGCTGCGATTTATGCCCTCACTACCGCAAACACTCCAGCGGGACCATATAGCAATGAACATGCCATGTTTGTATGGTTTGATGAGAGTGGCGAGAAGATTAACAAACTAGAGGAAATGTTTGACTCGGTCGTCATGAGGGACATTCTGCCCAAACTTGAGCAATACAAGGCCGAAAAGCAGGCGAAGGCAGCATCACATTAGGCATTTCAGTTTGTAATCATATTTTCCAATTCCCACCGTACCACTTCCATAGCATGGTATATCCCACCAGCCTAGGCTGAGCCATTCTGTGTTTGGTAGAGAAACTGTAAACCAGCTTAACCAAGTAATTATGTCTTTCTCTAAACTGTTCCCTTTTGCCCTCGAAAAATCAATGCAAGCTCAAGCTTTTAAAGATATTAGTTGTGAACCAAACCTATACACAAATCTAATTTTCCTTACTGCTAACCAAGCCAGACTGCCTTAGACCATGGCATAGCCTCTCCATAACAAATTTTCAAACTTGCTGCTGCTCTTGATTGAGAACGAAATTCAAAAGATTTAAATATCTAGTAAATATAGCCTTTGTTCATTAGTATCTTTCTTGTATCAAGGAATTAAATAGGTTAAATTATGCGTAATATTTAGTTACATGATTTAGATTTAGGGATGAGAAGGCTTACGCTAAAGGTTGGGGTTTGGAATTCTGTCTTGAGATGCTTTCCATGTTGGCCTGTCCTTCTTCCTTGTCTTGCCGCCTCGGCTTTTCGCTCGTGGTGACCTGTTCAACATGTTGCAAAGTTTGGTTGTTTCTGAATGATCGTCAATCACAGTGAACGCTTTATTTAATCTCTGCTCTTGCTCCTTTGCTTTTATACTGTAGATCGCACTACGAAGCCATCGCTATAGTGTCCTTTTTGGAAGCAGTCCATCACTTTTTGCTCTGGTAGCGTTATTGTTCATCAGACCTTGAGCCAAACTTGACATCGTCGAGATAACAAACCCGCCTTCGGGGCGACTATGTTTCGGGAACGCGAATCGGCTGATTCAGCCTGATAATCAATGGATTTACTCAAGTAAATCACGAAGCGCTGGCTATTTATACGACGCAGGGTAGCCTAGGAGTCATGGCGGTCGTCTTTGGCACGGGTTGATACCGATCGAGTCAGCTGTAGTCACAGCTGCTTTGCAGCAGCCAAGAAGCCTTTTATCTCCGTTCTCAGTAGACAAACCTACCAGAAGCTGTCGCCTTTGGTTTCGAGCCAATTCACATTACGAGGCCATCGTCGACGACGCACTGCTGGTGCATATCTGTTTGACAACACAACAGGGATGATCGGCGAAAAATAATACACCAAGCTGATAGTGGTCAGTAAATTAGATCCCTATTAACAGCTCGATTGTGGGTTCAGTGGGCTGATTTATGCCTTCATCGCCGAATTAGGCAAGATGCAGCCTTCAGCGCAGGGCTGACAATTGCATGCGAGTTCAGAAAGAAAAACTGATTTGCTAGACCGTAGTAAGGACTGTAAACTTTATTATAGGATAGGATCTGTATGGCGACCTTGGAGTTGGTATCGAAGTCCTTCATATACTGGGAAAGCTTGTAGATGAGGCGGTTGCTACTGAAATAGTGCAACTATTGCTTCCTGTCGGTAAGTAGCGGTTTATTGTATGAGGCTTGTTTGGCAGCTATAGTAGCTGTATTTACTTTATTGTAGGTGAGAATGATTGCCTCTACCGGCCGCCTTCTCTTGTTTGTAACTGACAGTCTGGATACGCGTAAGATCTCGCTTATTAGTGTATAGTTCTGGGCTCTACAGACCCTGGTAGCTTCCTCCTTCTCTACTTCGTCTAGCTTGTGCAGAACCTGTACGCGATAGGCCTTGTCCGGAGCACAACCATATAGCGTCTTCGGTGTGGAGCTATCAGCTAGGTGTGTGGCAGATGCGCGGCTCCTGCGATGAGCTGGAGGATTTCAGGCAGCGGTGTGGCGTGGCGTTGGGGTATGTTGATTGGGCAGGCTGCGGGACCGCCTTTTGGCCATCGTATTGTCCCTGCCGGCGGCGAAGGCTATGTCGGTTATTAGCTTGGAGTTTCTGCAGATAGGTGCGGCAGAGCCTATCCTGGTATGGTATGAAGTTGCGCAGCTCCGCCTGGTAACTCCCGTAAACTCCGACCTGCCATATTGATGCTAGGGTCCAGCCGCCTCATATAAGTCAAAGATATCCTGACGACATTGATTGCTCCTTCGGAAAAACTTGACGTGCTTGGTGTCTCGAAACATACCTCCAGCTTGTTGCAAAATTGACGGAATCTGGACTCTCGGAGTCTACCACAATGGCGTCATTCGATATCATTATCGTGGGCGGTGGCACGGCTGGCTGTGTCTTGGCCTCTCGACTGTCATCCTTCAGTCACTTAGACATTCTTCTCATTGAAGCTGGTCCGGATAATAATGCAGACCCTAAAGTATCCACACCGCTTATCAGTCGCCGCATGTTCAACGACCCGAAGTATGATTGGAACTTTCAGACAATCCCGCAAGTCGGGCTCAGTGGCCGTGTCATTCAGCAGACCCGGGGGCGAATGATCGGTGGAAGCAGCGCGATCAACTCCCACAGTCTAGTGTATCCCAACAGGGCGATGCATGAGGCGTGGGCTGAGATCGCAGGAGACGAGCGCTGGTCTTGGGAACGGATGGAGCGCTTTTACAAGAAATTTCAAACCGTTCAGTCCCAAGAAGTCACCGGAAAGGGTTCCTCGACGGTCGAGCTAGTGACGTGCGGACCGATCCGAGCGTCGTACCCAAGGCATATGAACATCCTCCAGAGCGCGTGGGAAGACGTCTTTCGCTCAATTGGTGCCTACTCCGATCAGGATGGGGTGTCTGGTCGAGCAATGGGAGGATTAACCACTACGAATGCTATTGATGCCCGTGCTATGAAAGGCGAAAGGAGCCATTCTGGCAACTCATTTCTGCAGCCAGCACTGGGGCGAGTGAATCTCACCGTTGAGACGGATGCAATAGTAGAGCGAGTCGTCTTCCAAGAGCATGGCTCTGGCGATACAAAATCATTACAGGCTATTGGAGTAACTTATGAGAAGGGAGGTATCACATTATCTGTCAGGGCAAATAAGGAGGTCATCCTGTGCGCAGGAGCCTTCGGAAGTCCACAGATACTGGAGCTCTCTGGCATTGGAAGTAAAGGCATTCTTGAGAATGCGGGCGTCCAATGCTTGGTCGACCTTCCAGGAGTAGGCGGTAAGAAATCTCAAATGAGGCTGTGCGGACTGTCCCTGACGAAGATATTTAGAGAATCTACAGGATCACCTCAACTACGGGCCAAGCATTGAAGTCAACCCTGACATCGAGACAATAGAGGTGGCCGCCAGGGATCCAGCAGTGCGGGAAGTGCAAAGGGAGGAATATGAGGAGTATCGAACAGGTCCTCTCTCAGAAGGAGCCGCCTACAGCTTTGCTTACTGGCCGCTTCAGCTCTTCGACACGACAGCCGACGAAGCAGACCTGCAGCGGCTCTTGGACGAGTATCGCGCGGCGGATGATCCAAAGTCTCAATTACATCACGAATTCGTCAGAAGAATGATCCTGGATCCGCAAGAAGCGAGCGCGACGGTGTTCATGACACGAAAGCAGAGATATACCGCAGCGGGAAGCGAGGCCCCAGGCAACTACATGACAGTCGTGGCCATGTTGTCACATCCGTTCAGCCGTGGATCCTCGCACATTCGTGTTGCAAACCCGCACGAAGCTCCAATTATCGACTGTAATTATCTCTCACATCCACTAGATGCCGAGATACTTGCTCGCCACGCTGTTCAGCTCGAACGACTCCTTGAGCAGCCCACGTACACGCCCATACTCAACCCGAGCGGCAACCGTCTGCCGGCAGAGTTTAATTACGCCCTAAGGACACCGGAGGAAGCAAAAGAAGCAATCAAGAAATATGGAGCGACGAACTATCATCCGTGTGGAACTTGTGCGATGGCGAGGGCCGAGCTCGGAGGCGTCGTAGATGGAGAGCTTCGAGTGAGCGGAATAAGCAATCTGCGGGTTTGTGACGCCAGCATTTTCCCTATCATACCCAGGGGCAATATTTTGAGCACGGTTTACGCAGTCGCCGAAAGTGGCGCAGAGATGATTGGCGCTTTGTACTCGTAAACGCGACCTAGTATTGAATGAATAAAATTGTACCTATCTTAGATATCCGAAACGCAATGCAGGAGTGGGAACTGTGGTGAATATTTACGCAGTTAGCCTGTTAGACAAGGTTGTCTACGACACCCATTCCGCTCGGCTACCGCGTCACATATCTCACCGGGCTGTGATGGAGTCTTGTAGGCTGCCACCAGAGATCATCATCTGATGCTTGGACATCTATAATCAATTATAGTTCACCCTCTCGTGTTCTGGTTTCGCCAAGCGAGGTACACGGATTTGCAGTACATTAAGTCACACGAGGAACGAGTTCAGACGCAGCAACATGTCAACCTCCTGGATCCCTGTAGTTGCTTTAGATATGCAGAGACAGAAGAACAGCACAAATAAGGCCATCATTGGTCTGCAAGGGCAGGTGGCGATGCTGCAGAAGCGCGAGAAACATCTACACAGCCAGATAGACGAGCAGGGTGCGATTGCGCGCAGGGGCTCCATCTCAGACAGGGCCGGCGAGTTCAATGCTTCGATTTATTGAAACTCGGGTACCTTGGCAACCGGCCAACAGCGGCGAAGTCTGCCCTTAAGCTCGAGAACCTGTATGAGGGTCATCATGAGCAAGCTGACGGACCAATGTCCACCCTCGAGCAGCAAACATATGCGGCTGAGCTCGGGAACTTCATATTTTGTTTACTAGTATAGAATCCTGCATAAGAATTCGTTCTGCTAAGAAAACAAGAATAAGATGGAAGGTTGTTCCGATTGTTATCAAGCTTTAAGAACAGAGGGCTTTGCGGCTGTAGGTGGTCTGTGTCCACTCAAACACTCACCTGTCGCGCCGTTACAAGAGGTTATAAGAATGAAAACGTTCTGTAAATGACAAGTTGATTGCAAGTCTGAGGTTCACCGCACCGATTTAGAGGTAAATTTCAATCACCGTAAACCTCACTTGTCAGTAGCGGCGCAGGAAGAGCGGCGTTTGGCCAACCGCCGAAGCGCTCAGAGGGCCCGCAGGAAGGTCATGATGCCCATCCCAGTTCCAAACGGATTTAGCGGTGTTAGTGGGTTCGGCGCTTGAGCAGTTCCCGATCCGAAATCAGACCGCGTAGACCCTTGCAATAGTACCAAAATACAGCAGACTGAAGTTGTGCATTGCACAAGCAAGCACAAGTTGACACAAATCTACCCCTTCGACTCAGGAGTCGATGTTCTCCAATGATTTGCATGCAACACGGCTTCTCAGACGTCCGCAGACCTCATGATGCATAATTGCTACTTGATCATGCAAGTTTGCAGAATATATTGGGAAAAAATTTCCCTCTCTCAATTTTTGACTTCTGACTATATGCATTTCCATTCTTTTCAATCAATTGGCTATAACGCGACATAATGTCGTCCAGAGATACGCTTGCTTTCGCCCTGGGCTCATTCAAGCTTCAGCATGTCTGGATCCTGGCTGCAGGCGTCCTGATCTTCGTAAGCCACACCACACGTCTTTGTGGGGCCTTTAGCTCACCTCCAGTCACAGACTCTCGCATACCACGCCGCTTTCTTCGTCTATAATATCTACTTCCACCCTCTCTCCAAGTACCCCGGCCCTCGCCTTGCCGCAGCAGGTCCTCTGTGGCTCGCATCGTCCTACATCGGCGGGAAGACACCCGCCGATCTTCTCGAGCTGCACAACAGATACGGGCCCGTCGTTCGAACATCTCCAAACGAGCTGTCATACATCAATGCTCCCCAGTGGAAGGAGATTTACGGCTACAAGACCGGGCAGCTCGAGTTTTCTAAAGACACGAAATACTTTGCCGGCCTAAAATGCGAGCCCCTGATTCTTAACGCGGACAGGCACTACCATGGTTATATTCGCAAGCTCGTTGCACATGGCTTTTCTGAGAAGGCTATGAGAGAGCAGGAGTCGGTGCTGAAACAATATGTCGACCTGATGTTTCGAAGGGTGGAAGAAGAAGGACAGGATGGAACTCAGCCGGTGGACATCTTGAAGTGGTTCAATGTCAGTCATCTTGCTGATGCCCGCAAGAAATTATCGCACGTGCGTTATTGGAGAATACTGATGTAGCATTGCAGTACGTGACTTTTGACTTCATCGGTCTTCTCAGTGAGTCTTTTTTGAGCCGGAATCCTACCTCGTCGAGTATCTGACATTCACTACTCAGCTTTTGGGGAGTCCTTTGACTGCCTTACCACAGCTACCCTCCACATCTGGATCAAGATTTTCTTCTCCTTGGCCAAGTCCATGGCTTATCACCAAGTGCTTTCTCGCTTCCCATACCTACTTCGTTTTCCGATAGCGCTCTGGTTGATTCCGTCTAAGGTTATCTCGGAGGGGAAGACGCTGAAACAGTTGCAAATTGTATGGTTAGTCTTGAGCTTAGGGTGGTTCGGCTGCTAACATCTCCATTAGGAAAAAGTCAAGCATCGTCTGAAAACACAGCCAACAGTGCCAGACTTCATGGACAAATTGATCGCAGCTTACAACTCAGGCAAGATGTCGTTTGGGCAGTTGGAGGGCAACTCGCAGATCCTGATCGCCGCTGGAAGCGAGACAACCGCCACACACCTGTCAGGTAAGTTGCAAGTTGCCTATCATATGACATCCAGCTTGATCGTTCTAACGCGAATGGTCTCACAGGTCTCACTTGGCTTCTTATGAAGAACCCCCGTGTGATGGATATACTTGCTACTGAAGTCCGCACGGCTTTCTCTCATCCGGATGAGATTACTTTCACGGGCGTCAACAACTGCAAGTACCTCCTCGCCTGCATTGAGGAGGGTCTTCGTGTCTACCCACCATCACCCCAACCTCACCATCGCATTGTCCCTCCCGGTGGCGCCACTGTCAACGGCGAGTTCCTGCCGGAGGGCGTGTCTGTCAGCATTCCAATATATGCCGCATCCAATAGCCCTGTCAATTGGACCCGTCCTGAGGAGTTCATCCCCGAGCGCTGGCTGGGCGAAAACCCCGAATTCGATGGCGACCAGCGGGATGCCTCTCAGCCTTTCCAATTGGGTCCGAGGGCGTGTGTTGGAAGGAACCTGGCTTATGCTGAAATCAAACTTATCATGGCTAGACTCATCTGGCAGTTTGATATAGAAAACGTGACCGAGAAGGATTGGATGGGAAGCCAGAAGGTGTTCATGGTGTGGGAGAAGATGCCTCTTTGGATCAAACTACATCCCGTCAGACAGTAGGGAAAGGCCTTCATGGAGGCAGATACTATCGGAAATTGTCTGTACAATAACAGTCATTACGACCAAAGCTCGAACATGTTCATGTTCTGATGCCTTCTACCCGTGGCTAATTCTCTTTTGCTCATTTCGTATATGGTAGATAGAGAGGAAGGGTGATAGGATGTGCGATAGCAGGTGGACGGGCAATGAAGGCGGTTGAAGACTTAAGATTTAGAAGGTGGGTGCTAGTGGTAGTTGTGCCAAGGGCACCGCTTACGTAAATCTACATTTCTGGACGGAATATTGCCTCGCAGCAGGACGGAGCCGGACCTGACTCAAATCACTCCAACGGACCAATGTCTTTCATCCGACTCCGTTCCGCCATGAAGAGCAACTCAGGAGGACTGTCCGTTTTGACCTGGAAACAATTGAATTTCATCATCGCCCTTCATTATCCTCATCTCACTGTGATGCATTCAGGTTCTCGTCAAATTGCTGTTTGAGAGCCAAAAAGTGTTTTGATACCCGAACCGCTCCTCCGTTTACCGAGGCTCCGGCTCACATGCGGGCTTCACTTACACGATAAGATGGATCACGATCAGCAGATCAAGGCCAACAAGGGCCCCAAGGCCTGCGCTACCTGTGCCAAAGTAGGTCAAGCGCCCGAGTACATGATTGCAACGTGGTCTCGATGCTGACCCGATACCTCGGCTCCGTAGGCAAAGTCTCGTTGCATTCCTGGTCCGACAGATGATGTGTGTGAGAGGTGAGTTACCCAACCAACCGGGGATACATGCCTACATATAGACGGCTCCGTTGGTGGGTCGGGAAGTCAACCTCGGGATGTCTGCGACCTGCTCCGCTGGCAACTAGTTCCTGTCTCCGCCGGAAGCAGCTTACTGTGGCGAGCCGGTGCTGATCCGTGGGATCCTTTTTGAAAATACTGGTGGAAGGCTCTCGGTCGTCTATTCCCAAAGGCACTCCACCGGAATCCGCACGTCAGCACCACCGCCCAATGCCTTTGGGTACATGAGGGTCATGATGATCTAGCCCATGTGTTGAGATGGTCCAGATCCACCCGAGCCAGTCAACCACGGTGGAACAGATGTCTTATTCGCAGACTGAGATGCCCAGGCTCGACTGACGAGGAACTTCAACACAGATGCCACCGTCTAAACAAGCCCTGCTCAGCACAAACCCCAGCTCCTCCTCGCAAGAGGAAAGCCCCCAAGCCGACCCGTGTCGCGGAGCTGGAGAAGAGGCTCGAGGACCTCAGCGCCCGCGTCGAGTTACGGCAGGGCCTGCCCCCAACGCCATCCGATGGGGGCTCTCCGGCTGGGCCGGCTGAGAGTAACGGTCCGCCTGCGAAGAAGCGGAAGACCTGGATGTCCGACGCTCCGCCTCCTGCATTTGGCTACATCTTCGCCGGCGAAGACAGTCAGAGCCAGCCCGAGGCCCAGGAGGACAGTCCCAACCAACATCGCTCGCCTCAAAGCCCAGTCCTCCCTCGTAAGACTCTTGGTGTTGCGACGCCAGTTCTCTGGGATGATCGGGATAAGACTTCTCGTTCCTCGTCCTCCTATCGCACGCAGCAGCACTGGAGTGGCGGATTTTCACATGTACTAGATGCTGCTGTGTCACCCAGTACTCAGAGCATTGCTAAAGCAGGGCCGGAATGGCCCAAAGGGGAGGAGGCCGAGCGGCTCTTGGCCGAGTATCGCGAGTACATGGAGCCCGTCTTCCCGTTCATCGTCATCCCGAGGCATATGAACTCGGAGCAGCTTCGCAAAGAGAGGCCGTACCTGTGGAAGGCTGCGATCATGCAGACTCTATGTCTGGATGCGAGCCGCCAGCTTCCATTGGGAAACGAGCTGCTCAACGATATTGTGACGTCGTCGTTCCTCCAGCCGAAGAAGAGCTTTGATCTCTTGCAGGGCTTGGAGATCCTGGTCGCCTGGTGAGCCTCGCTCGAGCTGATGTGAGAATGTGTTCAATGCTGACCACACGGTCCTCAGGTTCCATGTGAAGCTGCAGAGCTTCCAAATAACCAATCTCCTCTACCTCATGCGATCAATGTGCGTCTCTCTCGGCTTCTCGGAGTCGCAGGAGGCGATGAAAAACCAGGAGCACGATTCGACCAGCCTAGAACAGAAGCGGGCTTTCACAGGCGTGTATTACCTAGTGACAATGTTCGTACCTTGGCACGAAATGGTTCTCGAAGATCAGCTAAGCTAAAACATGTTAGGATATTCACCACGAACAAGAAGCCTGACGCCTTCATGAATACCAGCTACTTGGAGTCGTGCTGCCGGGTGATCGAAGAGAAGATGGAGTACCCGACAGATGAGCTGATTGCCTACCTCATCCGGACCCAGCAGCTCTCGCAGTCCATTTCTATGACGCTGGCCTTCCGCAACACCAGCCTGCCTCTGTCGATGATTATCAAAAGCTTCCGAGAGCAGATCGGACAGCTACGAGCCTCAATTCCTGACACAGTCAAGAAACACAGTGAGCACCGGTGACCCGCACCCACCTTTATCTCGCTGAGAATTGGGAACTAACGGTCTTACCTTGATAACAGCTGCCATCAAAACCCAGCTCCACATAGCAGAAATCCTGCTCTACGAGGTCGGCATCCACGAGGAGCTGTCGGCGGCGCTGACGATGACGGAGCGCCTTGAGCTGCTGTGGGAGTGCCTCAAGGCGACGCGGTCGATGCTCGAGGCGCGGTTCGAGGTGCCGATGGTGGACCGGCCGCGGCAGACGTGCCTGGCGTCGTTCGACTACACGTACGCGATGCTGACGTCGCTCAAGCTGTCGACGCTCGCGCTGCCGGGGTGGGACCTCGGGCTTGTCCGTCGCGAGCTCGACGCCGCCAAGTTCTTGGACATGCAGATCCACGAGGTCAAGTGGCTCCTCGAGAAGCGCAGCCGCGGCGCGTGGCGGGCCGACGGCAAGGGCGCCCGTGCCTCCCTGCGTGCCACGCTGGACCCGCTCGAGACGCTCTACAAGCGGCTGATGGAGCTCCGCGTGCCGCTCAGGGCGGAGCTGGCCGCCGCGGTGGAGCGCGAGGTCGACATTTCTGAGGCCGAGGGCGTGCTGGCGGCGCCCGCTACTGCTGCGGTACCCGGGGTGTCGCCCTCGGGGGTCTCTCTCGGGGAGGAGCAGCTCGCTGCTGATCCGACCATGCTCGACTTCACGCAGGACCCCGAGGGCCCGTTCTGGCAGGACATGTACCGCGTGAACGAGTGGGAGACCAATTTCTCGTCGCTATTTGGGTGGGGCTTGGATGACCAGGGCGGGCCGGCGTATGCAGTCTCGAGGCTGGACAACCCGGGCAATCTGGTGTCGCAGGTCCCGACGGCCCTGAGATGAGAGCGAGCACGTGGTTGCCAGTGTTCGAATATTTGAGATAGCGTTCCCGGTTTGTCTGGTGCTTTAAATCATCGGAAGCAAGATTGAAACGATACTCGAGATTTTCTCGCATATGTCATGTCTCGCCGCAGCGCGGTATGAGTGGGTATCTCAGCTATGACAAAGCAGTCCATTACTGTGTGGCGCTCTTGCCGGTGTCTCAAGTAAGTAGGCGCATGAGAATCTTTGTGGAAGCAAGACAGTCTGGGTCGGTGCTAACGTCAATTGTAGCTGACCTCATGCCCCCAGGACTGTAGCTGTGACCTTAGTTACCTTCTGGCTGCAGTAACCAGGAAATATACAGCAGGAAGCCGAGGAGGGGGACGAGTGATGCACAGGCTCGCTTACCGCCGCTCCAAGCAGGAATGTGCCCAGAGGAGCTTTGTGTTGTATTCCATGTGAAGTCTCGTCGGAATATAAGGTCTAGTCAGTCATCCTCAGTGTATTTGACTGTCCTGAAAGCGACTGCATCGAGTCCAATCGAGTCCGTCCATATGATAACGGCGAGAAGGAGATTGGCAGAGGCTCTCAGTGTCCAATTTGGTGGCAGGAAACATTGACTTTTAGTCGATTTCACGATAACAGTTCTGAGACAAAATGCAATGGTGAATTGCTGCTGTTGGTGATGAACAAGAGAAGCTATTAGAAGGCTGTCTCGATATTTAGAACTTATAGATGGTCTGAATTGATGTCTTTGAGGAGACGGCACTGTAGATGGGTTGAAGTATGTCCTCTTGGCTGCAGCTGCTCACCAGGCCAACATGAACAGCGTGAACAGCGTATTCGTATCCGCTTGACTCGAATAGACTCGATCGGATAGACTCGATCTGATAGACTCGATCGGATAGCGGCGCCGTGCCCCGGCCTCGAGCCCGGTGCCGATCACGCGTGGGCCAAGAATCGTGACCCCGGGCCCGTGTCGTGGTACCGATTGCAGAGACCGGGGGCCACGGTGGCGGTGGCGTGGGTGGATCTCGAGCTGCAGACCGCCAAACTTTAATTGAACCGCGTCTTGAAATGGCCTGGTTGCTGGACTGGACCGTGTTGAGAAATGTCCCATTGCGACAATGGCTACATGACAATCAGTAGGCTGCTTGCTTCCTTAATCTACTGTACATTAAGTACTGCTCGACATCCGACCAAGGAGGGGATTACATAATCCAATCCCAGCGCAGAGCAGCAGCGGCAACAAAGTCTAGCTCGCATGCCTGCCGCGCCGACGACTCGATAAGCTCGCTACAACACCACAGTCAACATCGACATCGACATCGACGTCACTGAGAACTGCTCCCGACCTGGGCCTCCTTCTTCCTCCTGTCCCGTCGCCATTCATAGTCGCAGCTGCAGCTAGACTCACACGCATTCGAGATGCCTAGATGACAGACAGTCTCCCACACGCCTAAAGATGCTGCGAGCCTGCACGGAACCGCCATGGCAAATGATGCGCAGCTCAGCGCGCTCGACAGCTCCAGCTCCAGCTCCAGCCTGTCGGGCGCTGGGCTCGACCCCTTGACAGCCACCACCACGGCGACCACGCCCTTTGCGGCCCAGGCCCAGTCTGATCCTCCCAAGCGGCCATGGTCCAAGCACTCTCGCACCAGCTCCAACATCTCCAAGCGACGCAGTCCGCGCTCCAACGCCGCACCCACCGATTTCCTCTCGGACAGGGCAACCGCCCAGCTGATCCGCCGCGTCCTCTGCCCCCAGCAAGCCGGCGACCGGGGCAGAGCAACTCCTGCTCCTATCCACGACCTCCTCCCCCCTCTGACGAGCCGGAATGATGTCGATTTGCAGCTCTACGCCATCATCGCAATCATATTACGGGACTTTGTGCAGGCCTGGTACAACAAGATCACCCCGGACGGGACCTTTGTCGAAGAGGTCGTCCACATCATAGCACATTGCACGCGAGCCTTGGAACAGAGGCTGAGGAAGGTCGATGTCGAGAGCTTGCTGCTGGATGAGCTCCCGGACTTGTTGGACAAACATATTCAGGGTCAGTCTTCTCTCGCGCCGCGCCGTCCTGCATGGATGTGGGCACGGGAAGGCAGCAGCTGATAGCGTCCTCGCGTCTATTATAGCATACCGAGCATCTCGAAATCCTATTGTACAACCCCCAGTCCAGGTCGACTCGCGGGCCATCTACCATGCCCTATGGCCCTTGCCCCAATTGTCACCAATACCCGACATCGACAAGCCCAACACCATCTTTGAGCAGGCAGAGAATGAGGTGGCTTACCGCCAGCTGCTGGTCCAGGGCGTTCTAGCTGTGCTCCTTCCTACCGAAGACCTGGAGAACGAGTGCCTGACGTCGCTGGTTGGGGAGATTCTGTCAGAAATGATCATTGGCGGCGTTGTTGCCAAAAAGGTCTCAGAGCCATGGATGATCTGGACCGGCCTGACAATCCTGTCAGATGTCCTGAAGCGGAAGCAGAGCGACGCGCGTGCGTCTCGCATTGCGAGGGGTGACTCCGCTGGACACGGCGCAAGAGGCCTGTCCATCCCATGGCTGTTTTGGTCCCTGGTGCACTACCTCTTTGCCTTCACCACCTTCGTCCGAGTCTTCGTCATGACGCTAGCTACCAGTCGGACGCTCCCATCCAGAGGCCGGGTGTTGCCACTGAGCAAGGAGGAGTTGACTCGTCATAATTATGCTTCAGAGGGAACGAAAACGAGCGCTTATTCGTCGGCTGAATCATCTTCAGAAGCTCCCAAAACACCGATATTGGCGTTCGGCATATGGTCCACGGTTTCAAACTGGCTGGAGATGGACAAGCGCATGCCATGGCTGTGCGGCAATTTATCCATGGCCCAGTGGCTGGCCATCGCCGGGCCTGGACGTGTGGCTGGTTTCGACGGAGTTGTTGACAGGTAGGAAAATCATTTTCATGTTTTGTCAGACGAGCAGAGCACACACCCACCCCCATTCACACTCCTGTCGTTACACCGCATGCGGGACTGGTCACTTGACTCTGCATTCTCCCAGTCAGCTCGGAAAGCGCGCCTTTGTCGCAAGTGCATGTGGTGGGCAGTGCCCACCCCTCTGTGGGCTCCAAGTGGGCTGGCTTATGGGGGTCAGCATTTAGATGCGGATATGTCAGGGAGCATTTATGCGGCGCTGGCTGGCTGGGAGGGAGGTGTGTGAACCGAGTACCCGTTCGTCGGCCGCTGGACGCGAAAGGAATGCACGACTAGGACTCCGGAGTCAGGAGAGCATGCCGTGGAACACGCCCCGAAGATGCTCTGCGGCCAAATCGGCAGCCACTAAAGCCCCGTCCAAAGCCACCGCAAAATGCGATGTGCCTGGGTTCATGCAGCTGCTCTCCAGATGGCTGGCCCGGCTGGCCAATTGCGGCATGTGCCCGCCATGCATGCATCCGATTGAACGAGAGGGCCTCGGCGGGCTTGCACGGCGGTCCATCAGCGAGCTGCGGTTACGCGCCCGTCATCCAAGTCCAGGGCCCCATTTGCAAGGATCGACCGGCTCATCAACCACCACTTTCGCCAAAAACTGCTTGAGCACCTTTGCCTTGGGATGGCTGCGAGCCGCTCCACTAGCCTGCCCGGGCTGCTGCGCGTTGCATTTTGCTTTCCATTTGGCTTCTTCATTTGGCTCTCCCATCCTGCCAAACTTCCGGGAGTTGGACCCGACTATTCCTAATGGGTATTATGGGCTCCATCCAGACCCACGACAGTGCCGCCAAAAAGCCGCGCACGTTGCGTTGACATCGGCCGCCAAAGGCTGCCTATGCAGAGCGGTGACAGCGCCGTCGCAGGCTTGCCCATCCAAGTTGATCCAACAGACACTCGGTCTGGACAACGGCATTATTATAGCCCAGGGACCTTGATGCCCCGAACGGCAGGCTGCTGCAGGGCGCATGGCTACCCAATGATGGAGAACTTACGTGCTGGAGCACTGGCCCTGCCCACACGATCTCAACCTCTGCCAGCGCGGTTTCCCCCCGTCTCCTGTTCCCTTCGTCAATCGTCCGGAATGCCGCATCGGCTTGCGGGAGGCAGAGAGACAGGCAGGGCGGCCATGGGGCTGGACCTAGGGGACTGGCTGACCAGGGCCCCCAGCAAGCTGTCCATCGGCTTGGCCCTATTCGACCCTGATCACCGAGCCGTGTCCTGCACACCATCTCGGACCCGTCCCCGCACGGGAATAGAGAGGGACGACTCGATGCTGCTCGCCTGCTGCTCCTACAAACCGGTCAATCCTCTCCGATGAGCGCTCTGCCTGCGTGCCTGCGTGCCTGCCCAGCCCCTCCCCCCAAGGAACAAAGTCTTGTGCCGCACTTTGCGCTGCGAAGGTCCACTGCTAGCGCACCATGTTGCCCGGATCGTAGCATTCTCGTCGCGTCCAGCAGCCTATGGTTATGAGATCGCACTTTCCTGCCATTTCCCCTGTCTTTTATGCTCTTCAACCCATACTATACTGCCCAGCCCATCCCAGCCCATCCCAGCCCATCCAGCGATCCCATTCTGCACGTGCTGCCCAAATCGACAGGGCCAAATCGCACGCACTTCTGATCCCGTCGTGGTACCAGTTTACTAACGATGCGCGCCGCGCACCCCCGAACAGGTTCCTCTCCGACTCGATTCGGCGACACGTCCTCGACCCGGCACTCGTACCCACGGCGCTTCGCAACCTCCGCGGGGCATTGTTCCCCAACAACGCCATGGGCACACCAACGCTCTTCCCGCCCGAGTCGGACGACGAACTACTCGCGCTGCGACGCAGGTGTGCTAGCGCGCTGTGGGCCCTTGTCCCCAGGGCGGCCGGCAGGCTGTTCTTTGGCGGCAGCGCGGCGTCGTGGTTGGCGCGATGGCTCAAGGCCGACGCCTCGTCTCCCTCGCCGTCGCTGTTGCGGTCCGGTCCGGCCACCAACGCCAAAAGCACCAACAGCACCAGCGCCACTACCAGCGAGGCCACTGACACTGCTGCCGGTGAAGCTCGCCAACGGGCACAGGTCGAGGGCAGCGGCGGCGGCACAGGAGTGGAGCAGCAGCAGGACCCAGACGCGCGTATCATTTCCGATATCGAGACTGGCGTCCTGGACGTCTTCAGCGATCCCTACTGCAACAAGCACCTCATGTACGGCGCCTTGGAACTGGTCCTGGTCAGGCTCGTGCCGGAACTGGCCGAGAAGGGTGTCGTCGAGCTGTGGGAGGAGAGGTTGAGTTGATGGGCCCCCTCTCGGGCGTGAGTTTTTCGGGTTAGAGCAAGCACCCCCCTCCCCCCCCCAAATTCCCTTCTTCTTGCCCTGGCCTGGCCTGGCCTGGTTCGAACTGGGCAGGCGAGCAAGCGAGTGAGCGAAGCAAGCCACGGCTGCCCGCGGGCGCTCTCCCTCGCCCTATGTACTTTACGTACTGTTGTGTATGTGTGTATAGTGGAGTCTATTGTGTATGCATGTAGCCAAGCGCAAGGCGAGGAACCCGCCAATTCTTTCTCTGCGAACACCACCTGATCGATTAATTAATTGACCGATCATTGCCCTTACGTGCCTGCCCGCCCTGCTCGCCCTGCCTGCAGTGCTTGCTTCTTTTATTCTGGAGGTGATATGGAGACCCAAAGGATGGCATGTTCTGGTCCCGTCCCGTCGTCACCTTCGCCTGGCCCGTCCTGTCATGTCATGTCCCAAGCCCCGCGCGCCCGCCACAACCTGCCCTGCTGCCCTGCTGCCCTGCTGCCCTGCTGCCCTGCTGCCCTGCATTGTCCTTCCCCCGCGAGATCTGGTTGCCGCTAGCGAGACGTGCTGCAGGTCGATAATACCTTGCAGGAGACAATCAACTGATCAGAAAAAGCCAGTCGATCTATCAATCAATCCATCAATCAATTACAGTGAGCACTCTAGTTCACTTTCGTTATTTCACTCGCACTTTTTTTCTCTTCCCCCACATGGGCTTCGCTCGTTCATACGTTTTCAGTCATTCATACATCCACATCACAAGATAGAGAATACAAGCAGGCGCGGCGGGCAAAAAACATCATATCACCGTCACCAATGTAACATGTCTCTCCTTTTCTCTCTCTCCTGCGAAACACAATGCAGGGGAGAGGTACGAAAAAGCGCCCCTATCACCCAAGGACTGCACATACAGGGCGAGAGGCGCAAAATAGCCCTTCATTGTGGTGCGCATCATGCATCTTGGATCTCTTTTGGTTTGGGGTCGGTAGATTATGATTTGCTTATCGTCGAGTCCTGAATATGCAGATAGCCGCCCTCGGGGGGTGTTGATTGTTGGTTGGTTGGTGGTCTTTTTTTTTGTTTTTTCGAAGGGGTGAGGAGGAGGAGGGAAGATGGGGGGAGTGTTGGCTGCTGCTGCTGCATACAAAGCTGGGGGAGAGGGGTCCCCCCCCTCATGCGCTTGCTTGCTTTGCCTGCCGTCACCCACCACCCATCACCCCAACTACCACCACCACCACCACCCAAAAACCAAAAACACCATACCTTACTATACCCATGCTAATCCCCGTACGTGTGTGATGTGCCCTCTTGTTGCTTGGCCTTTTCTTCCCTGAGGGCATGGCATATACCCACCTAGATACAATGACTGGCACGCTGCGCACCACCCCCCTGCTACAACCCCCTTCCCTCTCGAAAAAAAACCCTTTCAAATCGAGATCCCCCACTGTTCCCATGGGGGGAAAATCGGTCGAGCCAGTGTCTTTCGTCTCGCTCCCCTGTCTCCCCAATCCTACCCCATCATGCATCCGTCCATCCCATGTTTCCCCCCTTGCGCGCCTTCCCCCCCGGCCCAAAACCCCCCCTGTTGCCTGACCTTTGGGTCTCCCAAATCCCGGCAGGGCGTGCGTCGTCCCTTGTCTCGCTGTGACCACCGACCGACGTTTCGTGCGTGCACAGCGTCGTCCCGCCCTCGCACGACCTTTCGATCAATGGGTGTCTTCCCCGGCCGGTCCCTTTCGTCGAATGCACACACATTCAAAGGGTTGTGGGACAAAGTTGGTAGGATGGAATTTCGAAGGAATAAAGTAGAAGATAAAAAAAAACCGAGTAGAAAGTACAGATTAAGAGGAGATCAAGGAAAGACAAGAAAAGAAATAAAATAAGAAAGATGGAATATGAAAAGAGAAAATAAATGCCGGTGACACCCCCCGTTTCCCTCCCCTAAACCGTGCTGGCAGGACCATGAAATATGTGAAAGGAGAAGAAGACCTAGAGATATTTGGACTGAGGAAATGGGCTGGAATTTTTCGAGGAGGGGCGTTGTTGTGAAGCCATCCGATTTTCGCGTGAGCGGGAGAGTTCTTTCCTTTGCCGTGAAAAGTCCGGGTATATGTATAATATAGAGACTCGACTTGCTCGCGTCTCGCAATATGTAGCTGGTGGTGAGTGTTGGTGGTGGTTGTTGGGTATTGATCGTAGGTAATAATATTTTTTGGGCCTTTGAGGCAAAGCTGTCTTGAAGGTGGCGATAATGATGATTTTTTTGGTTCTCCCCTCGGGGGGATTGCGTCGCGAGACGTCGTGCTCATGTGTAAAGTCCGATGGTGGTATTTGACAATGTGTGTGAGTGCGTGTGTTTTTGCACCCCCTCATGGGTCCCCGTGGAGGGAGGAAATTTCCCGCTGTAGTCAAGACGCCGTAGCAGTGTGTCCTGGGAACCAGAGAAATGTGTAAGCTGTGGGGACCGTAGATGCTTTTTCGTGGATGTTCCCGCTCCGCCAAATAAGCATCCCCTGCTCTTTCGGGGTGCGGTCTCGCCCCCTCCCTATGTTTTGCACGGTGATTCCCGGGAAGGATGCGAGGCGAGCAGGGCTTGAAAGCGGAGAAGAAAGAGAACACGTACAATGATAATAATGGAAAGGGCACCGGCCCCCGGTTGGAAGAGGAGAGCGCCGGTTCTCCTCATACCATGGTCCCCTCGTGCTTGACCATGCCCCCGTCCTCCATGTGTTGCCCGGTGTTTCCCATTTCGGCGTCACCCTCGGGGATTCGATCCAGACCACCCATTCCCAGCCCCATGGGAATCCCTCCCATCTGCATGCTGCCCATGCCCTGCTGGCCTCTCGCAGCAGCCTGTTGCGCCTGCTGGTGCAACCGCAGCTTCTCCGTCAGCCGAATCACGGCGTTGTAGTCGCTCTGGTCCACAAAAGCGTTTGGCCCACTGTTCGCGATGAAAGACAGTAGAGTGTCCGCAGCTCGCCTTGCGTCCTCTTGTGTGGGCGAAACCGGAGATGAGGCAACCGAGGACATTGCCGCGCTTCCAATGATAGGCGTGGTTCCGCCGGCGCCTTGTTGCTGTCGCCCTTGCAGGCTGCTGGCGCTGCTGCTGTGCCGTAGTGCGTGGTGGCCTTGGTGGTGAGGCGAGGCCATCGTATTGTCGATTCCAAACGGCCCGGCTGAGGCGAACTCGTGGGCTGGGGACTCGATTGCGGAGGAGGGCGCGGTCGACGGGACTCCTTGTTGGCCTTGGGGGAACTTGGGTGTTATCGGGTCGTTGTGCTCGTTGCTCGATGTCTCGTTCATGTACTCCAAGTCAAGTGTTGGAAATGTCTGGCTCCGTGGCCTCTGGAAGTTGGGCCCCCCAGGGGGTATGTGTCTTGCCTGGGAGTGATCCGTCGACAGAAACCCTCCCATGTTGGGATCCGGAGAAAACGTGAATTGTCCCGTACCCGTAGGGCTCATAGTACTTTCAGAAAACGACGAGCCAGCAGTGTCTGATGCAAATCCGCCGCTGCTCAAGGATGTCGTGCTCTGGTTCGTCGAGGGGTACTTGAACGTCGGCCCAGTTGTGCTCGAAGACGGCCCAGAAAAGTCCATCATCATTCCGCCGCTGCCACTCTCCTTTTCGTCTTCCACCGCTCCGCGAGGCCCGGCTGAAAAGGGCGACACAGAGTGGTTTGCTACGGGAGAAGCCGAGGAAATCGAGCTGCTGGGCTGCGAATTCGCCAATGTCGGAGACGTGGTTGACAGCTTTCCCACGGCACTGGGGATATTCGTCTCGGACGCTCTCCTGACAAGTCGTCCTCCCATGCCGTGCTTCTGCTTGAACTTCTCGAGCCACGAGGGATTGTTGATCTTCGTCTCCGCCTCCCTAAATGGACGAGCGTACATCCGGGCTTGCTCCTGTATCTCGGCATCTGACACACGGCGACCTTTGTGCTGCTCATTGCGAAGCCAATTGGCCAGCGTCTTGTCGATGTCAGGAATCTTGCCCTTGCTTTTCTTGATTGGCGAACTACTGCGGTCCTCTGGATTGAGCCACTTGTCCTTGCGACTTAGGACTTTGGACACCGTGCTAGAGGAAGCATGTTAGCAAGAGCTTTTGTTGTGGCGATCGGGCGTCGCAAAGTCGACAGCGGACGCAGCACAGCGGCTTCTGATTCTCACCTTCGCTCCACGCCGAATAACGCGCCGATTTCCGTCTGCTTCATCGAAGGGTTGTCAATATGATACTGGCACATGCGGCGGCGGTCATCGTCCGTCAGCGTCTTCCTGGGCTGCGACGCAATCGGCGGCGCTACCGGCCTCGTGGTCTTCAACGACTGGATCGGCGCCGAGGCAGGCGGTATTGCTACGGGAGGAGACGTGTTGTACCCGTTCGGGTTCGTGAGCATACTCGGCCACGTCGGATGTGACGGCACCATCAGCATTGGCAGCGTTGGATGGTGTGCCGGTTGTGAATGCTGCTGAGGTAAGGGCTGCTGCGGAGGTGTTGCCGATGGCGGCATCCGGCCTAAATGCTCGGAGGGCAATCCGTGTGAGATGGGAGCCATGTAGCCAAATCCGCCGCCGTACTCCGACATTGTCGTCTGGATGTAAGGGCTCATGTCGTTCCATTGGTCGTGGCCATAGGTTTGCTCATGGTGAGCGAGGTGGGCTTCCTGGTCCATGCTTGACGATCCTCCTATCCCTCCTTGGTTGTGCATTCTGTGTACTCCAGCTGATCTTTTGTTGTTTAGAGGAGGCCCCTGTGTCAGAAAATGTTGTGCCTTGGGGACGAAGTAAAGCCTGACGCAAATCTAGATTTTGCTAAAGATTCCCAAGACGACAAGAAACACGGGTGCGTGACCCGGAGTATGCGATGTAAGTGTGGGGGAGGATATCTCTGTACCCGACAGGACTGATGTGATTGATCTTCATGTACGGAAGGCGGCATGCATCTGATGACGACAATTGGTTCCTGGATAGCTTCGTGTAATGGACTCGAGTCTCTCTTTGGTTAGAAGCACTGTCTCGTCGACAGCTGTGGCGGCCGTCGACGTTGATGGTGCGGTACTCTCTGGTGCGTGTCCCAAAGGAGAGGGCGCAGATGCAATGCACGCCGAGACTATTCCACCTAAGGGCAAAACGAGGCACAGAAAGTTCGAGCCCAAAGCTTCCCAAAGTCCCTCTGATGTTTCGAAACAGAGCTTGAGCACCTTCATAAACATCGGTCTTCAGCTTTCTATCTCGCCGATGTCAGCAGTAGGGCCGTCCTGGTGGTCTCGTTGCTAAGCCAATGCGCGTGGTTAGTTTCTTTTTCCCTCAGCCGCCTCTTATAATCCGACCGATGCCGCCCAAAATCGCGGTCACAAATCTTGGTCCTCCTGGGTTTCTTTCGGATGCGAGGGGCTCACAGGTGGGCAGGTGGCTTACGTTGTTCAGGCGGTTTGGTCCGCCAGACATGACCAAACGATGAGACGCCCAACGGAGATGCTGGTCCAGACAAACGAATGGCAGATGAGGGCAAGTGACAGGCAGATGGCTCGCAACGATAGGAATGAGCCTACTGCAGTTACAGACGTCGCATGCAGTTTGCAAACGCTGATGTACAGTAGCTGACCTGTAGAGAGGTGCAGGACGACCAAGTGATGGGCCGCACCACGGCTACATGTATGTTTGCAGGACGGTCTGTACCGGCAAGGGTCATGCTGGACCCCCGTCTGGGAGGGTTGCAGAGAATGGGGGGCAGACTCGGAGGGCTCAGGACCAGGGCCGCGAAATGGAGGCGGCGAGACGGATCAATAGAGACTGTCTGGGGGTTGGTCTGGTGTGGGGAGGTAATGATGCGAAGGCCTAGCAGCTAGCCCAAGGTATAAGAGTGTTGCATCAGGAAGCTATAGCTGCCAGGGGGTCAAAAGGCACATGCGGGATGGTACCGCAGCGGCGTTGGTTGCGCATCGAGGTACCGGGGGGTTCATGTACATGTAATATATGGTCAAGGGTCGAGCCACAGTCCGCAAGGTACAGTCCTAGCCAGCTCTCCTCCCCTATAGCCAGGACGACGAATATTTTGTCCACAATTACGTCCTCGGATCGGAACAGATGCCCCATCAGCTCCGCGTGAAGATCAGAGCGATGGAGCATGAGGAAAATGAACATTGTTGTAAGTTGCGACAGGAGTGGTCGGTCAGTCCCAGGTCCTGCGGCGAAGGAGTCCAACCAACGGCAGCGTGTTGATTGCATTCCCCAATATTCGACCAATGGTACTACCACCGTGTGAAAAGACGTCCGAGGTGTGCGAATCACTCAAGTCAGCGGTATGTACTATGGTCCCAAGAGCCGACCCGTCATAGGTGGAGCGGACAGGGGATTGTTCAAGGAGATCCACTTGCGATGGCATCCAGTACCCGCTTTCCTTAATGAAACCCCCTTCAGATGAGTCTTCGTCACCGGGTCTCACCAGCCTCATAATGGGGATGCTCGTGCTGTTTTGAGTTCTAGAGGCTGCAATCGCAATCCACCAGGCATGGCCATGCTGAAACTATCCGGCGGTCCGGCGAAATGAATAGACAAGATTTGATCATGGTCAAAGTTGTGAGTGCTTGACTGTTCGGGCAACGAGCCCGACCAATCCGGCCGTTCTGGTGGGTTCGAAGCGGTACCTGTTGCTTGTTCGCTCTCGAGCCTCACGTAAATACAGGAACGATCTGCTGCGCGGAAAGGCCCGGTCGGAAGTTGTTGAAGATGTCGCTGATCATGCGTGGTTTCGGTGCACGCCTGGACAGATTTTGAGCCCATGTTGGCCAAGCTGTATGCGACGAACCAGGCGTTGCTACTGGGACCGTGAACAAACCACATTGTGCGCAAGACTCGACGCGGCCCGGTGGGCTACATTGCTGTGCAGGGCCGCAGGGCCACAGAGCTGCGGCCGGCATGGCCAAGGTCGCCCACTGGCACCTGCTCAGGAGCTCCGTCCAGGGGAGCAGATCTACAGTATTCCCCGAATGGATGACCCCAGGTGACCCGCAGTAAGATTTAGTGGCAAGCCACCGGTCAAAACTCCTTGTGCGTTCATTATACAGGGGCGACAGCTCGCCTGGAAGAGCAGTCAGTAATGTAGGGCTTCCCAAACAAGGCTTCTGAGCTGCCTGAGCTGCCTTGCATCCCTCAGGCCGCTGTCAAGAAGGCCATGTTCCTGCAGAGGTGTGGCGTTGACATTGCATGACGACAAGGATCGACAAATTCTCGTGTCCACGATTCCACGCGACGCCACAGGCCGTCGAAATGCTGGAAGCAATGTGGCATTGTCTGGGAGCATCCCGGATTGAGCTTCGGGATCGTCGCTGTCCTGGCTGGTGTCATGCGGAATTTACCAAACAGGAGATTGATGAGACAGGAGACGACGTGCCATTGCGCTGCGGGAGTGGGGTGGAGATCTATCTGATGAAGGCTTTTCTGGGCAAGGGACTTGAAGCGGTCGCTATGGTAGCAGTTATTTCCGCAAGTAGAGGCACGGCTTGGCTTGCCAGAGGGGTTAGGTCTATTGCGCATTGAGAAAGTCTGATTTCATGCGTCGATCGGCGTCGATAGAATCGTCCCGGTGCCTCAGATGGAACGGGATCCGCAACTCTGGGACGCCGCGTCGAGTTCGTGGTCCAACCGAGTGCCGCCAGCCTCAGGAACGGAGGGCAGGACATGCTGTGTGAGCCCCCAAGAACCCCAGCTCAGTGTAGGAGCCTCTGCCTGTCAGGGCGGTACTGTACTTTGACAAAAGTCAGGCCACTCAAAGGTCCAGAAGAGCCTAGCGATTCGAGACGGGCCCGGCTTGTATTCCAGTTCGCCAGCTGGTATCTCGACCCCTGCCTGACGGGAGCCCTTCCAGGTAGATGCTAGTGGAGGGAGGGAACTGTTAGGGTCTAGTGCGGGAAAGCTCCCCGCGAATCGTACCCAGAACTGTTGTGTATTTGCTTCTCAGACGAGCCATCCGACAGGCGCAGGTGGCCTAGAGAAGACGGCGAGGGCTGTGTGTTAATCTGGCTCTGGCCGCAAGCAGCAAGACGAACTTGGCGATGGACTCGAGACGAAACGAAGATACGCCCAACGCGTGCTCCTTCGATATGAAGTCATCTAAGTTCGACCAGAATGGATCACTAGGTTGCACTCATGCGTCGATTCAGCGTGGGATTTTTGGGACGGGTCATGATCTGAGGAGCCAATCGCTCAACAGATGAGCTTGCTGTCAAGAACCTTGTAGCAAGGCTATCCAGGCCTGCCTTGCCTAGGGCAGACCCCGAGGGACCGGCCGACACAGGATCGCCGAGGAGCAGCTGCTGACACCGGCCGAGTTGGTCCTGTGGACGTAGCTCCACGATTGGGCAGTCAAATCCCGGAGTCCAAGCTTTGGGGAAGTTCGAGTGTCCCAGGCCCTGAAGAGAGAGAACCATACTCGAACTCGGCCCCGCTGAAGTAAAACCCTTCTAGATCAGTCACTTATTACAATGGATGCCAGGATCGCAGGTGGATTGCGATGAAAGCCGCGGCCGCTAGGCCCGGTACGAGCGCATGGTCGCCTAATCCACCAACCTTGCGGCCCTTGTACCCACAGCAGGTGGTGTTTGTACCCACTGCTTCGTTTTCTCCACACGGTGACGACGGGCTATCCACGCCCCAACAGACGGGGGCCGCGCTGTCAGGCTGTCAGGCACAAGAAAAGGGGATGAGGGCACGGACGTCGACGGCCTTGTTTCGCCCCAAACAAAGACGTTTTTCGGTCTTGCGCTTGAGGTCTATCCCGCAAGACGCTAAGGAAAATGAACTCTGTGGATTCTATGGGGTCCCAGGCACAACAAATATGCGAACACGCGCGTGCAATATACCGCGCGTCGACATTCACCTCGCCTCTTCTTTGCTACAGTTGGAAGGGTCCGAGCATAACTCGCTTGAGCCGGGTGGAAGGTTCGGAATTTGCATCGCCGCCGCGTTTATGACATCGCGGCTACGGTGGCAAAAAGAAAATGAATAAAAATCTGAGGCTGACGGGTGTCGAAGCTGGGCGACGAGCGGAGGAATAAGACCAGAGGCGGACAGGGGAGAGCAGCTCAAGCCCAGCACTGCGGCCCCCTCTCCCCCGCCTCTGAAGTGAGTTGCCAACCACTCATGCGAGGTACTCAGGCCGTGGAGGTCGAATGCGGCGGCAAGAGGACCCCCGTGAAAGGTCAAATCCACGGTGGTGTACGCAGTGAGCAGGCCCATACAAGCGAAGACCGCCAGGGGTATCATTGGTTGAAACATTCCGAAGGGTGTGTGGAGACAACTTCTGGCCTTCCTCCAAGCTTTACCCGACCATCATGATCGAGCTGCTGCTCATCCTCGGCAGAATTTCGTCTGTTCTGATTTCCAGTGTGATCTGGATTTGCACAGGACCTCATGCTCCTCTGAGCGATTCCGGTATTGCATGCCCATGAGAGATGGGTTGACTTTCTGCCCCTGAATCTAATCAGGCCACGGAAGCCAGTCCACCAGTGTCGGCCTGCAGGCATACCTGTGGTTCAGGAGGCTGAACTCGCCAACTCGCCAAGGGGAACGTTCGAAATGCGAACGATACCGCGGCGGCCTGGGCAACAGCGTCCTCGCACCCTGGGCGTCGTCCTTGAGGGCCGCGTGGCGCAGCGAATCGCAACTCGGTGCTTGCGGTGTCATCGCGCAGAACCATCTTGCCTGCGCGAGGAGGGAACAAGAAACCGGGATGGCAATCCGACCCCCCGATGGCTGTCGAGGTTGCCCTCTCTAGGTTGACCGACTTCTGAACTTCAGAAGGGCCCACGCCCGCGGGCACTGGCATGAGCATGAGCATCAGACGGCGCTGGCTTTAATCTGCGCGCATTGAGATACGAACGACCCTTGATGCTTGCTCGCTGGCTCCCACAATAGCTCGTGCCGGCCGAAAAGATCGCGTGTTGAGACCATCTGCACCGTACCGTCCGGTCTCTCAGTATCAGGCTTCGGATGCTGCCCTTGCTCCACGTTTTGGGGACGCTACACACGCAGGAATTGACGAAGTTAGACGTCCAACAATGTAACACCAGGGAGGCAACATGGCTGGGAAGCTCAAGGTAAGGAAACGCAAAGCTTTGTGAATCATGAATTCATTTTATCGATCCCACTCAAGGAACCTCCTTCACCGTGCCCTCGTCTCGCCGGTCTCGACAAGTATGCCGCAGTATCTGATTGATAAGTTTCATGTCGTGCAGGCGTTCCCACGTTTGAGGCTAAGCTGGCATGCTGTTGCTTTTCTCAGTCCGGCCACGCTGTCGGATGCTTCGATGCCCACAAAGCCTTGAGCCGCGAGGATCGGTGCAGGGACGTGAGTTTAGGGTTAGCTTTATGACGACTGTCTCCACCCGACTTGAATCTGAAATTCCCCGAAATTGGCGAGTGCAATCGCTGTCAAATATTATCCCGTCTCGGCGTAACGGTCCTCGTCAAGCGAATCCTCGTCAAGCGAGTCGTGTTTGCTCACGTAGAGGGATGACCGGCAGTAGGCGGTTGACAGCCCGGCTGGAGCCTTGGTGGCCCCATTAGTAATTTGAGCCCGAGACAACAAATCATCGCTTTTGAATCGTGACTTTGCCGGAAAGTCGAATTAGCACCTGAAGGCCTGTCTCCACTAGGGCTCCCTGGCGCCTGACGAGGCTACACTCGGGAAAAGACTCACCGATGTCTTCATCCGCAAGCTCGTGGGCCAGCCCCACTCGCTGGGGTTGATGCTTAACGGATTTTCCGTACACAATAGCCGTTTTGAACTGTTCGACGATGCTACGATGGATAGCGTTGCACTGAAGGACGTTCAATTAGAATGAATCCAACCGTCACCTGACGCCGTGAAACAAGGGCAGGGAGGGTGTGGCCATTGTTGGAACTTACGAAGTCTTCCACTGTGCATCTCGTGGAACGGAGCACGACAGGCGCAGAATAATCAGGCATCTTCCCATGGGGCTTGGTGTAGACTCGGACCAAGTTCAACTTGTCCCACCTACGTTGCAATCCCATTTCATTAGCTCACCATCCAAATGACGAATAAAGGGGCAGTGAGGAGATCGTACATGACTTCCATCAGCTCGTCAATATTCCACCCATGCTCGGAACTGATTGGCACTGCGTTGGGGATGCGGTAGAGCAGGTCCAGCTCCTCAATGCTGATGGCGTCGATCTTGTTCAGGACATAGACAACGGGAATGTAGCTTCGGCTCTTGGCCTCTAGGATGTCGATCAGGTCATCAATCGTCGCGTCGCATCGGATGGCGATGTCTGCTGAGGATATTTTGTACTCGTTCATGACGGCTTTGATTTCGTCGTGGTCAATGTGAGACAGCGGCACAGTGCTCGTGATGTTGAGGCCCCCCTTGTCCTTCTTCTTGAATGTGATGTTTGGTGGCGACTTGTTGCAACGAATGCCGAAGCCCTCGAGTTCATTCTCGATGACCCTCTTATCCGTCAGTGGCTTGTTGACGTCGAGAACGATGAAGATCAAGTGACATGTTTTCGCGACTGCTATGACCTGTCGTCCACGGCCTCGTCCGTCCTTGGCTCCTTCGATAATTCCCGGGAGATCGATGATTTGTAGCGGAGCGCCGTTGTATGTCACTTGACCCGGCACACTCGTCAAAGTCGTGAACTCGTATGCAGCTGCCTCGGAGTGCTGTCCCGTCAGTCTGCTCATGAGTGTACTCTTTCCTACGGACGGGAATCCGATGAACCCAACACTTGCGACACCTGTTCGGGCAACGTCGAAGCCGGCGCCGCCGCCACCTCCTCCACCCGACGGGGTGAGCAGCTCCCTCTTGAGCTTGGCAAGCTTCGCCTTCAGCTGTCCCAGATGGAAGGATGTTGCCTTGTTCTTCTGGGTTCGAGCCATCTGTCCATGCTATTAGTATCAGATCGTCTTGTCCATCCACGCTAGCAATGCGTTATGCGCTCAGGGTCGGGACGCAGACGCGGACGGTCGTCATTCGTCGGAAGTATCCAACTATCGAAGAGATTGGTCTGGCCGGGGGTTGAACGCACTTCGGTCTCGATCTCCTTGATCTGTGGGAAATACTGTCAGCCATGGCAGTCTTGTCGCAAGCAACCCCGTCACCACTGACCTTCTCCACCGTGGTCGACATCTTGACGACGTTCTCTTGGGCAGTGTGCCACAAAGAAGGGTAGACTGAAGAGATTTAGTATTTCAATATGACCACTTCGTTTGCCGTGTCGCGGTATCTGTCGCTGTCGTGACGTGACTGAGGAGAAGGAACGTCTCGAGTTGTGTTCAAGTTGGCGTTGCGAGGGGCACAAGTGAGCCTCAGCAAAATTCTGCCCCGCTGATGTCACCGTCACCGCCTTCCTCCGTAGTTTGCTACTCAAACACTGCCCTGAACTCAAACATTACCAATCGGCCTGAGACATAAAAACAGGCACTCAGAGAGTACTCTCTGTCTCCCACACTTTGAATCTACTACACTGGTCCATGGGTACCTAATTCCTGTCATCCATCTCTACTGCTACGCCTTGTCAAGTCACGGTATAAAACATGTTCACATGCCTAGTGCTGTCTTCTTTGTCTTTTGACAACCAAATCGGCCGTCTCCTCTCAATTCATTGCTTGTCGCCATGCTATGTTGATGCAGGTACATAATACTATGTTGATGGCCAACCTCCTGGTAGCCATCAAACCATCACCTCTTTCAACCTCATCTTGAGGCGTTCCTACATAGACATCTCCTGATATACTTCTCGGCAGATGATGCGGCCTAATCATCCTCCTCACGAACCGGAGCATTCATCCAAAAGCTCTAGGCTGTCATATCGACTCTGCTAGTTTTGCCTTCTATAGCAACGGGGATTTTACCCGATCAGACCCCACCTGCCTTTGTCAGGGAGGACCAGGGCGCATACCGCACCCCGTCACGTAATGTTCAGAAAGATCAAGCCCGTTGCTCCAACATCCAAAATGGGCCAACGAGGCGCACCCCACCAGGTTCTGCTCTCGTGTTGCGGGACGCTTGTCATTTCGAAGTCCAAGAAATTTTTCCTCACAGACAGCAGGCCTGATGTGTTGGGAATGACAATGAAAACGTTATTTGCCGCAGACCCGGCAATCAGTGACCGATGGCTTCGCCGCTGGTCGGAAGAGGCTCAGTAGTCCCATTCACCAAAGGCTTCTCCTGCTCGCCCGCCGAACCAGTCGACGAGCGCGGCTGGTGCCCATCGCCATTCACAAAGGTCGTGGAATCGGATTGCGGCGGAGAGAGGTCGTCGTTCGAGCCCTGGAATGCTCTTTGCGAAAAGAGTGGATTGGGAGACGCACGTGCCACAGTGGTATTGGGAGGGGTCCTAAGGCCAGAAAAGAGGTGGCTAAGGCCTTGCTCTTTCGCAAGCCGTACGTAGTTTGGGTTTGTCGGCGAGACTGCGGTTAAGCCACTTCTGGGCACTCGCTGTTCCGGCCATGGCGTCCTGCTGACAGTATTTATATCGACCTTGCCTTCGCGTACGAGTTGGCCGTTGACGTAGTACTTTGGCCTTGGACAGAATCCCATATAGCGGTCTGCATCAGGGTCATCCTTCCACCGAGAGGGATATAATCCTTGCTCGTACTGTTCCACGGACTCTGGGATCTCCTCGTACATGACCACGATTTCGAGGTTGCGGAGATGACCCATGTTTGAGACAGAGTACAAGAGGTCAGACAGCTACAGAGAGGTGGGTCAGCAGAGTTCTATGCTCTCGTTGCAGTGCATCGCTTGCTTACCTTGACAAAGAACAAGTCCATATCCATGAACTTCAATTTGGACTCCTCCTGGAGTTGTCGCTTTTCCTTGAAGCTCAATTGTCCTGGTTCTTTGCCGAAATAGTAGCCGGGGAGCTGTCTGCCCAAGTCCCACTCGTCCATGTCGATGAGGCCGCAGCTGGGTCTGCCTTTGCCGAGTATGACGTACTTTGCAGCTTCAGATGCCGGTACGTGGCCCCAGCCTGAGAAGCGTGTGAGTTGGAGATCAGTTTCCCCCAGGAGTAGAGCAGCTTGAGTGTTCAAGATCCACAGCTCACGTCCCTCATCAGTGCCTGCGGTCTCAGGCCGGATGCTGTCGAAACGGACGCCCGTCAGGATCCGAAATCTCTTGGCTGTTTCTGCACTTCGGATGTTGACACCGCGGTCAAGCCAGCGCAGAAACGCGGGAAGCTTTTCGAGACGAGCCTTCTCCTGCTCCTCGCGTTTACGCAGCTCAGCCTCTCTAAGCGCACGCTGGCGTTCGCGGCGCTCCTGCTCTCTGCGTTCTTCCTCCTCGCGTCTGCGTCGAGCTAATTCCGCAGCCTCTTCCTCTTTGCGGATTCGCTCCTGCTCCTCCCGCTTCTTGCGCTCCTCCTCCTCCTTCTCCTTTTCCAGGCGTTTCCTCTCCTCTTCAAGTTTTCGTCGATCATCTTCCTCTTTCTGTAGCCTCTCGGCCTCCTCCCGCTTCTTCCTCGCCTCTTCTTCACGTCGCTTGCGCTCCTCTTCCTCCAAGCGCCTTTTCTCTTTCTCTGCCTCCTCGCGCTGCTTGATCTCGGCTTGGCGGCGTTTGAGCTCTTCATCCTCACGACGTTTTCGCTCCTCGGCCTCTTTCTCCTTTTTCCTGGCATCGAGCTCGGCACGGCGCCTTTTCTCTTCTTCTTGCTCTCGTGCAGCACGAGCTTTGTTTTCTTCCTCCTGGACTTGATCTGCGTCCCGCATCACGGTATCAGGATCTTCTGATTTGACATGGATGCTCTTTTCAGATGGGGCACATTTGCTGGATTCTCGCCGGTTGCTGTCCGATGCTGAGTCAGACTTCCGCGGCTTAGCTGAATCCTTCTTGTCGACTTGATCCGCATGCTTCCGAGCAGGCTTGTCATCCTGCCTCGACGAAACTGCTCCGTCGCGAGGAGCGGTCGACTTGCGACTTCGGTCAGGTGACGAGCTCGGCTTTGGTGGCCGCTCCTTCTTCTCAGCATCCAGCCGCCTCCTCTTCACCGGCTCACCTTCTTTCTCGGAGACATGGTCGGGAGTGGCACTGGTACGGCTGCGTTTACTCGAATGCTCGCCAGAGACGGACAGCCTGTCACGTGACTCGTCCCTCTTGAGCGCCTTAGCGCGGTCGTGGTACTTCTCGGTAGGAAGCTCGTGTGGGTCGTCAGTGCGGTTCTCGCGGGGACTGGAAGGCTCGCGAAGAGACGAAGCATTGGAAACCATGCTGTGGCGCCGATTCTTCTCCCTCTGTTCTTTCAAATCCCTGCCCGACATGAGTCTCTTCCTCGGCTTGGATTCGCCCTCAGAAGAGAATGAGGCAGTATCCATGTCTGGGCGTTTTTGCTTGCTTGAAGATTTGCTGGCAGGCGAGTTTTCACCGTCTGAGATTGCAATGGTGGGCAGTCCGCGCTCGTCTTTCCTGGGCCTCCCAGGTCCACGTTTAGGTGAGGTCAGCTCATCGTTCTTTGACCCAGCAGAGTTGTTGCCTCTGGCTTCCTTGTCAGTAGTGCGAACTTTCCCAGCTGTGACGCGGTGGCCGTCACGGGTGGGGCTAGTGGCCTTGCGCTTCAGGCTCCTGGTCGGGTCATCTTTGGACTCCGCTCGACCGCTTCGCTTGTTGTCCAGCTCCCGCCGATTCGGAGACTTCTTGTGAGGGTCTCGGTGATTTCGCTTGTATGCATCATAGGCATCTTTCAGTATGTGCTCCTCTTCCTTCCAGTTTGGCCCTTGTCGTTTCTGAGCGATCTCATAGTAAGTGAGCCCTCGGAATTTCCTCGTCGGGTCGAAGTTTGACTGAGCCAGTAGCAATCTGATAACCCTAATATTTTCTTGGCCAATGGCTGCCAAAATCGGCGTCGCTATTTCTGGACGCTCCGAGTCCACCGGAGAAGGGTCTGGATTGGCGTTACCAAGAGCCAGAAGCAGATTCATGACCGTCTCATGTCCACCTCTTGCCGCAGCGACCATGGATTCCGCGTCGTCGAAATTATCCCTAACTTGGAGAATGCGCTCCACGGTTTCCAAGTCGCCTCGGCCAGCTGCTGACCGCAGGGTCTTGTCGTCCATGTGCATGTACAGCAGATGATTGCTGAGCTTGTGGGAGCGAGAACTAGCTGCCCTCCTGGTGCCAGCGGCAGAGTCGGCCAGAGCGGGCGAGCGCCGCGGGCTGTCAGGACCGTGCGATCGGGTGTCCTGTTGATCCTGTTGCTCTTCTGAGGTTCGCCGACGATCTCCTTGCTTCTTCCTAGCATCCATCAGCGCCGCACGGATCTCCTCACAGTTCTCGAGCTCATCATCCACCCGATCAAGCGGTTCCTCGCCGTTAACGTTGGCTTTGCGTGGATTGACTCCAGCTTCGAGTAGGACCTTGATAACATCGAGGTGGCCATTGTCGACAGCGTCCAGGAGAGGGGTATCCTTATCGTGGTTTACGCAGTCGATATCGCAGCCTGCCTCCACTAGAAGCTTCACAATGTCATCATATCCATTGATGGCTGCAATCTGAAGTGGAGTATTGCCCGCATAATCTGGAAAATCCAGGTCCTGTGGGCGCTCATGGAGCCTCCGCTTGACGTTGTCATACTCGCCGCGAGAACAAGCCTTGGCAAGTTGCGTTTGGCCATGCGCGTCGACGTGTTTCTTATGAGCGGGATTTTTGGCCGACGACATGTTGGAGTCAGCAGTTGCTGGTGTCGTCAGACCGCGCATAGTCGAGCTTCGAACATGAGGGCTACCACTCGCAGAGGATTCGTCGGAATGATAATCGGTAGTAAGGGGAGGAGGAACGCGTCTTTTCTTTTGACTAAGGCCGCTGGATGATTGAGAAACGATTTGGGTTGATGCACTTCGTCGGTGAGTTCGAGGGTGTGGAGAAATGGATCGTTGCCGCAATGACGAAATGCTGTCATGATTGGACTTCGATTTGTGGTGATCGCGGTCTTTGTGTTGCGGTCGTGGAGTGGAGGACGCGTCGATCGAAGCAGAAGTCCTCCGACGGCGATTCTTGTGGCTTTCGTTGTCGGCCTCGTCGTCAGACTCTGCCTTGGGGGCCTTCCTCTTATGCGTGACTGCTTTATCTGACGATTTCGCTCTCGATGTGTCCCTTTCCCGATCCCTGGGTTCTTTTTCCTTGGGAATGACTTTGGTTGACCTTGCATGGACAGAGTCACCCTCGGACTCTGGGCGGATGTCACTTGATTGTTGACGGGAACGCTGCAGAGGAGATGCCGGTGCCGAGCTCAACCCACTCGAGTCCTTACTCCGTGGATGATCCAGCAGTCGCTTCCGCTTTGCGTCGTCCGTCAAGAGGCTGTTGCCACCGCTACTTCCTTGCTTGGGGCCATGGCCGTCGTTCTTGCCATCGGAAGGCTTGCGTTTTGCAGGGGAAATGTCGATGACACTATTCCGCTCCTCGCCGTCACTAGCATCTTCACGCTTGATCACCTTGCGGCTCTTGATGGGAGAGCCATCCTTGCCTGGGAGGACGATGGTCTCGGCCTCGGAATTATTCTCAGCGCCAGCCTCGTCATCCTGTTGCGGGAGAACAGCGGTGACGCTGGCCTTGGAGTCGCTGGATTCCTTGGGGGTGCCTGCTTCCTTGGGCTGCTTAGGCTCCTTGGACTCTTTTGACTCCTTTGATTCCTTGACTGAAGACTGTGGTTGTGGCGGTGGCCGCGGTGACGAAGTAGACGCTGAAGCTTGGGGGGACTTGTTCACGGAGGGCGGGGAGGATGGAGGCTTGCTGGCCTGATCGGGCTCGGCCGCATTGCCTGGCCTAGGAGAGGCGGAAGTGGAAGCAGGTGGCTTCGTAGCGGCGGACTCTGCAGCATTCTGCGCATCCATATCATTCAATTCGAAGGTGAACTGTTCCTGTGCACCATCATGGGCACCTCTGGACCACGGAGTTGAAGAGGGACAGGAGGCTGGTTGAACCGCGTCGAGCCAGATGGTGTGGTGTGGAGTGGAGTGGAGTAGTTTGCCAGAGGAGAGTTGAGAGAGGCCCAAATTGAAGGACAGGACTGAACCAGGGCGTGGATGGGACGGGATGGTCCGGGCGCTGCTGCCTCGAGCAACTCGGTCGGGGTTGTTGACTGAAACCAAGCCAACTGTCACGAGGACTCCCGGTCGAAGGAAAATCAAAGGGGCTGGAGGGCCGGCGCGCCTGTGGGTGTCGTGGAGCTGCAATCGGTAGCGCTCTTGTCTTTTGGGGGTCCAACAAAGGCCTCACAGGAGAAAGATGGAGGCAAATGAGAGACACAGAAGAGGGCAGAGAACACAGTCCAAGGCCAGTCCAACGAACGAACAGGTCAAGGCACGACGACGGCGTCGGGTTTGGTTGGTTTGGCAGATGGTGCGGTGAGGTACGATGTGTGGTACGGGAGCGGGCACGGAACGGCACTGGTCGGGTAGGATGTAGTGTACAGGATGGAAAAGACTGAGAAACTAATAATAATGTCTCAGTGTCTGACCCCTTCAGGATTGTGGGAAAGAAAAATGACTACGCAGGAGGCAGGAGACCCAAACGGAGCGTGAGTGAGCGAGAAGAAAGAGTCTAGGAAAGGCTAGAGAAGATTGGGTTCTTTTCTGGATTGAACTGGCAGGACTGGCAAAAGACTGGCTGGATTGAACTTGGACTGGATTGGATCGGATCGGGTTTGGACTCAACTGAACGGGGGGGAGACTGGGGGGTGGGGGAGAGGAGGAGAGTGTGAGTGAGAGAGAGAGAGCCTGGTCGGTCGGTGGCAGGTCAAGCAGGCTACGGACCTACGATACGGTGCTAGCTAGGACTGACTACTGGTACTGACTGGGCCTTGGAGGGGGCAAGACAGGGGTGAGGGGGAGGAGGAGTAGGTCGAGGAGGAGCAAAGTGAACGGGGAGAGAAGAGAAAGCGAGGGAAGAGAAAAAGAGATGAGTCCACCACCAGCATCCAGCCAGCATACACAGTACCTAGGTACAGTCCACCCAGACAGACACACCCAGATACCCACACCACTCACCACTCACCACACACCCAGACAACCCAAAGCTTGGAAGAAGAGCTAGGAAGGAGCAGAGAGCGAGCGAGAAGGAGAGAAGGAGAGAAACGAACAGACAGATAGGACTCGATGATTGGCTGGAAGAGACGGGAGATGGAGATTTTCGCTGGGTGGCCCCCCCTGTCTAGCCCGACTGGGTTCCTTCTGGACCCCTGCCGCTGCCGTGGGTTCGAAGTGACCCAAGTCTGATCTTGAACTGCGCCTTCCCTGCGCGTCCTCATTGCCACCTCGCCTGATTGGGCGGGAAGTCGACCTTGAATACGGCAGGCGACACCGTCCTCTGCTGTCGTTTCGAGCCCTGTGCCCTGCCACTGCAATTCATTCATGGCAGCATGGATGATGTGTTCACTCAAGTCTGTCAGTCTGGTCAGTCCTGTCTACCATAGTGCCATAGTACCACAATATGCTGCTGGGCTATCTGGCCCGTCGGCCTGCCATGCCAGCCTGCTTCTAACCCTGCCAGCCTGCCTAGGCACTGCTAGGGTACCTACCCATGTACCTAGGTACTGCGTCTGTGTGTCCGATGCGAGCAGTCTATGCGTGCACACACTCGCTCACTCACTGACTGACTGACTGATACACCAACTCCTTCACCAGGACATCGAAAGCTGCCCAGGCTGCTCTTGTCTTTCTTGCCTCACCATGCACCTACTCTCTCACTGGCTGAGTGTGACTGACGACGACTTACTGCGCCTCATTCTGTGTTGCCTCTGTTTGTGTCTCGTTGTGTTTCTCGCATTGCTTGCCCAGGCAGACAGGCAGACAGGCAGACAGGCAGCCAGGCAGCCAGACAGACACAGCGAGGATACTTTCCCTGCCAAAACGCTTCGACGCGCAAGGCCACCCTCAATCACAGGAATAAGCTTCCGAGCGCCACCAAACTTATTTACTCTTCTGTTCCTAGGTCCTCCAATACCACAGTCGCAGAACGGAGCACCCCGTCCAAACCCGCCGACTTGGCTCTTGGTCACATCTGGCAACATTCGGCGACTCGCGCGACATCACGCGGGATTGTTTTCGAGCAGAGGATGGGAAAGGCTGTTGCCGTTTCCTTTACCACGGTGTTCCAGCTCTATCAAAATATCTGTCATCAACTCAACCTTGCGGGCTGCGGGGAGCCAGAGGGACTAGGGCAGGGGTAGCGCAAGTGCCCCGTCGGTCAATGTTAGCCGGCTATCCCACGGTTCTGCCTCGCTTCACCTCAGTCAGCTTGTCACATCCATCCCAACAGCCAGAGACTTTGACTTGGACCACTTTGACTTTGTACGGGCGCTGTCGCACAGCATGCAGGAGCTTCCCTGACTCGTTCGATCCTGGTGGCATTCTGCAGTCTGTCTTCTCGAGCTCTCAGCTCTCGGCTGCCTAGTCCAGCGTTAGGCCCGACCAGTCCCACCCCAGCCTTACCAAGAACAACCACGCCTCCCGTCTTGCCCTGGCTCCGAAAACAGCTCTGAACCCTCCAAGGTCACCAGCTCGGCCACGAGGCAGCACGCCTTATGCAATCCTCTAGCCTGGGCCGGAATCCACTTGGTCTCGGAACCCGGGACATTGCGTCGAGTTGCTGTAATCTTTCCCAAAGCTGTGCCGCGTATGGTTATTCCATCCTCACACGCTCTCAGCCTACTCGTCTCTATTGTGCTCAATCTTGGTCCCCCTGCGGCTGGTATTAGATCTTATCGTGTTGCCCTTGCCAGGCTACTCGGGGCAATAGGCAAATCAGTCGCCGCTGAGATCACATTGACCGCCGAGTCGCACGTTTACGAGGTAAAAGCCCTTGCACGCACCTTCACAATTCGGCAACCGAGCTCAAGTCCAAGGGCAGGACTTGGACCAGGCCACCACCTCTGGGGAAGCATCCCGGGTTGCACTTGGGTTGCACTGGCCCTCCATCGCCCTCATGGGTCACGTAGCTCTCCCCACGGGAGTTTCGCTCCCCTCTTCCCTGGATCAAGCCAGGATACCTCGCCTTCCGGCCACTGCGTACTACATCGCAGATTTCATAAGTGAAGAGGAAGAGCGTCTCATTCTGGACAAGGTGAGTTCAACGGCGAGTCTTCGAGCATCACCACTTCCAGGCTCGGAGGTCCGACTGGTCAGCTCACGGTGAACAAGATCTCAGGCGCGCCGAAGCCTAAGTGGAAGCAACTCTCCCATCGACGTCTACAGACATGGCCATCCGACTTGGTCCAAGACAGGCTCCTCGACGCCCCTCTGCCAGCTTGGCTCAACGAACCCGTGGTGTCGCGGTTGCTCTCAATTCCTCTTGCCGGTCACGACAGCTCCGCCCATCTCTTCGCCTTGAGCCCGCATAAACGCCCAAACCATGTCCTGATCAACGAGTATCCCCCAGGGATAGGCATTATGCCGCACAAAGACGGGGCGGCCTACCACCCGGTCGTCTGCACTGTCAGCTTGGGAGCCAGTCTTTGTCTCAACATATATTCAAGCAAAGAGGACGGTGCCCTCAACCCTGAACCAGCTCACAGAATACTACAGGAGCCCCGAAGCCTTCTCATCACAACGGGCGACCTGTACACCCAATATCTGCATGGCATTGCCGATGTTCAGGCAGACATTGATCTTTCCCCCGAGACTGTCAGCAACTGGGATATGTTACGGACGCCAGAAGATTTTGCTCATGGTGACAATCAACGGTCGACCCGAACAAGCTTGACATATCGAGATGTTCTGAAGGTTTCGAAGCTCGGAAACAACATCGGTAAATTTCTCAAGCGTTGACATTTAGGAAACCGAACAGCGATAGGGCCTTAGTACACAAAGGGTATCATGACCTTCTTCCGCGCCACTTTGTCCGACCCAAACTTATCGACATACCAGCTCTTGGTCCCTCGCGCTGTCACACCAAGGTTCACAGCCACAAAAATCAGCGCGGACAGCAGCGTCTGGTTACACAAGTGTCCCTCCGGGGCTGCGACAATTGCCAATGACAAGTAAATCAAGCACTCGCAAGTGTAATGGGGACTGATCAGGTGTCGAAACATGCCCTTGTCAGGTAGTGAATACTTTCTGAGGCCCGCCAGATACTCGTGACAGCGGTACTGTGACGTCCAGGCGAAGAAGAAGAGAGGCACCGCGATGGCCACCTTGAAAATCGCGCCCGCCGTGAGATCCAGTGTGAAGGACGGCAATTGATTCTGCAAGATGGCGCCTGCCGGACGTGTCAGCGAGCTGAGACTCTTTGAATCGTGTCCATAGGGCAAAGCATACCAGATCCCTCGATCCAGATGGCCACGCTGATTCCCACGTAGAACAGCTGGCCAAGTACCCAATGGACGATCCACATGGTGGACTTGGAAGGCTTCGCAAAAGCCCAGGACTCGTACAGCCGTCTTGCAGCCTGGAGAAGCATCAAGCACCACGCCACAGTGACGTGGCCATTCGCCAGTCCCGATGGCTCGAGCTCGACCTGCCAACTAGCTATGGAGCGCAAGGCTCTACCGTTGAAAAGACACTGGCTGGCCCAGAAGAGTGCGCATAGAATGTAAGTCGCGTAGAACGTGAAGAACCACATGTGAGGGACCTGGCCCAAGGAGGTAAGCTTCCTGACCGATCTAAGCCGGATGTCATCATCCTTTTGCCCGACAGCGGCGGCGGCGGCGGCGGCAACTGTTGTCGAGTCCCCTTGGCTCCGAGCTCCATAGTTGACCAGAAGCTTGCGCTCCCTGGTGGGCGCGACCGCGACGGCCAGGACGGCGCATGATGCGAGTGTGAAACCGGTCTGGCACAGATGAGCCGGGCTGACCGAGTACAGCAGCTGGACGGCTGCTTTGGGGAGCTCCTCCATTGTCGTCTCTGCCCAGGTAAGCCAGCCTGTGGTGGTGCGTGTATTTGGCGGGTGAGAGTGCACCCACGCTAGCTCGCTCCGATTTCAATGGCTACGGAATGGAGAGGACCTTGCTGGTTCGGCCCGGTCAGCTAGCTGGGCTGGTCTGTGCTTTTTCTGTCTCTGCCTTATTTTTTTGTCTCTGGTGTAGGTCTCTGCGCCCTGGTCTTGGCTTTTGCTTTTGTGACGCAGTCCCCCAGGGGATTCCGCCGATGTATCGGTGCTGAAAGTTTCAACTTTGTCTTTTGGATCTCCCACGACACGAGAGCTTGAATGTGCGCCTTCACATCGTGAACCTCACCCAACACGCAGGCCAGACCATGCTGCAGCTTGCCTGCCTCGCGGGTGGGTACGGTAGCCGCGAAGGCGGTCCGGCGACCCCCGATCTTATTCGCGACTAGGACGAGCGGCATGGACAACACAGCAATACAGAGAGCACAGCACCGCTATCTTGGAAACCGGGGTCGCACGTCCAGACAGACTTTGGCACATCATCAAAGGCCGATGATTGACGTACTAGCTTTTCGTTTTTCGCGGTTTCACCGCCTCTGTCCAGGCCACGGCTCAGTCGGTCAATGATTGAGTCGTAGGCTTCTACGCACAAAAAGCAGTCAGACACGCACTAGACAAAGAAGTCCGCCGTTGCAGGCGCTGCAGGCCGCCGCCTTGGCCTGGGCCAGCCCACGATCGCCTGAGTCCGCGAATCGACGTAGACCGGGTTTTGGGAAGGAACCATGCAACCGCTGTGACGTGCTCGGCATATCGTGAGATCCTGGCAACTCGCTATACTCCCCTGGCTAGCGGCGCCTTGTTCAGTTCCTCTGCCTGTCTCATGCCGAACCCATGTGGTGGTTTGAGGCTAATGTCGGGGAGGATGATGGGACAGGCCCGGTCGGTTCATAACGGGAAGTTCGTCAAGAGATTGGAGTTTATGGGTGGGGTTCGGACTCACGAACTCGCGCTACTCCTTTGCACTTACATGTGGCACGTGTATATATATCGCGATACCCCCACGCTATAGAACGTCATTTGCAAGAAATTTTGTTCCAGAGCGTTAAGCATCTAGCTTTTTTTTAGGTTTTCAAGGAGTTTGAGTATCGGCAGGAGTTTATTCGTCAGTGTTTACCAAACGGTACCAAAGGATACGTCAGTCAGTCATGGCAGTGAGAAAATCTATTCCCGCAACTTCACCTCGAGCGAACATACACTTACAGACCAGCACAGACACCATATCCCCAGGTCGTGCTCTTTGGCGACTCGTTATTCGAGGCATGCGTGGATGTCCAGGATGGCTTCTCCTTCTATGCCACTATCCAAAAACGTGAGTGTCCTTGAGCCTCACCCCAGAGCCCGGAGCCTCGAGAGAAACTCAGACGCTGACAAGGATTTCAGACTGCCTGCGGCGGTATGATGTTGTCAACCGCGGCTTCTCGGGCTACAACACCTCGCAGGCCCTGAAAATCGCGGAGGACATCTTCCCAGAGCCGGGCCCCGGCACGCCGAAGATGAAGTACCTGGTGAGTCTCTCCCCTCGCATCACAGTCAGGGGGAGGAGCCCAGCCCGGAACACGCCATGCTGAGTGAGCGGCCCGTGATCTGCCAGATCGTCCTCCTAGGCGCCAACGACGCGGCCATCCAGCTGGATGACGACAACCAGGGCGTGCCGCTGGAGCAGTACAAGGCGAACCTGGCGCGGCTGGTGGCGCACCCGCGCGTGGCGGCGCACGGGGCCAAGGTCCTGGTGGTGACGCCGCCGCCGCTGGACGAGATCCGGCGCGCGGAGCTGGACACGCCGCAGTACGGGCGCGCGGTGCGCGAGCAGGCCCGCAGCGCGGCGTACTCGCAGGCGGCGCGCGAGGTGGCGGCCGAGGCGAAGGAGAAGGCGGCGGAGACGGGGGCAGGGGCAGGGGCGGTGGTCTGTGTCGACCTGGCCAAGGCGCTCATGGACCACGCCGTTGCCAACACGACGGGCTGGGACGCCAGCCAGCCGCCGCTCGGGTCGGCGGCGGCGGGCGGCCGGAGGGGCTACCTCGAGAAGCTGCTGCCTGATGGGCTACACATGAGCGGCGAGGCGTACCGAGTGCTGTGGGGCCTGATCGAGCCGGAGATTGAGCCGCGGTTCCCGAATGAGAACACTGAGGGCTACGTGTGGCCTGGGTGGAGGGAGGCGCCGTGGCTGGAACCCGGGCAGTCTGTGTTGGAGAAGAATGCGTTGAGGTAGATGTGTTGTGAGTTGCAGAGTCGGGACGTTGTTGAGCTTAGGAAAGCTAGGTTGCAAGAGTGAGGTGTGTTGGGATGCTACCTAGTTCCGGGGACAGAGTTCAAGATGGGCAGTCCAATGGTAGGATCTGGGGATCTCCAGGCAGTGAGTACCAGTACATAGCACATAGCGTAGTAGAACCGAGTCCAAACAAACAAAATAGCTGCTAGCCACATAGATACAAAGATGTTTATTTTTGCTTCTTCAGCTACTGTCAAACGCGAAACAGGCCTCCGGCGTCTTGGATCTCCAGCTTTCCCTCTCTTGTCAGGCCGCATCGAGACATCAGACGGAAACCTGGAGACGGAAACAAGATGGGACGGGAAGGGAGATGCTTACATAAGTGCTGCAGTCCGTCGCGCATCCGTAACTAAATTGAGAACAGGCCCTGGCTTGGCAGCCCTGGCCGGCGTGTCTGCGTACCGTTAGCCGTTCTAAGGCAGGCAGACTGCAGGCAGACAGGCAGGAGGGAGCATGAATGACAGCCCAGCCCAGGCAAGGCAAAGACGGGGTCGGAACTAGACTCGACTAGGACTGGAACGGGGACTGACTGGGACCGGGACGATCCAATTGATAGATCATACTCATTCATCATCATCCAGTACAGTACATACACACACACACACACACACGCCTACACGCACAGCCTCCAACCTCCAGCCTTCCCCCCAAAGCACCGAACTGCACGCCACGCTGCAATCGACGCCTGTCCAGCATCCATCTATCTGTCCGTCTCTCTGCCTCACCTTCACCGAAACTCTGTCCCAACCAGCACTCCTCTTGTCTTGCCTTACCTTACGAATCATCCAGCTCGTCTCCAAATAAACCTTGTCTTGTCCTGACTGCCGATTGCACCTGGCCTAAGCGAAGCATCCGCCCTTGCTGTCTGTCCCTCTCCCGCCCTTGCCCTCGACTCATCAACTCCCACCCGTACTCTCTGTCCCTGATCGAACCCAACCATCTCAACACGACACTCGAAACCCACATTCTCGATAAGACTCCTTCATTCGCTACTGTGCCACCGCGACCTCGATCTGCCCATTCCCTCGAAGTATCCACGCCATAACCGGGACTCTAACGTGTCTGGGCCAACGTGAAGGAGCGCTGCACAGGATTCACGCCCGGCCACTTGGCCTTGAATAGCAACAACAAACCCAGGCGGCCATCGTCGGATCCAACCCGACCCTCTCCACTCGAATCAGGAACAGGAACAGGAGCCAGGCGGACAGTTTCAACACCAGTCAATACCAGCCGGAACCCCCCCCCCCCCCATTCTGCCGACGTTCGCGTTCCAGTGCTGTTCACAGCTTCCGGCTTACACGCGAACGCAAGACCCCATACCCGACTTGCACTTGTGCCTCAGTGCTGCACCTACAACAAAGCCAGCTCTGCTTCTACCCCAACAGCGGCAGGACACATCGCAGAAAAGACCTGCTGGTCTTTGCGTGCGATGTGGGGGGTGTACAACCTAGCGGTCTGATTCTCGACGATCGAGGTCGCAAACGACAGAGTCCGGGGCGGTTTCGGGCTGGGTAATATCTACAGTTGACCACGCATACGCATGGTAGAGCATTGAGTTGTTGGATACACGCATCCACTCTTTCTCGCGCCCACCAGCCCAGGCCGCAACGAGTGCGGTAGCTGCCAGCCTCGTCTGTCGATCGCCCTCCCTGCCTCGTTCTATCGGACGACAGCCTTCAGAGCCAAACTTCCGCGGTCAGTCCATACTGGCATGGATTCTCGTCTGACGCCTCTCCATCAAGAACTCCACAATGTGCAGATGGAAGTGAAGCAGGTCCAGTTCATCCAGGCCAGTCATGCCGAGAGGTTGATGCGGCTTGAGAGACGCCAGACAGAGGATGCCGTCAAATCGGTCTGGAACCCCTCACCCTTCCCCAGCGTACTGGGAGGGACACCTCAGCATGGTAAGATGTTCATATTGCAAATAGTTTGACTTAGAAGTGGTTACTAATACCTAACTATAGGTCCTGTTCAGATGCCCAACAATGAAGTCTTCGACGACTTCGACGATGAGCAAGGCCAGAACCTCTTAGGATCGCTTCACTTGGATGCCGACGAGGAGCCCACCCGCCGAGGGGCGGCATCAAGGGCAAATAGCGTCCGCTTCGACGAAGCAACTCTGCACGCTTCCAATTGGGGTCAAAGTGCACGTCATTCCGGCGAGTTTGGTCCTGCCAGGCCTGGAAGTGGTCTGGGAGGTCCTACGCTGATGGAGCGTTCCTTCTCCCACAAATCCGATGGACGACATAGCTCTGCAGGCCATTCGGTCCACTCCTTCCACTCGGTGGCATCCGGCAGGACCAGTAGCCTCGGTCTTGACTTGCTACTGGGCAGCAGTAGGGATGACGACGACAACGACTCGTCTCCGATCGAGATCACTCGGCCGCCCCCAGGCCTGATGTTTTTGGGACCTGTTCCTTCCATTGTTCGTTGCTGGCTTACGACCCAGTACGCACATGACACGCTCCTCTACGCAGTGGTCTGCACCGGATCTCAGAAGTCGACCATTGACTATTCGCTTCTCAAGGAGTTGAATCTCGTAGATGAGGCTCACAGAAATATCAACGGGGTCTTGCGGGCCAGCCTTCCTGTCTACTTTGCTGAAGCCACGGTGGCCCAATCAAGTTCTCGATCCTCCAGTCCGTCTCGCCGACAGGTACCTTACATCAATGTTGACTTCGAGATCACCGGAACGGATAATGCGGAGGTGGGGGATTACAAGCAGTCAATCCGCATTTTCGTTGGCAGCGACACCCTTACGTCGAATAGTGCGGACCTGCTCTTGTCTCAGAATCGGATGACGCTCTTCGGCAACGGTGATGATCGTGACAGACTCTCCGTTCCCTTTGTCCGTCCTGAAGATGAGTCTGTATATAAGCACATCACCACGGTCAACGTTGTCCCAGAGAAGCCCAAGCTCAATGCCAGCGCGCCAGCGTTCGTGTCTGGTGACCCCCGAGCCCAGACTGCGGCTGTTCCAGACCGGGCAGAGACCTCTGTCTCACATTCCGACGTTGGAGAATCTGACCTTCCGAGCCCTTTCTCATCGAGCACGAATCAGCCGGCCTACTCATCAAAGAACACGGCCACAAGTGTTCCATCCGACAGTGGCAGCGAGCGGCAGCAAAAGGAGACCGTTTCAGGTCCTGAAGAAAGCACTGGCAAGGAAGTTGCTACGAACTCGGATGCTGGAGGACGGCGGGACTCTACAGCCGGTATATGGGGATCTTGGCGACAAGGCGGCTCAGTCGGCGGTGGGGATGCTGCTCAGCGTGAGAATGGGTTGAGCGGGTACCAACCAGCGGGGAGGGGCGGGCGCAGCATGAAGATACTGAAGCCACAGAAATCGGTTTCGATATCTTCCTCAGCAGCCCGCAACGGAATAGGCCTCGACGCGCCGGCTTCATCCCGGTCAAGTGGTGAGTTCAGCCGGCGGAAGAGCCAGGGCGCCGCCTCATCCACCCTCGAACAGAACGGCAGCTCCTCCCCGGCCCCCGCGCCGACAGTGCGCTGGGACAACGTCAGGCGTAGCGTCAGTGCCGCCACGCCCAGCGCACTGTCCTCCAACAGTGGCGGGGCGCCGCCAACGCCGACGTCGACATCGACATCGACCACGGACAACAAGCCAAAGCCTCCTGCGACTCGCGCAAACCCTATCGGCGGCGCTTCGGCCTTTTCTTGGATGGCTGGCGGTGGTGGTGGAGGTGGCAAGCCCATGGAGAAGCCCAAGACACCTGCGACGCCTGTCTGAGTGGAATCAAAGACGGCCTACCAACATGATTGAGTAATTGATTTTGACTGGTGACAGTGGTGAAGCCGATGATCGATGACCATGTATTTTGAGCTGCTCCGCGCGTTTCGATACACCTCAAACACATGTTTTGTGAGACTATCCACGGCCGCGCCGGGCATCGTGGGTGTGTATTGTGTGTGTGGTGTTACTTTTGCTGCTCTTCACACCCCCTCCACCTAATCCCGACTTACCACCTGCTACCTTTTTGTTCTGAAACTTTCTCTCTTTCTCTCTGTGTACTACTACAGACAAGCGACCCCGGCAAGATTAGCAACTTCGCTAAGGCCTCTGAGAGGTGGCCTCGATACACTACATCCCTAGTTGAGAAGACAGCCAGACAGAAAATACAGATAAATTGAGATGGCCTTTGAGTTCAGAACACGGTGCTTTGCTATTCTTCTTGATTAGGTCCCTGTCCTTCTGCTGAATTACTTGCCTCACAGCCCTTTGTTAGACTGCAGATTCTGAGACAGGCTATGGGCATATGATGGCCAATTCTTCCGGTATATGTGGAAGCTTCTCCGTTGATACTTTGATAGCTAACTCCAGCTTCTGCGGCATTGCCCACCTTTCTCGATGTGTATCCTCGCTGCACACACGGGATGTCGCCCTGCATGAAGCAGCTTGGCCAATGTTCCTAATTGGCAGGAACCTTTACCCAGAAGAGTCCTGCTGACTTCTGGCCATATCCTGCACAGTGGCCGGCTGCCAATCGCTTTCCGAACGGCTCAGCCACCCAGGCAGACTCGGGGGAGCCTTGTGCCCCTCTCATTGCTTCCCACCATGCCTCTTGTCTAACACAAGCCTGTATCTCTATCCTACATCCAGGCACGCAGGAGAAGCCAGCCACCCGAGGCTTTTCCTGACGTCTCCACACCGGCAGCGTTTCCACGGCTGCGAGCAGGGACTGTAGACAAACAAAACACTATGGATCCCTTCTCAGCATTCACGTCGGTGGTCGCGGTCATCGAGCTGGTCGGGAGGGTATCGATCTCGGCGGCGTCCCTGATGCGCGATGTCAAGGACGCGAGGACGGACATGATCCAGGTCCGCAAGGATCTGGGGGGCCTGTCCGCGGTCCTGAAAATGGTGGACGAGGATCTGTCCCTGAGGAACCGCCGCCCCGACGCGGCCGTCGACGGCATCGCGAACAACTGCCTCGCGGTCTTGTCAGAAATCGAGGCGGTCCTCGGCGAGGGGAGGTCCCGGTTCGCGTGGGCTGCGTCGAGAAAGGAAAGGGTGGACAAGCTTCGGGCGAGGCTCAATGAGTATACGCTGTGGCTTGATGTCGCACTGGGCTACAGTACCAGGTGAGTTGCGCGCCGCAACCTCCCAATTGATGTGTAGCGCTGTAAATAACAGATTATAGGGTCGTCGTCCACGATATCAAGAGCGACACGGCGTCCATCCTCGGGAAAGTCGACAATATCGAGCGGTACATACTGCGCAGAACGTGGGCGGAGATCACCAAGCCTGGCATGAGAACTACCGTGAGGATGTGTCCCCCCGCGCAAACGGCCCCAGGGGTCTCGCACTCAAGACAACCGCAACAGCTACCATGGCAAGGGCCGTCGGGCGCGCCTGGTGTGAGTGGGCTACCTAAACCAACAAATCACCACGGTTCACAACAGCCGCCACCGCAAAGACTGCCATTGCAAATGCCACCATCGCAAAGGCTGCCGGGCGCACCTGGTGTGGGTGGGCTACATGCACCTCAACCAACAAATCACCACGGTTCGCTACAGCCGCCGCCGGTTGCGGCTGGTATGAATAGGCCACCTATACCCACAGGTCACCACGGCTCACAACAGCCGCCACCACAAAGACTGCCAGGCGCACCTGGTGTGGGTGGGCTACATGCACCTCAACCAACAAGTCACCACGGTTCACAACAGCCGCCGTCGGTTTCGGCTGGTATGAATAGGCCGCCTTTACCAACAGGTCACCCCGGCTTGCAACAACCGTTACGGCAAAGGCCGCCGGGCACGACTGGTGTAGGTGGGCTACCTATACCAACAAGTCACCCTGATTCGCAACAAGCCTTATGGCAAAGACCGTCGGGCAGGACTGGTGTAGGTAGGCTACCTATACCGACAGGTCACCCCGGATGGCAACCTCCGCAAAGTTTCAATAGTTCGTAGAAAACGCCAAGTAAAGGATGCCATCCTTTTCGTGGTGGTATGACGAGAACCTGGTGTGCACTGACGGTGGCCGCTTGTAAAGTCTCGGCAGTACTTGAACTTGTGGGCATCTCAAGAAGCATGCGAGGGCTTTCAAGAGGTGGTCCGCATGCTTGATCTTGTCATGGAGATGGAGATTGGTAACGTTTGCAAGACGCGGCAAGAGAAGTTCTTTCATTTTGGGAGAAGGGGAGAGGGCAAGGTTACCAATTCCGCATGAAAGCAACGAAGACTGGACAGCTGGGCAAGACGAGACAGTTTCTGTCAATAACGCAGTCCGCGCAGCTTTCTGATATGGGTGGGTCACCGAGAATGGCTTATGTACAGGCAATATACCCTAGCTGTATGATACACATCCCACGGGTTTTCTCTACCTCACTGGCGGAGGCTTGCCAACATGGGGTTTCTAACGTCTACTCCACGCTTTTCCTTGTTGTCTCGTATCTATTCAGCTTGTTAGCATTGTGCGTCTGACCGCGAAATGCACAACAGGAACAAAGAACTTACCTCTTTCCACGGAAGGCCCACACACCCCAGTTGCCGCATGTGACGTCCTGGGGATCCATATCGTTGAGGTCCCACCTCAGACTCCTGAAGGTGTTCTCCCCGGGCTTCAGCAGCAGATCGAACTCGCCCGCGGCCGTCTTGTTAACCCACTCGATGTCCCTCTCCATGTCGTACTGCGTGTAGCCGGTCACGATAATGGGAGCCTTGGTCTCCAGCAGCATGGGCAGCGTCTCGGCCCACTCGTGTGAGCTGGCCGGGTGGCCTAGGCCAGGGTGGAAGAGCACGAAACAGTCGAAATAGGGGTCATATGGATAGAACATGCCTGTCCTATGGATGGTGTGGTAGTAGTCCACGATCGTGCTAATCTTCATGTTCTGCCAGGGCCGCTCGACGACTGCGCCGAAGGGGTTGCTCGGCGTCCTCTCTGGGAGCGGGAACTCGTCGTCACGGTTGGCCATGGACTCTGGGCCGATGAAGATCAGGTGGAAGCTTGAGCGCGGGAAAAGGTGCGCCAGCTGGACCCAGGCGTCCCGCGGGAGCGAGGACTCTGCGCGGGCGCCGAGGATGAAGAGGCGGACTGGGGGCGCCTCGAGGCGCAGGTTCTTGACCTCTGTGCCGCCGCCTGTCTTCGGCGGGTGCAGGGTATACCTCAAGGCGCTGAAACTCTTGAGGCCCTCTGGGGTGAGCTTGCCGTTCTCCCGCAGGCCGTAGGGGCTGAGCTCGTGCAAAATGCTGCCGACTGTCACTGGGTAGGTGAGGAGCCTCGTCGCCTGCCGCATGCTCCTGTCCGAGTTGATGGCCTCGAAATTCCTGGTGTACAGGAACGTGTCCCAGTTCGTCATGTTCACCATGGCCTCCTCCAGCTGCGGCCCGGCGTACTGAAACTCCGGGAAGAATCTGCCGGACCGCAGGTCATGGTCGTCTTCGTTGATCTGCCTCAGCGTGTCGCATATCTCCAGGTGGGCCTCGTAGTCGGCCATCCAGTGCTCCTTGCTGCAGTATACGGGCACGCCGCAGTCCGGGCATTCGAAGTTGACATGAGCTGGGGGCAGTTGGGCGGTTTCGGCGTCCTGCCGCAGGGGTTGGCCACTTTCGGAGAGTCGGGTTGGTCGGTGCTCTGGGCAGGGGCAGTAGGCATGTTGGCGGATGAAGGCCGCGCGCTGGCGGATCTCGGGAATGGGTGAGTTGGTGTAGGAGTGGAAGAGGTTGTCCTCAGTGAGAACTTGTTCGCTGGAAGTGGATGGTTCGCTGGCGGACTCGTTCTTGAAGCCAAAGGCTGTTGCGGCTTGCGCGAAGCTCGAGGAAGACCGCGTGACTCCTTCCGGCCTCGGACTGCCCACTGTCCGTCTTGTTGGTTTTGCAGGCTTTCCCGTGTGTACCGTTCGCGCAGTCGTCGGCGAAGCTACCATGCGAGGGGCCCATCGTTTCGCTGTAGATCGTGCGCATTGCCGGCACATTGTGCTCAGCGCAGCGCGTGCTGCCGAATCAATTGACGGTGCCATGGCAGGTCAATTGGCATGGGTAGAAACTCTTCCCAGTGCTGACAGGAAGGAAAGGGAAGACAAAAAAGGTGCCTACTATAAAAGTAGTCGTTTAGATCATGGAGTCAAGCCGCAGGTGGGATGGAGTGAGGTGAGTGAGTGAGCTCATGATTTGGAGTACCTGGCAAGGTGTGGCTGAAGCTCATTCAAAGTGGCGCAGCAGCGCGAACCATTTTTTTCTTGGAGCGAGCGAGCTGGACAGCAGCTGTCAACCTCGATGCGCGCCTGGAGCATCCAACCACCTGGAGCTTCGAGCTTCACAAACAACACCCCTCTTCCCCACCACCAAACACCTGCGACCGTCCGCCCAAGTCCAGCATTAATAGACCCATGAGGGCGCTGCGCAGGCCATCTGCGACCTAGAAGTCAAGATGGCGACCACATCCAACATGTTCCTGTACTCCTTGACCATCCAGCCGCCGTCGACCATCACCCAGGCCATCCTGGGCCAGTTCTCGGGCACCAAGGAGCAGCAGATCATCACGGCCTGTGGCTCTCGTCTCTCCCTCCTGCGACCCGATCCCAGCCAGGGCAAGGTCATCACTCTGCTCTCGCACGATGTCTTCGGCATCATCAGGTCCATCGCCGCCTTCCGCCTGGCAGGCAGCAACAAAGGTAAGCCCGTCCTCTTCGCAACCCACTCCCCCTCTCAAGCGTGGGCTCTTAGTGATTCAAAGCCGACCTGCCAGATCTTTCTCGAGTCCCAGCATGATCGGGCTGTGTCTGTCTTTGTACGGAGGGTCCATACTTCTGCCCCAGGCTTTTGCTGACGATGGCCGCAGACTACATCATCCTTGCCACCGATTCTGGTCGGATTGCCATTGTCGAATATCAGCCATCACAGAACAGGTTCACGCGGATCCACCTCGAAACCTTTGGAAAGTCGGGAATCCGCCGAGTCATTCCTGGCCAATTCCTCGCAGCGGATCCGAAGGGCAGAGCGTGTCTGATCGCGTCCGTGGAAAAGAACAAACTCGTCTATGTCTTGAATAGGAACTCTCAAGCAGAGCTTACCATATCCTCGCCCTTGGAAGCGCATAAGCCTGGTGTGCTTGTCTTCTCCCTCGTGGCTCTCGATGTCGGTTACGCGAACCCCGTGTTCGCCGCCTTGGAGACCGAGTACACAGAAGCGGACCAGGACTCCTCAGGCCAAGCCGCTCGGGAGGCGGAAACGCAACTGGTATACTACGAGCTCGACCTGGGTCTGAACCATGTAGTTCGGAAATGGTCAGAGCCTGTCGACCCGACCTCGAGCCTGCTGTTCCAGGTTCCGGGTGGCAACGACGGCCCCTCAGGTGTGCTTGTCTGCGGAGAGGAGAATGTTACATATAGGCACTCCAACCAAGAAGCTTTCCGGGTTCCCATCCCACGGCGGAGAGGCGCAACTGAAGACCCGCAGCGCAAGCGCTCCATTGTTGCAGGTGTCATGCACAAGCTCAAGAACAGTGCTGGTCTATTCTTTTTCCTTCTCCAGACCGAAGACGGAGATCTATTCAAGGTGACCATTGATATGGTCGAGGACGCCGAAGGCAATGCTACTGGAGAGGTTGAGCGCTTGAAGATCAAATATTTCGATACCGTTCCGGTCGCATCCAGTCTGTGCATCCTGAAAAGCGGATTCTTATTTGTTGCAAGCGAGTTCGGAAACCACCAATTCTACCAGTTCGAAAAACTTGGTGACGACGACGAGGAGCTTGAGTTCAGCAGCGACAATTTCCCTACTGACCCGCAGGAGGCCTACGAGCCTGCGTACTTTCACCCTCGGCCGAATGAGAACTTGGCCCTCGTTGAGAGTGTCAACTCAATGAATCCCCTCGTCGATTGCAAGGTTGCAAATCTCACAGATGATGACGCGCCGCAAGTCTATGCCGTGTGCGGCAATGGTGCTCGCAGTTCATTTCGCACGCTCAAGCACGGCCTGGAAGTCAACGAGATTGTGGCCTCAGAACTTCCTGGCACGCCATCCGCAGTCTGGACCACCAAGCTTCAGAGCGACGATCAGTTTGATGCGTACATTATTCTGTCATTTACCAATAACACTCTGGTGCTCAGTATCGGCGAAAATGTGGAACAAGTCAGTGATACCGGGTTCTTGGACTCGGTCCCGACTCTGGCCGTTCAGCAGCTCGGAGACGATGGTCTCATTCAAGTCCATCCTAAAGGAATACGGCATATCCGCAGCGGACGGGTGAATGAATGGAGCGCACCGCAACACAGATCCATCGTGGCCGCCACTACGAATTCCCGACAGGTTGCCATCGCTTTGAGCTCTGGGGAAATTGTCTATTTCGAGATGGACGAAGATGGATCGCTCGCCGAGTACGACGAGAAAAAGGAAATGTTTGGAACTGTGACGTGTCTAAGTCTCGGCGATGTCCCTGAGGGCCGTCAAAGAAGTTCATTCTTGGCCGTTGGATGTGATGACCGCACTGTCCGCGTGCTGAGTCTGGATCCTGACTCTACACTCGAGAACAAGTCCGTGCAGGCGTTGTCTGCAGCTCCATCGTCTCTGGCAATCATGGCGATGGAAGATTCCGCTACCGGAGGATCTACTCTCTACTTACATATTGGTCTACATTCTGGTGTCTACCTGCGGACAGTCCTGGATGAGATTACCGGTGACCTGACTGATACCCGCCAGAAATTTCTGGGTATCAAATCTGTGAGGCTGTTCCAAGTAACCTGCCAAGGCTCGGTTTGCGTTCTTGCCCTTAGCTCCAGGGCATGGCTAGGATATGCCGACCCTCTCACCAGGAGCTTCATGATGACTCCCCTCGACTATCCGGACCTGGAATGGGGCTGGGGTTTCAACAGTGAGCAATGTGTGGAAGGCATAGTAGGGATTCATGCCAACTATCTCAGGTCAGTTCCGCTTCCCTCGTCCTACCACAACCCAACATATCATGATGATAAAAGGGATACCGACTGCCTCTCATGGCTATGAGGCCTTGTAATCTTTTAGATTTCAATTGTTCCTTCTGATGATACCCACATGCCCTAAATTTTACCATCGTCACATGCATCGAGAACAATACTGACGGTGCTGCAGAATCTTTTCGATCGAGAAGCTTAGTGAAAGCCTGATTCAAAAGTCGATACCCCTCACTTACACACCGAAAAAGCTGGTCAAACATCCCGATCAGCCTTATTTTTACACAATCGAAGCCGATAACAACACACTGCCCCCAGAGTTAAGACAACAGCTACTGGCGGACCCAGGGGTCGTTAATGGCGACTCCACAGTTCTCCCCCCTGAAGATTTCGGATATCCTCGTGGAAGAGGACGATGGGCATCATGCATTAATGTAGTCGATCCCGCATCAGAGGAACCTGGCGTACCATACAGAGTAGATCTGGACGGAAATGAGGCAGCAGTGAGCGTAGCTGTGGTGCCGTTTGCAAGCCAAGATGGCGAAAGTTTCCTCATTGTCGGCACAGCCAAGGACCTGATCCTTAACCCACGCCAGTTCACCGAGGGTTACATCCACATTTATCGATTCCAGGAAAACGGAAGGGAACTGGAGTTCATTCACAAAACCAAGGTCGAAGAGCCGCCAATGGCTCTGTTGCCATTCCAAGGCAGGTTACTGGCCGGCATTGGCACGACATTACGAATCTACGACCTGGGTCTGCGACAGCTTCTGAGGAAGTCACAAGCAGAAGTCACGCCAAACCTCATCGTGTCTCTTCAGGCCCAAAACAACCGCATCGTCGTCAGTGATGTACAACAAGGTGTGACCTATGTCGTATACAAGCCTGAGACCAACAAATTAATACCTTTTGTGTCTGATACGGTCAACCGATGGGTAACATCGTCGACCATGGTCGATTACGAATCAGTGGCTGGCGCTGACAAGTTCGGAAACGTCTGGATTCTCCGGTGCCCGGAGAAGGCCAGTCTCGAGGCTGACGAGCCAGGTTCCGAGGTGCACCTCACCCACGCGCGGCCCTACCTCCACGCTACGCCTCACAGAGTGGACCTTATGGCGCACTATTACACCCAAGACCTGCCCACCAGCATCACCAAGACGAGTCTTGTGGTCGGTGGCCAAGAGGTATTGCTGTGGGGCGGCATCCAGGGCACCATCGGCGTCTTCATCCCCTTCATGAGCAGGGAGGACGTGGACTTCTTCCAGAGCCTGGAACAGCACATGAGGTCCGAGGATGCACCGCTCGCCGGGCGTGATCACCTCATGTACCGTGGCTACTACGCGCCGGTCAAGGGCGTGATCGATGGGGATCTCTGCGAGAGGTACTCGCTGCTTCCAAACGACAAGAAGCTGATGATTGCGGGAGAGCTGGACCGTTCAGTCCGGGAGGTTGAGCGGAAGCTTTCGGTGAGTCCTGGCGCGTGACTTTCCCTCGATCAAAAACCATCGCTAACGAGTCAAATAGGATATCCGCACACGCTCTGCGTTCTAGAGTTAATGCTGTGTGTATGTCAAGGCGTTGTGGGATAGGATGGTAGCGTCTGATGATTGATTCATTCAAGGTACGCGATCTGTGTATGTACATACAATGGTGAGATGATGGGTTCTCTTGCCGGGCGTCTGGTGCAGGACATGATGCATGGTATACCAACCGCGGGCTGGCGTCGGCCTGTAACCCTTGCAAAATGGGTAAAAGAAAATTCAAAAGAGTCCGTCTTGCTCAACAAACATCTTACAATAATCTCTAGCTCGCTCCAAACATGCCTGCCCCAGGTTGTCCGCCCTCATCGCGACGGGCCCTGCCTCTTCAAAAACGCAGCCTGCGCCGCCCAGGTCCCGCCCTTGGCAGGGCCCATCTTACCCTTGCCCTTGCCCTTCCCCGACCCCTCAAGCGGGTGCAGCCTCTCCCACTCCTCGTCACCAAGGTACCGCTCGACCGCGGCCCCGAGGTCGTACCCGCTCTGGGCGAGGTACAGCTCGGCGACCTCGTAGCCGGCGCACTTGGTCGCGACCATCCAGCGGCGGATCTTGTTGCGGCGCGCCTCCTCCTCCTCGCCCTCCACGGGCCGCGGGCTCAGCGATACCCCCGACGGGTAGTGGGTGCCCGGCACGAGCAGCGTCCGCCGCGCAGACAAGAGGTGGTCTGATGTTATGTTGTTGTGCCGCCGCAGGACTGCTGCTGGCACGTTGTACCGCAGGGACAGCGAGGGGATCGTGTCGTCTGTTGGGTGTACGAAGTGGAGCGTGTCTGGGGGCGGGGGATCGTCGTCGTTGCTGGACTTCTCGTCTGAGGGGTAGGAGGTGGGAGAGGAGGAGTGGGTAGTGGACGGCTTGTACGGCGGCGGCGGGGCGGCGTCGTCGTTGTTGTCGGGTGTGGCTGGCGTCCGCGGGGCCGTCTTGGCCGTTGCCGTGTCGTAGGAGGGCGGCTCCCGGAGGCCCTGTGGCAGAGGATTGGATGGCTCGCTGGCGATCTGGCAGTAGGGGCAGTACGAGGCGAAGCGGGCGTTGTCCTGCGGAAGAAGGGGGGTGGTCTGTTAGCTCGGCTCTGCAGGGGAAAGACACCGTGTGAAGTCCAGTGTGTAGAAAGACGAGAAAAAGAGAAAGGCTCACGTGAATACACCGCCCGCAGATGACCCTCGAGCAGCACTCCAGCCTCCTGTCGCCCGGGTACGGCTTCTCGGTCTGGGGCGAGTATCTCGGGACGTCGGAGAGCACCGTCGCGCACGTGCAGCACGCCTCGGAGGCCTGGCCGGGCAGGATTGCTGACAGGGGGATCTTCATGCTGGGGACGGGACTACTCGGGGAAACCAAAGGGAAATATGTCCAACTTTAACACAAGAATTACAAAAATTGCTTGAACTGGGGATATCAGTGACAGTAGGATCTGATGGCGGAAGGTGGCGGCGAGGTGACGTTCTTGATACGCCTTATCGATACGCTGCGGGTGATCCGCGGCCGAGGCGGCACCGAAGCCTTAAGTAGCAGTTGGTCTCTGTGCTGATGGGCTTGGATTTCAATATCTGCCAAAGCCTAGTTCATGCCATGAAGTACAGTAATTAGGAGTCTGTATTGAATGCTGCGGAGACACAAGATCATTCTATCATGAAAAATTAAGGAATACCCACTAGCCTGCTACTCGGACCACCAACCTGAAGCATCGCCGACGAGCCATTCATTCTCCTCTGCTCTAAGGGACCAAGACCATTGATGCGCCCTTACCTCCCATCATAATCACTGTTGATCCAGCTCTCTCAAGTCCGTGTTGATAACCAAGTCATCCTTGCCTCGCATGTGCAACACGATCGTCAGCCCCTCCAGCCCAAGATCAGCCTGCTGGCCCTGGTCATCCACGACCTCTGGCTTGAGCGCGAGGTACTTCTCCTTCCAGTCGCAATGGTGGTCATGACCTGCCTCAGAAATCCCAAAGTCCTGCCCCTGATGGCCGTCCTCGATTTCTCTCTTCAGCGTCTCGTACTTGTCCTTCCAATCAAACTGGTGCTCACTGCCCCTCTCGGCGGTAGGCTGATGGGATTTTGGCGAGTCCTTCTGAGTTGGAGCACGAGTAGAATGCGGCACTTCTGACTGTTTCTGGGTGGCCTCCTTCGCCTTATCCTTTTCCCGGGAGGCGGACTGGTGGTTTTTCGACTTCGATCTCTGCTCATGTTGGTGATCGCGGCCCTTTTCAGTTATAGTATGATGAGGCTTGCTCGGGCGCTGCGACTCTGACTGGTCAAGGGTGGTGGCATCTACCCTGCCCTTACCCTTGTCCTTAGCTGACAGCCTTGGTCTCTCCAGTGAGTTCTCTCGAGTCAAAGAAGTGACAGAGCTGGGCACAGATATTCCTGCCGGCTTGTAGTCTCTGAAGGTTCTGCCACGCCGCGCCGCAGTCTCCATAGACTCCTCTTCAGGCTCCGAGATGGTCGAAAGGAGAATTCGCGCTTCGGAACGGATTTTTCTCAACCTTTTCTCTGCATCTCTGTGAGCGGTATTGGCCCTTGTCTCCTTGGGTAGTCGGCTGTAATGAGACTGGCTTGGAGCTTTTGCTTTGTGGGGACTCAATCTCCTCCGCACATCACGGAAATCCTCCTCTCCTATCTCCTCATCGGCCCTGTGTCGGTGCGGCGAGCTGCTTGGCCGATAGGAACGATGACTTTTCATTTGCTCTCGCGGGCGCGAAGTTTGGCCTCGCAGCCAGTCTGGAGGTGATCGGAAACGGCTCCTCGGACGGCTCTCCTGAGGCCGAACTTCTTCTCTGTACTCGCGGTGACGATGAGATCCATGACGCGAGGGCTCATCATTAGGTGAGTGGCTGTGTGGATGTTTGTGATATCGCTCGTGCGTTTCAGTTCTTTGGAAGCTGTGCGTTCTCGGTCCAGAACGGTCTAATGAGGAATGCCCAAACTCACGGTGGTCTCCTTGGTCGACGGGCTCTTTCACGTGACGATCGTGACGCTCTTCATGCCGTAAGTCATCATCTCGGTGCTCTACATGGGCTGGCTTGCTTGCATCATGCCTATGATGCTCATGGTGAGAAGCATAGTGTTCCGTCTGCTGCGGATTGTCTGTGGAGGTCTCATCAGCGCTGTATGTGGACCGAAGTTCGCTGCAGCTGACACTGTGACGATACGGCTGGTGTCCAGGATGAGTTGCTCGACAGGCTGGGTCACTACAATGGTCATCCAGGTGCTCGCTGTCGGATCTGCGAGAAACACACTCGGACGGCGCGGCACCTTTTCTGGTAGCCTGGGTCTTGGTCACAGGCCTGGACGTAGATGGTCCACCTGCTGTGAGACGATCCGCTACAATGAAGGGGTTGTCTTTCACAGATGATGCCCTAGAGCCTCCTGGCTTGGGCTGGGACGTCGTGGTTATTCCTTGATGTGCGGAACTTTGGCCAAGCTCTTGCTCTTTCACAGTGTTCCTGTCCCGTAGGCTGGTCCCAACATCACTCGCCTCCAAAGGATCTGCAGACTCCTTGACAGGAGAAGGAGGCACGCTCCTGTTGTAGCTGGTCAGGGTTTCGCCATCGCGTATGGTGAGATGAACGCCACCGGAATCCTCAAAAGCCTTGTGCGACTCATCAGCTCCCTCGGGAATGGGGCACGTGCATGTCTTGCAAAGAGGGTGGCCACAGGAGGTACAGTAGGTGCGAATGCTCGAGACCGTGGCGAGGCAGACATGGCAGGTCCTCACAGACGGGTCGACACTGTTTGCTCCATCGAGATCTGCAAAGATTTTGGACAAGTTCTGCACGGAGACGTGGCCACCGCCGCCAGGGGGAGGACTGCCTGTACGTTCTTCCGACAGCTAGCCGGCAGGACGGTCGATCCCATGTTGTTCGAATAGCTCGCGGGCCTCCGCCATCGTACAGGCAGAGGAACCAGCCATCAGTGGCGATGCAGAGAGGTCGGAATTCCCAGGCACACGACGAAGATTTCTGAGAGGTTTGACAGGGGCGAGGTGCTCAAGGCTGACGTGGGAGCGGATGGGTAGGCCAGAGGGGTTTGATGGCTTTTCGCTGGTCGACGGTCTAGACAGGGCAGATGAGCTACGTCGAAGCGCACAGGGGACCTGCTTTTGCACAACATGTACTGCTTGCCGGTCTTGAAGCCAGGGGTAATGAGAGAGGCTTTGTTCAGCATCGGGCGTCGAGGCCCCCAATGTGTCCTTCGCAGAGAGTTTGAGCGTCTTGCTAGCGGTCGGAAATTGGGCAGCAGCTGAAAGGAATGGTATCTTGTCTAATGGCATTAAAGGTATGGAGTTAGAAAGACTGAATCCCTGTCCGATGAAACAAACGACCGAACCGACGGGTAGCGATGCTGCCGATGGAAGACGCGTATAGGGTACGAACACATCCGGGCATGGCCCTGCGTCTAATTGTCAATTGTATAGGATTGCTGAGGTCGAGGCTTTGAAAGTCGGCGGGCTTAGTCGACAACAAACTGGAAGGCGCTGGTCGGTCATTATAAGAAGTGAAGCTGCGATACAGAATCCCTCTGAAGTGGTTGCGTTTCCCTGGAGTTCGGCAACTCATATCGTACTTGATGGCCGAAGGCAGACAACATAATGGCAGGAACGAGCATGAAAGGTCATCCGATTAGAGGACTGGGCAACACGAGCGAGGTGATGCTCGAAATAATGCTTCTCAACCCTTTAAGATGGCCCACGAGACATAGATCTAGTCAGCTTCAACAGTCCATAGTTGGTCACAGCGCAGCAATCAATAACCTCGACCCAAAAAAAAGCGTGTTCGGCTAACAGCCTGTCTAGTTGGACCACCATCTCCACCAAGATGCTTAAAGACATTCGTGACGTAGTGACGTCGTGACGTTCACATTGTTCCGGTCATGCTCATTTTGTGAAGATCAGAAGTTCGGTATTGGTATTCTACATGGGGCGCAATGAAACCACGACTCTACTTCAGAGAAGCCTGCAGAGTCTCGAGAACCTGGTGACGACAAGTTAGCATGACGTTTCGTTTTCCATGTTCCACATCTTGCGCCGATGGAAATAGCCGGGACGTGACTTGCCTCCAGCTCAATCTTGGCCTCAGCAATGTCCTGCTCGCTGCCGCTGCCGTTGGCAACCTTCTGGGCCTCGGCGAGCTGGGCTCGGACGGCGTCGGCGCTGAAGTCCTCCAGGGGGTAAGCCTCGACGGCGTTGATGCTCAGGGACGAGTTGGGCTGGACGACGGCGAATCCTCCGGACACTGCGATGACACGAGTCTGTAAGCTACCGTTCTGTATGACTGCGTTGATATGTTCGTTTGAAGTTCGACGGGGAGGAGGGAGGGGCCCGCTGCGCTTCGGTCATGTACATACGGAAGAACTGCTTGCTGTTGCCGCTCTCCTCGACGATCTCGACCAGGCCGGGTTTCAGCTGCTCAATGGAGGGGACGTGGTTGGCGAGGACACCCATCTCTCCAGACTCGGCGGGGAGGTTGACCTGGACGACATCCTGGGACTTGTAGAGGGACTGCAGTGTTGCATGAGGTAATTAGCTGTCGCGGTTCATTCGTTGGTTCGCCAATGGGCCCCTGCTCGTCATTGTTCGTCCTCCTGCTTGAATCCCTATCGTCTGCAGGTTCTGGTCTGGATAACAAGAGGTCATGATCGTACCTGGTGGGGAAGGGCCAAGCTGAGCTTGATCTGTTGGTCGTCGCAAAAGTTCAGTCAGTGAGAGCTCTCTATCGGGGCGGCGCGGGATTCGACGGGTTGAGGGCTGGGCGGCTTGCCTTGTCATTGACGGCCTCGGCGTAGCCTCTTCGCTGCAGAGGGGCCCGGATGGCGGCCGGACGCGCTCGGAGGGCTGCACGGGAGGCGATGCGGAGGGAGTTCATGATGGCTGGTGGACCAATTGATGTTTATTCACGGCTTCGCAGACCTGGAGCTCCGAGCGCGGGTGACAAGCGAGAGAAGGCTTTCCAACCTTCCGGGACGAGCCTGGCTCTTGGCGATCACGTGCCGGAGCCAGCTGAGTCAGCTGAGTCCGTGCCACCCATCACCGCGCTCAGCATAATCTGTACACACAGTGACACAGTGCGTTACATGCATCTGCATGCAGTTTGCACATCAATGTAATGCAGACTAGTACAATTGACAGAACGACATCTGAAGACATAACTTCTTTCGTCCACAAACATCCAGCTCCAAATCTACACAACTGTCTCCATCCCGCAGCCGTCACTCATCGCAATAGTCCACATGCCCATCACGTACCAAGCTCGTGCGGACGCGGCCGGTGCTGGGAGATGCCGCCCACGTCGCCCTGGAGCTCAGGCCTGTGAGAGGCTTCAGTCGGCATCTCAAACTTATAGCCGAGACCAGCGATCTGGCCCTCCTCTTCAGACTTGACAGTCTCTGGCGACACAGTGTAACGCGACGCCGGCGTCACTTGGGATACATGCTGCGACAGGGGACTGGGCTGGTGTGGTGGTCCTGACAGCCCCGAGCCCGTGCGAGCTGCCACGGCCCGGTCTAACCTCCGCCGGTACGCCCTGCGGAAAAGGAAGGCCAGGGCTCCGAGCACCAGCAGCCCCCCGATGATGGACCCGACGGCGATCCCGGCCTTGGCACCGCCCGACAAACCGTTGCTACCGCCGCCACCTGACGTCGATCCCGTCGCAGTCGCCGTCGCAGTGCCCGACGCCACGCTCGACGTGTTCCCGGTGCTTGTCGCGGCGTATGTGGGCAGCGCCGTCGGGTTGAACGAGATGGTCCCGCCCGCAGACGTCGGCAGGCTGCCGATCTCGCCGAGGCTGGACTGCCCGTTGGTGTTCTCGATCAGGACGTTGGTGAGGTTGCAGCTACAGTTCTCCTTCTCGAGCTCGACCTTTTGTGGGTGGTGCGCGCAGCCTGTCCACAGGGAGATGTTCTCGCCGCTGCAGCGTGCCATGGCCACCCACTGCTGCCCCTTGTATCCGGGCTTCTGGGCACATTGCTCGTCCAGAAAGGTCGGGTCGGTGCAGCCGGCCAGGTAGGTTACTCCGGCTGTCCGCTCCTGTCAACATGTGAACCATCTAAGACATTTAAAAGAGGGAGTATACCCACATGCTGTATCATAGCATGCGTAGCTGTCGAGGCAGTATGAACCCTCGAAGCAGCAGTGTTGAATACCAGAGAGCTGTGCATTGCCGCAAGGTATATAGCGTGGGTCTGAGACTTGGCCCCCTCCATAATAGCAAGTGCCATTAGAGACGTATAGGTCAGCTTGGTTGGACATGATGGAAAACAAGCATGGCCTGGCCTTGCAGAAACCGGAGAAGTGGTGAAGAAGTGGGGTTCATGAGAGGACGTCGGAAATGATGCTCGACAAATTCTCAGAAAACGGAAGGGAAACGTGGTGGATCTCTTCGAATCTTTCCCAGCCATAAGGCTCCTCCTGCGTCATGGCATGACTGGTTACCGCCAAGGTTAGCTGTGAGTTGTGAGGGTGTATAGTCCGCAAAGATCACCAGTAAGCTGCATGTTGGCGTTGGCTCCTTCTGGGACACGATCGCCGATTTGATTTCCACATCGAGAAAATGGAATTGACAAACGAATTCTTTGGATGATCCTAATTGGCCTGGAACATTCTCACCAGCGGTTCAGCTCCGCATTATGCCCGGCAAGCTCGGTCGATTCGGTGCCGCTGTCAGTGGAAGGCTTCCTTCCACCGCAAGTTGGGTGCACATGGGCTGACCTGTCCCCCCCTCAGTTATCTAGGCAGGACACCCCATTCCGCGTTGGCGCGGTAAACTTTGCCTGGGCGGTGATATAAGCTGAACACTTCCATTGGGTTAGAATTGGAGGATTACGGTCCTTTTTGTTTCTAAAACTTGGTTATCTTTCCGTAATCTTCGATTAGAAAGACTTCGGGAGGGGCCTTTCTCCACACCAGAAGCGTTGTCGTGGTTGAGGGTTGACAAAGTATAGTCCTGTCTGACATTGTCTGTTCTGCGAAGACTTTCTAATCTGTGCTTTGACGTTCATGCAGGATTCCTGAAAGATGGGGGCAAGACCATAATTTACTTAGAGGACTGAATACTATCGCGCCAGTCATTGGTACCGCGCAGCATGTAGCCAATTGCTTCTGTGATGATCACTCAGAACCAATCCCCATCAACTTACTGTCATGGCCGCGTAACTCCGGGCTTCTCACACTATCCATTACCCTTGCATCAACTGAGCACCACCAAGATTACGCCATCTTCCTCTCAGCTGCTTTGCGCAACAATTTTTCGAGGCGCTCAGGCCCGTACCTAGTGAACACGGCTGGCGTGTTCGTCATGTACTCGAAATATCGATTGTAAGACTCAACGTCTCCTTGGTTTGCCTTCATTGAATCCAGTATCTTCGACAAGAACAAGAGGATAATTAATCCTGGAGTTGTGGAATTAGCTGCCTTGACCTGCGCTATGTAGCCGGATGACCCGACTTCGAGGGGGAGATAGCACGGCAGTTTTCTCATGTATGACTGAGAACGGCGGATTTCAACTTTTCAGAGACTTACCTAGTATTCTTATCACGCTCGTTGCTAAGTGCACCACAATCTGGAAGGCTCGAGATACCACGTATACAGGCAGGACTGCGAGTGCCAGAAGAACATTGATCACGACTGACAAAGAACAGCCGCCTTTTCTCAGAGCCATCATGGCAAGTGAGAGTTGTTGCGCCGGAACTTCTAGAAAGAGATGCATCAACCAGAACCAGTCAGTGTCAATGTTGTCGCCTGCTTGGTCCGGTGGATTATGCGGTTGCGGCCCGGAAACGTCGCCCTCTTTCCTGGAAATTGGGTTTGAGATTTCTTTCTCATCGCTGCTGTCAGTTCTCTTCTTCGGCAGATTTTCTTTTCGTGCCTTGCGCGCATACTTCAGTATCTTTGCTGCTTCCGCACCGAAATACTTGCCCGATGCTGATAAGATTTCCCCTACCAGGAAGATCGGTTTTGCAAAGAACAGCAGGACGGTTATGGCTGGTCTCGCAAAAAATAGCAGGACTATAGTGATTGCGAAAGCAGCTGCAGCGAACTGCACAAGTGATATTATCAGTGTGTGTTCTGGAGGCCCACCCATGCTGTAGAAAGACGCTGCGAATCCTAGGGGCAGGAAGATCACCGTAACGTAGGTGAAGTATCGGATGTTCTCTTCTCGGCTAATCTCAAGGTTGTGTTGTACGGTTTCTCTGGTGGTGGTAAGGGATTCTCTTAACCTGCGGAGGTTGTTGCGTGTAATTTCAAGCTTCCACATTTGCTGGTCCAACGGTGCTTGAACTTGGTTGATATATCCGCGGTACTTTCTTTCGTCGTTACGTGTCCACCTAGGCTGTTCATCGCCACGGTCTTCCTCTCGCCGGTTCCATTTATCGAGGTTCTTTAAATTCTCTGTCACATCTTCATCCGCGGCCTGAAGGATCTGCTCGAATCTTTGCCAATCAGAAAGGTCCTTTGAAGATTTGTATCTCTTGCCCACGAGTATTGAGAGGTTGAAAATGCTGTCTCCAACCCCAAGCTCCTGCTCTACTTCTTGCAAAATGTCCGAGGCACCGGTACTGATGGCATCTACGATTCTTTGGAGCAACCGAAGCTCTAAAACCTTTCTCTGCCACCAGTTTCTTTCTTTGTCTCTTCCGAGCCCATTGGCGTTGAACTTAAATTCCCAATCTCGCCTGGGCGTGTCATCGTCGTTATTGAAGTCTTCCTTTCCCAAAGTCGTTGGGATATATTGAATGAAGTGGCATGTCCAGTACCGGTCGAAAAGATCTCCATCAAATCGAAAGCCAATCGAGGCGCGCCGAATGTCTTTTCTTGATTGGCTAGGGAATCCGGCCTTACTGAGAGGTGGGAGGCCGACGTGCTCACCTTGTTTCTCATCGCCGAGAACGTAGAAACTGAGGTGAACCTCAGTCCGCCAAATGTTAAGAGGAAGATTCGTGCTGTCAAAGACATGCTTCTCGAAATTGGCGTGGCGATCGAAGAACAATGACATGGCGCGTTGTTCCGCTTCGGCGGATGTCACATAGCAGAGAGACGCAGTTTCTTTATCAGCATGGGGTAGCCAGATGAAGCGCTTCTTCGCACTGTTTATCGTACGCGCCTTTCTGAGCACCTCCCAGAGCTCCTTGTTGTTCATATCTCTTGGAGACTCTTGCATCAATGCTATTATTTCTTCAACAAAATGCCTCGGATAGACTCGCATCAATGCTATTGTTTGTTCAACAAACTTCCTTCGACTCCGTCGCATGAAAGCTGAGATTTCTTCCAAAAACTCTGCAATGTCCATCCTCTCCCGCATAGACTTGACAGCCGCTGTAAGTTCGGCTTTACTCATATGAGGAATTGGATAGCTATAGAGCCACTCTTCCTCGAAGGTTTTGATTCTGCTCGCATCCAGTAAACCGTTATTGAATGGCAGAACTTTCTTCATCATGGAAATTTGGCTACTGACGCGACGATTATCAGATCCCAGTTGTCTCATTAAGGAGTTCTGGTCGCTAAAATATCCAGGCTTTTGACTTCTTAGCTCCACTATTACTTCTTTTTCGACAGTTGGGGTGCAGAACTGCTGGATCAGACGACCTCTTTCACTCTCCGGAGAATTCGAAGGCCTTTGCCCGGCCCCTGCCGCGGCGGACTCTAAGGCGTGATTCTGTGCCTCTTTTGACTGGAAGATTTCATTGATTCTCCTTGCGTACAGAAGAAAGATATGGCAAGCCTCGAACCCAGCATGATGATAGTAATCCCTATCTCTTTCGCGCGAGAACAGAGAGGGTGCATGCCCGCTGGGTGGCTCCGCTTCCCCAGGAATGAATCCGTTGTGTGCGCTGCTGCCAATGACGCCTCTGGCAGGCCATTGTGCCAGTCCCCCGGATGAGGGTCGTCACAAATCGCGACAAGGGCACCAGGGGATGCACCGTCGATGGCAACGCCGGGTTAGATGATGGCGTCGAATTCGGCCGGCGGCCTGGAAGCCTTGGGCGGGACTGACGGCGCGAATGGAGTCGACGCGTGCGCCGACGCCGCCGCCAAGTCTTGCTTTCGGGGGATCATGGCACCGCTACGGAATCATCTGGGCTATGACATAGGTTCAACCGCAGGATCAAGTCTTCATTAAGCGTATCCGTGAACACACTGATTCGTCAACCGAGTATCATCCAACACTTCAATTTCACTGACGTTCAATACCCCCATTCCTTATTCACGAGAGGCTTTTCAAATATGCTTTCAAACACGCCCTGCCCCGAAGCCTTCTTCTTTTTTTGTCTGTGCACCAGCCCAAAGGTCTTGCACATGGCCGTCATATCCGGCTTGAGGTGGCCAATCATCAACGGACGATGGTATCTCAGCCCTGTCCAAAGAATGAGAGGGTTCGTCAGGAATGCTCGCCCGAAGAGCTGCCTCGGCGCCATTAGTGGCTAACGGTGATTTCTCAGACCAACTTGGTGTCAGGGCTGACATTTGATCTGAATCTTCAGATGCCACCTGATCCTGTTCCGTGGGGGTGAGGATGTTTCTACGCTTGTTCAGGCTTTTCAGGCTCTGGAGTCCCGTTTTGAGGATATTGCGTTTCTCTTCGAGGCGTCGTCTCTCGAGGGAAGATTCTTGGGTCTCTCCTGCGAGGTGGGACACTTCTTGGTCACTCATCTTCAGAATATTGCTCGATCTGAAAAGCGTCGATAGCTTGCTAATGAGGCAGTCTTCAATCGCCAAGATGCTCACGTCATCGATGAACCTGCTCACCGCAACCTGGAGGCGGAGTGAGCCTGTTAGTAGCACTCAAATGGCCATCGAGGAGATATCTTGCCTTATAGTAAGCCTCCATGTAGTCCACCGCTAACGAGCTTCCGAAACGCTCCATGTCTTTTTCGAATCCCTCTCCCACTAAGTCCACGAGCTCGATAGGATTCAGGCTGATTTTGCTGCCCGGGTTGTCGAAACGATGCGCTCCGAACGTTTTGCGGACCAGCTTCTTCATATCACGTTTGTGGCGGGCCTGCTGGATCCGCTGAACGTTCTCGGTGAGCTGGGGATTGTACGTGATGGGATGCTGCGCGGTTGATGCGAGCAGCGCATCGACTCGGCCGTCCAAACCGACCTTCAGCCCCTCGATTCCCTGGCGAACAAGCTGGAGAACCCCTTCGGCAACATCGCTCGTAGTGATATGCTCGACTATCAATTGAGTCGTCTGGTGGGCAGCTTCCAGGATATCCTCGGCAAGGAGTTTCACGATCCTCCCCCAAGGCTCGCATTGCTCGACGAAGAGGTCGTTAACAATGAGAGGATTGAAGAGGCCTGGGAGCTCGCGACCCTTGCTGAACTTAAGACGTTTCGCGACATCCTCGACATAATCAGACCGGCAGATGTGAGGCAAGTCCCGGACCTCGCGGCTGCCCTCACCCTCACTCTCCGAATCAACGATGTACTGACTCTGGCCGCTCAGCCGCATATCTTCCGCAAATTCGCGGAGTCTGTTCTGCACCACAGCCCTCAACCTTGTATTGAAATTGTGGAACTTCTTGCGGTTGCCGAAGAATCGGTCGGTGTACGTGCCCTCAACCGCCTGCGTCACCAGGGACGTGTACTCCTCACTCAATCGCAGCAGGTAGCCCCACTGCTGCTGCGAGGTCCCTCGTACCGGGCCTAGTCGGTCCAACCTGTCATCACAGTCGTGAATGCCGTCTTCCACATCTTGTACAAGGCTAGGGAGCTGAACAAGAATCTGGTCCCTCAGAACCGCGCTGAGCCTGACCCTCAAGGCCGCCACGCCGCAGTGTGAGGAGTCGATGGAAGTCCACAAGCCCTGGGAGAAGAACTTGCCCTCAATTTCATCGCGTTGAGACGAGGTAACATGGCGTTCCTCGAACTTCCGGTTTTTCAAGACGTGCCAGCCGAGTCGAAGTTCTGCCTCCAGGTTCCGAGCCAGACGAACGAAGTAACTCTCCGAGTTGGAGCCAACATCCAAGGTGTCGGGCTTTGTGATGAGACCCATGGTGCGTAGCCCTTCTGGATCGGCACATTTGGCCATCAAAGTAACCTCTTGCAGGACATACTCGTACTTAGCCGACACTACAGTGAGGATGATGCTCCGTGGTCGCGCCATGTACCTCTCCACCATACCGCGGACAATGCCAACGTCGGCGTCAGACTGCTCCTTGTTCCCACTCCTGAAAAGGCCTGGGAGGTCCACAATGGTGAGGTGTGGCTGTCTCGGCCCAGTGAGCTCGATGCGGAGGATGTCTTCGTAAAACTCCCCTGTGCAGGTCGGGTCAGCCATGGCGCGCTTGGCCTCGTCCGTCACGGTGCCCAGGCCCTCCTTGTCGATGCTCGCTTCTGGTTGCCAGTTTTCGAGGCGTTCTTTGTCCTCTCCAAACCGGGTCTCGCCTGGAGTGATGGACACCTTGGTATTCGCCTCGGGGTGCCGGCGAAGGACCAGCTCAGTGGCGAAACGGGTGCAGAGACCGTCCTTGGTGGGAAACGGCATGCCGGAGATGGCCTCGAGGACGGAGCTCTTCCCCGCAGACTGATCTCCGCAGACAATGATTTCGGGTAGATCGACATAGTGGCTGACCCCCTGTGAGCGGAGGCTGTCGATGATGTCGAGGAGACCCCTATGATCTCCCACGGCGATGTTGGTGTCTGTCATGGTTGTCTCCATTTTACCTATAGAGTGATGGCTTGAAGACAAGTAGCGTTTTGTAGGGCAGCCAACGCCAAAGCGGATTTAATAGTTTAAGAGAAGGAGAGGGAAGGGAGGGGGAAAGAGTTCAAGCTCCGTGGTTCCTAATCCAGCTGGGGAGGCACCCGCCATGACGTTGTGGAAGGCCTCCCGCAGGGTTAGGCACCGAGGCATTGCAGTGTTTCTGCACCTCTGTCGGCCCCAAGATGCACCAATTGCCTGGATGGGGTCTAGATTCGCCAGTTAGGAGCCTCGGTGAAGAGATTGGGTAGTGCTGCTGGCCATCAGCCGGCTGTTGTTGCGTCGACTCGGGGTCTCAACAGAACATTCGCGGAAACCCGCTTCGCAGTGTTGACGTGGTCTATGAGGGGCGGGAAGGGTGAAGCTACAATATGCACTGAGAAAGGCTGGCATGAGTGTCTTGGTTCATTCGTGATGTTTTCTTATATTCTACCGCCACGCGGGGTATTTTGAATCGATATATCGTGATCGACAACAACTTTCAGCGTCCTACAATCCTGCTCCACTCCAAATCCTCTGACAGACTGCCGCCTTTGAGGGCTAAATGTACCTTCACCTGCTGTCGTGATCCCAGTTCCGTAGGTACGGTTGCCGTTATCGTCAAGGACGGGCCGGCCGTCGAATCTTGATTCCTCGGCCGCCGGGGAGCAGTCAGCGCAGTCTTGAGCTCCCGCCTCGTCAATTGCTCAATGTCTTTGCTAAGCTTCACAAATGGTGTGCTTTTGAATTGTCCAGGAAGTCGGTAGTACGGTGGTGGCATCCATGACGGGTAAATCTTCTGGTGACAGGCCGAAACCTGTAGTCTGAGTGGATGCTGGAGTAGATACTCGTGGCAGAGGAAGCAGGCCTTCTTGCTAGTCCCGATGAACCGCATCCGGGGGGCTAAGCTAGGATTACCGTCGTAAAATATAACGAGTTGCATTTCGGCGTGGAGCGTCAGGTTCAAGCGGCATGTCCTACGCAGTTGCGCCTCAACATCCCGCGTGCCTAAGTGCCTTTCCAGCTGCTCCATTGTGGTCTCTGAATCTTCCTTGACAAGGTTCTTGACAGCTACTAGGAGGGGAGCTTTCTCGTTGGAGAGAGAGAATTTACGCGAGTCGGGAGCCTTGACCTCTTGGATGTGAATGCCCACGAAGACTTCGGGCTGCTTCGCTGCAAGCTTTACCATGGACTTGATGGCGGAGCGATAGCGGGCGATCTTGTGCAGACTGTCCAACCAAGGCGATGCTTGCGTGCCATCAAGTCCGAGCAGACTCTGCAACTGCTCAGAATAGAGCCATCTGGCTTGCGACGCCCAGTCAATGAGCGCCGCCATAGTCGCGGGACGCCAAGTCTGGAGAGGTGCGGCCGTGAAAGGACAACTCTCCAGCCAAAGTCGGAGCCCGGGCTTTGCCCATGTCTCTAGCTTCACCTGACCGGTACAAAGCCTAGAGTGCGCATCTCGTATAAAGTTTCGAATCCCGCGCTTCTCAATCCTCTCGGCGATCGACAAGATCCGACCTCTGTCCAACTCGACAACCAGGAGGAGAATCTCGGGCTCGGCTTGCGTCGATGACTTTTCTGCATCAAAAGCTGCATCAGCAACCTTCAGAGGCTTTTGGATAAAGCACGTACCCTTTCTGGCAACTACTCGAAGTATCTGTAACACCTTCTCAAGGCCAGTCAGGTCCTTCGGTGTCAAGCCGCGGTTGCGGGCCACGCGCAATATGGCTCCAGCTGGGGCATGTTCCAAGCAGACAGCCGAGGCTGTCTCCGCGCCCGAGCTCGACGTTGAACAGATGAGAGCGAATGAATCCAGGAACTTTTGCTTGAGCTGCTGGCCCCCCGAAATGTCGCCATCGGGGTTCTCGTCGAGGGAGGTTCTCGTCGGTTCCCCTCGAACAGGGTCGATCAAGCTTAGCAATGCTGACTGGATCACGAAGCGTTTAAGGTCGGCTCCGCCAATCTGAGTCAGTTCTACCTTCTTTGCGGGTGCAGTCATCCTGAGTTGATGGAGAGAGTCAATTTTGCCGACATGTCTGCCCAGTGTGACCGAGAGGATGCCTGTCGCAGAAAGGATGAGCGTTGAGGGGGAAAGGCAATGAGCTCTTGATGTCGTACTGCTTCGGGTGGCCGCACACATGTGATTGGGCCACGTCGTGATGCAAAGGTGCATGCTTCTGCCACCAGTCGGAAGCACCTTGCGACAAATGGTGTATTAACAAGCTCCAAAAGCGTCCCGAGGATCTTTCTCCAGCTAGCGCCCTTCCGTAACGCTGCCTCGCGACGTATTTGAGACCCGGACCTCCCTGCTGGTCCTTCGTTCTCCATTCTCATCCGTAGTAGTTCTCCTTCAAGACTCGCGAGAACCTCCAGCTGCCCAACCCCATCCCCAGTTTGGCCATGGCTTATTCGCCAGGCCGGGCTTTTACTTGCAATGACGAGGCTAATTCGACCCTTGCCGATATCAGCTCCTCTAAAGAATGGGTCACCTCTTATTCCGACCTTGCCATGTCCAAAACGACTTCGTCGACGGACACATTTGCTGTTGGTTGGGCGGATGACGCAACAATCAATCCAGCACTGCTGACTCAACGCTATGTCTCAAGCGACATTTCCGCCTACGGCGCACACTTGCAGCAACCTTGAGGTGCTGGCATGTTGTCACCGCCCGTCTCAGGCACACCCGACGCCATTGAGACCGTGGAAAATACGGCGTGTGATCATTTCGAGCGAGGAAGAGTGGTAGACTCGGGTTGCCCTATTCCATCAGCACCTCTCTTGGTCGGAAGATCTAAAGCCCGCGTACTGTGCACTTGGAAGGGATGTGACCATCGAGAACCCGACGGCGATGAGATGAAGTGAGTTGATTTTGGCGCCCGCCCAGCGATTTATGTTGCTCAAACTTTGTTTTAGGAAACATGCCGCCACTCACCGACGCTGTCCCAAAGAGGACTGCAGTTGGGCTGAAGCTCGGGATCAGAAGGACAAGACGCGTCACGTTTGGTATAAACACAAACCATGGGCTGAGAGAAACAAATACCCCCCCATGGGTGCCCAGTGCGATGAGTGCCCCGCGGTCTTCGCGCGCAAGGATGGTGTGAGTCGTCATAAGAAGGAGGTGCACGGTGCTATCAAACGTGTCAGGAAGTCAGGGTGCTGAAGAACTCAAGACTCGGACTGAAGTGATTGGGATGTTCATTGGCTCACCTTGGATGACAGTGATTCTAAGCAGAAGGAGTGTAGTCGGTCGGCTGAAAATTGACGCGCAATTTTCGAATAAAGCTATACCACTTTGTGGAACTGTCTTGACATCTTCTCGCTATTCCTAATGATATCGGTATCACCCTATCACTAACTCCCAGCCATCCGGAAACATAATGACTGCCCTGAGCCCGTGCAGCGCTCAGATAGCAACTCCACCTCTTAAACCTATTTGCTTGCCAATAAAGAGGAGCATCTGTGACAATTATTGTGAAGATAGGGGTTGGCTTGGGTGTTTCAGCACCAATAAAATGTCCCATATTGGGGCCATTTGAGTCGCCGTTGAAAGAGAAACATCAGCCCCGACTGTGGGAAAGCCCGAGCGCAGGAGAGGCCCGAATGCAAGAGATGGGCCAGGCCTTGGACCTGAGCGGCGCGTATAAATCTCTGTCTACCTTTAACTGCTGAACTATTCAAGTTGGCAATACCCTAGTTTCTCAACATGCATCCTGTAGGAATTTTCGGCAGTAATACCGCCGCCAAGTATGAATCGACATCCTAATTCCAGCCTCTAGAGCTTGATAATGTAGATACTCCTATGAGTATTGATTTTCAGCCCTGTAGAGACACCAACAAATACACCAGAACCCACGGACTATCAAAATTATAGAAACTGGGTACAGGTACGACCTATAGTGGGTGTCCACTAATAGGCTCTAATTGGAAAATTCTAGGGCTTCTGATTCACTGAGCAGAGTGTCAACTAATTCAATTACATCCATTGAACCTTTTGGTGTAATGCAATGGGTTAAAATGGATTTCGGAGCAGAATTCGGCCGAGATTTTCTCCTCAGGTCCCCTTATTTCCCCCCTCCCCCCTTAATCCATTTAAATCAATTTAATTATATCCACTAGATAGTTTAATGGAATGAAATTGATCATAAATAAATTTCAGTGGAATCGAATTGATTTCAGTGGAGTGAGTTGACATTCTGTCATTGAGGAATTGTAGACGTGGTGGCAAGTAGGCTTGTAAGGCCTATAGTGGGCAAAATCGTTTGTATTCGAATGCTGTGAGAGGGACACTTGGGGCCTTCCTCACATATCTTCCGACATCTTCTGTATCAAATAGATATTAAGTTAAAGGGGGATATAGAGCCTTCTTCAGCACAATGGACGACCAGAGCAACACCAAGGGCGACCTCGCCCAGCTCTTGCTCTGGTCCGAGAAGCGCTGGGTGTTTGACGGCGATTGGGAAGGTATGAAAGAATACGGAGACGGGAATCCTGTGTGGGAGCAATTGGACGAGGGGACGCGACACAGCAAAGGTCAATTATCAATGCGGAAGTACAGCACCTCTGTCCTGTTCAAGCTGAGGAAGGACACACAGAATCATCTTCCCTTCCCAGCGGAGACCGAATGGGTACTTCTCTTCACCGACATCACTGTTGCCAAGTCCTATCACGATCGCGGTATCGACAGAGCGATGGTCAGGATGGCCCTCTCGGGGACCCTCTCGCTCGCCCAGAGCGTACGCCGGCCCTTCGTGGTAATCGTCGAGCCAGGGTATGCGCAGTTCAAGCACCTTTTCATCAGCGACTCTCGTGCATTCGTAGCACGGTGCGGGTCCATGTGGAATCACTGGCCTGTTGTGCAGAGTATCACAGCCAGGCAAGAGCAACTCCGGCTTGACATGAGGTTTCAGAAGCTCGAGGAACCCGATCACAATCGTGACCTGTCGAACTTATTCTTGCGACAGGATTGGTGCCGAGTTGTTGTCGCTTCGGATTAAATTATCGCAGCATATCATGTGAGTCTGACTTGTCTGACTTGTGTCTACAAGCCGCGCATTGATACGGTGTCTGAACAAGTACTGTTCTCACACGCCACAGAGATATCTGCACGCAGATGCCGGCCGATATACAATGCCATGTGGAACGCGTCATCAAGTCGAAATTTGATGATTATTGGCAAGCTCACCGTTCTCCTCCCCGAGACGGGGGTACCAAAAAATCTCATGAAGCCTCAGTAGTCGAAAAGCACTATATCAAGCACCCCGATCGGATTCTAGGCAACCTGGAGGACAGAGCATGCCATGTTATAGAGGACGGCCATTATGTAAATGCCATCGATCATGGTTCGGTCGCCTTGGACCACAAAGATAGAGAGAAGCGTGTAGAGTATGACAGCCACCTCGACCAGGTCACCGCGGTTCTGGTCCGGCTAGAGCAGCTGCCCACCCGGTTTGAGGCCTGTGCTCTTCTGCGGAGCGCTCCAGCTCCCAGTCTCTCTCCCCCACTAGCAAAGGAGGGCGGTCTTAATAAGAACGTTTTGGAGAAGCCAGAGCTTCTTCTCCAGAGCGTGGATCAGTTCTTAGATGGTCTTTTTAGTCTAGTGAGGATAGTGATGTAAAACCATACCCTTGTCCGTATCCTGTTCAATTTATACGATGCTAATGGGAAGCATGTAGACACATCACTACTCTTGCACTAATAGCAGGCTACTCGAGGCTATTCATGTCACTCTTCACCAAAGTTCGGCTCCTCCATATCCAAGCTTCCGCGTCAAACGGCTTAAGATTGATCGACGCTCTGGGAAGGGTAGGCGTCCTACCATATGGCTGTGGGCGAACTTGGAGTGTGAGTTTCAGCATTTCATGCTCTCTCCGGTGCAAGTAGAAATTAATACAGGATGAGATATACTAACTAATATTCCCCTCCACAGACCGTCCAGAAAACCCTAGAGGTCTGGTTTAAAGGCTGCCCGGGCCAAAACCTGGTCCACAAGGGTATGTACTGCCTGGGGGACCCGCGGGAGCCTAACAGATTCTTCACTGAGGAAGCATGGTCCTATTACGTTCAAAATGGCGCCACGATACAGATGCGAATGGTATTTGACAGATGTGTAGCTTGCGGGAGCAGGCTAATCTATGAAGTTTCAACACAGACGGCTGTTTGGTAGGTTCTATCAGCCTTTCATCAGCGGTATACCGGTCGGCATGGTGGTATCTTTCAAAGAAGGAATATTGGAAATATGTTAACTTAATTGTATCAAAGCAAGGCCTGCCATGATCGATTCTCAGCAATTACCCGCTCGTTCTGCTGTGGACCGAAGACGTTCCATTCACCCGTCGACGGGTCCTAGGATAGTATCACCATGCAGAAATTATCGGCTGCGAGTAGGGAGACCGAAGTGGAGACCTCAACTGGAAGGGAGCCGCTCCTTGCAGCATTGCTTTAATTGCGGGCTTTAAAGCACATTGCATACTACGGGCCCTCGCTGTGCCCTGTATCCGTGTTGAGAGGCTACCAGGTTCCTGAGCTGGGCTCGGCGTGCAGATGTTCGTACTGTCGGTATGCTGCGGACTTCCATAGTTTGTATTGCCTCAACACGGCGGCAATTGGTCAACCAGATTGCGCATTCCACAAAAAGGCCATTCGGAGGACTATTCTTATGCAATTTGTATGCCTGGATCAATATAGTCATCCTGGCCAGTACTAGAGGGATGGTGCAAGCTGGGTAGTTCAGATATATCGGATGATTGGTCACTTACTACCCTCATCCCTTCCTCTTCCGGAGTCAAGACGCATTCCGTGTGCTTACACAATCTTTCACCGAATCATGTTTATAAGTTGCAGTATCCCTTTTTGAAGTCACTTAGCATTCTAGGTCAACATCTGTGAGTGAAATCGTCCACAGCAAATTGCAATCAAAATACGCCTACAGCAGTTTTCGGCCACATCCTCTGTCCAACCCCTGGATCTGTGCGAGAAGTGACGGTCCGATTCCATGTAATAAAATCCACAAGAACTTCTCACACTGCTTGATACATGTGTACAATGGGCAGGACTTGCTCCGAAACTCAGAAACGAGGCACAAATTAGATGAGAGGCAATTTACAGGTGGGGCTAACCCAAGATTCGAAAGAGCAGGATGTTCGGAATCTTCAGCAGTCATAAAATCGAAGCCCATGAGCAGTAGTTGCAGTTGAACCTTCGTCAGCGTAGGCAGTGGAGTGCTTGTCATGCATTCTACACTTAAAAATGTCTAGTGCCAATTCTTCTGAGTGACGTACTGAGAGCGAAAATTCCTTCCGACGACGTTCGACCTTCAGCTCTCCCGTGATCAATACGATGGCCAACTTACAGATGGATGTTCCAGGCCCTCAGTCTTGTTCCCGGCGAAACACTGGTGATGATTTCAGACACTACCACACTCACAAGTCCTTTGGCTTCGAGAGAGCCAGAGCACCACATACAAGTTTACAGTTGTCCTCTGGTGATACGTTCGACCTGGTTGAACATCACCAGGCTCAGAAGCGGGCAGATCTCAGCTGCAGGCAATTCAAGCTGAAATTAGAAGGCTGGCTTCGTGCAACATCATAGGGCAATTTGGCGGGACGAGCCTTGACTGCAAGGAAACATGGATCCAAAAAGATCTCGCAGATGATGGCAATGTCGTCTTTGCTCCCCCCCCCCCTCCCCCACTAGGGGCTGCCACTTCACGTGTCTCGCCTCTTCAGTTTCACCCTTTCCACTCGCACCTTTGAAAATTGCACGTTCCCAAGGGTATATTGCGTTCATCCCATCTCAGTAGCGTCTCTCGCAAGATACATCTTTATTATAAAAGTCTTATTGTTCATGCCAAGAATATCGTCTTCGGCATGCCCAATTCTACTCATCTCATTCACAGGGTATTCCCGACCTCCTGTGTACTTGAAGACCGCTCGTCAGAGCTTGCACCGTTCACGATGCAGAAGCCGATCTCGGAAAATCCCCCTATAGAACCTGTTCACGCCACTTCACTCGGATGTCGCGGAGAAAGGCCTCTAAGCTACTACTTGATGGACGGACCGCGGCCCTGAGGCGAGGAGTGGCGTGCGATCGGAAAGCTGTTGATGATGGGTCGGGCAAAGCACGTTCTCGGATATGGGCTTTGGGTGGCAGGGCTTACCATGGCTTCATCTTTCGCTCTCAATCTGCTCGACCTAGCGTGGGATATTGCAGAGAAGAGTGTTTACTGTACAACATGAAATTCGTTTTCGGGTCGAGGTCGAGAGAGACGCGTCAGTTGGCCATCAAGGTACTCATTTATCTCAGACGAGGCCTTTATGCGGTGATGCCTAAATAGGCCAGGACAGCGGTGTGAATCCAGTGAGATTGATCAGATATTTAGAACGGACGCACTGTTCAGAAGGCACGCACTTTGCATGCAGCAAGTTAGACGAAGTCTCTGTCTGAAGGGTGTGATGCAATTGTGTTTTCACCTCTACGGGCATGGGCATCTGATGATGGATTGGGCACCAGATGATCGTGACCGGACACCACTTAGTATTGCACATATGCGGCGGCTTTTTGACCCCGGTGTCCTTGGAGATGCCCGCTCTACATACGTGCACGGCGCACCAGATACGTAGAGATGTAGTCACTCATAAGTAACCATAATCTAGCCAGGTGTACTAGCAAGCTACAGCAGTCCTCTGCCTGTTTTACTTTGATGTAGTGAGTACATATCTGTATTTATTGCTTGTTCTGTCCTCTCGCAACACGTCAGGCAGGGTGCGCGGAGAATTCGCAAATGTGTCTCACGCCAAGTGGTGGATGTCGTACCGAATAACCAGGCCCACTTACACGCTCCGCGGTGGCTGGATCGCAGGGCGTCTGTTTGTACCTGGTATGTATGCATTATACGCACCAATGATGACGTGGTAGAAGTGTTGGCAGTCGCGTGGTCGGTCGCCTGCAGTCAACAAATAAATTAATTGGAAGGTATCAAAGGTATCAAGACTCAATACAGTAACGCAACGTTGGTATCATGTATCCCAGAAGCAGCCGGCCTACGGAGTTTGAGTCGCTCCACTCTTCAAGTACTCCTTTCCCTGTACCTATGTAGCTACCAGGTAGGTCCAAGCTCATGCGCTAGGGCCAGCCAGCAGAGCTTGTTTTAACTTTATACTTTTCCACTTCCTTCGCCGTGACGCTGTCAACTTCTCCAAGGAACCTCTTCTTGGATCATTATTCTCAGAATTTAGTCCTCCGGGCCGGGTGATGTCTGTCATCATCATGTTCGTGTACTCTTTTCCTCTTCCGCAATTCCTCTATCGCCATGGCGTTCACCAATCGTGCCGCGATTTCGGCTTCCGTTTCTTTTAACTCATCCTGAGTAAACTCGACCTGACCCATAGACGACCTCCGGGATGGCGAATTACCCAAAGGAGATTGTGAATGGAAATCGGAACGAGCAGAGTCAAGAAACTCTCTGGCAAAAATGACGTTCTCCGCTGATAATCGACCGACAACGCAGTATATCTTCTTGGTGTTTCTCCCATCCGGATCATCGTGAGTGAACCGGTAGCTGACCAATACGCGTTCGCCCTCTACGGCCTGGTCTCCGCAAAGCCTTTTTGCATATTCCACATCGATGATGTTGTTATCCTTTTCGGCATCGATTCGCGCCAGTAGGTTGAGAGGCGCGGCGTTGGGCACGGCGGTTGAGACGAAAAAGACATCAAAATTGGACTCTTGCGACTATAAATGTCAATAGAGAGGTTCTGGACCTGGATGTCAATAATTGTGTCAACCTACCAGAGAATGCAAGCGCAGATCGCACAACATGGGAGAGCCTGGGTCGTAACCGCTGTCTGACTGGTTGCTATGGTGTGGAACAGATGTTCCCGTCGCGTTGATTGACGGTGCAGCAGCAGCGCCGGTTTGGAACTTTCCATGTTGTCTTTGGTGGTCTCTCAAGAGCTCGCGGAGCGCCTGGTGGGATGCACGGCGGATCCATTCATCGGAGATCTTGTCCAGGCCGCCTTCATTGGTGAGATGATCGATGAACTCGTCGGTCGATCGGAAAAGAAGGCCTTGTCTCTCTGCTATCTTGAGCCTGGCTGTGAGGATTTGTTTCACGAGTTTGTCCGTCGAATCTTCTTCTCTTGAAGCCGACATGGAGGTGTGGCAGTACTCATGTACGTCGGTCGCGACATCGAGGGCCGATGCGACCGTTCTTGTGCGCCTGTCGCCGGGGGCGCAAAGGGTATGTTGGGACGGTGGGATGTTCAATAAAGTCCAAGCAATCTTTAGGCTTGCTCAAAAAGCATTAAATGCTGAAAAGGTCGTCTGGCAATCGGTGCGAAAACCAGCCAGCAACCAGTCGTGGAGGCTCTGGTAGAGAGAAATGCTGGGATGCGCTCAGGTTGCGGGGGGTGGGCGGCCTTTTCTTGGCTGCGGCGCTGCTTCCATGACTGGGCGGGCATCCGACTGGGGCTGCATTCCGCTGGGTCACTGCCGCTGTCACTCACTGTGGCTAGCTGCCTATGGCCGTGATTCAACTGAAAATAGGTAGGCAAAGCGCTGGCGGTGGCAAGAATCTCGTGGGAAGGGAGGAGGAAAAACACATGTCGTTCAAAATAACTGTTCTACAGATCCTCAATTAATGGAGGCCCCGAGTCATTTCTTGCCTCTTCCTGGACAGACAGCACTTCCCTGCGGGAATACACAGAACTCAGTCATTTCCAAGACAACACACTCCGAGATCATCCAATTTAAAACAGCTGCCATGTCACCACTTCGACCTCACCGCGTCGCGATCGATGATACGTCGCTGTGGCAACTTCATGATGCGGTTGCTTGGGACTGACTGCGACCTGGTCTGCTTTCGCCGCAAGTCGCCATGGCGGTCACTGCCAGGCCGACTTTGCGCATTACGATCTTTCGAATTGACCGAACGCCGCGAAAAGAGAACACTTGCACCATGCTTTTGCGCCCAAGACTTCCCAAGAATGACATCTGGTGCGCGAAAAGCGGCTGCATGCACCTGAAATTCGCCTGGGAAAGTCTTTCCCGTACGAGACAGTCGGCAGTCCACCTTTACGCACCCTTTACTTTCCAATCGGATACCATCTGGAACTCGGTAGGTCACAGGGCATTCGCTTGGCTCAACGACGTTGTTCGAGTCCCGAAGCAACTTCTCTGAAATCCAGTCGTCCGACGAATCCCAGTATACATCAGCCGATATGCCCGAGCGCCAGTCTTTCCCCAGATAGAGACAAATCTGTGTCGACTCTCTCTCCGCTTCGTCCTCGTATTCGTCGTCCTCGTCAGTGACGGCCTGCACATTCTCCGTCCTGGGCATTATCTCGACCACACTGGAAACTGTGTCCGGAATGTTGGCCGAGGTTCTCCCAAAGCCATGGGTAGGGGCTGGTGGCAAGCTATGCGCCAGGCTGGGGGCGCCGATCGGAAAAGAGGGGTGAGGGTGATTGGCGAGAAAGCACTTGCAGTAAGGACTGCTGGCAAGACAGTGGGCCATCATTGCCTGTGTGCATAGGTGGAATTGAGGAGCTGATGCCTGGGAACTGGAGGCGTTCTACAACTGTCAATTTCAGACAGTACCTTGGGACAGACAAGCTCTTGAACTCACATGAGTTGCAACCCCAAGTAAGAGGTCCAACATCGTGTTTGGAACTTGGTTGGGGGTTGTCGAGCGTGGCGTGGCCATCAGACTCGCCAGCGGCAGAGATGATAACTGACCAGCGGCATGCTCGTTACCAGGCTCTGCGCCGGGTTGCAGACTCTTGAACTTTTTCCACTTTTTGTACTCGATCCACTTCTCATGGTCGGCATTTATCGGAATTTGAGAGACCGTGTAGCCCTGAGCAAGCACCCTATCGCGCTGATGGTCGAGTTCCTCGAATGTTGCGATATCGTCTGGCGTCAACTTCATTTTGACCAACTGTGCTAATTGGAAATCAGGGTCCGTATGCGCGAGTGGGAAATGTCCTGGTCCAGCACGGGGGACTTGAAATCATCTTTCCGGACCGCTCAGGAGCTCAGAGCCTCATCGGGGTCGGTCCTGAATCCAGGTCCATGACGGCACGCGTCATGTGTCCGCAAAGGTGTGCAACCACCATCTTCGGCTCCAAGGGGCAGTGAGAGAATGGCTGTGGTATCTGGGGCTGTGAGAGCCGGCCTTTGTTTCAATTCATGGTAAGCCTGTCCAAGGATGCATTTTGCAGTCACGCTAACTTATGGCTGCTGGTGTCTAAGTGGATCGAGGGGACAGGCCCTCGGTGGCAGTGAACAGCCATTGCAGCCATTGGAGCATGGGCCTGTTGGAGTGGCCTAGTCACCAGCAAGCATTCCATCCGCACCCACTGTTTCTGTATCCGCACCCTCTTCGGGCATATATTTCCAACTTGGAACTGATTTATAAAGACCCTCATCGCAAAAGCTTGAATGCAGCCAGAGGACTTCACTGCAGACAGCTTAGAGCTAAGAATTCTGTTCTCATATTGCAACTACTGGGAGGATTTCTGACGGTACGTCTTCTCGACCGACGTCGACTGTCCCGAACGGGTGGTCGACTGTGTTCCAGCGTCGGTTGGCGGAGCGGGCGGTGGGTTGGCGCGCCTTCTCCTCTCCAACATGTTCGCCTGTTCCTCCATTCTCCTCCTTTCAAAGTCAATCTGTTGTTGCTCATCGACCTTGGTAAACGATTATTATTGTCTGGAAACTACTAACTGTTCCAGGGCCAAGGGCAACGTACCTACCTGTACCCTCGACTGCAGAGTCAATAGCTGGGGCGTTGGTTCCTGATCCATGAAAACCCCAGGATACTTCCTGGTGAATTCCTCTCCAACCAGCATTTCGATGGGCGCCTTTTCAGGAGCGATAGAGAATCGTTCTGTTCCTTGGTGCGAGCCCTTTCCCACCCAAGACACGTCGACATATTTGTCGGAGGAAAACTTCTCACCAGTGAGAGTTATGCCGGTGATCGTAGGGCCGCGTTTGGCATTCAGTCCAAATCGTTTAATCTGTACGTTCGAGATCCAGTTGTTTGCCGAGCCGCTGTCTTCGATGACCCGCACCTTGTCCGTGCCCTCGTCTGTCGTGACATAGCACCACTTGACTCTGATTCCTCGAAGGAGTCTTCCCATCTGGACAAACATTGTCAGGATCATACGAGAATCAGTGTGGGGGGGGGGGGGGTCGTAATGCCCTCCTACTACCTGCTCGTCCGAACACTGCTGGTCTCCTGACAATTTCTCCCTCAATGCGTCCTTTTCTGCCGGACTCAACTTGTTCCAGTCTTCGTGGGCATTGTCAATGTACACACCGCCGAACATCCAAGCAAGGTACTCAACCCTTAGCTTCTGCCGGTCCTCTTCGGCATACTCGTGAGGCGCCGGATCAGCAGGCTTAGATGATGCTGCCTTGTGTCCATCATTCTTATGGACCCCTCCAAAAGTCCAGGCAAGGCTTCTGGCCCGTTCTTCCATCCGATTGTCCTCCCGAGCCTTTTTGATCTGCTCAGCTGTGAGACTGGACTCCATTTCGAATGTTACAACAGTGGCGGAGCAGTAATGTCCGAAATAGTCCTGTGGTTTCTGAGGATCAGAGTTTGTAATGGACGCAGAGGCGCGCCTGAGGCTATCAGGAGAGTGAGTGCCATGCTTTTGAGCTGTGAGACTCAGACCGGTCTCAAAAGAGCCACACAAATCGTGTCCGAGGTCCTCCACCAAATCCCATTCCTGGTCCGCCGCATGGTCGGATGAAGCACCCATTTCAGCAAGCTCGCATGGGTCGCCAACCAAAAACGGAGAACACAATCGTGAGGCGTTTCGGTTGTAACTATTGATAACAATGTGTGCTGTCACTGGTTCGACTGAAGCCCCCCACTCGGGAGTAGTAGAGGTATACTCGGGAATGCAAGTGTTCGATATTGCAGTGAAAGTGGTGGTGAGCTGGTGACACGCACTTCAGACCTGCCATGCTGATCAAGGGCCTTTGTACCAATCGCTTCTGCACTCGCCCCCATGGTGTGTCGTAAAGATCTGCCTCGCTTTACGCCTAGGTCACAGCTCCTGCATTTGTCATACAGCTTAGCCTGTTGAAGGGCTCATCGTGCCGGTATGCTGATCAAGCTCTTAGAGATGTTTCAGTCTCGTCTTGCGATATATAGCTAAGTATGTTTCTCACCAAGCTTTACAGGTATTCTTTTCATTCTCGGAACGGAACAGGGCCTTTTCTCCCTATTTCTTCTTTTTCTTTCCTTTCTTGGAGTTATATGACATTGGGATGAGGGAAGCAAGACCTCCAGACTGGGATGGATATGGCAAGGTGGCCGAACTCATGTCAAACCATGACGAATTTGCCGTTCTCCGCAGATTCAGGTATCTCAACATGAAGAACCTCTTGTATCTTCAAGCAGAGATAGCGCACCTGGAGGAAGAACTCCACGAGCTAGCAGAACGAGACTCCCAAGATCCCGAGCTCCAATTCCATGGGCGAGAGTGGTGGTCGCTGGCGAACGGCAACGATGAGGACAGCCAGGAGCAATGGCACAAGGTGCTGCAACTGCGTGACAAGCTCGACCTCTACAACGACAGCGTCCTCAAGCAAGCGCGGCTCGCGCGGCTCGACGGGCCTTCGCGGCATGAGCTGGGGTTCCTGCGTACGTGGATGGAGCGGCCGCGCATGGGTAACTTCCCGTTGTTGGGGCTGGACCGCAGGACGTGGGACGAGGAGCACGAAGGCGATCTCCTGGCGCTTCGAAAGCGGTCGGCGAGCGACGTCTTTTCCAGCTGGGTGGCCGAGACGCTGGTGCCGACACTTCATCGGTTTGTCGGCGAGAGGTTCAAGGTCGGTGACCACACCAGCCTGCCTAGCTTATACGGCTAGGTGGGAAAAAGCCCTTCCTTCTATTATCGCCTTTAGAATTGCGGTGTCATTCCACGCAACGTTCAAGCTAACTAACTTGAACTGGGAAAATTCGATAGGACCCAGATCCCCTTCACCCTGGGATATACTCCTACGACGACAAGGCGCTGACAACCATCATCTTCAGCGTCTCCACGATGATCGCCATGCTGCTAACCATAGGATCCGTCCTGATGCTGTACTACATCCAGTCCGACAGCATCCGACTCGCCTTTGCGTTGGGCGCGTGTACCTTGTTTGCCATCGCGTTGGGTCTAGTCACGAACGCGAAGGGGGTCGATGTCTTCTCTTGTAGTGCTGCGTAAGCAACTCTCCAAGCCCCATAAACCATCTTATGCTAGGGTTCTTCTTTGTGAAGTGATTTTCAACAGCTGACTGAGAAGGGCTCCGGGTCAAAACAGCTTCGCTGCGGTTATTGTTGCGTTTCTCACGAACGATGATAACAGGCCGTGCGTGTGCCAGGTCACGGGTGATTGACTACGGCTGAAATGTCCAAAAAGGAAATATTGGACATCTATCAAAAGCACACTTCACTGCAAGTGGATCCTGTCAAACGTCAAGAACCCCCTCCCCCGCCCTTGGCAAACTCCGCCACCAATTATCCCGATAATAACACTGGCTGGGTGTAAGCTTAACGAGGACCAGGGAGACCACCAGGGGTGTAATCTAACATGCGTCAAACTAAGGCACGCCTCGCTCGCCCGTCTCGTTAGAGCACATGCCACCTCTGCATGCCAAATATGTCAGGCCTAATCCGTTTTCTATCAACTTGCTGCGTGGGCATGTTGGCCACATCTGCCCAGCTTATGTCGCCAATGAGCGAGAGACACGCTTTGGGGCCTGAATGGATCGGGTGAACCACTCCAAGGTCGACTTTCGCGGTTGCCAAGGACCTTCACGTATTACAAGATCAAAGTGACGCGCACAGGTGTCCTCAAGGATATTTGTTGTTCCCGGGTGGTCTGGATGTCTTTTGTGAAGAGGGAGGGGCGTCACCGTCTATGCTCGAGGACAAGGCTGTGTCCAAGGTTCGTCGAAAATCTGAGCCGGAACCCGGGAGGCTCGACCCATGTAAGCCAGCCTACTCATCAGATCAGCTTGCCTGGCTTTAAACCGAACCAGGACTAGGTAGCAAGAAGGCTTTGTCAAGCAGCGACAACAGCGTCCCAACATCACACCAAGTCATTTGCAGAAAGGGGTCATCCGGGCGACAGGCGGCAGTACGATTCACCAGAAGATAATAACAAGGCGACACAGGTGCGTAATTACTGGCTGGACTTGCTCAGCACTTTTTTATTATCACCAATCGTGGACGGTCTCACTTCAGAAAATTAGTCGATGCCTGCCGAGCACCAGCTCGGTCAAGCTCATCAATATATTCAGCTGCCTTACTTCGACTAATTATCTTTATAACATTTTCTCCTTCTTTTGGTATAAAGGGTACGTTGGGAATAAATACGGTGTAATATCTCAAGTATAAGAAAACTCCAGAGAGAATTTGAAAACCCCTTGAGGAAATCGCTTCTTGCTCCAACGTGGCTTCGAAGTGACTCCGGCAGAAACCCTCCTGGATGCTCACACACTTTGCTTGCCACCGCTTCTGGCACTGCCAACAGGAGGAGGTGTTATATACCTACCGTACTGGAACCTGATGCAAGAACGGTGAGACAATAGTTGCTATGATTCGACCCAATTATCTGGGTAAAAATCATAAAACTGCTAGCCGAAACTGGGAATGCGAAGAGCATGAATGACAAGCCTTTTCACCTGCCGACTTTTTAGCAAAACACTGGACTCGCGCTTACCCGGTAAACGAAGGGAACTTCCATCTAGTCTGCTGTGTTTCGGTCAGATCTGCTACTGCAAAACATCTTATCCTGTGTATAGCTCTTCCGCCTGCCGCGAAGACTGCTGTCACCAATCACGCCGCGGCTTACTCTCAACAGGGCATATCTAAACGCTGTAACTGAATGTCTGACAATGAGGAATCGGTTCTACCTTGCCGTGCTGTTCAACTCTGCAATTCAATCGGTGCTGTCATGGATATCTCAGAGATTGTGGCCGTGCTACCCCGACGTACAAAATTCGATTTCATTGTGGGCGACTGGATATCATAGTCCAGCATGGCTTCCCGCGGCTCAAATAGCTTGGTAGATGACTGCGTTCAGCGAACCTGCTGCGCCAGACAAGAATACCGCCTTTTAGGATCATTTCCCTGAGTCCATCAGGCCTCGTCTGCGAGACATGAACCAGAATAAAGCCGAGTCAGCCGTCAAAGCCGTATGCAGCGAGGAAGGCAACCTTTACCACGAAGTCTACAAAACGATCATCCTGGACGGCTAAGGTCTCAAGGTGGTGTGGTTTGGGGGAATCGTAGTGCATGCCGCGGTTAGCAAGTGCCAGAGAGGCATGAGATTCCGCACTATCACGTTTTCTTACTGCTGCATACCATAGATCCTCTAAACCTTCAGACCAGTACTAGATCTCATGGCTTTAGGCCAGCTGCTCGACACTTTGGAGTGAGCTCATCTATGCGGAATGTTATTCCCGCAGTTGGACCATCTTCGAAGCCTTCCGCGCTGGCGTGGACATGAGTGGCTCCGATCGCCACTCTCAACCTCAAAAACAAAGTTTCTGCTGCGAAACAGCTACGACGGTACCCGCTTGGAGCGGTTCGAAATGCCCTCATATCCGCCGAGTTTCGAAGCCACCAAAACGTTTTGGGACGAGGTTCATGACATTTCTTGCCCCAGACAGCTGTCCAGTTCCGTCTGAAAGACCTTCTGGATTGCAGTGTTGGGCGAGATCCATATATGATGCCCTAGAGAAGAATCTAGCGAATATTTAAAAGCAAAGCACGGCCAAGTACCGACAAGAGTTTCTCTAGCAAGGAAAGATATGGGACCCATGGGCCATGAAACGATCGTCACTGCACTTCTATATTCATCGGAACGGCATGAGCCTCTAGTTTCATTCCTAATGTGCGAAATTCTCATATGAGCTAGAAACAGAAGACGGGAAGACGAGCTAGGCGTGTATGAGCAGAATTCTCTAATGTGAGCTGACATAATGGCCAAACATACCTCGACTTTTGAAGTTTCTAAAAAGAAATATAGAAATTTTAAATACAGCTTAGTAGTGTCCAAAGACTAGGAGCAGCTCAAGCGATCTCACTATGATTAGATGTGGCAGACACAACGATATACCTTGCTTAGAATCAAATTTATCAGTGCCATGATGAAAAGGCCATTTGAAGCATCGAAACCAACCTGAAAGCATCTCAGGGAACTTGAGAAAAGGTCACTATGCGTTCCTTCCTGGTATGATCCATCGGGAAGACCGTCGGGCGGTGATTCGGTCGCAAAGGAGGCCTTGCACTCCAAGCAGGCTTCCTATGGTAATGACCACGCAAGAGACACAGACTTGGAGTGAAAGGGGCTCAGGGGATTCCATGACTAGAGGTTTGTAGCTGTATAAGCAAAGAGAAGGGAAGGGACGGTTTCAACTTCAACTCCCTGCACGAAGGCTGATCAGACCAGAGTTCCAATTGATGTAATCGAAATTAAAAGCTTTTAGAGAGCCAAAGTCGGAACTGGAAGACCCTCGGAAGCCAAAACAAGGGAAGCTTATTCGAATAGCCCTCGTGCCGACGGAGCCGAGCGAGCAGATTCGGATGGGATTTGCTTAGAAGAAGGAGTTCCTCTGAGAAATGGTTATTTGTGTTCCAAATCCATGTTGAGCCTTGAATACAGTGTCATTCCGTAACTAAATTCACGATTTGAAGTCTGTTTTGAATTGCTAGGAATTCTAGGATTTTATATGAGTCTAACAACTCGTAGAAAATTAATGTTCATATCTGAAAGGTGTTCATAATGACGGTTTTGAGTTGAACCAAAGGGTCATAAGTCCAGAGAGAGGGCTTCGACGGCTGTGGCCTTCACATCGATCCCTTCAGAGGGCCACTTGCGCATGCAAAGAATTGTGTCATAGCTTTCTCAACGTCAGGTATCATGTGGCGTAAGTAAATGTGCGTATGGTATCAGTTGTAAGCGCCTGCCGCTCATGCCACGGAGAACGCCCATGTTCACTATCGGAGTTGTCTCTAGGTCCTTTCTAGAGCCAAATACTCTAAACAGGCCCGGCAGGGTGCGAGAAGGTTATGAAAGCTGTGAGCCTTCCTCACAGTCTCATTACGGACAGGGGCTGAATGGCTCAAGATACTGAAAGGTAACAGCAAGCTGGAAAGTATCACGGTCTCCTTCGACTGGCGAAGACTTGGGCACAACTCCACCATGCCAAGTGCAAGATAGTGAGGCGCTCTTTAGGATAGGGCTGGTGAGAGACCCAGGTCCTTACCAATACAGAACTCAAGATCATCTGCTTGACCAATCTATATATCGCGCTCGAGGTGAAAGTGAGGATGTGTCAACCTCATTGGAAGTGCTAAGCACACAGTTTTTATGGGTATAAATTTTTCTCATCTATCAAACAAGAATTTACAATGTATTACCAAAATTTGAATAATCAATAAGTTTTACTTTCCTTTTCTCGGCCAATCGAAGCCTTGGTAAATCATTGCATTGAAGTGACGTCCCAGCAGCAGCAAACCACATGCAGTCGATCTCGTATGGCATGGGTTTGTGCAAGCAGTGACTAGAAGGCGACCTTCTAACAGGATCTTAAATACGCATTATTTATTAGAAAGATGGCCAAGCCCTTCAGCCGCTTGAGCGAGGACAAGATAAGAATCCGCCCCTCCAAGGTGCTCTCAGGCGGGCGGCAAGCCTCCGTGGAATTTCTGGGCAAGGGAGTTTTTGGCTCTGGTCAAACAATGACTTCTGTATGCAACAATATGCAGTGCTTGGCAAGCCAATTCCCTTCAGCTGATGGTGCGCCTGGCGCAGCATCATTGTCGACCAAGCCATCCTGAAAGGGATGCCGCGCGAACCCGCCCTGGCAGGGGCCATGAATCTCGTCGCAGCCAGTTACTCAGGTAAAGGACACTGTCTGCTGGCCAACACGTGTCTACAGCCTCTTTATTCAATCACATCCAGATCTCTCCATCATGTAATAACATAAAGTAACAAATTGACCAAACCGTGCCCCAGCGTCGAACACGAGGACAGAAGGGGGCACGCCAGCAGACCACCACCAAGTTTCCCTATCCACTGTCTGTGGAAAGCAAAATGCTACCCCCCCCTTGTTAATTTAGTTAAGCCTATGCGCACCACTAAAATTTACAAACAGGCTTAGGAACTTATAAATCCTCCCTCAACACCCTTATCGTTATCGCCTATACACTTAAATTACCTAATTAAGTAAAAAAAGGCTATTACAATAGTTAGCTATTATTTATTAAGCATTAAATTATAAATATTATAATTTTACTTATAACTTAACCTTTTACTACCTAATAAATAGCTTAAAGCTAAATTCCGCTACTATTATAATATAATCCAGCAGTACTATAAGCGGGTTGCAATTATAAGTATTATAGCTTTAAGTATACTATTATTTATACTATTAAATAGTATTATTTTTAAATAATAAACTTTTAAAATTAGTAATTATTTTCCTTATAGTAATTCTATTTAGCTTAACTAATATCTAATTTATATAGTTTAAAAGCTTAAAAATCTTTTTTTTAAAAAGCCTAATATATATCTTAATAAAATATAAAGTTTTCTTACTAAGCACTATTAAATTAACTACTATACTAATACTATTACTAAAATATTTAAATAATATAATTAGTTTAATAAGTAAGTTTATATATTAGCTTAATAATATAATAAAGATTTTTATAAATACTATTTATATAAAATCTTAAAGCTTTTATATATAGTTAAAATATTTGTTTTTTATAATAAATTAGCTATTAATAAAAGGAATAGTATAAAAAAAACTAGCTAAAGATTAATTAAATATATATTAATAATTAAAAGTTTTTTTAAATAAAAAGCTTACTATTATATATTACTAGCAATTATAATTAATAACTTACTTAATATTATAATATATAAAGGCTATATTATAAAGGAGTTCTTTTTATAGTAGCTAATAAAAAAAATTCTATTATAAATAAACCTATACTTAAACCTATAATCAGAATTATAACAATATATTTATATTTATATATTTATAAATACAAATACACAAATACAAATACAAATACATAAATACAAATATATATATTTATATTTATATTTATATTCAATTTAAGCTTATATTCTATATTTATATTTATATTTATATTTATATTTAGAATTTAAAATTCTATATATATATATAGTAAATATAAATATAAATATAAATATAATTTATAAATAGATTTTATTTAAATAAGCTTTTTAATATTCTATTAAATTAAACTAAAATTTAACTTTATAATAATATTTTTACTTTATATATAACTAATTTTAATAAAAAGCTAAAAATACTAATATAATATAAGCTTTTTTAAAAAAAAATAAAAAAAATAAAAATAGTTTTAAAAACTTAAGCTAAAATAACCCTACTAGAATTTAAACCTAAGCTATTATTATTTTTAATAAAGTTTTAACTATTAAACTATAAAGTTTTATAACCTAAATTCTTAAAACTATAAAATTTATTTAAAATAAAAGATATATATATTAATATTAAATAAATAAATAAATAATTTAAATAGTTTTAAATATTTTAAATATTAATATTAATATAATATATATTTTAAAATATTTTTTTTATATAAAATATATATATAAGTTATATATAAATATTAACTAAATACTTTATAAATAAATATAATATAAATAAAAAAATAATTATTTTATTATTTATTATTATTATATTTTTTTTAACTTTTAATATATATATATATTTAAAATAAATTTATTATATTATATAATTATAAGTAATATTTATTAATATATATTATATATATTTTATATATTTAAATTATATAAAAAGAAATTTAACTATTAATATACTTTTTTATTAAAAAATTAAAAAATATATATTTTATTATTATTTTATTTTTTTAACTTTAAATATAAACTTATATTTAAAATAAATTTATTTTACTATATAAATATAAATAATACTTATTAATATATATTATATATATTATATTTATTTAAATTATATAAAGAAAAATTTAACTATTAATATATTCTTTTTATTAAAAACTTTAAAAATATAAAATTTATTATTTTTATATTTTTTAACTTTTAATAAAACTTTATATATAAAAAGAATTTATTTTCTTATATAAATATAAATAATACTTATTAATATATATTATATATATTATATATATTTAAATTATATAAAAAGAAATCTAACTATTAGTATACTTTTTTACTAAAAACTTTAAAAATATAAAATTTATTATTATTATATTTTTTAACTTTTAATAAAACTTTTTTTATAAAAAAGATTTATTTTATTATATAAATATAATTAATACTTATTAATATATATTATATATATTATATATATTTAAATTATATAAAAAGAAATTTAATTATTAATATATTTTTTTTATTAAAATATTAAAAAATATATAAATTATTAATATTATAATTTTTAACTTTTAATATATATTTTTATTTAAAATAGTTTTAATATATTAAATATTATTAAATAATTATTATTAATACTTATTTTATATATTATATATATTTAAATTATATAAAAAAAAATTTATAATTAAAAAATATTTATTAAATTAATATAAAGTTTATTATTATAAATTATATTTAAATAAGTAGTTATATAAAATATTTATATATTATATATATACTTTTAATATTAAATATTATTTAAATTTAAATATATTATAAAAACTTTAAAATATAAATTTAAAAAAAAATAAAAATTTTTATATATAATATATTAGTTTTTCTCTTTTTTTTCCTCTTTTCTTTTACTTTTTAACCCTATTTTTAGTTTATTTTAATTTTAAATTACTTATATAGCACTTATAACTGTTTAAGCTTAATTTTTAAGCTTTAAAAGAATAATAAAAAAAAGTAAAAAAAAAAAAAAAGATAAATATATAGATTACTTCCTTTCTTATAAATTAAATTCCTTTTTTCTATAATTACTTTTACTTTCTATATTTTAGAAAATATTTTTCCCTTATTATAAAATATTATAATAATTTAAATAAAATACTTAAAGTATTACTTAAAGCATTTATAGCTATTAATAAAGCTAAAAAATATATTTTTAATACTTTTAAAGTTATAAATAATAATTAAAACTTTATTAATAATATATTTAATTTTAAAATATATTTATTTTAAACTTTATTTTTTTTTTATTTAATAATATATTTATTTAATAGGAAAAACTATTTCTTTTTTTAAAAATATTTAAAATAAATTAAATACTTTTTTTTTTAATTTAATTAATTCTTTTATTAAATAATAAAATTTAAATTTAAAATTTTAATAATATATTTATTAAAAATAGCTTAAATAATAATACTATTAACCTTATTATATTACTTATAGTAAAAAAAAATAATTTAAATTTTATACCTATTCTACCTTTTACTTTACCTTTTACTATAAATATTATTTTTTTTTTTTAAATTTTTTTTTTTTTTTAATTTTAATATTAATATATTAAAAAAATAATTAAAGAAAGTATTAAAAATAAATATAATAAAATTTAAAAAATTTTTAATATTAATTATAAAAAAAAGTTTTTTATTATATAAAAAAAGTTTATTTATAAAAAATAATAATATTATAATTATAATTAATATTTTTTAAAGTTAAAATTTATTTACTTTTTAATTTTAAATTAAAAATAAAAGCTTATTTTATATAAAAGTTTTTTTTAATAAAAAAATAAAAAATAAAAAAATAAAAAAAAAAATATTTAATATATATATAAAAATATATATAAATTAACTTTTAAAAACTTATATATATATATTATTAATAAATTTTAAAATATTTAAATATATATATATATATATATATATATTATAATTATTTTAAAATTTAAAGTTTTTAAATATAAAAATATAATAAATTTTAAAATATTTAAATATAAAATAATAATAAAATTTAAAATATTTAAATTTAAAAGTATATTAAACTTATTATATTTAAATATATAAAATAAAATATATATTTATATATATATAATAAATTTAAAAATATTTAAATATATAAAGTATAATATATATTTATATATATATAATAAACTTTAAAGTATTTTAATAATATATATAATTATATATATAATAAACTTTAAAGTATTTTAATAATATATATATATATATATATATAATAAATTTTATATTTTTAAATATAATAAATTTAAAATTAAAATATTATAAATAAAATATTAATTTTTTTTATTATTTTTTTTTTTTTTTAATATTTTATTATATTAATATATAAATATATATATATATATTTATAATTATACTTTTACTTTTATTTATTATTATTTTATTACTTTAAAATAAATTTTTTTAAACTTTTTAATATACCTTAATTTTAAATTTTTTTTAAAATTAATAATAATTATATTTTTAATAATAATAATAATAAAACTTTATTTAAAAAACTAGAAAAAAATACTATAATTAATAAAAAAAAAATAACTTTAATTTTAAATTTAACTTACTAAATATTTATATATTAAAAAAGAATTTATTTATTTATAAATTATTATTTATTAATATTTAAACTTATTAAAAAGTTAAATTTATTTATATTATACTTAATTATAATTATAAATATTTATATAATACTATTAAAATTTAAATAAGCTTTAAAAATATTTTATATTATTAAAAATACTATAAAAAAATTATTTTTAATAAAAAAAGTAAAAAAATATTAATAAAAAATATATATTTCTTTTTAAAAAAAAATATTATTATATTAATTAATATTTATATTAATTTAAATTTATTTAAAA